GTAATCAACCCATAACCATGAAATCGCCTGCTCTAAACTGGCGTATGCAAGCTCCTACCAAATGAAATGGTACCTTGGTTCACAAATGGTTTCTTTTAGAAGGTTATTGTAATAAAAGTAACTGTTAAGTGCCGTTCATAGCAAGAACCAGATAACGTAAAGTCTATTTCTGCTGTGGACGGCACAGAATATTGTATTTTGTTTTTGTGTATTTAACAGTGATATAAAAAAAGTTTGGATTTTGGGTGCCCTACAGCCAAGTAACTGCCAATCGTGACAGTTCAATGTTGGGTTTGAAGCTTAGTATTTGTGGACAAAATAGTCTTTCTCACAAGACAGTTTCAAGATTTTGAATAAACCAATCAAGACTAAATAGAAGACTGGATGTAGTTGAAGCAGGCAAAAAGGCCGTTTAGCCATACCAATCAGCATCTATCCGTTTTACTTTAATCAAACCTTGCTGTATGAACAGATCCAAAAATAACAGTAATCCGTTAGCAAACTTGAAATCTGTATATTTTCTTCCAAAAAGCTCTTCTCACCGTAGGCCCTGAGGAGATCGTGTTCCTATGACTTGATGAGACGTTGTTGCTTGGATTGTTAGATCAGTCTAGGGATCTCGGTATAACATTGGAAAGCAGCAAGATGACTCGAGAAATTTGAAATAAAACATACAAGGACGTAGGGGAATCTAGCCTTTTTTAAGAGACAATAGAAAAAATGCAAAGGTAGACACGATTCAACTCTATTTCTGCATTGACAAGCTTTTATTCCTATTTGGTTTGAAACACCTTCGATTTTTCTCAGGGTTAGAGGACCTTGATATGCTAAACAAGAAGAGAATTTGCTGTTTCTTCAAATATATTCATATAGAGATATTCAGCTGCTTTATGCCTGTCATTTTGGTTCAATCAAACATACCAGTCAAAACTGCTTGGAAATCAGCCTCAGACAAAAGTTTCAAAAACCAGAAACTAAAACCACCTGTCGCGATGGCTATAATCATTATTCTGCATTCACTTTGAAAAAATGATTTTAATAAAAATTCACTTTCGTGACGTTTGCTTTTATTCTCGAATTCAATACCTTAGTGACCTTCACAACGATTTTGTCATTTATTAAACGGAAACAGGTTGTCTCTAGGACGTGGTACGAATCAACTGCATTAATGCAGAGAAGCTACCCCTATTTTTCAACAACTATTCTGATATCTATATGATATTATAATAAATAAACATTTCTTTGACAGAGCTTGCTTCAAAATTAAATTTAAGTGCTATACTTACGAAGTAAAATGATAAAATGCTGGAATACTCACAATCTGATGTTTCGTGGGCTGGAAAAACGGCAAGGAGATATGTTTCGGAGTCAACCATCACCTATAAAAATTTATTATTCTTGTTAGCTTGTATGCTTGTATCTTATTTTCTACATTGTAATGATAATTACAATTAATTACGGAGAACAGAATATTATTCATTGTTTCTTATGCCCAACTTGTAGGACGCAACGGAGAGAGAAATTTGCAAATTTTAAGAAAGGAGAAAAAACAATGGCGATAGTATCTTTAGGAGATCGGAGTATTAATTTTGAAACAGTTGGTTAAAATAGAAGTGAAATTGAAGATTACGTTCAAGATGAAAGTCAGTCGCGGCTCCAGCCTGGGATAAGTGGAGAGGGGAGACAAAAGGTGTGTCAGTACCACGCCCTTTTGAGCCACGCCCTTTTGAGCCACGCCCTTTGGACCACGCTTTTTCCCCTGTTTGAAGCACTTTCTTCCGAAGGAAACACCTCTTGTTTCCCAAGAAATGTCATTTGAATATGACGATCTAAGTAATAAACATACCCCCTCTCCCGAAGTTTTTTCATCAGGTTTGCAAGAATTTCAAGGAACAATTTTCTGAAAAATTAGGGGGGGGGACTAGTCTCTACATACTCATAAATGAATAGACAGATAACTATCTTCTTTAAGATTCGTTAAAAAGATGCAGTTCGTAAAGCTATCAAATAAATGCAAAAACTTCAAGGAATGTAAATACCTGAATAAATGGAACCTCAGTTAAACACTCTGCACTTAAAAATCACAGAATCGTAAATTTCAAAAAAGAAGTAAACGATAAAAGTCTAATGGCTAAAACTGACAGATATTTAGAGGAACTTTTAATAAAGAAATGATTCTTACCGTTACTTGAATATGTGTTAAATAATTGTATTTAGCATTTTCTTTAAAAGTTACAATTTCAGTTAGCAGGTCCACTGTTTTTCCATCAAATTTTGTAGCTCTTTAAAAGAATATGAAAGAAATGTCAGTGAGGTGATTTTTATTAGGCTTTTGGATGGGCAAAAGTAAAGCAGGCTTATTTAGTGGCCTGAGAAAAAGTTTGGCTTTCAACAAGATTATTACCGAGTAAGCAATAAGAGTGTTGACGGAATGGAAGTAATGCAATGTTTGAAAATTTTAGCTGACTTATTTTATCGAAAATACTGTTGAATCTTTGAATCTTTCCTATAGTAAATCAACATTGTTCCTAGGGGGAGAGGGGGATGGCTGAATTTGCCTTTGAATACCTACGTTAGTGTTCAAAGACTTTTGGCAGTGATTGTAGCTGTAGTGAAAGATTATCATGAAAGAAACAATATTGGTTCTTTATTTGCGAAGAACAAAGTAGAGCATACTTCCATGTTGAGATAGCTTCACTAAATTCCATATTGATCTCATCAATGCCATAGAAATTTCTAATGAACATATGAAACGTTGGGCTTTTCCTGCAATGTTTATATGTAAGTTTGAAATACGCCTCCGATGCCCAATTTGCCTGGTGAAGCTGGCAGGAATATCTTTCTGCTGTCGCTTGATAACTTGGGGACGGAAAGCAATCGCCTTGAGCTGAAAAACAACGGCATATCTCCTTTAGAGGATGATAAACGGGTATTTTCTAGTAGGGCAAGATATCTAGTACACTCTTGATTGTAAAAATACTACAATGTTGTCCAGCCTCAATATTCTTAAAAAATATTGTTTTGTGCCTTATTATATTCTTAAAGTATTCAATATACTTAAACAATATTCATTCAGTATAGCAGAGTGAGGCCTCTTTGTTATGAACATCGCAAAACAGGTCACTTCTGAAAAATGAGACACAAATATCCGAGCTGAAGCTGAGCGACGTTCTCATGATATTCTTAAAACTTAGATGATTCTGAGCCTGAATATTCTTATAGAAGTGTGTATAATAATAACTGAAATTAGAGCAGACATGGCAGCTTTGTTTAACTTTGATATTTCCTTGATATCTCTACTTATTATTTGCAGAAAAAAAATTCTAAACCATCCGTTAGTAAATTTAGAACTCTGCTTATTGGACATTCATGGAGGTTGTTTAATGAACAAAGAAATGAATGTCTGGAAAATACATCAAAAAAAACTTTTATGTTCATTTATCAAACAAATGTGTTGTTGAATGTTTGGAAGTCGCTTTCCAGCAAAAGGTACAAAGGCTGTCTCTTTTTCATTTCAAAAAAGCCCTGACAGCTTTTTATATACTGATGAAATATGGGTAGAACAGTTTCTCTAAATTGGGAACTGGATAATTTAGAGATTTTCTAGCCTTCAAATAAATGATAGGTATCGTATTCATTAGCTGTAACATCACTATAACAATCTGTGTGGTTGAGATATCCCCGGGAACGCATTATTCATCTCTATGTTTCTTTTGTCTGTATTTTTTCATAGGAATTTCTATGACATTTAGATTTTTATATGGCTTATGTTACGATAAAGAAACTACCGTAAATCCTTGAATTAGCCCCCCTTGGGGCATATTTGTTTTTGATATGTTTGGATAGGGGCTTATTCGAAGGGGGGGCTTATACGAGGAGGGGGGCTTATAAAATTATTGTGAACTTTAAGAAGACATCATTAAAAGACCTCGTTTATTTTAGTAGGAATTAATTTATGAGCATTTGATTAATTACTATCAAAAGTATGAATTTGTTGAGGTAATTCAATAAAACGCCATAGGCAACCTCAGATGGCAAAAATTATCGAATTGAGGGGTCAAATTTGAGAATTCACGGTAGCAGTGGGGGCTTATTCGAGGGGGGGCTTATTGACAATTTTAAGTTCTAAGGTGGGGCTTATTCGCGGAGGGGGCTCTTTCGAGGGGGGGGCAATTCGAGGATTTACGGTAATTACGAACAGACAGTGCAAGCATGGAAACAGCCAGGGTGATTTCCCAAACTCAGTAAATTGGCAACGAAATTTGTTACTTTATTATCATATTAATCACAGAGAAAACAAAGAAGTGGTAATACTGAAAAATTAACGAAAAAAACAATTACATGATTGATTCTGATAATATAAAATTTCAAATCACGAACTTATTTCCTGTAATATGCATGCTATTTGAAATTTCTACAAGTAGTCTAATGTTGAGATTGGTAAAAAAATTGATAAAAATACCAGAGATGGCGAAACAAAGGGCTGTGAAAAATTGGAGATAAGTGGGATCAGCGTTAAAAATGCAAAAAAAACTGTCTCAAGCTTTTTTTTCCTTTCTTTATTTAAAGTTGATACAATTTCTAGCTATGCATACAAGCTAATTAAAACCAACTAATTCAAATTACCAACGCTAACTATAATATAAATCAAATATAACCGATGTTGCTAACGTATACCTTGCAAAGATTACAAGTACAATTAAACGATGTAAATTCTGATATTTTTTCTTGAATATTGATAAAGTAGGGGAGTACTTTATCTCATTTGGAATTGAGTTCTATATTTGGCTACATCTGTATGATATGGTATTAAATCCATATATTTTGTAATGTGGCTCCGCTGTTTTGAATTGGGAGTTTCTTAAGTAATATGGGCATTCATTTATGGAAAATATTTCAGCCATAAAAGGTGGATTCAATCCGTTAAATGTTTTGTAAATTTCTATCGCAAGATATTGTAAATTTTTCTTATGAGAAGTTATTGTTTTATTCTTTATTAAAAGTTGTTCAAAAGTTGATTCATAATCATCATGAGCTTACTGTCATTTGTTCCAAAATGGGTGTGGTACTAGCAAGATCGAGAGACAAAATTTATTTCAATAAACCCATGCTGATAGATGGACCCAGAAAGACCCTCTGTATGCGAAAATCCTCAATTGACCTTTTCACTGGCATCTTTCAAGAAAAGCAGGAGATTGTAAGAAATTTCAGTATGTTCACCATAATCTAAGACTTCTGTGTCCTATAAGAAACACTGGGCTTAAGCTGGTCACCGGACCCCCCAAAAAAACTGTCACACAGATAAATCAATAAGTTTTATTTGTAACCTTACCACAAGGAAAGTTGTGTAACACCACCAGGATCGTAAGAAAACCCTTGATCTTCTCAACCCTCTTTGCCAAAAAATCCATTTTTGAAATTTAAACCATAACAGCTGCGACAGTACGCTCAATTCCTATGCACGGACGCCTAGTGAAGGGCAACTTACGGAAAAATTTGTAGCCGTTAAACGAAAATTCCAGATCTTTGTGAGGTTCAATCAAATATTTGCCCTCATGTTACAAAATCATTCTTTGATCACATCATAAAGTCATCTCGTTCTATTTTCTTACGGTAAATACAATTTAAAATGTTACAGGAACATTGCACAGATCAAAGACAGGTATTCCACCCGTGCGGCATTCTGGTACATTGGAAGGGAGCGAGCATGTCCTTAAGCCCGTAGCCACTACAGCCCTGCGATATGCGAGGATGGCTCAGTTGTTACAGGCGCTGACTACAGACCCAAGGGTCCGTGGTTCGAGCCCCTGGCATGACCAAACTTTCACCCAGAATGAGGAGAGTCGCCAGCTCTCTGTAATTCCAGGTGTAGGAAACACGAGGTGTGGTCACATCGAGAAGAAGGACTAGGACACTGCTCGATAAGTATAGCTTCTCAGTGTCCTAAAAACTACCTTCGGATGCTAGGTAGAAACAAATACAAATACGCTGCGATAAAAACAGATTTATCTTGCAATTTCAAATTATTTTTAAAGAATGAAACAGGACTTTTTTCGACGCTGGAGATGCTAATACTTAGCTTCCTTTTGTTAGCAACTGATAAAGTCGAAGAACCATTTGAATAATTTTAAGAAAGAGCCTTTTATGATCCGACCTTTCTCATTTCTGCTACAAAAAATTTCAAAAAGTCAAGAGAAAAAATGTGTCATTTTTTATAAACAGATTTAAGCTAAATTGAAACGAAACTAAAAGCAAAGCAAAATTATCAACCCCAATTAAAGTATTATTCAAATATTAGAATGTACAAATGTTTGGACTTGACCAGTCATTTTTGCATTTAAAGACGAACTTTTTCAGTGAGCGCCGGTTGGTATCGCCTTGATTTGTGTCTCCTATAGCAACAGACTGCCGCTCCTATCAGAATGAAAGCGATGCAGAGTCCACCGCCAAAAAATATCTGATTATGCAATTCCAAAGTTTCTGCCCAAATACCTGCAAAAAGAAGTTCTTTGAAATACTAGCTAATTTCTAGATTTAAAGCAATGGCATGACATTAATCAAACAAATAAACTTCGGTTTGCCTTAAGGTAAGGTAAGCATCATGCTTCCTCGTTTAGTGTTTTACTAGAAGCTCTAGGAAGTGAATTTTTCCCTCGGTCAAGCAGCCAAATCTTTGAAAATCTTTATCGAAGTTTTCTCGATTGATAATGTGACAGCACCATTTATCAACTCAAACTTACCTTTTGATTCGAAAAAGTTAAAATTCAATCTGTTTCTTGGGCTTGTTACGGTGTAAGTCTTAGCCTTGCGTTTTTTATCATAATCTTTTTATTGTAAAAAGGGGATAAAGTTATGTCACGATCATCAACGAAGCCAAATTTCACAAAAAAATTCCAAGCTCTGTGGAATATTTTTTGGCAAGCAAGGTTCTTTCTTTCATTTAGGTGCTTTGAGATCTGTCAATTTGAAAATACTAAGTGTCAATTGTTTATGCAGAAGGAGCTCGTTCTCTCGAACTCACTCTTCAAACACATCATGAGCTAGCGCTCGCCGATTGGCGATAGAAATAAAACAAACCAAAAGCGCTTTCCTATTAAGTTTAAGCCTTTATCCACCTTATTATAGAAATTGTCTTCTTTATTTTATGAAGCATCCCTGCGTTTTTGTTGAATCACAAAATTCTGTAATACGAAACAATCGCGTAAATTTAGCTTTTCTAAGTTGGGGCAAGCGCAGTAAACTTTCCCATTTTCTCCTATAAGTTGTTGTACTTGTTTCGTAAAAGAAATATCCGATTTTCAAGGTAAATTTTCTCTACCATCTCGAATTGGAAGGGGTAGGGAGCAATTGCCCCCCCCCTATAGTTCCTACAAACGCTATGAACAGCTTGTTTATCTAAAACGAAATTCTAAGCAAAGTCACTTACAGTCTGATCGATCACCAAAAGGAAAAACAGCAATCAATATCTGTTGGGTATCAGGCTTGCCAAATCTTGGTACATATGTCAACTGAAATGGAAACATATAAATCATTATCTATGCTAATATATGCATTAGGTTGATGGTAATATATGCACAGTTTTCCTTTGGATTTTTGCACATGGCGGTCATGTTTTCAGCCGCTCCCGTGGAGTAACTGAAAATAGCCGTGAAATGTCGGGTAAACCAAAGCTGATGAAGTGGTATGAAATGTTATAAAGTTTGAAGTGTTACTGTTTGATATTGTATGGAATTTGGACTATTTAGATACTTTTCTAATTTCGAAAATGTCTCAATCAACCAGTGATGGGCCTAGCAAACAAACAAGGTGGACATGCAAACAAGGTGGAAGGCGTGGTCTAGAAAAACCTGAGCAAATGCCAGATATCAAACAGATGATAGCTGATGCCCTGGCTCCAATTAGGGATGACTTGGCTAAAATTCCATCAAGAGAAACGGTTGATGCCATGCTTGCTGATTTGATCGTAAAAACTGAGGGAAAAATTGAAGCGAAGATTCAGGAAAGAGTCAACGAGCTCATCTCACGTGTCGAAACACTGGAGAAAAGGGTAGTGTCATTGGAAAGCTTCATGGTAGTCTTAGAACACCTTCACAAGAAATCAGATGAGAATGAGCAATACAGAAAACGCTCTTGCCTTCGTATTGTGAATGTTCCATTGCCAAAGCAAGGAGGAAAAGAGGATTGTGAAAAGAAAGTGAAACAGATCTAGAAGGATATGAGCTGTGGTCTGAATCCCGATGACATCGAACGCGCTCATCGCATTGGTTCAAAGAGAACTGATGATAATGGAATTATGAGCCAATAGATCATAGTGAAATTCAAATCATTCAGGCAGGGCCTAAAATAAGCGTGGATCTGACTCACTTTGTGGAGTTGTAAATTAAAATTGTGGACCTGTAATTGTAGAAAGTGTGGATTTGTAAATAATGCATGTTCTTAAAAGTGCAGCATAAAATACCTATCGAAACGTCTAAGAAAGAAATGGGAATATTTGTCCAATTCGCAATGAATGCCCAACCACAGCTTTATGTATTGCACTCATTTTTTATAAGAAAATTGCGATAAGAAATAAGCAAAAGATAATAAAGAAGAATTAAGAAACTTCAGAGCTCGAAGCTTCAGTACATGCGGAGAAAAATAAATTGGGTTTTTTCGATATTGTTGTGTGCTATTTTGAAGTAAGATGGACTCTGTATACAGCTTTAACTTCACGACATCATCTCAATTTAGTTTGCTTTTATGACCTGCTTCAAAAAAGACACTGAGCTTTAAGACCAAGACCGAAATTATGATTTCCTGCCCGTAATGTTTTTTGGGGTTTTTATTTGATATCTTTCAGTAGATTTCAAAAAAATTCATAAACCATTTCAACTAAGGTGTTTAAGGTGTTTTCAAGGGAAAAAAATGAACCTGATCATCTAGAAATTCTCTTTAATGACATACCGGTAATAAAAGTAGATGAACATAAACATTTAGGAATTATACTAGATTCAAAGTTGTCTTTCTCTGCCCATATCAAATCAGCTATCTCCAAAACAAGAAAGGGTATTGGCTTCGCGAGAAAAGTTGTACTCGTAGCTTGGCTGGGAATCACTGAGCTGCCGAAGATGGAGCAGACGCCTCACTTTGCTTTACAAGATCATTAATAATCTAACTCCTGTTTATCCTAAGGACCCAATCCCACTACTTCAACAGCCACACTACTCTTCGCAACCAAGATGTCGATGGGCAAATAAAGGCCAGAACAGAACAAATTAAATCTAGTTTCTATCCTCATTGCTCATCCGAATGGAATGAACTTGATCCTGAGATTAGACTTGCACCGTCTGTTGCTGTTTTCAAAAAGAAGCTCCTATCTATAATCAGACCCCCGGCAAGATCTATATTTGGCATTCATGACCCAATAGGTTTATCATATCTGACTTAACTCAGGGCTGGTCTCAGTAAATTCAATTTTCACAAATTCAAGAACAACTTTAAGGATACCAAAAATCCAATGTGTCCTACGAACGATGGTATTGAGGATACGGAACACTTTTTGTTGCTTTGCCCTTCCCTTGCAGTACCACGTAGAGACCTTCTCGCTGGAGTTTCTGCTTTAATACGACCATATGGACATACCGACCTCCAAAATAGTCTTCTAATGCAGAATTTATTGTATGGTGACAAAAATTTCCCAGATGAAGTTAATAAAGATATACTCCTGCTGACGCTTAAATTCATCCACAAATCTGGTCGATTTGATTTGATTTGATTAGAAAATTTCAAACTCCGTTATAAGTCATAAAACCACAGCCACCATCTCCCATGTCCCATGTTCCTTTTTTTCTTTTCTTTTATTAGTCGTGTATTTTTAAAGTCTGCCTCAAATTGGATGCCACGCAGAAGTTGCGATGATACCTAAACCTCTCTTCTTAAATTTGAATTGATCGCAGACATTTCTCGTGGCGTGTAATTTGAGACAGACTATAGTAGTTTATTTTAACCTCTGTATCTATGGCCCCGGGGTAGTCATAGTCTTTTGCTCCTCGGGGTATCGTCCAAGTAGTATTGTAAATGAAATTTGTAAGTAGCGTAGCTTGTATTTATGTATTGTAACTTTTTAATGGATATAGAAAAAGATGGTCTTCTATGTGATAATTATGTTCTTTCGTACTCCAAGAATGATAAGGACATTTGTACTTTGAAACCTTCAATCTATCATGACTATATGCATTTTAAAAAAAAACAGGTTCAAAGTTGCTGATTTTCAATAGCCTTTCCTGAAAAAGGCAAAGCAGCCAGTGCCCAGTGACTCGATGTCCTAAAAATCGAAACCTTCCCTTTCATCACAGTCTCTATTAAGGCCAATGCTTGATAATTCGAAACCTCTCGTAATTCGAACAAAGTTACATTCCGTCAAATCTTGAAAGCTAATTGTAAAATTACGGAAACAAGTGAACATGATAATGTGTGTATCTTGGCACTGACGCAGAGGTGAACAAAGTATCGGAACCTGGGAACGTAGTTCCCAGAAATTATTCTGGATAAAAATATTAGCAGAACGTTACTCAGAAACGTTTTGAAGTGTTAAAGTAAATGTAAAAATCTGGTGACAAGAGTTAAGTCAAATCAGCATTTAATATTATTTCAACTTGCCTGTAAGCAGCTAAATATGAGCTGCCAATGGACTGTAGGGCATAGTCTCTTTCCATTGGAAAGAAATTCTTTGTGCACATTATTTACATTCACCATCTCACAGTAATCTCAACCACTCACCATCAAAAATCTTTTTGGCAGCTGAGCTTTTGAGACAAACCATTGTCTAGACTGAGATTAAAATAGGGACTGGAATCTACTTTCACAGAAATTATTTCTTGTACTATGGTGTGAGCAGCATTGATCATAAGTTAATATGCTTGGTTAAAATAATTTGGTGCATGTTAGGACTCCATTTCAACAATATCTTGCTCCTCACTTGTCAAAGATCAGACTATGTTAGGCCTTCTCCATAAAATGCACCATACAATTCAAATGATTTTGCCCCTGACTCTTCTGAAACTATGTTTGGAAATTATTGCCTTCTGATTTGGGTTTTTTCATCACGATGATTGACTAAATGCATCAATTTCTGGCTAAAGTTGATTTCCCTCTTATGTGCATTTATGCATTAGGTAAAGCCATATCTTATATGTTGAGTTAGGCCTACTCAGAGTCAGTTTCATATAAACGTCTTGAATTTCTTCAGCTAAATACAGCATTGTAGGCACAAACAGAACGTTTATTTATCTACTCCTTAAAATCTTGCATAAAGTTTTTAGCCAGATACTTAGGTTCCCAGAAAGAAAAAAGTTTTTTCCACCTCTGCACTGACGTATCCAGCGCTCATCTTTTTACTATAGATGGTATGTTAATGTGTTAATTCTGTCATTATACTATCATTCATTGATGATTTTTTGAAACTGAAACAAAGAACAGGATCAGCAAGGCATTGCTTTGCTTACAGATTGAATTAGGCAAAAACGTTTTGGACACTGATAAATATAAATACCGTAAATCCTCGAATGGCCCCCCCCCTCTCAAATAAGCCCTCACCTTAGAACTACAAATTGTCAATAAGTCCCCCTCTCGAATAAGCCCCCACTGCTACCGTAAATTCTCGAATTGGACCCCTCAAGTTGATGATTTTTACCATCTGAGGTTGCCTATGGCGTTTTATTGCATTACCACAACAAATTCACACTTTTGGTAGTGATTAATTAAATGCTCATGAAGAAATTCCTACTAAAATAAACAAGGTCTTTTAATAATGTCTTCTTATTGTCTGCAATAATTTTATAAGCCCCCCATATAACCCCCCTCGTATAAGCCCCCCTCGTATAAGCCCCCAGGAGGCTAATTCAAGCATTTACGGTATGAGCATGGAAATGGGCCTACTTGTACCCTGGGTACCAGACTCACTTTAAGTTAAAAAAATATTAATAATCTATTTTATTTTATATATAGTGAGTCTGGTACCCAGGGTAGCCTACTTGCAGCCGGGTTATACGAGATGTCCATTTCATATGCTTTGTAACACGTTAGCTATTATTTTCGATTAGTTGCTAATGGTAGAGATCTACAAAATGAAATCAATCCTAAACCCTAATTCCATGTTACAATTTTTTTGTGAAAAAGAAATACTTTACAATCAAGGGTGTTCCGATAAACTGAAACTACGGAAGGTGAAAAAACTTGTCTTGGAATCGATACAGTCAGTTTTATGGGAAAAAAGTGTGAAACACTAACACCAGAAATAAAAATTCAGATATTCTTTAGATATTCAAAAGACTTATAAAAAAGCCTAGAATGCCAAGCGTGCAACTGCAGATCATGTAAGCTTGTTTATTCAATCTTGGGCTTTTTATCATAAATTGTTTTCCAATTGTATTACTTTCATAGCAATTTGTATGAATTTTAAAAAAAAGAGTTGGCCTCTGATGGAATTCTTACTTTCTAAACAACTGCCAGGTCGATGTTGAGGTGAAGTGCACTTTTTTTTTGCAAATCGCAGGCATTCTTTAATACATTCTCATACAAAAACCAAAACAGAAACTCGAAAGGGCTATAAGCGATCATTTCATGGGGGGAAATTTATGGTACCCCCTTATTAAGGGCTCTAGTTCCTCTTTAAAAAGTCATCCATCTCCAGTTGGTTGGTAGCCGTACTGACATCCCCCAAGGTACCAATTAAAGTCTTCTTGGCCATAGATGGCTTTGTAAAAGAAAATCGGATTGCTCAGAAATTGCAAAATATTTTCAGTATCTCCGGATTAATTTGAAAGATTTAGTTTCGGTTAGGTATTAGAGTTGTTTCGCATCCGCTATGACAATCAAAGTTGTGGATAAAACTACCTAAAGACGTAATGTTTGGGATATAAAGATGTAGTCATGAAATCCTATTAATTATAACAATTTAAAATGCCACAATACGTTAGTTGCAAGTTTTGAAACAAAGAGTCCTTTGTTTCCAGGTAAACGGATAAATGAAGTTTGCATAGTAGTATCCCTTAGGAAAATCAGGTCACGCCAATGATTTTTCTGAATCACAGTCAGAGTACTTGCTTAAAGATGGGAGCAATATACATTCTTGAACTTCAACATGAATATAAATATATAAAACGTTACCGTGATCTGAACACGGGTCTGCTTGGTATATTTTCCATCAGCCTTCAGAAGCGAAAATTTTAGGACAACCTGCGAAGTTTTCCCATCAAACAACTGGGTCCTGAAATAGATATAAAAACACTTCTTTAATTTTATGTTCAATCAAAAATCAAAGTCTTATTTTAAGCGCTATTCAAATAACTCTGCTTACTGAAAATTTCCGAATCATCATAAACAGTTTTTAAAGAGTAATTATTACCGTCTAATTTTGCTTAACTGGAAGTTTTATTGCGGCGCGCAATGTTTGCTGGGATACATTTTGGTAATCCATTCAACTCATCTGCTGTAGGGGCCGCCCGAGCTTCAGTCACTAATAATGGCTTGAATATGCAGACATTTCGAGCTTGGATGAGCTAGACACAAGCAGTCAAAAGCTATTCAATTACGAAATTGCAATGCAAAAACGACGGGGATATAAACGTATAACCGGTTTACAGTCCTCACGTCCTTGCTAATAGTGCTTGGATACAGCTTAGTCCAGACAGCGTAACATACATACCCACTTTATACCTTAACAAGAATGAACGATAAACGAAACCAAACAGAACGAAAAAACTTTTGATGGGAAAGCACGTGACTAGAATCCTGTAATAGCAGTACAAAGCGATCGATTGCGCAAGGAAGCCGATGCACAACAAGAGGGATAAGCTTGGATATGCCATTACGATAATTGATTTAAATTTTCGTAATTTCACCAACAAAGTTCGCCATTCGAGGTACCCTGGCTTCAGTGAAAAAGGGGTCGGTGAAAGAGTGGGTAGTTAGATGAGAGGCGATAGCCCATTGTTCCACCACCTCTTTCTCTGAGGCTGTGGTACCCAGGGTACATTCGAGGCTAGCTTCGTCTCTTCATTCTGTGCCAAAACAGCCCATCATTTTCTGTCGCAGCAACTCAGATATATATTACCTACAACTCAAGTAAACTGGGACAGATACAAAGATATAAATTTTAGTCAAATATTGGCTTTCTTGCTGAACTGTCCCTGTACTAACTTTGTACCTGGGTATGAATTCAAACCTCTTTAAAGCTTATTGCACAGCCTAAGGAGATATTTTCAGTTTTGTGTTGTTTGGATAGAACTTTTGGTTTTCGAAATATCAACAGCTTATTACACTTCTAGCATTATGGTATTTGTAAGTGTACAACCAACTGAGAAACAAAAGAGAAATGAAGCAAGGCATGTTGCTTGTGTTACACCACTTTCTTCTCTGCAATTCAATGGAAGGCCGTATTCGGCTACTATCACCTCCATTTGTTAACCAGGCGAACATTTCTTTTTCTTATCTTACATGATCCGACAATCGACCCACAAACAGTTGCCTACAGTCTTCTTATCAAGTTCCGATGCTTCTAAAGCATTCCCTGCATCTAACTGACTTTAAACAAATCTTTTCTCTAAGCAGAACAGCATCCCTCGAATGAATGCCCAGGGCCTCCAGTCTTTGGTATACGAAAGTAATCCCTCATTAGGCAAATCTTTCCATTCTAAAGCCTTGAAAAGTCTTGAACGAATCCCATTTTATGATGAATCCAAATTCGGTCTGCGGACCTGATTTGTGTTAAGTCCGTAATCTTCTTACATTGTTATCTGACAAGCAATGCACTACCCTTTGTACCAAACATTATTCTCCCAGTGGCGGTATTTAAGCAACTTGATGATGACTTCTATGAAATCTCACCCACCCAAGAAAGAAACTCCAATGGGCAGCTAAAGGGAACCATATAAATAACATATTGCTGAGTATCAACTTTAAAATCGTCCTGATCTATACACCAAACGAGTAAAAAATATATTATATGATAATCATGATTGGCCTATAGGCCACTGGCAGATAAAAAATGAGCAAAATCTACTCATTTTTCATATTTTTGTCGCTTAAAAAGCTAATTAGAAGTAAGAAACGACTCACTTCCATCCAGAGAACCGCTTGTTGAAGTCTGTGTTAATCTCATCAATGCCGTGGAAATTTCTTATAAAAAGGTTAGCAGTCGGTTCTTTTAGACAGTGCTTGAGAGTTAATTCAAAGTAGGTTTCGCTGGCCCAGTTCTTTTGGTGTAGCCTGCAGCTGTATTTGCCCTCTGTGACGTCATAACTGGGGGCTTGATAACATGCTGCCTTCACCGAACCTGGAAGGCGGGAAAACAACGAATTACAGTTTTTTATAAATCAAGATAAAAAAAATTGATGCAACCATCTAGGCTTTAGCTAAATATACGTGCACCTAATCAATATGTCACATTTTATGAATCTAACTTTGAGAACATGCTAGATTGCATTCTAAATGTTTTGCACGCCAATGTAAGCAGTTCAATCAGGTGTCTGGCCCTGGGACATATCCGTTCTGATATAGCGTTTAAAAGTTCTACGGGGGCTGAAAATTACAAATCTAGACAGTTGTTTTCAATCTTAAAAGCAAATAATTTCATGAATTGAGATATAGGAATGCGTATACGTGTATGTATGTAAATAGTCGAACGACAAAGTGTTTCTCTACTGATAAACATTTAGCGGATGAATTTGAAAAGTGCCCTTCGGGGTTCCATTGTCTCTCTGTTCAAATGCTTTAGAATAGCATCGAAGCCAAACCTTTGCCGGTAACCATTTGTTCAAATGCGAGCTACAAGATTTCTAACCATCTGCACCTTTTGATTAAATTCTTTTGAACTGGTTGACTAAAGCTCGACAGGTTACTTAAGATGGGGAAGGCTCGTTGTGAAAAAGTTCCTAATTTGTGTTAAATCTGCTTTACCTAAAACTAGAAATAGCTCTTGCTAGTACTGCCCGCAAACAATTAGTTCCTTGATAATGATTGTTTTGAAAATGTAGGTCAGGATATTCGAAGAAGACACCATCTTGGGTTTTCACAATTCTATAAAAACAGCTGCTCTAGTTGATGCTAAACTATTCTTTTTATCAAGAATTTTTGGTGTTCAGTTTGCCTTTGATTTAAGTCCAACGCCCTTTTGAAAATCATGAAGTTTTTCGAGGGTTTGACATTTATTTTTCGATAATCACGATAATCATAACTTTTGCTCGTACGGTCCCGAGTTTTTGGGAGAAAAGTGTGGCATTCGACTGGTTTTGATTCCCAAAACTTCGAATCAAAACTTCAATCCATTGCGGAGAACAGAGCTGTGATGCAGCACTGTTTTCGTGCCAAAAAAACCGAAGGCCTTTAACAGAGTCTTGGCAGAGCAACGCTCCGAAGATAATTCCCTTCCGCACAAAGAGGTGGCGGTTTATGACCTCCTCGACAAAGCCGATTGATTGACAATGAAATTGATTGACAGTTGTCATGGCAGCAGAAAAGTGACAAAATCTGCTGAAAAAGTGCTGACAACATGAACTGAAGCTTCCATATGCTACTTATACGCGGGGCAGACTATAAGCCCTTCACTCGCGCGCTATCGCGCGCGAGTTGCGGGCAATAATATCAACTGTCTTATTGAATTATATTTTAAAGATAGCATACACCCAAGGTATAATTATAAAACCACACTTTCTACCTAAGCATTTGAGTGAAAGTCAAAAGGCATGCGGGTATTTGTTATGAGGGTTACCATTGTGGTATAATATTTAGATGCATTGAATTCCACGTCCCTTCTCTTCTCCACTCTTGCAGCAAATTTAAAGCCTCTTGAAATTTATTTGTTCATATAATGCTCAATCATCGAAGCGCTGTTCTGGCCCAAGAACTGTTCCTTGCGGAACTCCAGAAATGATTTCGCAAGGAAAACATTTTTCACCATCCCATGCAACTGTTGACCTCTCAATGGCAAAAAGCTATTTGTCGATGAATGGTTTTGACCTCAATCACCATATTTTTTTTAATTTTGTAAAAGCGTAGCATCAAAGCAAGTATTGGTGTGAGTGTAACAATATTGAAAACAGTTCTTGGTTTGGTTTTTGGAATACTCTGTATTTGTCTAACTTATCCTATTAGTTCAGATCAAATCTCTCAATTGTCTGCTTATTCTTTGTGATTACAATGCGAAAATCTTTAGTTTCGATGTAGCCACAATGCAAAACAGACATTGAAAATAATTAAGAGAATAAGGAAGTGGCAAGTATAATTTGATCATTTCATACTGTAAATGAAGTCTTCATATTTCTAAGACACATTCTTTTTAGAATGAATCACTTTATAAGGAACCTACATGAAGAAGGCCGAAACATTTTATTGCTTAAAAACAAAACTTATATTGTTGAAAGCAATGGCGGCGCCAGCCACTAGGCTCTGAAGAGGGGGGAGGGGGTTTTTTATGGGTCTGTGGAATTTTCATGGAATTAAATGTGCAAGGAACTATAAAGCGACTTGTGGTACTACGACTCGATCAACATAGATCTTTAGGAATTCATCCTTGAGCTAGGTTCGTTCTTTAAAAGTATTAGAACATCGATAAAAGCCTGGCCCGTAGCAGTTACGTTATACAAGCTTCAGACCCAAGCATTGCAATCGACATTCGATGCCTACCGTAAAGATCCACGATTAAACGGCATAGGCGTTAATCGCACTTTTTGACAGGGCGCTTATTTCAAACGGGAACGCTTTTTTGCGAGGGTGCTCTCCCAAGAAGACTGACATGCAGACCAATTATGAACATTAAAGTGATTAAGCGCAATAACATGATGTCGATCTTGTCTGTAGTACATATATTCAGGGGTGTTCTGGGGTGTTTGCCAATTTTTTTGCGTTTTGTATTCAGCGTTACTCTGACATCCTGCGTGCATCTGCAGGACAGCAGATTTGGAGTGCGTAATTTTGTTTAACATCTTTTTTCATTTTGACACTACACGCTTCGAACGGCAAGTCACTTTGTCAAAATCCCGTTCGTGGAAATCCCTTTGTTTCATTATTAATCTGTTTAAATCCTTTCGTTTTGATGAGAATCTCGTCAAATGTTTTGATGCGCTTTTTCAAGGAGTGAACTGCCCCTCGAAAAACTTGCCATGCACTTTACAATTTGATATCCTTGTCTCGCTTGCAGGGGTTGGGGTCAGGGCCCCCATCAAATATTTAGATAGGGGCGCCATCAAACTTTACCCGATTGCATTGCCGATTAAAAAGAAAACTTCGCTATCGCTAGATGTGGAACACATTAATCATTCGCTTCTTTGCAAGAACTTTCAGGAATACTTAGAATTTGATTATAGTAGTAATTGTTACTTCTCCGAAAAGATTGTGCTGGAAAGGGAAAAGATCTGAAAACTTAGCAAAAATTAGATAGGATCTCGAATGTTTCACGTATAGAGAGTGCAGCAGTCTAAAATTATTTGCGAATCTTTCTGAAATGCTTCCACATCCTTAATGATGACTAGGCAGTTAGCCATATGCCAGAGCCTACGAAATGTGTAGATTATACTACCAGAATGATTACACATGTGTTTATCATTAACATGTGATAAACGAAAAAACATGCCTTTGTGTTTGTAAATATTGCTTCTATCTTGTTGTGTTCGACTGCTGACGAATGCGATTGTAGGTTATAAAAAGTTTTAAATACAATACTGATCAGGAGATGACGACCGATTCTTAAAGCCATCACTTTTTGAAGATTTATCTTGCTAACGTATAACGTATCCAGAAATGAAATCAATTATATCTGTTTTTTCTACCTACATTAAGACAAAGTGCGCCCGCTACTAGGGAAAAATCTATCTTCAACATGGTTAAAGGCTGATTTCCACAATAGACCAGAGGGTGGAAGGGGACCACCACCACCCGAGCGGAGAATTTATGAGACCAATCTATTCTGGATCAGTTTTTCGTGTAGATTCCGAATTTGGGTGTTGATCCCCCGTTTTAGGGGGCTTTTCAGAGATATAGGGGGTCTAAAGTCCGATTTTAGGGCTAATATAAATGTCAATAAAATATAGACAGGTCAGTTTTTTGATGATATCTATGCTTGTTGACTCCCATTTGGAAGTGAGGGGGCCATAGAAAACGAAACAGGAGTACAAAATACTGTAAATTCCACATAAAACTGATTTTTCGCAACTGAATGGAGTACTGTAGCATGATCACATAGGGAAATGGCTGTTTGTACTCACCAGGAATGTGGCTTTCTCAGACATGTGTAATGACTGATATGGAGATTTTCATATATCTACAACTTTATTGCTATGGATCAGAAAGGAAATGAGGCCCAAAAGCAAATCTTTATGAGAAGTACTTTAACACATGGTTTTGTGTCATAACCTAGGAATGTAACTTGTATGTACTTCACAGCCTTAAACGATAATTACCTGTTAACATTGAAGACCATTGAAGGTGTAAACACAGAACATTGAAGGTTTGGATTTTCTTTCAAATGACCTAGAAACTGCAATTTCATTGCTTACAAATTCATTATCATTTTCAATGTTCTGTGATTAAAGCAAGAGTAAACTATGAAAGTAGTTAGAATATATGGCAAACAGAAAAAGAAGATGAGCTGTTCATTGCACTCATTTAGTCATTGAAGATCAGATCCTTTGCCCTTTAACGATATCGCCAGCTTTACCTGAACTTTACGAAGGCCGTATCTGTCTTTGCAAACAAAACGCAAAAGGGGAAGAAAGTAAGCAAAAAGGCATCTCCTTAAAAAAGAACAGTGACGAAAGCAAGCGCCTAATAACAAGGGCCTATCAATGTTAATAAGGGGAAGAAGCAACTATTGAAACTTAGATAAACTTTCATCATGCCGAACTCTGCAAAAAGCTCCAGCATTAAGAGAGGGTAAAGCTTTCCTGGTATAATAAGAACACAGTATTTTGTAGTAAGAAGTCGACTACCCTTACTTCTACAGCTGTCCACGATCCCACTAACGAAGTACTTGAAACAAGCGAAGAACAGTGTAAGCTGACTCTTTCCTGTGTGTTCATATATAACAAATCATGAACCGATCCGTCGCAATGAAGACTTTAACTGGAATGTATTGTTTCATTAACGAGAACAGCAGACTAAGTTAAAAAGGGGTTAGAAGCCGAGTTCGGTGATAGTATCCCCTTCCTCGCTGTCTCGTGAAGCTCAGGTACTTAGAAGTATGAGGCACATATAAATACCACAGTTACCAGCCTTATGAAGAACAGAAAAGAGGAGATAGGCAATTTGCTTTGTTGTTGATTTGGTTGCCACCATTCGATCTACAGTTAGAATACCGGACACTTTCAGGAGGCTTGCAACGAAGTTGCTGAATGAATTATGGACACAATACAACTGTGTATATATTGCATTCGAACATGCCGATTGGTTCATCAAGAATGCAGAGAACCATTTCTTCATCAAATCGCCAAACATAAAGATTCCTCCTAACTTCGTTGCGTTTCTGAGGAAAAGATAGAATAAAGAGCGGTTGTTTGAGTTGGTTAAAGAAGTCTGGGTTCGTCAAGGCTGTCATTTAGGGAACAGAGTGATCAATTTTTCTCGCAAAGAAAAAAATATATATAGATATCGCTGTATAAATATCACTAGCTTAAGTTTGCTTCCTTCTACATCATGCTCTCCAACAAAACGAAGGTCGAGAAACGATTTGCGTTCTTGTTTTGGAGATATATAATATAATAACATCCTTGTTATCTTGCTTGCTAGGCAGGAACCTCATTTCTAAATATTTATTGATAGTGGGACAGGTAAAAATAGAAAAATCTTCGCTCTAGCTGCTTGTGAATTATCGGCCTATCAAAAAGAAGTCCCGCTTGGCTTGCATGCATTTAGTGGAAATGACTATATTTCGTTATTTTCATGTACGAAGAGTGTGTACATGAAGAGGGGCTGCTCGATGTCCAGGAACGCAGGTAGGTAGATGGATAGATAGGTGGGTATGTAGCTAGGTAAGTAGGTAGGTAGAAAGGGAGATAGGGAGGTAGGTAGGTAAGTAGATAGGGAGGAAGGTAGAAAGGGAGGTAGGTAGGTAGGTATTTTTCAGAAAAAGTTGGAAGCTTATGCAAGGCACAAAAGCATTCGTCACAACTTTAGCAAAGCTAGGGGCATCAAGTAATCCTATAAATTATGTAATTGGGGGTATTGAAAGGTTTACGTGTGCGTTGTTTGGAGAAAAGAGATTATCGTCTGTTCATGATATTCAACGGAAAAATTTTTCGAAAAATTTTTCAAGGGGTCAAAAATCACAGACTTCTCTTTGCAGCCACCATGCAAAAACAGCCTTTTAAGATACATCAAGCGTTGCAAATTACATTGCACATATGTGCAGACAAGCCTCTTAACCAATGATAGAGCAAGAAGGCTCAAGTACACCACGTGTGGAAAGGTGACTTTTCTAATTCTGTTTAATGAATTTCTTTTGCAAAATCCAGAGGATGTTCGAAACTACTAGTGGAGGCTGACGATCTTGTAGAAGTGGAAGACATAAGAAGAGGCATTGATATGTCTGAGGATAAGGATGAAGATGAATAATTTTTTGGGTAGACTTGATAGTATTCAAATATATTGTAACAGTAATGTTTTCTTTTGGAAAAAATTTAATTTTTTACACCTCCCTTAAATTCTAAATATAGAAAAACACTTTCAAATATCAGCCAACAATCATAGATATAGCCAAATTTGTAGCAATTAACCCCAAAATTTGTCTTTAGACCCCCCATATCTCGGGAAAGCCCCCTTAAACCGTTGATCAACACCCAAATTCGAAATCTACGCAAAAAACTGAACCAGAATAGATTGGTCTCATAAATTCTCCGTTCGGGTGGTGGTGCTCCCCTTCCACCCTCTGGTCTACAAGGCGAATTTGGCAGCGAAATCGCTGATGAAGGCATCAAGGCATGCGCAGTTTTGATTTTTGATTTCGCAGCGAATTCGCAAGAAAGTAGAAAAGAGTTCTACTTTTTCGCGACGAAATATTTTGCAGCACCTAATAACCAGTCAAAGCAAAAGTAAATTTGCTTAATTTGTAAGAAAACAATCTTTCGCCGCGATAGTTACATAGAGATTGGGTTAGTAATGAGAGGCGCCATTTAGCTGTCGCCTCCCGCTCCCCAAGCAAATAAGGTCTGGCCACCGCTGAAAAATCGGCACGTGTTCAAGGGGGAAGGACTTAATCGAGTATATATCGCGGAGTCTGGCGAAACTATTCCTAACAATTTCGAGCAGTCAGATAAAGCACCAAGCTATGGAACAAATTTGGCACTTGCAGATCTGTAAACTGTAGATCGTTATTTTCAATAAGGATGATTTGCCGGTTTTATATTGCAAGAACAGAAGGCAGATTTGACTCGTTAGTTAAATGAGATTCACCCCTTAAAAATAAAACCTAATTTCCGTCATTGATTTTTGAGAGACTGTAAGTACATATTGTGAAATGCTTGCTGCGTCATTCGAGATAAGCATTTGCTTCAACCGTTGAAACGAATGATAGAAAACGTGATTGGGAGCAAGAAGGGCATGACAACAAATCTTTCGCAAGGCGTGCAAGCTGAAGCTCTAAACTTTTTCGATGTATTTCTATCGTTTTTTACCTGTTTTCTTGTAATTATTATTCTCGATTACTTTTCATTCCTATTCCATAATCTTATTCCATAACTAATGCCAAAGTCCCTTTCTACGTTCAACCACCGAAAAGAAATGATTTCTATTCTGTGGTGCAACATTTTACCCCGGCATCATTGCTACCTTTGTTTACATTGGAATAAACAAGTAGAGAATCAGTGTGCTGCAAAGTATCAAATAAAACATACCGTAGAATCCAAAACAGAAAACTGACAAACAAAGCAATAACTCAGTGGTTCCTCCTGTTCCCTTCGCCATTCCAACTTGTCTATTTGCACTGCTCTCTACTAGCTTTCCGCAGTGGACTTTCGCAACAGGACCCCTGGCTCAATTCATGTGGTCGCACGGGGGTCAGCACTCCATGTTTTATCATGGCACGAGGCTAAAGACAGAGGAACGATGAGCCTGTGTTTGCTTATATTATGGACAAATAAAGACAAAGCAGTGGTAATATGAAATAAGTGATGTTTTGACATTAAGCGTGGAGGTTCAGCTCCCCAGGCCGATCCCCCGCACTACTTCCCCTGCACATGAGACCCCTGACCCCAACCTGCACTGGCCACTGCAGCGATCGTTAATGTAATTTGTTTTTGAAAAAGCATTTGCATTTATCTAAAAGTCCAGTCAAGATAAATATTATGAACAAAGTTACAAAACTGATGTGGAAAGAATGTAGACAAGTCTGTGTCGGGAAAAAATACGCTCAAAGGGTGAGGTTTATAATTTGTTTGAAAAAATACGGAGAAAGCTCTAAATAGTGGATTACAGCATTCAAATGCTGAATAACGGAGTTACAGTTTGGCCTGAAAACATCCTTTGTTTTGCTGGAAAAACCTCAAAATTTATTTGAGCCGCAAAATAACTATAGAAGTTTCTGAATGTACCATGTGGCGAAATTAAAGAAATCTAATTAAAAATGGAATAAACAAGATAACTTTGAAGTAATCCTTGAAGCAAATTAACCTATTGGTCTCAGAAACTTTTTCACCTGATTCTTATTCTTCAAAAGGGGCGCACAATTTCCAAAAAAAGGGGCGCCATACTTGCTTCAACTCGTCGAGGGAGGGGCAACTGCCCCTAGTTGCCCCCCTAAATCCGCCACTGGATAAATCGATAAAATAGTAGTATATAAGGAACACCGCAACGCGACGAGAATAAACAAAAACAAACACACAAATCAGTGATGGCTAATATATCGCCCTCGCCCCGGCATACGGGGCTAAACGAACTAAAAGTTTACAAATTTTAAAGGCGACGTTGAATTTTGGTGTTGCTTGATTGCAATTCTACACTGCATCCTGCTACCCCCGTATTTCAATCAAAAAAGAGAAAATCGACGATGAAAAAATTTTTGGCATGGCACAGACATGCAAATTGCGCGGTTAAAGCTTGATCGGCTAGTTAAAACTGACCAAGGCCAAATCAAATGTTTAAGATGGTACCTGGCGACCGACGTACAGTTAAATTAGTGCCATAATTTACCATTGATTTTGCTGGGGCAGAATTCTGGTCTTTTTGCCATTTTTTCAACTATTTTATTTTGGGAGGGCGTGTCAGAGGTGGTATTCTGTGAAATATAACTTTGAAGGAGGTGTATCCCCTAAGTGAAACGTGAAATTCAATCTTTTCTTGCGATTCTAACCCCCTCCTCTACCAACCACATGATAAGCCTATACGCATAGTAAAATAGACTGAAGAACTAATATGATTTATTTTAAAGACTACACTTTTTTTTATAAGAACCAGTAAATTTAAGTTCAGGCTGACTGTTCTTAATTTTTTCGAAAATCTGAGGCTGGATTGTTCTTAATTTGTTCTTAAATTAAGAGGGTGTGAGCAGTGCTATTGCTAGCTTTTTCTCTCTAAGAAGGTGTTCAGGCCTCATTTGCCAACAAAGTGAGTGAGACAGCCTTAATTTGCTGACAAATTTGAATATTCACCGAAAAAGCACATCGATAAAAATCCTCGATTTTGAGAAAAAACGTTGTTAAAAATTGCATTTTGCAGAAGCTCAGCCTCAGCTTGTTCTTGATTTGTTCTTAACTTTTGAGGCTCGTGTTCTTACAAAATTGTTCTTATAAAAAAAGGTGTACCTTGCTAATTTTTGCCTTTGAGAGGGAGGGCCAGGGAGTTGTAGGGAGGCTTTTACATCATGACCAACCCACCACCATGGGGTTTCCGAGGCCCTGGAGCAAAACCAAGCCATAATTTTGTGACCACGCTCTTCAGATCAGCTTAAAACAATTTCATAACGTGTCTTACAGTCATTATCCTGCAATCGTTTAAAATTTTTAACTTTTTGACATACATTTGCCTCGCCTGATTAACTCCAATCTTAACAAGGAATTAATTACTTTATGAGGTCCCCTATACCTTGAGACTTTGAGGCAATTTGTCCCCTTGACTCGCCCTCTTGACCCATGACTGACTCGTCACTGACGACTGTATGTGACAAATCCACCACCAGGGCCTCCGAAATATTACGCCATTTCTTTCTTCACCTGTGCCTAATATTATGAACTTTTAAAGGATATAAACAACAGGTCTGGTGACTTGTCAAAATTTATAGATTTTTAGCTACGCCTAGAATATTTCTAGATAATTCTACCATTTTCGACCTTGACCTGTGACCTTCCTGAAAGCGGACAGAGGCCAAAACACCTTGCTTTTCCTGCAGACCATAACAAACAGGCCGACACTAATGAGGTATTAGCCGACACATACACTGCAAGATACGGAATGGGTGAAAAATACAAACTTTGATCTCCCAACTTCCGCTTGTGCATTATCTAAAGGTGTACAGGGCGAGATTTATATTGAGCAAAGTGCGACTCGTGCCTCCAAGACTCCAAGCATCTTACCATAACTATAAGATACTTGATTCTGGTGACTTTCCCTATCCAAACCAAAGGCGAAGCCAAGAAAATCTTTTTGAGGGATAAAAGAGTGCTTTTTGCCGCCAAAAAGGGCGTGTCTCACCTTGGATGTGGTCAAAAGATAAATACCCTTATATGTTTACAGAAATGTTGATACATTACAATTGTTGCAAAAAGGTCCCAGGGTGAGTGCAAAAATAACTTCTTTTGCTCGGCAAAAATCCTTAATGAGCCGACGGACAAATTGTAATAGACCAGGCGGAGAATGGGGGTAGGATCCCCCCTCAGGGAAGTAACTCTAATTAGGTGGGTTTGAGTAATTTTAGGGGGCTGATTCCGAAAATCGATGCTATACGGGCAAGTTGGGGGGCCTTCAGCCTTTATTTCATGCCAAATTCTTGTTGTCAATCAAAATAGAGCAAGTTGCTTTATAAAGGTCCACCCTTCGGTGAAGTATCTAAAATTCATTGGATTTAGATAATTTTAGAATGCTGATTCCAAAATTTGATATTATAAGTACGTATAAGTGGGCGTTTGGCCTCAATTCCATGTTTTAATTTCTTTTTCACGCAAAAGGACAGAAGTGGCTTGATAAGATTCCTCCCATTGTGGGTTATTGTGGTGTACTGATTCTAAAAAATAATGTTTTAAGGTCTTTTGGGGGTCTTTTTGGCTCCACTTCATAACAAAGTATCGTACATTGCATCACATCACAGTACACCAAATTGTAACACCTAATCTGAAAGCAAATGAAACTGCAATGCCTGTGATTGATGTTTGTTGTTGGTATGTCTCAAGATCCTCAGATTGGTTTTGTGAAATGGTGATTGCAATCAACATTTCAGCTAAATGACATCTAAAAGAACTTGTATCGTTCACTATGAATCGATAAGCAAGTCCGAAAATCTCGTTAAAGGAAGCTTTTTAATCTTAATCATTGATTGGGTAAAGCGTAATTCACCAAAACCTTAGTGAAGAGAATTATCACAGAGAACAATGCGGAAACCTTGCACAACATTTTGAACATGATGAGTTATTCTACGATCAAGGATGCTATCAGAGATTCACTTATGCAAAAGCATTGATGAGGAGAAAGTTAATGGAAGGCGAAGAGACTGAAACAAGAAGCGAAGTTTACACGTGGAGAAGCCCGGGCCAAGGAGACTTTTTCCACACATTTGTATGATATGTAAGAAGAAGGTTTCAAAATTGAAAGTTATTCGTCAGTCGCTATCTAAGATTGTGACAGAAGCTGGTTGTTAAGTAGCCAGAGAAGAGACAGTGTGTTTAGTAGCGAAGTATATACATGACCTTTAAGCATTTACACGAAAGCTAACATGACTCAGCAGTAGGTGCGTTAAGAATGTCAAAAGCGATTATTCAAAGCGATTACGAATGTCATGTGATTGTCATGTGACTCTACTTGACAATGGTACTTTGAAAGAATCTGCAAAGACTAGAGACGACTATGACATGATTATTGCAGTTTTAGAAACCGATTTGAAAGCTAAAGAGTTTCTGAAGTCTTAAAAAATGCTATTTAGATTACACCAAGATTATTCGACAAAGAGCCTCTACAGTAACATCTACTGACGACGACGATGAAACATTTGGTAACTTTGATGCAGTACCGTCGTTGATCGAAAATGATATTCTTGAAGGTCATCAGTGCTTGTCAATGGAGACCATCATGGTAGAGTACAATGGAACAGTTGGAAGCAAACAGACCCGATATTAGCTAAAAGAGCTTTCGAAACTATATGGAGATAATAAGTTTTTGTCCAGGTGCAGCTCCAAATACCGCAAGTCGTTTATAAGTAAGGAATGTCTTCATGGTCCAATACTATCCAAAAAATCCGGCTTCTTTCAAGAGTTCATGGTAAAAAAAGCTGCTTTTATCTTGAGAGAACTGATATTGATATCCGTCGATGATACATTGCCTCTTTCTTGGCCTCCAACTGTTGAAAACTTTGGATCTAGAGAAGCATCATCAAGTCCCAAATTGTTGGAAGTGTTTTTTAAAGCGTTATTATCATCAAAAGAAAGCCATCACAATTCTAGTGAAAGAGTTAATCGTCTTGCTGGTTCACTTAGCCAAGATGTTGTGCATGCGGTATCAATAAGAAAGTTATTGACTCCAAAGCATGCTTCACATTCTTACTGGTAAAAAACAGCCAATCACAGTTTTGGCCAGATTGAGCCATTGCATAACGTTGCAGTCCAGACATGATAGTTCCTCGCAATTTTATTAATTTTCTACACAATGGAGAAAACAGAACCATGCACATTAATTCAAAGAGCGATAAAAGAAGCCAAAAAAAGTTACAAGGAAAGACCGTCCTCTTTTCCAACAAAAACAACCGCACTAAAGTGACGGAAGATGAAGTTGTCATAGATGAGAGAATGAAGAGCAATCACGAAGAAGCGTATACAAAGCTGATAGGAATGGTGATTCTGTCAGATCACCTTCCGGGGATATCAATGTCCTATCCCTCTTTGTTTCCCTTGATTTTGCAGGAATTCAAGTATTGATTGATAACGGAACACTAATCGATCTTCTTGCCTTTTCAGGAAACGTCCATGTTTCTATTTTTTTGAAAATAGCTTTTTAGAGACAAATGGCAAAAAGATAGATTACCTGAATATATTTACGAATCTGGGGTCCACGCTTCAAGTACCCGAAAAAGTTGAGAGGAGATTGGAAAAGTTTATAAACGTTTTTTATGAAAACGAAAGGATGCAAACGGTAAACGACGTGAGGAAGAAAATTTTTTTGCGGAAATTTACGAATGAAATAAAAATAACCGATCTAAGCTTGCTGCCACCTTGAATTTAAAGCTCAGAATCAGCGATGAAATCGCTTAATGGTGGATATGGACAACCCAGCTAATCATGGATGGGATGAAAGCTGATCAGTTGTTTGGAGTGATGTATGCTACCCAGCTGATGTCACAGAGCTGCTGAATAACGAAATTGTGTCTACCGATGATAACGACAGGGCAAATCTAATTGACAGCAATGATAGAGAAAACGATTTTAATGAAGATATCATTGATTTGTACAATGCATCATTATAATAAATTCATAAAATGATAGATGATTATAGTATAGTTGAATTTTATAGCGGCTAATGCTCAAGAGCGTTTTTTGAATACGAGACTTTGTTATGAAGTGGAACCAAAAAGACCCTCAAAAGGTCTTAAATCTTACATAAGTTGCTTGTATTTGCTTGTTGAGTGGAAATTATTGAGGAATCTTAATCCATCTTGAGGGAAAAACTGTTGATCGCTGTTCATAAAGATTTCCATCATCTAAAATTTTTTAAAAGGAGCCGACAATTAAGATAAAATATTGCTCACGTAACGAACATTTTGGCGCGCAAGGTAGTTAAAATTTTCTTGTTGGATTGGAAGGTTGACAAAAAATCGTAGTTAAAGAATGAGTGAATCAGAATTTGCAAGATTTAAGCAGTGGATGGCACAAAGACATCAGGAAGAGCAAAGGTAAGATATCAGTTAAATTTTTGAAAATAATCATTTCAAATTGTGAAAATTCCGAAAGGATATATGATAAGTTCTGCCAATTCCAAATTCGATTCATTTCACAATATAAACGTACGGGACAAGTAACCTAGTTTGTTTTTCTTAGAAATGAAGATCCGGATATTCTGTATGAAGAAGTTGAAGAAACAGCGACGCCACAGTTGCGAACAACAACAGAAGGCCCACCAAAGAAATGTTCAAGGAATTTTTGACCTTCTTTTTGACCAAAGAATAAATTTATCGATGCTGCTGCAGCCTTTCTTCTTCTTTCTTCTTTCTTGGTAATCGTTTTTCGAAAAACTTTTGAGATATTTTTCATTAGTGCAAAGAATTTGGACGGTAAAAAGTTCGGACTACAAAATGATTTCGGGCTGTAAAAATTTCGGATGCATCTACTGTCCGAAAATATAAATGTCCGAAATTTTTGGCGTTTAATGTATTACAAAGTCGGCAACTGAAAGATTTCGTGTTTGGCGATTGATTTGATTGGCCAATTAGGACACTGAAGTGAGGTTGGAAATGAAAAATCACGACGCTCTACTCCTATGTAATCGAAAACAAATCATCAATTCATAAGACACGACTGAGATCCAATCGGTCTTGAAAACGTCGGCGACAAAGATGAAGTTGATGATGATAATGATTGGTGCTGATTAGAAATGATTGATGATTATCATGATGATTGTTGCAATGTTATATTGCAAAGGAATAAAGGAAAGGAGAAATGTTGTAAATACTGAATGAAATAAACCAATTCATGGATGCTTCAGAAAAATAACGAAAAGAGAACGTTGCGGTGCTTAGTGGAAAGGAGGGAGTGACAAAGTTGGCTGGGTCCGTATAATATGTTGACTGACTGCCAACTCGCCACACTCGCCACACAAACTTTTGGTGATGGCCTAAAATAAAAAATTTGCATAATTTATTGCGATAGAGACTCTAGCTATCAGCAAAATACTCTTTAATATTTTCACAAACATAATACATGGCTTGAAGAATATTCTAAGATAAAACTTTCACAATCTGGTAGACAGACCTGATAATTCATCAAAGCCAACCAACTAAAGAGGTTTGAAATCACTTGGAATATTAATCAAAAATATTTCAAGATGTTTTTCGACTTTTGCTAATACTTAAATCAATCATTGAATTTTTTGTTCACGATACTGAAAAATCAGAGGCCAGTACAGAACCATCTTACTTAAAAAAAATGTTTTGGCCCAGAAAATGTGAAATAATAATTATAATTTCTACATTTAACGTTAATCTATTTACGAAATCTGATTTGTTATTTATTAATCATATTTTCTACGTTTTAAACTTCTGAAATCAGCGCCTCAGGGTAATACCAGATTTGACAGTGGAATGCCGAAGCCAGGAGATAGGCGCAACGGGACATAATGTGGGTGGATGTCAACAAGGAGTACGGTTGCAGAGAAATCATAGGCAAACCCTACCTACCCCATTAGGTGGGGAAATCGACTGAAAAGATAGCGGGGATGTAACTACTATTGCTCCTAGGAGCTCGTGTCCTGGCAAAAGTTATAAAAAATCCTTTGTTCTGCAATGAACAACTCCTTTTCATTCTATCGTACTCGTAAAATAGTGCTCCTAATAGTTCTACTCTTCCTACGATACATGGTAGTGTCAATCATCTAGCACTCATCCACCACCAGTGAGGCCTTTTTAATCCTACGAACGCATCCTTCTTTTTAGGAAGGAGTCTACAGAAATAAACATCAACATCTTTTAAACACTGGATCGAAGGCGTAATGCTGACTGATTTCAGATGGGCATAGAAAGATGAAAAACAACAAATCCAAACATTACAAAATCTAAATGTACGCAGTTCGTTATTTACCGTCCCATTGACTAAGAACGCCATTATTGAAAATTAAACTACAGTTCGGATGAGGTAGAGGCTTGTCGTGGAGATGAGGCTCGTTTGCTATGTCTTGGTTTGGTAGACTTTCCTGCAGATGAGCAAAATAAAATTGTATGTTACCCGGCCACGAAAGCAACTGGCCTGTATAAAGACATTAAATTGTTTCAGAGGCCTGGGAACAGAGTGTCTTTGCAAAGGTCATGGGGTGAGTTAGCTTAGCCGACGGGTGTATCGCTCTTTCCAAAAACCATAAGATATTTTTTAAAACAATTTGGATTTTAACGAGTTTCCGCGGATTTTTCTCGAAAAACAAAAGAATTTTTGCCAAAAGCGAGTTTTCCATGGAGTGATGGTAAGCCCCTCGAGGCTTACCATCATCCAAAAATTTTCTTTATGACGTAGTAAGAAAATTGTATTGTTTTATTTCTATGTTGGTTTTAAGCCTCGAGGCACTATTCATCTAACTTCCTAAGTAAAAACCTTAACTAGCTTTGATTAATATTAACTTGCGTAGATTGAGCTCAACATCTGTAACAGTTACGGGTGTGACGTGAAAAAATGGAAGAATTGAAACAGCAGTCAATAATGAATTACCTGGTTTTGGGCAATGAAGTCCAGAAGCTCGAGACTCAGCTGGCGGCTAGAACTTAGCATCTTTTCGAGGCTAGAATACAATAACACAAAACTGGTACTGCAAAAAGGACTTAAGGACTTAAATAGGAAATCAACTAGTGATAGAATAATTCTTACTAAAAATAATTTCTATTCATCTGCTGTAGACAAATATGAATTATAATCACTTGCAATTTAACCAATTTGAAAATCAAGAATTCTCAAGCTTGCTCAGCAATGATCTAGTCCCCAAGTCCAACTGACAATCATTAGCAAAATTAATAGTCTCTTTGGATGTTGAAAAATCAGAATTAAGATACTAATCCCCCATCCCCCCTTCCTACCCAACCCCTATCATTCCTTTTGAATCAATTGAAATCTTTAAAAATCAAAACAACTCTAACGAAAGAAATTAATTAAACGCTAAAGAAAGGAATTAAAAGCAGCAAGGGAAACATAATTAATAAAAAAACAAAAAAATTAGATCATCATAAGTATCAAATGAAAAACATCGGTCAATATGCCTGTCGAATTTTACTTGTTATATTTGCCAAGCTTTTCGAATGAAGGTTCAAACTAGCTATCTAAATACGACTTTCGGACTGCGAAATTTCAAAACGGCGAAAGTTTTTAAGCATTTAACTGCTTACGTTACTTCAAACCAAGTTTGAAATCATTCTTTATCTATTAATTTAGTCAATTCGTAGAATTAACTACGCAATTATTTGATATTAGTCTTGATAAACTTATGATGCCACGATAATTGGCAGCACTTAACAGCAGCATCGAGATCTGACAATGAAAGTAAAGTTGAAATTACTGTTTACCAGTCTGCCTTAAAGTGCTTGATGCAGTATAAGCAGAGCTGTACACGCTTATAGCGTATAGAACAGGACGGTTTAAAGTTGCACTAAAGTTGTTTGCTGCAAGTTTCACGATTCATGCAATCACCATGCAACTGTTGCATGAAAATAAGATTAGCAACTTCGAACTGTTTTGTTTTATACGTTCTATACACTGGATAGGCGCGTAGTTTCAGGATTATACTGTCGATATCCTTATCTAAAGTGAGGAGAGCAATATCCTAATCTGAAAGATGCAAATTGAAATAACTGAAAATGAAACAATTAGAACAGCGGTAGAAAGAAATAAAATGACTTAAGATCAAATAAACTTGACCCTAAAAGGCAAATGGCAAGAATCCTTGCACAGCTTCCAAAAATGAATGCGTAATGAAAAGTCAAAAGGAACTCTTCTTGTTTTCATGGTGAGAATAGAGCCCCGGGAAGTCAGATAACCACTAGTCAAAAAGGGATTTATGCAAGCAAAGGAACAAGATTATTTGACTTGGAATCTGATTAGTACCCTGAAGAGTCTAGACGTTTATGATTGAATTTCTTGATAAAATTGTGATAAATGACCCCTAGCACTATAGGTTTGGATGACATTTAAATCTTATTCACGAAAAGAGTGTAGCTCGTACACGGATCTATATTTCAGTTTATGAACATCCACATCAAGTGCCCATCCACATTACAAGTTATCAGGTATACCCGCACCTAATGAAATTTTCATGGATATTTCAAAGGACAAAGTCTTAATCTTTACTGCTGGTAAAATGAGGTCATACCCTCCTTTATCTTTCTTTTGTTGAGATCAATGTCTATTGGAGACAATTTTATCTTCGGAATTACTAGCTTTAATAGCTGTGGCACTAAGATATCAAGTCCAACACAGAGAGGGTGTAAAATCAGATATTTAACGTTGCAGCCCTTTTCTGCTCGACCTGAATCCTTACCCATGTACAAAGTGTGGAGCATTAGTAACGTCAGTAATTTCAACGTTACTAACGATGGCCTGATAGCTTTGCCTTCGACTCGTAAAATTCATATTGAATAGCTGGCCAAGCAAACCACTTACCGAAGACTAATCCAAACAGAATGTTTGTTAAAAAAGCTGATTATGCGATTAAAAATAATCTCCACTGCGAATCTAAACATAACGTAAGATGCTGGAGATAAAAACGAGACGATTAATCAGTCTAGCATTATTCCTGAGAATCAACCATACCACCGGGTTTGAAAATAAATTGCAGTAAAAGGTGGTCTTGGTAAAGAAAAATCAACCAAAATTTTGCTGCATTTTGGGGCAGTCACTGTTCATAAACAGCCTTGTTAAACTTGGCGGCCATACCATTCACAAAGAATCTTTCTGCCATTTCCTTACAAAGGAATAATTCGCTTTCCATCAATCCTTTCAAAACAAACCTAAGGCAAGCATAAGTCGAGGATTTATTATTTTCATTACCAAAATAGTTGAATCATTGAAATGGAAAATAAGTTAGTCCTGATATACAAAGGACTCATTAAAAGTTTAACCAGTGCAATTGTAAGCAAAATTGGAACAATTTCTTAGGCAGACATATTTGGACTGCCCCTTGATCCTAGACCTCGCGAGAGGGGAGGAATGGTCCCCGGACGGGGAAATTTTTGAGACCAAGTGATTCCGGTCAATTTTGGGGTGCAGAGTCCGAAAATTGTTGATATACAGGCATTGGGTGGGGCCTTCAGTCTCGTTTTCACGATTAAAATCTCGTTTTGAATGTGAAAAATGATATGTGCACGGTTGCTGCGTATAACAAGGAAAATTTTGATGAATAAGGACGACTTAATTTTGGGTATTTGACCTCGTAAATGAGCGGAGTATTTGACCTCGTTTTCAAGATAAAAGTCTCATTTTGGTGAAAAACGTCCCGTCACTTTGACTGTTCCGGTGGGTGTAGCAAAAACAATAGAATTTTTATGAATTAAGTAACATCTTATTAGTTTGCAGTGTAAATCTGTTGTAATACGAAGATTATAGACATACAATTTCCATGATAAAATGTAATTCCTTGTTTTGTTTTTTTGGTTTATGATAACATGTACACCTACAACACCACACCTGAGAAACAGAACAATATTTCCAAGTCTATCTAGGATGGAGAAGGAGGGATACAAAATTTCAACTTACTCTCGGTCTTTATCCGACGTTTATGCTCAGAAGAGTGAGGGACGGAAAGTACTTACATGTGCTATGTTTCCGGTATTTCGTGCCATTGTTTCCGGTAACGGGAACTCTATTCACCCTCCAGATATCAATGACAACGGCGAAGAGTAATCGTGTTAAGAATGCAACTATTGCTTCTAAAATAACCAAAAAATATAAAGAATATGAAAGAATTGACTTGACATCAACGTTATTATATCTATAGACAACTGATCCTACCTTTCGGGTCGACAAAGTCCTTTTGAAGATAGCTGAAAAAGAAAGGAAAACAAAATAAGCAAGATTCCGAGCTGAGTGCAGAGGAAAGAACTGCATTATCGTTGCTATCGAAACTGGTCAACCCAACATGCACTTCGTCAAAATGTGAGAGAGCTGCTAATGGCTGAATGAAAGATTTCAAGCTTACAATGGCTAGCAGCTCGATCACCACATGTACTAGATAACACCATGGCTTAAACAGTATAATAACATGTTGAGCGAGTTAAACGAAAATGAATTTAACAAAAAGCCATGCATTTTATTTTGGAACAACAAAAATAGCAAATTTTTTGGGGCTTCGGGAAACAGAAGGAACAAGCTTTATTCTTATAAAAAGAAACAATGGCCAATTGCCTTAAACAATGTACCGCAGTTGATCAATTAACCGCCCAGGCGCTTAGTAAAACGTTTCGTTTTTAGAGAGGGCGATAATTGGAGAAGGGCGTTAAATATATCAGATAAGGTACCAGGACTAAAGGGGCTATTTACCCCTTTGTTACAATGTTAGAAGAAGTGACAAGATAGCAACAAACCTTTGAGCAAATCTCTTCATTCAAAACGTCATCGAACAACGGAACTCCGTACGTCACATGCAGTGGCACCCAATGCTGGTCCTCCGCAACGTTATCGCATGACGTCACATTCGGAATCTTATCCCTCGAGGGGCTCATTGGTGGTGTTTCGAACCAGTGTCCGTTAACTAGGCTTTTATCGCCATTAAGGGGTTCTAAACCACTGTCTTTACTTTTGCTAGATTTTTCACATGCATCACTTATCTCTGAAATCTCCTCTGTACACTTCCCGTCTTTAGACAGTGTCTCGCCAGAATTAGAACCATTTTCTATTTCACTTGGGTCCTGCATGTCTTCAACATTGCTACCTTCGCTTTCAGCAGCTTTCATAGTCAACCCATCGTCCCCATCACATTCCGATTCGTAGTCATAAGATGCGAGTGTCGTAATATTCGGCATTTGTCGTAACTTCGCCCGTTTTCGCGCAGCGATGTTCAACAGGGTTATATATCCGCAGGACGTATTTAAGTCTAAACATTCATCTAAAGATCGGACGATTTCGCACCATCGGTTGCTCGTTTTGCCTCCATCTAGAGAGAAATAGATAAAAAATAAACACCAAACGTCAGCAAAATTTGGCAGATCTTGTAGTTAAGCAAAGCAGCAAAAAACAGAAATCCCTAAAAGAATCTTAAATAAAAAAAGGCTCGATTTGACATAAAAAACAAACCTTTAGCAGTTTAGAAAAACCTTTCAAAGAAACAGATAATACAAAAGGAAGAAAGAAATGGTCTCTGCCTATTGCCGGGAGGAAATGGCAGGTATTAATTTTTTGGCATCAGCAAAGAAACCATGAATGATGTACGGAAAAATCTCCAAAAACGGTTTGCTAGTGGGAAAACAATACCAGGTACTAGAAGCAGTCATCACTTCATTCCGTGGGATGCTAAATTACAATGTCACAGATTCTAATTCAATGTTGTGCCCCAAAACATTGTGACCACAATTATAAAGAAAGGACGATTTACCTCCTTTAAGTGTATCGTCGTTCACTGGAAACGAGACATTCTCAATATCACCTTCACCATATAGTCCATGACCCTTGAAAAGAAATTTGGCAAAATGAGAAAAACTCAAGAACTGGCATTCTTATAAGCAAAATTAAGCGGAATTGGATCCCCATCTTTCGTTTTCAAGCCTATGGATAAATGAAAATTGTTGGCCTATCGATAAAGTAGGAAAGTAGATCAGAAATTACTTTATACTATCAAGTTCATAGAGACAAAGAATTTAAAAGGAAAGAGGGAAGGGAAAAGATGAAAAAAGAAAAATCGAGTGAGTGGGAAGAATTAAGAAAAAACAAGACAGGATTCTACTGTAGCTACAAAAATTAAGGAACAATTGAAAAAAATTGTCATCAAAAACAGCAAACTCTATAAGCATGGATTATATTTCATAACCTTAGGAGAAATTGCCTTCAAAATTATGAATAACGAGACCGTGCAATTTAAAGTAGTTAGCATGAATTTTCACTAAACGGCATAGCAGGCCTGGAATCACGATGCCAGACATACCTGAACTAAAACGGGCGAATGCGACAAAGCATCGTTGAGTGACATTAGAACATTCGATGTTGGTACAACAGCCGGATCGTGTCCCCACGTCGTAATCTGGAGTCTTTCAAAGTTCTGAAGGTTCAATAATAAACCGTAAGATATTAAAACTCTGTTACTTAATTGTTTTATATCCATATGTACTGAGCTCGCGTACTGTTTTAGATTACAGAGAAAAATCATTATTGTGTAGTGTCAAAATAAGATTTTGCAATTTTGCTTTATATGGTAGGAAAAATGATAAAATTTGACCTTCAAATTAAGATATTTCTAAATGCATGATCTCCATGATACAACGATCGGCCACTGGAGAAGAGGCAATCGTCTTTTAGTTCTACGCTGGTCTACTGTGATTAAATCATTGGTTAGTTCAAAGAATCCTCATGGATCACAAAGAGGTGCATCCCCGTCTTTTGCGATACTCTGAAGGGCGTGGCCATGCACCCCATAGCTGTCGATATAAGTGAAGTACAACAATGAAGTAAATTTGCACTTATTTAATGAATATGTTTAGACGTTTCAAAAAATCTTGTCTACAATAATTCGTAAAGTTACTTTGTTAGTTGAAGAGGCACATTATACATAAAATTAAGAACTTAAATTATTGAGCAGAAATTTGAGACTTGAAAAAATTCTAAACCTGTTTCTAAAGTTAATCTTCAAACAACCTAAATAACAAAGAAAAAGTAGAGAATATTTATGTAAACATTCTAGATACTGTAAATCACTAAAAAGAAATCCATAAATTTAGCAAAAATATCGAAAACAGAGAAAGGATTTCACAACAAAGAAATTTACGCACCCGAAAAATTTTCGGTAGCTTTTTTAATCGAGTTCCTTTTACCAAAAGCATAGAAGGTGGTCCATTTTTTATTTTGGAATAAAGAAACAATTTGAACCAGACTGAATTAATCTGAAAGAAAAATTGATTTATGAGATGAGCAGTGTTTAAGGGTAAAGGAAGCTAAATCGAATGATGCACAGCAATAGCATAAAACTCTAAATATATGAAGAATTCTGGCTTTTACATTTACAAGTTTTATTCCACCTAGAACAGAAACAGGAAGATACAGGAGCATCCCAAAGATGTATGTTTAAACGAGTATAAATGACTTTTGTACTAGATGTTACTACATTGTGACTACCGATCATCAATGAAAATCTCGAAAAGATCCGGAGGGTAGGATACTGACAGCAAAATTTGATAATTCACAAATTTGAATCATTTTTTTGAGACAGACAAACTCTGCTTCGCCAGAAAATATATTTTCCAAGAAAATGGATACGTTGATTCCAAGTTTTGCCACTATGTCAATTATGTGTTTCTTTTCTGTGCCAATTAAGATACAAATAACTACCTCTGGGATTGCTGGGCCTAAATGCGGAGGAGAGCAACTAGCTAGTGGCCGGATTTCGTTGCTAAGCGGCGCCATGGAGATAAGCAAGCTGTATCGCTTGTTCAGTATCCTCGCACAAGCAGCGGGTTCGAGGCTGTTCATGCTTTCACAGCGCAGCAAATCTACGACAAAAGAGACGATACAGAATCGCTGCCACACGTAAGGACGGATTCATCGATATAGCATAACTACAAATTGGTAAAGAAAAGATGACATAAAGATGAAACAACAACTTTAAGAAGCATAATTTGAAAAAAATATGAAAATCGTTCTACAAAACAGTTGAATTAATCTAAAAAATGAGATACAATCACACAATCATCGATGCGCTTATAAAGTCATTGTTCTTTGCTTCTAATTGTGAATTTGATGAGCCATGCCTAAACGACAGTAGACTATTCGGCTTGATACTTCACTGTACAACACAGCACATACAATCCACTACTGACAATAAGCATATGATGGCAATCAAATAACACCGCTACCTGACACGTTGAAATCTTCCAGATTCAAAATAGCTTTTCTATCCTTTATTCTTATCGCCTAATTGACAAACGCATGCAAATTCTACTTTTGATTTCAATCCCAATCTAGATTAGAACGTTTAATCTGGGTCTATCTAATTCCATCCAAGCAACCTAAGCAACCCATGAGTAAGATAAGATAATCTAAATCGGGATGCCAAATTACAATTTCACAGATTCATATGCAATAAGGTAAGCAATTAAACAATCTAAATTGAGATAAAAATCATTCACTGAACAAGCTAATCCAAAGTGATCTTACCCAGAGCTAACATGTTTCCATTTTCCTCTTCGCATCCGAGTTCCTTGTTATTTCGTAGAAACTGGATCGTGCTTTTTAAAACAACAGCGTGATCAAAATATCGCCTTGCTTCACCTTCAGCCACGTTCTCAACCTGAGGAATTAAGGAATTCGCATATCACGTCAAATGCATTAAAAAAGAAGTTTACAAGACATTGAAGCTGAGGGTAGAAATCCTACACAAGGAAGCTCTTTTTAGAACTTCTTAACGACATCTAATCAAACCTTATACACTATTTATTTTATTCTAGATGATAGGGCATCGTGTAAACTAACATTGACATTATATCGTAACATATCGCATTGTGTTATATTGTCTTGATTTGTATTGTGTTATATTGCATCTTATCATACCGTATTGTACCGTATTGTATTGTATTGTATTGTATTGTATCGTATTGTATCGTATTGTATCGTATTGCATCGTATTGTTATCGTATTATATCGTATTGCATCGTATTGTATCGTAATATATCGTATTGTATCGTATTGTATCGTATTGTATCGTATTGCATCGTATTGTATCGTATTGTATCGTATTGTATCGTATTGCATCGTATTGTTATCGTATTATATCGTATTGCATCGTATTGTATCGTAATATATCGTATTGTATCGTATTGTATCGTATTGTATCGTATTGCATCGTATTGTATCGTATTGTATCGTATTGTATCGTATTGCATCGTATTGCATCGTATTGCATCGTATTGTATCGTAATATATCGTATTGTATCGTATTGTATCGTATTGTATCGTATTGCATCGTATTGTATCGTATTGTATCGTATTGTATCGTATTGCATCGTATTGCATCGTATTGTATCGTATTGTATCGTATTGTATCGTATTGTGTCGTATTATATCGTATTGTATCGTATTGTATCGTATTGTATCGTATTGTATCGTATTGTATCGTATTGCATCGTATTGTATCGTATTATATCGTATTGTATCGTATTGTATCGTATTGTGTCGTATTATATCGTATTGTATCGTATTGTATCGTATTGTATCGTATTGTATCGTATTGTATCGTATTGCATCGTATTGTATCGTATTATATCGTATTGTATCGTATTGTATCGTAGTGTATTATATTTCATCATATTGGATTCGAATTGTATCATTATTGCACGTATTGTATCGAAACGTATTGTTTCATAGACTTGAAAAAAAATATGAGCAAGACGAAACAGCGTTGAAAACAAAGAAAATTGAAAATAAGATTAGTGATTTATAAAATACAATGAATACCGCGTTTTAAATTTGGGATTTAGATTTAAATCAGTATACTACACTTGATGTAAACACAAGTCAGATTCAACCGAAATATGAAAAGCTGCCTTCACTATAAATTTGTCCAACCTAAATGCACAGTTTGAGTTCGAGTTTAATAGACAGAAGACATACTTAGAGTAGAGTATATTAATCACAAACGATACAATAACCACTCACTGCGAAGATCTACAAATAAAGGAAACCCCCAAAATCTTTCCAGTTGCTACAGCCTCATGTTCGTGATAGACAACAGAAATCTCACTCCTAGTATCACAAAGTAACAAATTTCTGCCATATGGGGGTTTCTTGCAGTTTTATTTTTTATTTTCATATTTTACTATGCGAATATATATTTCTAGAAAGGTAACACCCGTCGTAACCTTGAGGTAGCAATCTAAAGGAACCCATTAAGCAAAAGATCTGTGTACAATATGCAATAACTCAAAATTATAAAATCTGATTCCTATCTTAATTTTCTGTGTACACCAGCGCTTCTCAATGACTTACCTTTTCAAGCTCTTGTAGTAGGCTGTCCATTGACTCGTCAGTTAGTTTGCCAACTTCGAACATTGTAACTGAGTGTCTCTTAAGACCCTGAAAAGCAGTACACAATTATTAGCAGAAAACATCCTGGATACACTAGAAAAATCAAGAGAGACTACAGATAAGGAACATCATTGGCTGCACGTCATACTCACCATAGAATGTACCCAGAACTTTGTAATCAACTCATTGTAGTCAACAAACTCCGTTGCATGTATGACAAATAACCAAACTAATGGCCTATCAAGGTTTGCTGTCTGGGAAATCGGGCTTATGCATAAGAAGGGTTATCTGACTTTGTTGCAATAATTAACTGCATATGAGCATTAACACAGCGCCTTTGAAAACAAATATCATTTCAAGGAACTTCTTAGTCATGAACAGATGCAAACTGTAAAGTGGACTTAATCAAAGTTCAAATAAGCGAACAAGAAGTTACTACACTCTACTACACTCATGTTTGGAGGCCACAACAGGGAAAAGAATGAAAACTAAGCAAGACATACTGGACAGCAACTATAGAATGAAGCCTTGAGAACTTGCTATGGAAGTTACAATATAAATTAACATAGAGTGGAATTACCTGCGATAGGTTTCCCATCATGAGAAACGCAGTAAGAGTTGAGTCGAATAAAAACGCGATTCTTTTCCCAGGTGTTGAAGAATCTAAAATAACGAAAAAAAAGCTGATCAAATGAAATTTTATCAGAAGTAATTTTCACGTGGAAAGTTGTAGAATTTGATTTCACTTCTTGTTTTAGCTTATTTGTATTATTCTCATTTGGGTGTCAATTGTCATGCTTCAATTTGGTATTTAAGTCCTAATGTGCTTCTTTCATGCCATTGGAAATAGCAGAGAAGAAGGAGTTCTGTAGTTTGGGCTTTAGCACGAATGTGTGGGTCCCTTGAATCAGATGGGTGTATTTAATTGCTTTAAGTCGGGCTTACCATGTCTGTTTGATATGCTGTTTCCACTCTGTTCTCTTCTCACGTCCCTCCCTCCTCTTTTGATATCAAGCATAGTGTGTTTCTTCAAATCGTTGATTGTTAGTTCTACTGTTCTCTTAGGGGGTAAGGACCTATTTAGGTCACAGGATTCTTTTCAGTTCCTGTTGTTCTTTTTGTTTCGGAAAGACTCAGCTTTTAATTCAGTCGTTTTTTCTCTTCCCCTCTCATATCTTAGGAATCTAAGATAGGACTGGTGCATCGGCTTCCTGGTAGGGAAAGTGAACTTTTCTTGTCCATTCCCTGCCCATAACATTAAGCTGCTTGTACTTGAATCTATTAGGCTATATCAACGGTTAGGTTTTTGCATGGGTTAGGTGAAGCAACTTATGCCGATGCACCAACGATCCAACGTTGCTTCCTGTGAGGGTATGTAGCCTCAAAAAGACATGATCTGATGAGGGGTGTGGCAATGTCTTCTGAAAGAGCTATTTGATTTCAATCGATGGAGTTCTTTTGTTGATGTTTTCCCCAGAGTAAGAAATTAACGTCAAAATTGGCAAAACATCCAACCGAAAGTCCTTTAGGTAGTCTGCCCCCATTGTTCTTGGAATCTCTTTTCATGGCCAGGATAATCATGCATCATTGGTTTATTGCATAAATAACCAATCAGAATGAAGAACCAACATAGTGTACTCTTCCTGAAAAGTCGCCGCGAATTTTGTTTTCGTGTCAAATGTCTAAGTCAATTTTAAATGATATAAAGATTAGGCATTTGCTGTGGTGTTCACCCACAATATCTAATGTCGGATGCTAAAAAGGCTGAAGAAGAGCCTCTTTTAAGGCGAGACTTTCAAGCAAGAATTAGCCAATCACGGAGGGAATAGACTGCTTTTAACTGAAAACAGAAAGGTGGTGTCACCATACAAAACAGGGTTGAACTTGGGCGAGAGGTGGGTTACGAGAAGCAGCGTACGTAGTTATTTATCTCTGCTTCATTGACTTATTGGTCTGTTATACAGTATTCGTGTGTATAGAGCAGGACGATTTTGGATTGCAATAAAGAAATGCCGGAAAATGCAGAAGAAGACGATGAAGGACAAATAACGAGAAAAAGTTAAGGAAAACAATACTTAACAAGAAATCGCAGGCAAATTAGGAAAGAAAAACGTAATTATTTTACTTTCAAACAGTAGCTGACACCTGGGGGCAAGGCCACGGCCCCCAATATTTTGGAGGACAATGGTCTTTTGTTCTTAAGAAATGGGAAATGTGACATCATCTTGTCAAAACAATAGGCTTGACCCTCTCCCCCTAATAGTTGACCAAGTGTCCGCTCCTCCTTTAAACTCTAAAGCGATATATTCTAATTCGCATTCTAAAGTTGCTTCATTTCAATCGGTTTCAAGAATTACCGATATTAAAACTGCCTTTGCAGAAAGCCCATTACAGTAAACAAAGTTTATCCTGACCTGGAGACAAAACAGTGGATATTTCATTGTCCGAAGTCATATCTGTTGTGGAAGATGAAGCTGATATTGGTGTCTGGGTACCAGAGCGATCCGAGTTTTTGGAAACAACGTCAATGAGAAGGTCCGCTTGGCTTCCTCCAAAGCTGAGGAAAATTATACAATGAATACAAAAAAATTGGGAGACTGATGTTAAAGATCAAATAATGGAAGTTTGTGTGAAAGCTGTAAGGTAGGTTTTTTTTAAAATTTTTAGAATCGATAGATTTTTTCAAGGGTTGAGAATCGAAAGTCAAAATACACAATTAGGAGAGAATTAGAAAAATTATGCCTGCCAAAGCAATACTGAAAATAGTTCTAGAAAACTGGGGTGTCAGGTAACGCAATACCCAATAAAAAGGTTGTCACCGTAACAGGACAAATACAAAGCGATAATAATATTTAGGCCATAGTTGGATTCGTACTTTGCTATTGGCGCTAGGCTACTTATACTTTTTACTAATGAAATTGTGTAGCTGAATAGCGTAGACATATGACAACGAAATATAAAAAATAGGTTTTATAAGTTTTGCTGTCAAAGTAAAGGAGGCATTTCCAGGGAATAACTAGACAATTAATAGGTGAATACCTTCTGGGAACGGGTTGGGTGATGTCATTCCAAGAAGGATCCAATTTACTGGCATCGAGGTCGACATTCTTTTTTCGTGCGAGGCCAAGACGACAGAATACAGCAACAGCTTGCTGTGAAAATAAAATGAAACTTTGGAGGAGCTTAAGGAGGTTAAACTTCTATCGCGAAACTGATTTATACAGGAGAAAAAACAAATCTAGAGAAAAAATGTAAGAAAATATTCTTACCTTGACCAGATTAATATCAATTTCTAGAACTTGCGCGAGCTTAAAAAGAAGACAATTGGCATGAGTTGTATGTATGTTTATGTAACAGAAATGGGCAAAATGTGATTGGGGACACTTAAACTAATGCTGGCTAGGCTGTGCAGTGAAACATACATATGATAGACATTTGTGAGACCAGAGAAATGTCCAATGTGGGGAGGTGTACATGGTAGGGGGCGTCCTTCGTATGGGTGTGTCCGTTGTGAGGAGATGTCTGTTGTAGGGGGGTGTGCATGATAGGGGGCGTCCTTTGTATGGAGGTGTCCCTTGTAGGGAGATGTCTATTGTAGTAAGGTGTACATGTTAGGGGGCGTCCCTTGAAGAGGGGCGTCTATTGTAGAGAGGCATCCATTGTGGGGAAGTGTCCGTTGTAGGGGATGTCTGTGTAAACGATCAAACCTTGATCAAATGTATTGCTTTTACTTCAGAGAAGAAAATATTTGTCAGTTGTTTCGACGTGTTCGTTGATTGGATGTAAAGGAGGTTTCAATGTACCTTAAAAAAAGCGGCAAAAAGAAGGCGTCCTAAATTAGTACAAAGATATTTGAAGGATTCTTCAACACATCTCTCAACTTCATTTAGTAGTAAGTAGTTTAACAATAGTTCGCATCAAACCTGGCGGTATCTAGCCACAATCAGCTAAGGAACATACCTCTGATATTTTCGTTTGCTCGTCAATAGATACAAAAATTTTGTATAGCATTGTTTCCATATAGTCACCAAGCACACGGTTCATCACGAAGTTCTCCAAGGGTGGAACTGTGTGGAAGAAAAAGCCACAGTGAGATGCTTGTAGGCCTATAATGGGGTCGTTGGAAGAAATCCTCCGACCTTTGTAAAAGCATGAGAATTTCCACAGCAATGGATAAAACAGGCAGTGACTTGGGATCTTTCACAGGGATGTTCCATAGGGATTAACTTGCTGTCATTTGTTAACAATAACTAAACCCAAGAGGCAGACTCAACTTGCATTGTATTACCATCGTATTCCCAAATGGGTTTCTTGCTATGTGTCATCATCATCAAAAGTGTGCATATTGCAATGCTAAGCAACAAGTGCATATGTAGTCATTGAACTGAGATTAGCTCGAAATAGAAACATGTGCATTCAAAGAGAGAGCGTCGAAAGAGAAGGTTGAATGGCAAAGGTTGAATGGCAAAGGTTGAATGGCAAAGGTTAACGGAGAAATTTACAAAAATTTGTAGCGCTGAAGACGAAATTCAACACAGGGAGGATAGAGAACCCAGCATGGTTGAATGGTTGATAAACATATTAAAGGACATGGCAAAGGGATTTATAGGTAAAAGTTAGAATGCTACCTTCCACTTGACTAAAGCTATGGAATTAAAACGGTGAGTTAATGTTATGTTATTACCTTTTTATTCAGGTTTTACTGTACAAAATTACAACTTTTATAGCTTACTTTGGTAAATTTAGACTAACTTAGTACTATTTAAACGCCTTTGAATTAACTTAAACTTGTATGACTGGATAGGTACCTCTTGCTTTTTTCATATAAAAAGCAAATATGATTACTTTGCCATAAAGAGCTACCGCCTATGGAATTACACAACGAATGTCTTAACAGAAACAGCATTTTATCTGAGGCAAAAGTAACAGCTAAAGCACTGATTTCACGCCCTCCAACATTGCCCCTGCACACGTGCAAAGCGTTTACAACAGACGTTCATCACTATTTTAATTGAAAAACGAAATAGAATATTCTCCTTAAACCTTTAAACTAGCATTACATAAAATTCAATGTAGTATCAAATTGTTGGGGGATGGGGCTAAAAAGGGGTGGGGAAATATGTTTGCCAAAAACTGAGAACGGCAGTGGGGAAGGAAATCCGTATTTGTCAGAATCAGGAGCAAACAAGCGCATTATTTTTAATATTGAAAATACTTACAACAACACTCAAGCAGAGTTAGTGAAGCAGAGTGAGAAGAAAAATTTATGGCAGCATTTTATTGAGATTTGAAGCAATTTGACGAACGCGATACTTACCAACAATTGTGTCATCGTCTTCGACAAAAATGTTGAAATAAATGAGTCCTTTGTTATAAAGACCTGTATAAAAGATTCTCTTGTGAAATTGTATTGTAAATAATTTGAGGAAAATAGAAATTTTGACCAAAAGTGGCAACCATTGAAAAACATGTAATTTGCTTGAACTGAGATAAATAGAATTAGTTTGTTATTTTAATTGTTTATAAAAAATAATGTAAAATGCAGTTTTATTTAGTGATGCCGTGGTTGATCAAGATGAATACGAAATAATGACAATTGCACTAACCTGATATAACTTCCTTGTTAATTTTGCCACAAATCCCTGGTCCTTCATCGATTAATTTATCAACAACGCTGTGTTCTATAGCTGTGCACATCTGGAGAAATTAACAAAGCTCGATTAACACTTTAATATGAGGTGGAACATAAATTAGATGTAAGATATTTTAAAAATGGAAAACATAGTGGGAATTGAAGGGTTCCGTTTGTTACTGCATACAAAAGATTGGGAATTTTACATAAAGAGTATTGTTCTCTGTGTTGTCAATCTCATATAACAGATTAATAAAAACGTATTACTTAAATTTAAGTTATCCTTAACAATATACAAACCTTGATGTCATCTTCTGTTATAAAGCCAATACAAACTTTCCACCAGGGCTGTATGACTTTTTGAGTGACTGGCTTTGTTGGCAATAGCTCCCTAGCAGGTTTGCGTCGAAAAAATCTCTAGAAAAGGGAACGTGAAGCTTAGTCATACATAATGGCAAAGTGAATGCATGATACCAGCCTAAACCCTTTGAAAGAAAATGGGGTTCGGTATGCCAATTTTAACACAGTGGCAGGGGCGGACACTTGGACAAATATTGGGGGGGGCAAGCCTATTGTTTTAATAAAATGATGTCACATTTCCCATTGTTTCAGAACAAAAGATCAGTGTCCTCTAAAGTATTGGGGGTCGACACCCCTCACCCACCCCCTTTACCCCCCTCACAGCCCATCAACCGCCCACCTCACCCCCCCAGTGTCCGCCACTGCACAGTGGTATATACTTCCCTTTCAATTGGTGTTAGATGGTTGACTTCATTTTGAGGTAATAGTTGCTGGTTTAGGGCTTCCAAATAGCCTGTCACTTCAATATTAGCAGGCAGACTAAAGGTACATGATATTGCAATGTATAACAGAATGAAAAAGTTAATTAAAGAAGGCTAATATAAATGAGTGATTAAAATTGTCTCAAAAATGTATCAATTTCTTTAATAAAATTAATGAATTTACAAACCTTAGATGACTTGCATTGGTTAATTATTTCAATGTACTGGTTTCTTCCAATACCAAGAAGTCTCAGGCCTAGGATATATAACAAAGAAAAAGTATCAAATCATATCTAAAATAGAAAACGCATATTCAATATTATATCAGAGAAACAGTATCAGATCTTATCTTGGAAAAAAAACCAAATTTGCATTCAATTGATTTTTTTAAGAATTCAGCATTATAAAACTAAATGCTTGACTTTATACACAAACAGGCTACTGACTTCAAAAATGGGTCTTTGAAAACACAAAACCTAAACACGCTATAAGATAAAAATAAACATAATGTTGATAGAAAGAAAATATTCATAATATCCTAAGACAAAAATGGAGACAAAAGAGAAGTTCAATATCTATTTCGATATCTTGATCAGAAAAAGGTAATATTGGTAAGTGCTTGTGAGCAAAGTGGCAAATTAAGAAAACATGGCACAGTTTTGTTTGCTTACTGGTGTAGCCTCTATGAGGCAACATATGAAATCCAAGATGTATTTAGTTAATTAGAAAAAAATAAGTTATATGTTAAAAAATAAGTAAAATAAATTTTGAAAAAGTGTTAATGAAAAAGCTATAAGTGACTCACAATCAGCAGCAGTGAAATTTGGAAGTGAATCATAACTTTTCTCTTGGGATATGATGTTCAACATCATGTCACAGTAATATGCAAATGGTGTGATTCTCAGACCTTCCACAACAACATCTGATATGTGGTATGGGTAAAGCTGGAAAAAAGCAGTTCACAATAGCAGTAAGCACAACCAGTGACTAACTGTTCAGAATTTTTAACTACATTTGTTCGGATAAAATTCATTTTCCCCCTTCTAAAAATAATTATTTAAAACAGTAATGTATTTAAATAAAAAATTTGGTGTTATTATGACATACTTCCAAAACATAGGGACACATTTGAATGTAAGAATCCACTTTCTGTCTCTGTGCATTGGGTACTTGTATAGTTTCATTTAAAACTGAAAAATTAAACTTAAAAGTTCATTCATACCATAAGATGTTGACGGCTGTATGTAACCAATTCTTCATAGTATTTTCTTTCATCTCTTTTAACATGGCGAACTAATATGGAGTAAAGTGCACATGATATTTTGGGGATTGTTCTTACATAATCTGGTGTACCTATAGCTCAATATAGGTAAATCAATAAATACCTACAATAAATTAATCCAACTTTTACAAAACTGAAATAACATTTTTAACTCTATCCCTGCCTGTTAACAAGAACTGTTTTAACTAAATTTGTCATAAGTATCCATTTGACAAAAGATGGTCAGTCATATACAACATTTGCTCCCAATGTTCTATTTAATTTTGATACTATTTCTAAAAAGGTTGCAAGTTTATACTACTGTGTTGCTCTAAAAAGGCTGCCTAAAAAGTTCATTTCGTTTCATTTCATCCAATCAAAATTTAAGCTATCTATCTAAGATATCTATGGCAGCTAAAAATAGGCAAAACTTAAACTAAAAACTTATAATATTACTTACAACCAATTCAATCAGGGCCTATTTTATGGAAATTTTTCAAGACCACACTTTAAGAAAAAAAGGCTGTATATGAAGCATGGAATTTCAAAATATTGACCGTTGCGGTAGAAAGCGTTTTTCTTTGTTCGTGTAAAACAAAAATCTTCAACATAACATGATTACAAATATGTTTCTATTATAGCCTATTCTTTATGGACTCCAACAGTAACAGTAACATTTCTAGAAGCTCTATAATTGATATTTATCTTAATATTGAAGGACAGGCTGATCCAAAAAATTTGAAAAGCGGGGGGCTCTAATAAGAGCAGGGAATCAGATTTTTGAAAAAATAATAATGGGGGGAGTCCATTTATCGGGGGTCTTAGAGTAAGCTGATCAGTTTCAATTATTTCAGGTTTCAGAAATCAACATCAGGTTTGCCTTTTTTATTCTTTCTGATCTTTCTCTCTTTGTAGGCATCATCTGCTTCCGGAAATACTTTAAGGAACCATTCTTGCACCTTTGCTTTCGATACAGAATGTTCCCGTTGTTGCTTTTTGTTTATCCAAAACAAAGAAGCTGAATTCTAGGGTCAAATTATGATTTGCTTGGCATGTTTTGAGACACATACAGATAACTTAACATCGTTTGCAGAGACAGGGAGGCAGGGTCATTTGTTTTTATTTTGTTGTATGTGCTGATCAAACGTTCAACGTCTGCAGAATGTGGCTTAGCTGCTACGATCCTTGCAAGGGCTGTTTGAATTACCATATACTCATCATAGCTAACATGAAAAACCCCATTCCACAATTTTGAATTTCCAAGACCACATTTAGGATTTCCAAGACCACAAAATGTGGGAAAAACCACACTAAAATAGGCCCTGAATTCAATGTTAAGTTTGTAGCTTAGTATACCTGGAAAGAACTCAGATGAGCTTTCTGGCTAGGTGCCCGTTGTCATTGCTTAGCTCACATTCAGCAATAATTAGATGAATACAATTTTTTTGTTTTTATTAACTTAAAACACTAACACGAGTTCTAAGAAAAAGGGAAAAACAGAAAAAGATAATACATACAAAAGCTGTTTTATTGTAATAAAACATGGTTATTGGAGTTAGATTTCAGGTATTTAAAATGTTTGCTCTTTCTCTACAACTTTAGCCCTCATCACTACAGTTTTTCATTTTGATTTGCTTTCAATTGACTCTGTTCTTTTAAAGTATCTATACAAATATGTAACAGTGCTGCAAATTAATCATCATCCACTTTGATCTGCAATAAGATTGATGAACACAAACACAAAGTTGATGATTTTTGTGTTGCATTACAACTGGAGAAACCTTGGATACTAATCAGCAAAAGCACTACATACCTAAATTTCCTTTGTACCTCAGCTGATTCTTCACACTGTATTCTATAACACATTTGTCATAGTGCTTTGGGTTGTTTCCCAGTGTCTGAAGTAGAAATAAAAAAGGAATATAAATTGAAAACAATTGGTACAAGATATAAAAATTTAGGTATACAAATCTTGAGCTCTCTCGTGTTTCAGTTGCAACTATCCTAAGTCCTTTAACAAGCCACGAGGGCTTATTTTGCAAGAATAATTTGACGTTGGGGCTTTTTCGAAGGTGGGTGCTTACTTAACACAGCAGCCTGGTCAGTATGCTTAAAAATGCAGATATATTTCGATTGCCTATTGCTGTTGAGGCATGTCACAGCCAATGGGGGCTTAATGCTAAATTCTTTTTGCAAATGCAAAAAGTTTCCTAAAATAACTTTTTTAGTCTATGTTTTAAACTTTTATTTGCAAATTTCATATATCTGTAATTAGATCCTCTTTTTTTCCTAATTTTAAATTGTAATTTATTTGATGGCAAAATTATACATTCGTACATACATACAAATATACGAAGTGTTTGTAGCTAAAATAACCACAAAAAAAGAGGATCTAATTAATTTTTCCTTGTTTTTTAATTTGTTTTTTAATTAACTTGTTTTTTAAAGAGGATTCAATTAATTTTTGCCAATTTTTCCTTGTTGTAAAAGGCCAAAAGCCAATAATCACTAAATAAATTGCCTATTGTGGATATTTCAACTCGAAGTTCATGAAAAATAAAAGTCATTTTGTTGCTGAGAAGTTCCATTGCCAAGGGTTGTTTGTGTTTCAGTGCGTTGACATTATCGAAATTTCATACAAACTTTGATCAACGATTTTTGATCAGTCAAAACAGAGTCTTGAGCATTCGGATTGGGAAATAAAATAATGATGAAAACCATAATTAAGCAACATACAAGATCGGTTGAAAGGGTACTGAATGCACCCAGAATTTAGTAAGTCTTTTCTTTACAATCAGATATCGACCAACCAAGGCCTAAAAAAGCTCGCACGAAATCTCACACGAACCTGCTTGATGCTTTGCGGTAGCTTCGTCCATTGGCAGTTTTGCTTAATGTGAGTTTCTACCTCTGCGTTTAGCATGATGATCTTTTGTTTGTTCCTTCAAAACAATAATGCTACATGGCTATTTGCAACTATCCTTCAGCATTAAGCTTCTGAATCTGCCACCATTTTAAAACAGGGGAACAACATAGCGAATGTGTCAAGCCAGGTATCTTCTTCCAGTTTACCCGCGGGACACCCGCGTCGGCGTAGGATTTGGGACTATGGTGAAGTGGACTCATTTGAACGTGAACGCGCGATAAATGACCAAAGGAGGACATGACGTTTATGTGCAGGGTTTCTATATCTGTAGGGGGCTTACGTGAGACGTTTCGGTCGAAAATTTCTAGAGATTCCTTTGTAAATTTGCAAAAACTTTCTCACAAAAACGAAATTTTTTGAATTATTGTCTCTCAGAGTCAGGGCCTCCGACGAAAGCCCTTCCCCCCACTTTTTTGCAAAACAATAGAGTTTTTAAAAGTCGTTAATTGTGATTGTTAAAATCTCCCTTGCCCCCTACCCCCCCCCCCACTTTCAAACCTGCGTCTGAGCCAATGAGAGTGTCACTTATTTAATAACAACTATTTAATAACAGTAATACTATTTAATAACATGTCCGTCACAGTGCTGAGGAGAGGAGGGGTCAGGGGGGTCGCTGACCCGGGGGCCCTTGGCTTTAGGGGCCCATAAATAATAACTCATTTGAAAAAAATTCTAAATAATAATCCAGCCGCTCCATCAACATCAACATAGCATAATATAAGAGACAATAATGACAAAGGTCTATGAAGTTGCTGCCTGCCTCAGTGCTGCCTGCCTCAGTATTAAATATAATTTCGTTAAGAATTTCTCATCTTTGTTGGCTAGGGCTAAAGAGATTCAAAAGCTTCTGAATGTTACCAAAAAATGTGATTACAGGGCAACATACAGGGCAATATGTATGTCATACAGATTTACACTATGGCATTCGCATCTATGTGCAACAGTGTGTCGGTTGTGGTCCAATTTAGTTAACGAATTGAACGTTTTCCATTTTCTAAACTTTAAGAATTTCTAAGGAAATTTCATTTTCATGCATTATGGTGCTAAGATATCAGTTATGCTCAAATTATATCAAACAGCGGATCAGGTATGGTAAGTATGATATTTGATGCGTACATTGTATTTCGATTGTATTTAAGAAGTGCAAGGTTGAATGAAACAGTGCGATATGGAAGGAAACAGAATAAACAGTTGCCTCAGGTATTAAATGTACTTGTGATAGATTATATCTCTTCCATTAAATATCCCTAAATCTTGTACCTAACCCATTTGTTTTTTATTCTCAGTTATTTTAACGTATCATTCTGTACCTGTTAAAGCCCCGGCAAAACGACTGGACATTTGACATTTTGTTATATTTTCTATTGACGGTATTTCTTTTTTGGCGACATATTATACTGTAACATCCCTTTTTCAATGCGATACATAAAGCCCCGACAAAACGACTGGACATTTGCGCTGGTCACACACTGGACATTGCTCACTTGTTTAGAGTATGGACATCAAGAAAATATTGGTGGTGGCAAAACGACTGAACATTGTCCAGTGAACTTTTTCTCTGTTGAAGAATGCGGGTTGAAAAACAGGCAACAAGGCATCTCTTTACCTTTGAAAATACACTTTTCATAGCCCTAACCGTGTTATCGTATGAATTAGAGTGTATTATTGACAAGTGGCTAGGACAGCTAGGTTTATCAAAATCACCGTACTCCTGCTCTCTGACATCGCTTTCCTTATCGGAACTAAAGCTAATCTGATCGGAAGACTCGTCGTTACTAATGAAATGCTTTTTTCTGGTATCGGTCGAATTGAATTTTCATGTTGTTTCCATTTTATTCGCGGTGTTGACTAGGAAAGTTTGTTAAAGATTTGAATAATGGAAATAAGTTCGCGCTAAATCCTATCCATTACATTCATTGCGCGTGCGCGAACTGGACAATGTTCAGTAGAGTGGCAAAACGACTGAACATTTCTCTACAACATCTACGAACAAAAGAATTTTAATCCTGTCCACTGAACATTTTTTACTTCCTTCAAAATCGACTGAACAACACTCAACATCGCTGAACAAGACTGGACAAGGTGGCAAAACGACGCAACATTTACGCTGGACATTTGTCCAGTGCATGTTCAGTGAAAATGTCCAGTCGTTTTGCCGGGGCTTTACTCTCTATTTCTTTCTAATTCACAGGAGGGGTGAGAACCATGGATTTTCCGACAAAAATCTAACAAGCTTCTATATTTTTCTCATAAATTTCAACATAACATAATGACATCGGAAAAAAAAGATATTTTGATATATTGAATTATCTCATGTTATTTAGATTCAATTTTTTCCATCAAAACATAGCATTTAGATAAACATAGACAACCATGTTAAATTTTTGAAAAGAGCAGAGGTTTTCCGACAAAATAGCAGTTTAGCTCCCTCTGACCCCCTCTATCTACACCATTGCCACCGGCGCAGTTTAGCCACCATGGCAAGTTTATCAACCAAATGTTTAAGCAGTTTAAGCAACCATAATTTTCAAAGATTTCTGGGGAGCATTCCCCATACCTCCTAGAAGCGTCTGCCTTATTATTTATTTTTTGTCCTGACCCGGGGCCCATAAATCCTTTCCGCGGCCCTGGTCCGTTATGAAAGTTGATGAACATAAACATCTTGGAATTACCTTGGACGCGACTTTGTCTTTCTCTGCTCATAAAAAGGCTGCGATCGCGCAAAGACAAGGAAATGTATTGGTATGTTGAGATTCCTCTCCAGATATCTGCCTAGGCATACTCTAAATGAACTATACAAGCTCTATGTTCGATCCAACTTAGATTATGGCGATGTCATATACCACATTCCACCAAAAGTATGTGGGATTTACCGGCGGTACCACCTTAACAAATTTAATGGAGAAGCTAGAGTCTGTCCAATACCCCGCTGCCTTAGCTGTAACGGGAGCCTGGAAGGGAACGTTCCGAGAAAAGCTGTACCTTGACCTTGGGTGGGAATTTCTAAACCTCCACAGATGGAGTAGAAGTCTCACGTTGATTTATAAAGTCATAAACAATTTAACCCCTGACTACACAAGGGACCCATTGCCACCACTTCAACAGGTGCAATATTAACTTCGCGAACGTGACACAATCGGGCAAATACGAGCAAGGACTGAAAAATATAAATCTAGTTTTTATCCTCTCTGCTTGTCCGAGTGGAACAAACTGGATCCTGAAATTAGATTTTCACCTTCTGTTGCTGTTTTCAAGACAAAGATACTATCTAAGATCCGCCCCCCTACAAAATCAGTATTTGGGATTCATGACCCAAAGGGCCTGTCTCATCTCACTCAACTCAGGGTTGGTCTCAGCAAGTTAAACTTTCACAAATTTCAACACAACTTTAGAGATACAATAACTCAATGTGCCCAAGTAACGATGGAATCGAAAATACAGAGCACTTTTTGTTGCTCTGTCCCTCTTTTGGTGTTCAAAGAACTGATCTCCTCGCTGGAATATACACTCTTGTACGACCATATGGGTATGCAAATCTTGCAAATGATGTTCTGTTGCAAATCTTATTATACGGCGATTTTTCCAAACCATCTCAATAGAAGCATCCTTGAGCTAACAAAACGTTTTATACATTGTACTGGTCGCTTTGAATAAAGAATCTCGCCCCTCCCCCCCCCCTAGTAAGCCAACAAAAATTTAGTTAACTATAACATGGAAAGTCTGTCTCAAATTATATATGAGGTGGGAACTGTGATAACGCAAAATTACCTTAACTGCAGCAAACATCTTGTTTGCTACTATTCGCTAATATTTTCGCCTGACATTCGCTAATTGGAGAGAGAATGTAGTGTTCTTTGTTTTTCTTCCTTTGGTAATTCGTATGTAAGTTGTCTTTGTTTTTCGTGATGCCACGAAATAGTCATAGTATTTTGCACCCAGTGGCATCGTCCTTGTAATTTCGTTAAGCATTTTGTAGGTAGTGTAACTAGTAAATTTGTATTGTAAATTTTTATTGGAATGCAAAAACAAAAGAGTGTCACTTTTCTATCAGCATCAGAATTTATTCTCTGACTAAATATTCTTAAACTGTGAGACTGATCCCGACTGATCTTGGCTATACCTAGTCAAAAGAAGAAGGTTTCCTATTTATCATAGTTAAACATGCATTCTTGTGTCTGAAGCTGTAAACATAATCTCTCCCATTTTTACTCTCTTTCGAGTTTGATATCTAATGTTTTTAAAGGCTGCAAGCAAACGACTGTGAGAAATATTCTGAAATGTATTTTAAGCTAATCGTCGTCGCAAAAATTTCTTGCCCGCTTCGCTCGCAGAGGGCCTTCCTCTGTACCTATACCAAATGTTCAACAATTTCCCCTCGTTCTAGCGTTTATATAGAAAAGTCCTTCACATTCTACAGACATTCCCAATAGAAGAGAAACTAAAATGCTAAAGCGCTTCAATCCTTGCAAAACTGGATTCTGAAAGGCTTGAAGGAGATTCTGCAGATTTTGCTCCAAGGACTTAGTTTGAAACTTTTGAATACTGTTTATTATCTTTAGAGGTTTGCTTACAACTTTGGAAAATCAGTTTTTACACGTAGTGCTTCCTCGCCTTACACAATTCAGAATATAAACATTAGAGGAATTGTGAAGGAAATGGGGTCAACCACAAAAAGCTCTATTAGACGGTGTATAAAGCATTTATAAACGAGATGTTTCCCCAAATTTTTTAAAGGTCTAGTTAGCAAAAATGTTCTTCTCTTTGCCCCTTCAATCTTCCAACCCTGGCCACACCACTGCCTCTTATCGTCTCTACCTTAAAGTTAAAAACCGAATTTTAAAAATGGGCGTTTCCAACATTTATCTGTGACCTGAAGGGTGTGGAAACAAAATTGGTGTCTAACACCTCCCAAATCACTGTTGCTTAAATCCGCCCCTGATGACAATAGAGATAGATCGTCACAGAAGGAAATACAGAGAAATCGATATGCACCAGTCGAATTTGGCAGTAGTGGCCTGGTGCATTTTATTTTACGTTCGGTAAAGTGAATGATGTTCTTGAGGTAGAAAATACGACGCTACTATAACGGAAAATGAATCGAGGATTGTAATCATGTAGCTGAAATCCGGAAGAATCTCATTCAGCTATGACCATCACACAAGGCATAAGTCTGATCAGCTTCTTTTACGTCTCTAGCTGTGCGTTACGTTTAGTCTTAAAAATTGAAGGATTTGAAGAATGGATTCTGAAGTATTACATTGAAAAATGATTTATATCAGACTGTGTCAATGATCCTACTACCTTGTGTGACGTCACAAATTTGTTTAAAGGTTTTTGTATCAAAAAGTCAATTTTTTTAAAGAAACCAGTAAAACTTCGAAATAAGATTTCTGGTACTTATCTTTGAGCAGCAAACAGCAAAGTGACAAAAAATTCGCTTCACCTGGCCTTCAAGATTTATACGAGCAAAGAGTTGGTGGTCAAAGAATGGGTCACCTATCTTTGAGCAGCAAACAGCAAAGTGACAACAAATTCATTTTACCTGGCCTTCAAGATTTATACGAGCAAAAAGTTGCTACAAAAGTAAAAAACTCAAAGCATAATACATCAAACCCGACTACATACAGTGGCGGCTGGCACCAAAATAAGATAGTACTAGCAAAGCAAAAAATTTTTAGCAGAGCAAAACAGCTAGAGGAAGGATGATGCATTGGCATGGTCTCTGGAAAACTTTTGATGGCAGGTCAGAAGTTTTCATAAAATATCTCGGTTTGTTTGACGTCATGTGATATTGCTAGCTGCAGAGGTTAAATGGTCTCACAGCATTTTATCACTAGAAAGAGGAATCTTGTACTGCAAACGATTTTGTCATTGCTGGATTGTCGAATGACAAACAGTTTTACATCACGTTGAGTCACAGATGACAATAGGACAAACTTCTGCAGTACTGGATGAATGAGGTCTAGTACCGTGGTGTACATTAACACACAGTCAATGCTAATCTTTCAATGAGAAATTCAGATTTAGGATATGGTGTATTTCGCTGCTCTTCCTTTTTTTGACATTAATTCAATTATCATAGAAGAAAGTAAAATCATAAAATACAAAAGCATTTCAAGCTTTCAAAATAAAACGGTACTAAACTGGTACCACTAGTACTGCTGCAAGCCGCTACTGACTACATATATAGGTAGTGTCTTTCTACATGCAAGTTTTCTACATGTCTGAGGAAAACGATGTATATTTCATATTGAGGGACATCAAAACAATATTACATTTAGTGAAATTACTTTCTGTTTGAAACGTGTCAAATAATAGTTAATTATACTAAAAATATTTTAGTTGATTCTACACAAATAACGTGAGTAAAATAGCTAAAATAAAATTTCCAAAGCTCTCATCTATTTCTGTCTGTCTTTTTCTACATTAACTTAGTTTCGTCCAAAAACGTGCCAAGCTAGCACCTCCATTACAAATTGCCATAACACATAATACCAATCTGTTGCTTCAAACTTTATCATCTGAAAGTGTGATGATACAAAATTAGCAAAAGTTCCAAAGTTGTTGTTAAAAGAAGTGATTTAACAAAAATTGCTGATTCATTGAAACAAACTGATTGATTAATGAACCATTACCTAATAAACAATGTTTAAATTTTCTCTAAACCTTCAGGAAGTTGAAAGAAGTTGTTATTTGAGTAAAATAACTGGAATACACTTTTGGTGTATAAGACAGGACAGGTCTAAGGTTCTAGGTAGCAATTTGGTGCATTACCTGCTTCCTAAACAACAATTGGTTTGGTATGAAAATGCAAGTTGAAGTTTGTGTCACAGTTTAACAATTGAATCAATGTTGCAACATATCACAAAGTGATTCCTGCCATTAGGCCCATTGCAGCACCAACAAGAAATAAAGCATAGGCTCTTATAACAGCAAAGGAAATGAACAATTTTAGAAAAGTCAAATCACTTATATAATTATCCATGATTTTCCAACCAAAAAATCAACTTAGAAATTTTTTGTAACTTGCTGTGGCTATTTGAATTCTGGTTACCTGATAGCATTGCAGCAGTGTAACCATTTTGCTTAAAGGTTGTATAATAACTTTGCTAACTTAGATGGTGAGAATTTTTAAAACTCACCATGAAACCACCATCTTGTATTCTTTGGATTCTTACTTGCAGTTTTCACATAAATTGTATTATCTGGAGGCAGTTTCTACAATAAGAGGCAGAGCTTTGAAATTGGTATGCATGATGAGCAAATATTATTGGTAATTATGCAAATTGTTTATACTTCAACGTAATTCAGGCTTAATATGCAGTGACTGATAAAGTACTATGAAAGCATATGAGAATTTTCAGGGCAAGAATATTATGATTAAATAAATAATTAGCTGTCTGTGTCTCCACAATCAATTGGTATCAAAGTTAATAGCTGAGTCAAAAACTGTTTGAAAACATGACTGCAAACTTATGTTTCAACATTGAAGTCACCTTCTTTCTCTGTGTTGGATATTTTGAACAGTAGACATGAAAAGAGCAGACAAAGAGTCACAAATAAGAAGCAGTAAATGTAGCCCAATTCCTTTACATTGAAGGAAAAAGTATTTGAAAGGTAAGTCTCTTCTTTTCAGATGAATGCCTTGCTTGTTTACATGGCAACATGAATGCAAGAATACTCTAGTAACATTACAACAGTGGAGTAGCATCACCTACGCAGTAAAACAGATAGCTAAAGGATTTTCATACCTTTTCTGTGCAGCTGCTGAGCATGCTGACAATACTCAAGCAAACAGATGTAACTGACATGGCGGGGGTCCAATCTTCCGTCAGTATTGATAAGCAGATGTGCCCATTGCTGTAAACATGTGGATGGATCGGAACATTTGTGCCCACAAACACAACCTGAAAATAAAAGAGTTAAATTCTAAGGGAAAAATTCTTGGTTACTAAAATCTTGATTTATGTTAAATGATTCAAAAGATTATCTTAAAAAGGCAGCTTCAAGTCCAAAAAATAAATTTTCACAAATTAGTTCTTGAAACCGAATCTTAGCACTGGGGCTGTCATTTACAGCTCATTTTGTTTTAATATGTGCTAGGATTTGGCAAAAGTTGAGGTGATTAATTATTGTCAAAAAGTTAAGAAACAGAGTGAGTGAGCAATAGAAAGGACTTTGCAACTCTGGCCCCTTGATAAAACACCCCAATGTTCTGGGAGGGGGGTGTAAGTTCCCATTCTGATGAGTGAACGTTTTCTACAAAACACTATTTGCATAAAACTCAGCATTTCTGGTGCCTAAAGTACTGAGAAAAATTGTCTAATAATGGAAAATTTTCTGGAAAGATCAAATTGGAAAATGCTTGTTACAGAGAGAAACATTTTGGCATAGTTATTAGAGAATTTACCTAACTGCAAGGAAAAATGTAAAATAATCAACATACTTGAGGTGAATCAAATGGATATCTATTTCCAAAAGTAAATTGAAGCTTGAACACCTCCCCTTCATACAATGTACCTGAAACAAAAAGCTACACATATCATTCAATTGATAACAACAATTAGTCATTGCTCAATTGGTCATATTCTAAAAATAAAAATTCTTTAAGATTAAGATTTTAAGATTTGAAGATTTTAATAATTTTTAAGTAAATTTGAAAGACAAATAAAGGCAAGAAAAAGCTGCTGTACATAGTTGCAACCAACTGATACAAAAGTTTTGTAACTAAATAAAAGGCATAAAACTGAAAAAAGCATGGCATATTGACTTGACTGCCTAAAAAGGTTATCAAACTTCCAAGCATAATCATAGATGTGCAAAGTAGGGAATGAAGTAAGCAAAAAAGGGGCACCATGGTGAACTGTAAATAGACACTTAAGGTCTGTTCCTGAAAAGTGGGGTGGGGGCATGCTCTGAGGTTTTGTATGTCTATGAGCATAATGAATAAGATTACCAACTGTGCTGGGAAGGTTCTTGGTCTGATTGTTTGTCAAGGTTGAAATTTGCCATCTCCTGCTGATAATTTGCCAATAAAGCCTCATGATTTTAAGAAAATGAGATGCTCCACATGATGTATGATTATAAATAGTATATTGTAGTGTCAATTTAGGTTCTACAAAGATCTTGGCAGATCGTGGATAACCACAAATTTTGAAACAACAAACCTGGGGCACCTTCAAGAGTTATAATCCATCTAAAAAGAGATTCAATAAGGCTCTCAATTTCATTTGTTTCAAATAGTCACACAAGTCAGACAAAAATTAATAATTAAAATAAGACTTTGTATACTTTGGAGTTTAGTCAGTTCAGTCTAAAATTCACAGTGTCCACAAAGAAGTGCCATAGTTATTTGTATTTTTGTACAAATTGCTATTTGCCATCATTATCTGTCAGCCCAGGGTGGATTTCATGTCAACTGTATGCCAAAGGCCCACTGGGACATTTGTTTAGGTACAACAAAAATATAAGCAGTTAGTAGAACTGTAAATTGTACACCAAGTTTTACACCAAGTAGCTTCTTGTTTTACACCAAGTTTTATGTACACCAACAACTTTTTATTGGATTGCATGCTGAGTGCCAAAAAAAATCCTGACTGCATGCCAAAGATTTTTGGGCCTAAGTACATATGGAATGCACCCTGGTTGTCAGCTAGTTATTCGGTTTCATTTCATCATTATCATATTCGGTTTAATGATGAAACATAAACATGGGTGGACAAAAACAAACTTTCTCGACCACACCCTTCAGATTCTTTGAAAATCCTTTTTTAGTATTTTATCTATTTTGAAATTTTTGGACAAACAATTTTCTCAAGCAGCATTTTCGTAATGGTGGCTTTTTTGCGCGAAAATCGAAATCGATCTGATCAGCCCAACTCCCCCTCAGCCCCCCCCCCCCAAGATTTTTCAACGGATATCGAGGAATTAGAAAATCAACTTCTGGGAAAACTGGAGTCGACGTGTCCACCCCAGTCCACCCCGTGGCGACGCCACTGAACAGAGAGTTATAAACTAATGATTTCCTCTAATTCTTTTGGACTCGCTAGGACCATCTCTTAAGAAAATAAGGGTATAAAAAGTTTTGGCGAGCCTGAGCATTATTGATGTCCTGAATTAAGATTCCCTTGCCACGAAATTTAACTTCATCCAGCTAATAATGCTATTCTACGTAGCTGTTGAAAAATTAGCCAAAGCAAAAAACTTTTTCAAGAAAAGAACTTAGAGGGCCTGACCTGAGGAAAACCTCATTTCATTTAAACAAAAAGAAAAACATTAGCCTTGCATGTTGTTTTCATCTCACCCGCAGCTCGTACTTGGAAAACTCAAACTAATCGTAGTAACGCGTAGCCAAAACGGTAAATGTTTTCTAAGCCGATAGTCCACAAATAAACCGCCCTAACTTGTTCTTAGCATATTAGTAAGGTATGCAAAATAAAATAGCAAATAAAACTTTTCTTACTTTCTGATGTCTTTTTCGATATCATACTTATCAATTTTGATACCAGGTGGTGCTCCTAACAAAAGATCGTTAAGCTCTTTCATTAAGCGTTTGTTAGGAGACGGACCAGCCATTCCGCCATATTGTGATTTTCCAACTTTATGATAGCAACAACAACAGCTGAAGATTAACTTCCTCCTTTCGAATCGGCTAGGGGTCCAATCCCATCAGTGATGCCAGGGACGCCGGAACGACCAAGGGGCAAGGGGGGCAAGCTTGAGTTAAAGGACATTTGAAAGATAAATCCCACCTTTTACCTTTTTTCTTCTACTAAGTGCCATTTTATTTCGATGTTTTATAGGTATCTTGAAAATTGGCTAACTTTTGGAATAAGGATCTATTTTACAAGTTTCGAGAAATGTCGTCATGAATTACGCACTCAATCAGAATTTCACATAAATCTCTCTGATTATCAATTGACCGGTTTAAAGTGCACCTTAACGAGAAGGGGAATCTTGCCCCTCTTATCACAAGGCAAAAAGGGCGGTTGACCCCCGCGCCCTCTTCTCCAGCGTCCCTGAGTTCTAACCCCTTCATCCATAAATTTGGGGTGCAGTGGAAGATAATTTTCAAGCCAATTTCCTTATATCCAAGGGATATTTGGCTGAGCCCGCCTTGTTTTTAATCTATGATAATAAAGAAAGTTAAATTTCAAAAACATGAAACTGAAAGTTAAACTAGCCCCGGAAGAAATTTTTAGGTGTGGCACCATCACAATCGTAAGATCGCAATAGAGTGGGAAAGTGGTGACGTCATGTAAGCTAATTTTTTTAAGTCTGCCAGTTTTGATCAACTTGTGTATATTGTGAAATACATGTATATTGTGGATTCTTGCGTTTGATAAAGCAGTCTAATCTAACCAAAATTGCCTGACATATAGCCAAATGACCTCATGGACATTCCATACAAACAACGTGCTTGGCTCTAATGGCGTGCTTTGACGTTAAGTAAGAGAGGTTATGAGGTTACCTAAGAAGGGATGCCGTCCTGAAAAGTTAGGAAGGGAGACTCTGCTGTAGGCAATTTCTAGAATCCACGAACAAGACACACCCGCTATTCTTGCATTCAAGTTAAATATTCTCTGCTGTGTATATGAAATGATTAAAACTATTCACGCACTCTAAAAGGCTAACAGAAATTGCTCATTAATGGAAAACCAGTAGCAAAATAAAGGATTAGTTTCCCTTGCCAAGTAATGCACTCACCAAAGCAAACATACGCTGGCTTGTTGAAGGGAGGGCTGAGACCCATCCCCCCGAAAATTTCTCTAAATTTTAACAAGGGCTTAGCCCCCTTGAGCCATTCTCCACGAAGCAACTAGGTTACCACTTTACACTTCTTTATTTCGATAACAATTTTTTTAACCTAACTTTTTTAGTTGTGGTCTGGCCATTCCCAAAGGTGAACGTTGTAAAAATTTTCTGTTCACTCCAAGACTGCTGGATAGATGCTGGACCATGCTGAATAAATAAATTCTCAATACTGACCTATAGGTAGCACCATTATGAAATTCGCTCATGTTAACTTTACTGCCAGAAAGAAAAGCAAATATTTTTTCAGAATTACTAAGATCACTTGCGACTTTGCAACCCCCTTTAGTGGATAGAAAAATAAATTTCTTTGATATGGTTGCAAACATTTAAGCTTTTAGATTAGCTGGGAGGAAATTATAAGAAACCTCCATTTCTTGATTTCTGCCAATAACAAGCTGAAACACTATATCTGTATCTAAGTAAGAAATAATGTCATGTTTCGCAAGTTTTTCCTGGAGTTTATCTAGAGTCATTTTTGACAAAATTGGCTTGTAAATACTAGGGAAGATGACGACGACAATAAAACACTAGAAACAACCAGGCACCGCGGAGCAGGGGGCTGGGGGGGCTTTAGCTCCCTACTTTTGCAAAAATGCCAAGTATTAAGTATCAAACTACCAGAAAAGCCTCTTTTTATACGGTTCTAGCCCCCCCTACTTTTCTCAACGCTCCGCGGTGCCTGGAAACAATGGACAGAATTTAATCAACATTTAGACATAGGCTTCCAGTCAATAGGGTAGGGACTTGAAAGTTCTGTATGCATAAGCTGGTACATTAGAATGAATAAAATGCAAAGAAATGATTTATGGTGCAACGAAATTGCAAATCTTATAGAAAATCGACAAATAGACACAGGAAAACAATTGAAAGGGGAAAGGAGAATAAAAACCGCAAAAGATGAATTAGTTGTTGAATATATTAAAAGAAATAGTAACGAAGGTAAACAGTTAAAAACACAAAATTCATTAGGTATACATGAAGGGAAACTAACCCTTTTAACACGATGAAGTCATTAATACAAAAAAAGTTACATATGAAATTATATAAACTTCCGTGAAATAATGGGATTCAAAATCTGCAAACTGAGTTAGAATTGAAAAAAAAATTATACAGCAATTGTATAATTAAATTCGGGGAAAGATAAAAATATAGTTTCTTTTGGAGGCATAGAACTAGCGTGCAGAGTAGGAAGAGATCTAAACCACGAAAAAGGTGAGTAGGTTAGGCAAGTTGAAAAATAACTGCATCAAGAGACATACCGAGGGGAAACTAGAATGCTGAAATCGGAAACTGACAAACAGGTTAAATTTCATTTGGAAATCTGGTTTGCAGAAATATCTCCAAAAAACGTTGCTTGGTAAATTGTAAATCGTCTTTCATAACAGTCGAACAATGGAAGTCGAATCTGCCCCTCGAAATCCATTCTGCTGACTGTGACGTCATCTTCTATCAGCCCATATTATCTAGCGATACTGTCGAAGCCTGGCTTTGACATCTCATAATATGCATTTAATTAATTACTACACTAATATTAAACTTTTTGATTAAAGAAAACTTGTGCAAAAGGGAAATGAATGCTTACAACCAAAAGGCTCTACAGTAGACAGCCCCGGCAATTGCCTTTATTTGGCTTCTTTCCAACCATCCTTTAGTGATTCATACTATTCTGGCCAGTGGCGTACCCAGGACTGCAGCAGTGGGGGGGGGGGTCCGAGGCGCAGCCCCCTAGAATTTTTTTGGACCACGCCCCTCAAACAGTCGCAAATGCGGGGAAACGCCCTTTTTGAAAAATTTTCCCCCACTATTTGATTCATGTTAGCTACGGTAAATAGCAAAGCATTTTACAATTGCTATTGACACAAGCATACAGTATACTACCCCCCCCGCCCCCCCCAATAAGTTTTACATCGTTTTTGGACAAATCTCGAGGACCATATTTTAGAAAAGTGGGGGGTCCGGACCCCATATTCCACCCCTTGGGCACGCCACTGATTCTGGCGGGGTTTTTGCAAAGTCAAGGACAAACGTTTTGGTTGACTTGAAGAAATTAGCAACTCTTGCTAAATTGGTTATAACTATTCCTCGCTAAAATATTCTAAAGTCATTATGACTACGAATGTTGATTGCTTATTTATTGCTATATTCGGCATTGTGATCATATCCATATTTGATTACTTCGTGCGATTCTTTAACTGCCCAACGATGCAATCTAAAGCGGGAAGGAAGGAAAACAAAGTTAATAACACATTTCCCCGCGAAAGGATTACAGTTTGTGCGGGAAAATGAAATGGAATGGGCACGGGAAGGGAGCATCTTGCTAAAATGGAAATTAACGACACGGCAAAAGTAAAATTCTTCAAGAAAAACTGGGTATCTAATTTTCTGACGATGAAAGGATTTTACTTTCTATGTCGTAAACATGCACTGTGTGATCCATTTTAAAAAGCATGGTATCAAATGCTGTTCACAACGATAGTTATTAGGTTTTCACACTTGGGTTTTTTTGCACACAATAACATCTGGAAACATCGCCGTTTTATCTGAAAACATCGCCATTAAAAAACACGCCGTTTTATATGGTCAAAAAATGTTTTGCAAATGCGATGACTTCATTTTTGTAAATTTCGAGACATATTCCTTGACAGGAAATTCCAACTAGAAGTAGTGATATCCCAAAAAAAATAATAAGGAACAGAAAAATCAGATCGTTTACGTCATCTAATATTAGTCCTATTACTTTGACATACAAACGCCTTTGAATAAAAATGGCACATTCTTGCAATAAGTGACACGGGTAGTTCTCATGAGGGGTTTGTCTGAGGGATTAATTATATTAAGGAAACTTGGTACCTTCATTGAGTTTCAAAATAATGATTAAAACAGACATATACACGATCATAATCTGTTCTTCGAATTTTCGCTGAACGCTTCCTTTCGGCAGCCTCCTCAGTAAGATTTGATTGAAATTATGATCGTGCTTGTGTTTTTAGTTATGGCTTTTTAAACTCAACAAAGGTACCAATTTACCTAAATATAATTGGTCGTATACAATATGAAATATAAAATACAATTGAAAGAACAGTTGAAAGATGCTTAAAAGAAAAAAATCGCGTGGAGAATGCCTATGTAATACATCCATTCTTTCAGCAGTTTATATCCTGAGAATTAATTCATCGGCGCAAAAATTAAAAAATGCACTTAAACAGTTCTATAAAATGCATAAATATCAGGAAAGATCATTTGAAAATCAAACAATGTTGTAGAATTGTTTTCATTTCTAAACCAGAAAATCAGGAAAGATTCTGCAGTGCAAACACTGTTTGTTAGCAGTTAGCTTGGAGCTGTTAGCGATTTTCATGTTTGTTAGCACGGTTCTCCGTCTTACCTAGCAACCAAAACCTCCAAATTGATACAACATAAGCTCCTCTTGCATTTGTGCGTGCTGACAAAAAGAAACGGGTTAGGTTGTGAATGACTTCAGGTCTCGTCCTAAGTGCCATTAAAGCATCTGACCAGTGCTTTATTTGTAGCAGGAACGACAGTTTTATCAATTGCTCGTAAAAATGTCACTTGGACTGGAACAGGTAATGGACTATAGATTCTTTTAATACTTGAAGAAGCTTAGCAGCATAATTCGACGGTTGGTGAATATCAAGGTATATGATGGGCGTGGGTACAAAAATTTTATAACAGTAGTTAATGGTAAGCGTATTTTATGAGACAATTTATCGTTCAGGGTACACTATCTAGCCTCAATTTGGCCCAAACAAAAGAAGTTCCAAAAACACCTTCATAGAAAAAAGTAACCCTGTCACAGTTGTTCTCAAGAGATGAAGAGAAAATACAGATAAAACCATTTTCAGAAAAGACGGCTGAAATTGGAATGGGGTACAATCAAGGCTGTATGCATCGACTTCTAGCACAAAATAAAAGGCTTGATAGAAACAGTGGTGCAAGAAAGAATACATAAACATCATAGAATTACCTCTTTCTCTAGAATCTTCTTTCTTGCTAAGCAAAGTCTTGCTTCAGTCTGAAGGAAAAATAATTTTACGATCGATTTTTGGAAAAACTTTCATCCTTTAACCATTATATACATGGGAGGATTTTTTAAAAGACAAAAAATATCTGGTAACCCAGAAAAGGATTAAATTCGAAGTAGACAAAGGAAAAGATATCAATAATCTTCGAGAGATTATCAAACGTTTCACCCCTCGAATAAGCGCCCATCCTTCATCCTTCAGAAACGGGCGCTTATTCGAATTTTCGACGACAACATAATTGGAAGGCAATTCACCAAGAAAAATTGAATGACCAACACAGTTTGTTTTAGTTTTCATACTCATCTTTTGCCTTTCCATTATAATAGCATGCTTTAATTGAAAACATTTATTTTTTTAGTCACTTCCAAATCTATTTTTTCAATAAGCGCCCCTTCGATTAAGCGCCTCCCTCGAAAAGGGCGCCCACCCTGGAGCCTCAAAAATTAAATAAGCGCCTGGGCGCTTATTCGAGGCATTAAGGTAAGTGACATCTAAAGAAAAAGCCACATGCAGTCAGGTTGCAACCAAAGACTATAGTAGCACATAAAACAGTTTAAAAATTAGTAATTCATCTTTCAAGGTACCTTGTCACCAGACTGCAAGCAGCTTTGAGCTTTTTTCTTTTCTATTTCCATCCCTGTCTTCAGTTGTTTCATATATTCTAAGGCTGCAAAAAAATAGGTTAACGATAAAAATTAAGCATTCACACGGTTCTTAATAAGAAAACTTATCGGTTTGGGATGGAACTTGCTGGAACCAAATCTGTGTTGAGCATTTTAATACACGAAAGGACAAAATAAGCGGTGAGGAAAATAATCCACAGATAGGTTTATAAAGGGGGAAAGAAACAGATGGGGTGAGTATTTCAGTAAATTAAGCATAAGGTAACTACGCTTAAAAACATGGGTAATTTCTATCCTCTTGCTTAAGATTTCTTCGTAATGAAAGCGATACAGCTGCCTACCTGTATCGCCACCTTTCTTCAAAATAGCTTGTGCTTCTTGCAACTGCGCATTGCAATTCTCCAGTTTTTGTATCAGTGAAGGAGGAGGGCTTTTTCCTTGTGATTTATATGACGCTATCTGAAATTCGCAAATGAGAGAAACGATTTTGAGGAAGCAATATTATTGTAGGAAGAATTTTTCGGTTTTAAACTGGTTCAATTGAAATAAATCCAAAAGCACAGACATCAATTAATAAGGTTGCCCACAACAATTCCCCACTCCCCTTAAAAACAATGTTGGTTTAGTAGAAAGTGATACATGAGACTAAATATATTCTTTCACGTGAACTGTATCATATTTTCCTGAACTGCTAACTATTTTTTGAGGAAAAGGCTACGCTGAAGTGGTACTTTTCGGAAAAAGTGAAAAAAATAGAAAAAAGACAATCGTTGGGTGTTTCAAAGAATGGGAGGGAGGTATTGCAGTCCTAGGATGGTAGAATTTAAAAGGGAGATGATTTCAGAATGTAATATATGCGATGACCATAACGACGTAGACAGTGTGTATTACATAGCGGTCTATTAACTACAGGTGAGAACTGACAAGGAATTCGGGAGATGACCGGGCAAGTGTTCAACAGATGAACAAAAAAAGGGGGGCTTTTACAGCATCTCTTTGGGGTGTCGGGATGACTCCCATCTGAATACAGCTTTAAAGAATCCCATGGAAGCTTCTAGGACTTCTGACTTATACGAGAAACAAATTGAGACCAAGCCCGCTAACAACCAAGTTAGTAAACTGTTGGTTTTGAAATTTCACACACTGGACAAATAGGCTCCAAGAAATAGCATCGTTACTTTGCAAATGGATTCTGAAGGAAAGAACAACTGCATGATTACCTGTTTTTCAGTCAGGTCTTTTTCAAACTTTGAAACTTCAAGACTTTTGTATCTGCAATAAAATGCAAAATATTTTCGGATTCTGGGATCAGTAATCGAAATGATTAATCAAGAGTGCCCAGACAAAAACAAACTGATTTAGTCGTGGCTGATATGGAACAAATCGTGATTTGAAGAATAATTCTGGAGGAGGCATTTTACAATCTGCATGATTTAGCACTGTAAATGCCTCTTATAAAAGGCAAGGCAAGGCAGGGCTGACTTCGGATTGCCAACTAAGATCTACATCAGTCGTGTGAACCTACTGGTTAGGGACTCAAAAGATTACGATGAACCTATGCAAGCCCACCTTATAGAACCAAGTCCAAAGTCTATGGAAATAGATCCATAGTTTACGCCACTACTTAGTCTTGCTTAAATGTTTGTATCAGACTTTTATACGAGATTAACAAACTCTACCGTTGACGAGCTGCTTTGAATACATCATACCTATTGCATATATAAATCAACACGTTTGTTCGTTGAAACTAGAGCCCAAAGACATAGGCTGTATTAAGTATTCATTCACTCGTAAGAATACAAACACGTGTCGGAATGTTCTCGGTAATGGTGAAACCTTGGATAAGCAAAATACTAAAGGGAAAGCGGGTGCTAACAAAGCTTGTTCCCTTCTACAAAGATGGAAATACTGACGATGAAGCAGGTGCAAAAGGCCTAGAAAATTACAAACAAACCTATGAAAATTACTTAGAATCACAACCTCGATACGAGTTGCACGCTATCTATCGCTGTAGCTCTCTCGTTGCACAATACCGAGGAGGGGGAGGGGTCACCCTTCAAGGAATGTTGCTGCCGAGATATAGGGGCCCGTACAGTGTGATTAATAAACTTTAGAACAGAATGAAGGTTTTCTGAATCAAAGTGCACAGGATAGGCCTAAGGCGCGGTTGAATCCCAGCTTCCTATACCAATCCTTTGACCACAAGTCCATGATGTTATTACTATTCCCTACATGATAATGGCGATTAAATACCTCATAAAACGAGCTGATAACCAGAAAGAAAATGAAAGACAGTGTATGAATCGACAATAAACTGCTCTCAAAATTAGCAACAGGATATATACAAGCCTTAACTCTCCATACCATAACTAACGACCATATCGTAACTAAGTATAAAACGAACTCTATATTACCAGTACTTATAAATTCTTTACATAAAACCCTATATACAAGCTATAAACTATTAACAGTGTTAAATGTTTCGCTTTGGTTTAGAAAGTTTCAAATGTATCTATGATTGGTTGTCAAATGTAAATATGATTGGTTGTCAAGGAAACGCAGCCTCTCTTTGATCTTTGCTCCCTCCAATCAAGACAGACAACAAACAGATGAACGTCTGGGAAGAGGGAGAAAGATCAAGATGAAAGCTCTGCGTCATTAACACCAATTTAATATTTTATCATACATTAATAAACATTTATATTGTTTAAGAAAGTTTATCAAACGTCGTATCACTTGTTTTACTTTATCTAAATAGTTTAATTCATTCATTCTTTAAATATACTGAGTTTTTAGGCAAATTCTTTTGAACAGAATAAAAACGGTAACGAATAAAATCACTAAAATTTTAGATTGATCGTTTAAATCATTTGATAGATCATAATCATAATCATAACAATACTCAACGGTAGCTAAATGAACTATACTTACTGTCCAGTTGCACTTTGCCGAGTAGGAGACTTCGATTGCGGCATAGAAGTTGAAGAGCTGGCAGGAGTCGAATGCTGTAACAGATCAACAAAGTGTTATTAGCGAAAAAGGCAAACGAAGTTGATCACTATGCGATGAGAGAGTTGGTAGCAGCAAAAAGGTATCCCATTAAATGAAACTCTGGTGTAGAAATTGGTAATAACATCAACTGGATAACTTCAGGAGCAGAAACATCAACGGCTTTAATAGACATGGTCCCTTGTAACGAATTTGAATCTGCAAATCATTTACATATTGGCATTTTCAACAGTATACTGACAAAAATTGCAAGCTTTTCTCTGAATCATGAATAAGGTGCGTCGGTTAGAGAATCTTTGCGAATAGCACTAATCGCAAAAAATTTTAGAAGCAGAGGTGCCTGTGGAAATTTCCTAAATCCATCAAAATTTTTGCTAATAAAAATTAGGCCTTCGGCCAATTATTTTGGTGAATGAAAGTTGGCGGGCGGTTGTCCTTCCCTAACAAATTGTAATTGTCCAAAATTTTAAAGAATTCAGAAGAGAAGAATTATTGGAAAGAGAAGATTCAAACCTGCAGTGTACGCAAATGGGAATCAAGCACCAACCATTTTTCATTAACAACATCGACGTCTTTGTCAACCAGAGGCTCGCGAATCTTTAAAATTATTTCGATTTTCCCACCAACCTTTTTACGACCTCGATCTGTATCCATTAACTGGAATTAACAAAATAGAATTTACTAGATAACGGATTTGTGGAACAAAAAACGTATTCAGTGTCACTCAGAGACTTCCGGAAGCAAGAAGTGTGTGAATAAGATTTTTTATTTAATAAAAATAAACAGCTACCCTTTACATTGACAAAAAGGCGATATGAAAGATAGAAAAGGTCGATGTTACAAGTCTTCTAGGACAGTTGAAAAAGGAACAAATCAAGAACCTTAAAGAGCGGTACCATGCATCCGAAAGTACGTCAACATGGGGTTACCATTGCTTATAAAATATTGTCACGGCAAAAGCCAGAAAGGCCGGTTTTTTCCAAAGAGCCTGGTTTTTAAAGGCATTGAGTTATTATAAAAGGAGAGGGTACACCCAAATACGCTGGTTCATTGTTTTCGTTCTGCAATGCTATTGGCTGACCTGGCACTGATCACATGAACTCATCTCGTACTTGCCAACAGTGGACGCCAATTATACAAGAAACTATGGCGATCACGCCGAACCCAAGACCCCCTATAGAAAAGGTCTATGTACCATGACTCAATGCCTTTAAGATGATCGTCTGTTGATAGTGCCATGAAATGTCCTTCAGGCTTTGATTCTAAAATATAACTACTTTAAATATCTAACACTCTTATAAGTTATGAAAACTAGAACCTATTCTTTAGACAATCTTACAAACAAGAACATGATGAGACCGGAAGCAGATCAGGAGTCCGCATTATTAGCAAACCTAGATAACTCAAAATCAAATAAAAAGGCTATCTTTGCGCGACCTTACTAGGTATAATTAAAAGTAGAGGATCTGAAGTTAGAAAAACTTGGAACTTACATCAACACATTCGTGGATCGTCGATCGGTTGTTAAAATGTTCCATTTTGATTTGAGCTTGGCCAAGAGCCTTGTCACTTTTAAGAAATCCCCTGAAATATTGAATAGAGGTGATCAAAAAAGGATAGGAGAATAACCTACAAAGAACCGACCGGGAAGTAATCTACCAAAACCCGTCAGAGAATAATTCACAAAAAAACAACCGGAGGATTCTATACAAAGAAGACTGCAATGTAATCTACAAAAAACCGACCGGAGAGTAACATCAGAAAAACCGACCGAAGAGTAGTCCACAAAAAACCAACTGCAGTGTGATCTATAAAAAACTGACAGGATATGTGACAAGTGCCACAAAGAGTTTACCCAACAGATACAAAGTACAGCCTAGAAGGTCTACCTTTGGTACATGATCTTGAAACAAACTGGCTGTCTTCGAAAAACGCGCTGCAGAGCCCTGTTCTGTCTGTCGATTGATACCTTGAAATTTTGATTGAATTCTAAAAGATGAAGGTCAAAATGATCAAGTTATGCATGGAGCAAGGACATGGGATCAGGTCATGCGATCAGTAACAAAAGAAAATGGCTATTTCAATTACACAAATTGTTAATCACGAACTGGTCGAGAGTATATACCTGGGTTGATTGTTCCTTTTAAGACATTAGTCGATCCTGTTTGTGGAGCATCCTAAAAATCAATATAAATCAATGATAATCATGATTTGATTCGATTGACTGATTGACTGGTGATATTTCAACAGTATTAGGCCAAATTGACGCTTAGGTTGTATATCAATTGAAATCATTTATAATCATGATTTCCTTCGATACTTCTGGTCAAGTAGTTGGTCAGTTGATCATCAATAACACCTACTGTATTTAAAAATAGGTTAAACGCCTAACACCTTGTTAGTTTCTAAAAAAAACTATGGGTTTGAGTCAACTATCGTAAAAAATCGCTTTATTGATATATCGTTTACTATCAACAATACAAATCAGACAGACTTTCCTAAAGTCTATTTTAGGTAAATCAATCAATCAGGCAATCTTACTTTTAAATCAGGCATTCGTACTTTCAAATCTTAATTTTCCTTCGCCCTCTTTTATCTCCATCGCAGTTTATATTCGCCCTCGAAGTAATATAAATGCCTTACGAATTTAACAAAATCGACTTTGGGAAAGTCTAAGAATCGGATAGCGCAAAGAAATCTTCTAAAAATCATATACGACATGTCTTCAACCAATTAAATACTGCAAGCCGTTAAAATCAACTTCTTTTTAGAACAGGTACAAGGCTGTGCCCTTTCTCTAAAAGCAACGAAGTAGTGGGGTACTTACATTTGGAAAAGGAAACTCGTACGTGACATATGTATACATGTCTTTTTGCTGATAACCTGGAAGAGGAATTACGTTGAAGAATTATTGAAATACCAAACCCAGGATTATTAAGATTTAAGGTTAAGCTCAGAATTAAACTAATAGCAGACGATAAACAGAAGAAATTACAAGTGAATGAGGTGTAGTAATATTGGAGAATTTTTCATTATTGTGATGGTTAAATGTGCGGGGCCACTTTTATGTTGTTGGGACCAAAGTTCTGTTTCATTTGCTACAGAGAAAGGCAGATCCCGCTTGTAACGTCGCAAATTGCGAATGCCAGATCGAATAATTAAAACAAAGTGCATGAATTATCAAAGTAATCACCTGATGGTAGAGGAACATTGAGACACCGAGCTATTGTGATTTCCAGCTCCGAATCACTTAACTCAGGGTGGGACCTGGAGGAAAAGAGATATTGAACTGGTTAGCACGATCTACAGGGTAAGAGATAAAAGAATAAGAAATTATTTCTAATGGTATGGTTCATCATATATACATACATGCAGATGGTCTAGCGGAGAGCTCAAGTTGACCTATAAAGCATAAAATATTTAGAATGTAAACTTACTTGACGATTGCAAACGACTTCATTTCGTAATGGAACTGTGGGACTGGGTGGCCATGCAACTTCGACATAACCAAGGTATCCAAATCTTGCTGCGATCCTTTGTGAAGTGAATCGAAGCTGCAACAAGAATTTCAAATTTACTACAAACAAGCGTTATTTGAGACACCCTGCCTTCTACTGTTGTACATTCTTAGCCGTATCATTCAAAGCATTATTTCATACTTTGACAACAAAAGTTATTTCAAATGACTTACGCATGCAGGCCTACTTACTTTTTAGCAGCGGATAGATCGCCCAGTAATCTGTAATGGTCAGAATTCTTCTTCGATGTCTGCAGGTAAACAAAGAGACAAGGATTATGAAACAAAGAGGCGTAACAAGTGACTGTTTTCTCTTTTTTCCTCTTTTTTCCAAGGAAATTGATTGATATTCTCGAATCATCAATGCCTTAAAGGCAAAAAAGCCAATCTTATAAATTGTGAGGATTGAAATAACAGTTTTTTATTAGCATCAAATAAACTCTACATTTCTCAACTAAGAACACTTGAATAGAACAAACGTGTCTTAGATTACTGCAACAATTACCAAGGCGCATAAAATGCAGTAGACCTCTACATGAAGTCGGGGTCAAGACGCTCCTTGTAACGCTGTCCAAACGAGTCACCCTCCCGACCACAAGAAAGTATCTTTCCATAAAAAATCTTAGGCTGAAAGTTTGAATTCAAAAAAGGCGAATAAGGGATTCTGTAAGACTCGGTGTGACTGTATCTACCGCAATGCCTCGAATAAGGGCCCGGGCGCTTATTTAATTTTTGAGGCTCCAGGATGGGCGCTTATTCGAAAGAGGCGCTTATTCGAGGGAGGCGCTTAATCAAAAGGCGCTTATTTAAAACGAATATTTGGGTGCAAATTGTGTTGTTATTAAGCTTTCTTGTTGAATTGCCTTCCAATTATGTTTTCGTTGAAAATTCAAATAGGCGCCCGTTTCAAATTCAAATAGGTTGAAGGATGGGCGCTTATTCGAGGGTTGGGCGCCTATTGGAGGGAGGCACTTATTTGAGGCGGGCGCTTGTTCGAGGCATTACGGTATATGTAATGAATTACTGCGAGAAACTAAGTTAATGTGAGTTGAATGAAACATAGAGGCTTAGAAACTAATTTGACGTAAGATAGTAGAGAATTATAGATGAATTACTGAAAGGATGGAGACTTGATGCATTGGTAGAAACAGAAACACACACATAGCTAACCTTTCAATTTCAGCGCTGATTTATAGATCAAAAACGCATAAAGCAGAGAAAGGAGCATCAAAGTTTAACAATGAACCTGAATTCTAAAGTGGATGAAATTAAAGTTGGGCTCCAGTTGGCGAAGAAAACATTAAGAAATGCACAGGGATCAAGGAATAAGGTATACAGGTAAGATGCTTTTTATTCTTTGATAATCATTAAAAGAGCACGGGTGCGCAATTCGATGAGAAGTTGTACAAATCAAATATGATTATCCGAATATGTTTAGCTTCAAGAGTGGCAGATGAGAAGGGATTTGATGTTATTCTTAATGTTCAAACTATAAAACGAGGTAGGCGAGCCTGCGACTATACTGCAATGGCTGAAAAACAATGGGTAAAAAGACCTTTCAACATCTCTTACTACCCCTAACCTCTATTTTGACTCGATAAATACTTTCTTTACACAGCAGATGATAATGATTAACTATAAGTCACCAGTATTCTGTCTCTCCGTTTCATTGTTTCTGATAGATAATCTTTCCATTTAGGACGATTGAAGAAATGCACTCAAAATACGAATCAATGAGGGACTTCTATGATTCAAGAGTGAGTTTCAGTTACTCGATAATAAATAATTTTCCTGGGCGATTTTCCGGTTAAAACTTTAAATAGGCCGTAGCTCAAACATGTTATTACAGTTGCATGAATTTTGAAGCTTGAGCAATTAGACATTGTAATTGGAAAATCAAACTACAGGAGAATCTATGTTTTTTTATTTATCACAATCGTCAAAATCGTTTGACCTATGGTCTAAAAGTACCTTTTCAATGGTATGAACTGTTTGTTGAAGGAAAATATGCGCCTGTCGTGCAGGATGTTACTGTATCAAAGGTTTGTTGATCACAACAGGCCAACGAGAAAGACAGACAATGAGATTAAAAAACAACTGAATTAATCATGGAATAGATGGGTCATGGTCACAAAATAAAATAGCCACTTCATATATTATTTCTGTGATATACAAGACGAAGCAAGAGTATAAAACTTCATGTTATTTTTGGCGAATGAAGGACGCAGACATGATGGGTAGATAACGTGGAACACAAGGCGCTTACAAAGTGGTTTCAGCAAATATCTTTTGATAAAGCAACCACTACCTTCTTCTTTTGCAGATTGAAGAGTTGAAGAAGGAGAATGCAGAAATGACGTCAAGAATTACATCGGCAACTGATGTAACAAACTGCAGTGAAAAGTGTGAAACAACTAAGCAGGAACACATCGAAAAGCCAAAGGAAAATTGCCTAAAATTGGATGTTGTTAACTGGAGGGATGGAACTGATACCACGAAAATGAGAAGAGCAATCCCAAGAAACGAAGAAAATATTAACGACAAAGATTTGAAAGAAGAAGTTGAATTCATAGCAATGAAAGCTGAATTAAATAAGAAAGAGATGAAGAACTTTAAGATCAGTGTAACTAGTGTAAGTGAAATTATCAAGTTGTTAACACCAGCTAACAAAGAATGATTTTAGAAACTATAGATATTGGTTAAGAACGTTGTGAACACACGAGTCACTAGGGATTGTAAACCTGATACAGTTTTCCTTTAATCACTCTCTATGATCCAGTAAAGGTTTGCATCCATGATTGAATGATTGATCAATTGATTATTTAAATGTCGTAGCGATTAGACCGATTGAATGATTCTTGTTGACGATTAATCATTCAACGAAGATATAAAGAAATCGATATCATGTTGGATAATATGATCAATGTTTTTAATCCTTCATGTGTGGCATGGTTACAAAACATTGTTGCAAAAGTAGCGCATGTTTGATTTACATTGTTGAAATTTAATACTTCCTCTAAAGCAATTTATCTTGAAATAATGCCACTCAGCTTCAATAAATCTGCTGACACTATGGCCATTTAGGTCTCTATGTCCATATAGTTTCTCGATAATTCTCGTGCACATCAAATTAACGCACGAATGACCTTTCGTCAATTAGAATGCAAGACCACATTCAAAATAAGCGCCAAATCTCTTTTGCAAAAGCAGCCAGTTAGCGATCGGGCCACAGAATAGGAAATAGGCAGAAGGGTAACTCTCGTCAATTCCTTTGTTGTTTTTGAAGCCTGAGTCAACAATAGAATTCCTTAATTCCTCTTTAACCTCGATTTCATTAGACGAACTTAGCCATGACAAATTATCATTCAATAATCAGATATAAACGAATTAAGATACATAATTGAATTTGTTCACTATCATGGGGCATTTCGTCTTAGATAAAGTTGTCTACTTTCATTTTTTCTTAAACTTCCCCGACATAAACATGCTAAGCCTCGTATAAGTTAACGCACGCGCAGGTTTTTTAGGCTTGACCTGATAGGCAGGAGTTCCCTTCTGCCTAATTTCTATTCTGTGATCGGGCCCTCTGCTGTTGCGTTTGTAAAGTGAGACAGTAGCGAAACAGAGGCTCATGGAGAAGTCTAAATGACTAAAGCTTTTGTCCACTGAACAAACAATTCAACTTAACAGCTTCTTGTTAAACACTGACTGACAAATCTTCCATAACAATTCAACTCAACAAGCAAAGTTACCTCCACTTGCTGCCGCAGTGCTGCCTCTAGCCTGGCGTACAACTCCTTGGAATCTGACGTCATTGATGTAGCCGAGGTGTCTGCGATGGCCACTGACTGAATGGAAGTGTTGTCTTCTGCTGCCTGGGGAGCTTTCTTTTCTTTCCCTTTTAAACTGGGCACCTTCGTATAAAGTAAAATAAAAATGAGGAGCAGCAAAAGAAATGATTTTGAAATGATGATCGTTGATAAGATTAATTTTATTGGCAAAAGGGGGATTATTTTCAAAAAATTTCACACAAAGCCACTTATCATTTCCACAATGTTGCTCAATTGAAAACCACTTATCATTTCCACAATGTTCCTCTGTAGACTGTGGATGTAATTTTTGTGGCATTGCTTGTTTAGGCTATCTACAGTTTTCTGAGGAGGAAAGCGGCTTTTGAGATGACGAAGCTTGAAATCACAAATTTTAACACAGATTTTGCGTTCAGGCCAACACAAAATTTCTGAATCATGCTTCAGTGTAAAATACCATGATGGCTGCTTTTACTCTTGCGAATCAAAAAGTAAGCCAAACGCAAAAAGCGAATCGATAAGGGGACGGTTTCACACAATTTTACTGGACTGCAAGGACGTTGAACGATAAAGTAAGTAGGACCATAGTGAATGTAAACAAAAGGCATGTGCTAACTACATAAACTCACCGTTGTAATATCCACCCGAAGGCCGTTTTGAGCAGCAACAACCATTTCATCCATCCCCTAGCAACAGAATACGTCTCAGTTAAACAAACAAGCCTACCAAGCTAACGACTTAATTTTGACACAGTGTCCTATCTATGGTGTTATAGATTGGTCTGGAAAAATATTATAAATCAAGAATATAATGAATAAAAAGTCAGCTGCAAAATGGATTGTATGAATTTCAACATGTCTACCATCAGTAAATTCTCTGTATACAAAATCAAGGTGTTTCTAATTGCCTTGGTGAATAGAGCAGGACACACTAAGTTTGGTTCTAATCTGCAACTCTAAGTTCACAACTACTGCAATCATAAGGCAACAATGAACGCATGAAGCGTGAAAATCGGAGTAGCGACTTAGCAACACCCTGTTCTATACACCATAGCGTGTACAGATCCGCCTATACGGCTTCAAGCACTTTATGACAGACCAGCAAACCAGTAGTTTTAATTTAAGATTCTTCTATATAATCAGCTACGTCACTATGGAATCCCATGAGACGCGGGCGCATGCGCTACAAGTCATTGCGGACTTCGCTGCGAGTCATCACGATGTGTTTCACAAGCTTCCAAATCGCGATAGATTGGTAAGTGTACAATTACACGTAGGCTATATTTCAAGCGAGACCAATCCCATTACACAGAACCTTTTCCACACTTATTCGAGGATTATCAATGTTTCTAGGCGATTTTTCATCTTTGTCGTCATCCTGTAATAATCTTAATTCAGAGACTAGACGGGGTTTGAGAACTAAAAGAGATTGGGGAAAAAAGATATGAATCTAAATAAAAACACATTTACTTTTGACTTTCGCAAATAGTCTTTAGCAAGTGCCATATCGCCATCTTTTTTGGCTTGCAAAGCCGCCATCTTGAATTCTTTCTGCCTCGCTAACAGAAACTGCAGCTCCTTTTGGTTCCTGCTCATGGTATCTGCACTGCCTGCATTGACCTCGATCTGAGGCTAAACAGAAAAGAAAATTTTAACTTACAAATAGCTTGTAAAGCTAAAAGCAGCAATTGCAAGGATAGTTTGGTCGATTTGTCATCAAAGAGAACAGAAATCAATTCAAATATTGGCTAACAAAATAAATTACATGTAAGGTTACTTCATTATCAACAAAAAGATTCAGCAGATAACAAAACTCATCATCGAGTGCAGATATGGCAATATTTCGATTACCACAAGCCCCCATGCATCAAACCCCCCAGATATCTTACCATATTGAGTAACAAACGTACTTTTTGCATGATAAAACCTGTGTCTCGTTTCTGTGTATGTGTTTAGTAATTAAAATGCAGTTGCTTTTTTGTCAAATTCATATTTATGACAAGAAGCTATTCTGCAAGTTTCAACTTTGTACCTACTGGCTTTGAAACTATCGTCGTTTTTTCAGCAAAAGTAGGCCAGGTTCTGAAAATGAGTTTCATAGTTTTGCTCGATTTCCAAAGATTTTAAGACAGGTTCTTTTGTAGAAATCCCCTACAATAACGTTGTCCTCGAATGAGCCTCGAATAAGATCCCCTTTGAAAATCAAGACTCGAATAAGCCTCTTCCTCTACAATTCCAAAGATTCGTTTTTAGCATGAATCAACTCTGTTTGCAAATTAACTTGTCATATTGCTCTTAATCAAGTGCTTTCTGTTGTTGATAATCTTTTTTTCGACATTTGATTATTTTCAACGAAAAACTGCAATTAACTAATCAAACACAAGCAGTGAATCACAACATGTTATGAAATAAGCCAAAACAAGGATTCAATTTACCTGAGATGCTTCTTTTGCTTGAGGAGGGGCAACAGTGATAGCAGCTGGCATACTGGGGGCAGGGGTATTTTGTTCTGCAGCCTGTTTAGCAGCACCAGGAACAGGGATCGGAGCGAATCCTGCAAATATAAATGCATAAAGGTTGTAAGAAGGTGTGAGGATGGCTCAGTGGTGACGGTCCAAGACTACAGATTCAAGATTCTAAGGCTCGAGCTCCTGCCGAAAGAAACTTTTACTTAGTGCGAGGAGAGTCGCTATAGGAATCACGAGGTGTGGCCACATCGAGATGATGACCAGGAGACGATTCGATAAGCGCAGCTTCTCGGTGACCTAAAAACTACTTTGGGAAGCCAGGTACTAGCAACAGATACGAAAAATCCCGCAAAAATAACGAAGTTTGTTATGACATCACAACGCCAATCTATCATTTTCATCATAAACAAAGATACATGCAAAGATTTTTAGAAGGGAAACATCGATTTACTAAGGCTCAACCAGCGATACAGCAATGTAATAGACTAAACAAGGCCACAAAGTCTGAACTGCTTTGCAGTGAATCGCGACCCTAGATGCAAAAACCTTTACAATAAGGCGTAGCTGATCGCAAGATAATATCTTCAGATCGATTTTAGTCTTAAGATCAGTTCCGTTCACAGATTCGGAATTTTTAAGGTTGAAATTTATTAAAATTAAAAAAAAAAGATAAGTTGAATTTCCATTATAATTTAATAAGTCGGGCAAGATAATTGTTCTGCTTTAATAAATCGGACATCTTGTCATTTTGAGACCACTCAAGTCGATCTACTGTACAATGATAAAGACTTGGTTTAAATGACAGAAAAATGATTTTAAAAATGATTAAAAACTTAGATATTATTTAGCTTTTCGTATACAACATTTTTTCGTCAAGGAATTGACAAAATCATTAAACAAAGCACCTGGTGGCGTTGGCAATTCTTCGTAATCCACAGGTTTGCCTTTCTTGTGATCTCGTATGGCATCTTGATATTGCTATAAAAAAGAAATTAAGCATTTATTCTTATGATCAGATTGGTGACAGTACTGCAAAAACGATGGCTATCCACCATATTTAACATGCATATCGTCTGATTAAGCGTGAAACTCGTAGTAGCACCTTGAAACCTTCCTATTCTTTGCAACAAAGAGTGTACAGCTCTGCTCCTGGTGCCCTCTTAGCTCGCCTAGCGACATTGCATCCACTCCATTCCTTACAATCAACCCCCCCCCCTCAGGAAAACAAGCTTCAAAACATGCTTATTGAGTATGCCAAGAAATGACAGGCATAGGCAAATTATTATTAATGGTGATGCGGGCAAAAGGTTTAATTGCAAAAAATTTCAACTATTTTACTGTCATTTAAAAACAGAAGGATACGGTTTGTTATCGTTTGGAGAGAGACCAACACTAACAACAACTCTTTACTTTTGGGATCTTGCGATGAAAACTTCAAATCAAAGAAATATCAAAATTCAATATATTTCCCATATCAGTTAGCTTTTTATTCAAACACTCGTCTCTTTATCTCAATATATCTTTGTAAAAAGCAAGATTTCAGGAAAAATCTTATCATATCTTATTTTGTCATTTGCACTTCTTTTCAAGAAACGGTAGGTCTGAAGTTTAAAAGTACCTTAAAAATTGTCAGAATGGTTCCTTATCGCTGAGTTCGGGTCTTCAATTCGCTAAATTTTTTCATATTATACACATTTGTATATCCTCAATTTACTTTCTAAAAAACCACCACAAGTCCTATTCCCTAGCTTTATCGAAGCAGTTAGTGTTGATAGTTCAAAAGAAGGTTCAACTTTTTCTCGGAACAGTTTCTCGATAAAATTCATATGGACGTGTTTTCGCCATCCAAAGGCAGATATCAATAAAAAAGCCTCACACAACTGCCAAAGCCGAATGATTGCGACTCGCTTATGATTTAAGTTTTTACTAATCCAAGAAAACTTTTTAAACTGCATACTTTCCCTGTTTAGGCCAATGGTTGAGAATGGCAACAAATTATTTCTATTTGCAGTGCAAATTGCCAGACTGTGTCAAAATTCAGAAGAAAGGTATGAAACAGGCACATGCCTTGGTACATAAAAATAGCACTAACGCTGTCACCTAGCTAATCCTACCTTGACAATTCTTCCCATTCGACGAGCTTTGCTCCCGTTTCCTTCGGCCTTTGCTTTCTCCGCTGCCTGGTTGTATTTCTCTAGCCGCTGCTCAAGCGCCTCTAGGACTGTACCTGGCGCAGATGGTAACCCAGAGTCTTGAGTAGCTGTCTCGCCTGCATCGGTAGATGATGAAGAGCCAGGGGCAGGCTCTGGTTGGGGGGCTGACGCAGGAGCAGTGGGAGGGGCAGTTGCACTAGCCTTGGAACCAGCTACAAAGTGACAGAATGTAAAATTAGGAACGGGGATATAAAAACAGTTGCAAGAAAGGATGATGCATTGTGATTTGGAGCAAGTGAATTGAGATCTTTTCTGAAATATTCCAGTGAAAATTCTATCAATTGACCAAACATAGCAGCATAACTTATGTAGCGAACTATTCAATGGAAACCACAAAAGAAAAAGCTGTACAAATATAGCAATATATAGTGTAATAAGACCGTACATTCATATTGATCCGGTGGTGGAGGAAGTTTTGATAAATCGACATCTTGCCCATTTTCAAGCGCATGTATGACGGGATCAAATTGCTAGAATAAAAAGATGAAATCATGTGGCAGTTTCCTGTTTAGAAAATGTATTGCGTGAGGATACTCACAATGTTGCGTTTAAGGTCTAGCGCACTCAGTTAACCCACTCTAAGACACAACTATGATTGCCTTAATCCATTCTGTGCCTGTGGTACTAGCAAAGAGGACAACGAGCACCGCCCTCAGTTCGACTTGACGCGACAAGATCTCTTTGATTGGCACTCCGAGATCCCTGGCCTAAATTTAAACTTAGAAGATAAACTATTATGTGACATGCTTCTATTTTGAAACTCGAAATACAATGATTTTTTAAAAAAACACGCAAAGGTTTCTAGATCCAATTTAGGGCGTAAAACAGCAGCAAAGTTTTCCTGTTTTGAATGCAACTTTTCTTCTGTCGGGTGTCTTGTAAAGAGGTATGTCCATTTTGGAGGGTTCCTCTTGCGGAGACGCCCTGTCTCAATGTTATTGTGAAGTTATTGCTTTACTTTGTTATCTTTAGTTTAATTTATACTTAAACATTGTTGTTACCGGCTGTTGTAGTTGAAATCCGATGAGATTCCTTGTCAGCAATGGCAGCTATAGAAAATTTAAATGTCGTTTCCAAGTGTTAAGAAAACAAAAAAAATTCAATCTACCTTGAATACGCCAAGAAAGTGTTTGGCAGTTGCTACATCGCCCTCTTTTTTCTTTAACAAAGCTGCAGTTTTGTACTGATCACGTCTTGCTTTGAGCATGGTTAAGGTCTCTGCATTTTGATCGCTGATTTGAGTCTTGGTAAAAAACAACAGATAGGCAATGAGTGTCACAAAAAATTGAATAATACGGGATATAATTTTGTCCTGGCTATGCGGTTGCCAATTTCTGGCAAAATTTATACTTTATCAGCACCCAGAAGTTTCAACCAAAAAATGGCTGCTTTATAACAAAGTCATAACGAAAACCAATATTGAAAATACTGAAAGCTGATCATAGCCATATTTCAAAAGTGAAATGTAATGCAGAACTTGACGAGATGAATGTCAGTATCTTGTCGCTTCTATTCAGTCCATCCTTATCAAGGTCACTTTTCTGCATCACTTATCTTGCTTTGGAAATTAAATGTTTCCTAATATTATTCTCAAGCCTCCGCCTATACCCTTCATATCTCTGGGAGCAACTTCCATTGTCTCTCTAATGTAACCATCACATCTTTCTTTGCTGCAAATAAGCAGGCTAACGAGTAGGCATTAACCTGGGTTGGGGTTTCCTAGCTACAGAAGATATGGATTGAAGGCAACTGTGTTTAAAAAGATGGACAGTTCAGGCCTGGCTGTAAGACTTTTAACAGGGGAGCTGTAAACGGCTCTACTAGAAGTATTCAGGTGAGCTATAAGAATAGAAACATCAAATGGCCAGGCCTGCAGTTAGACGGCAGGTAACGACAGGTTGATTTGAGCCATGTTGAGCCCGTTGCATCATCATTTATTAGACACTGTGACAGATGAATATAGGCAATGGTGGTGTCAGAAACATTCTGAAGACGCCAAGTTATTGCATGCCAGTATATATGTCAAGCTCACCTCAGGCATCATAAAATTAAGAGTTTTGAAATAACACAAACAAATCATACTGATCATACATATTTTTTGTCACAATATACAGTACCTGTACTGGTTCCTTTGGAGAAGGAACTGTCGCTGGTCTGTCTGGTTCTTCTAAAACAATATTCAATAAAAAAGTTAATTTTTCATCAAAAATTTAGAGAGATCTATAGAAGAAGATACAATGAATCTACAGTGCACAATGCTATCCGCCATATGCAGATTACACTTTCTTTACAATTATTCTTATAACAAAACAATTCATGACCATTTCTAGCTTGAGAAGAGTCTAAATTTCTATTGTTTAGGGGTTGTATCTCTTTGTCTGAGCCAATGAGTTAGACATATGGGCATGTGCATTAGGAAGAAGGCAAAATTCACATTTCATGGCTCTTTACAGGATTTAAATCAAACCTTAAATTATATCATAGTTGCATCAAATAACCCAGAGTTTCATTTTCACTCTTTGCTTAAAAAATTTTGAGCGCATAATATATTATGTGATGTGATAACAATGACATTGACTTTAACTGCGTATTTGCATAATATGATGCAAAATTTTAAAAAGCCACTCAACCTTCAGATAAATGCTGGTTCGTCTCCACAACAATTATGTGTATCAGATTTGACAATTGTAGAGTATCTCTGATTTATATAATTTGCCTAATTTAGCATTTGTGATATTAATACTGCCAGCATCAAACAACACTAAATGAAAAAGTGTATGATCATCATTATTAATCCTGAAGGAATGAACTGAAGTTGAACTGCAAATCATACACAGGTTGGAAGATTCACATAAATGATAAATGATAGAAGTTTATATATAGCATACATATAGTATACACCTTGAATTTGCGTATTTGTGACTGTTGGTTGCACTGCTGGAGTTTCTTTGGGTAGTGCTGGCACTGATGATGGGGCTGGTGCATTTGAGCCTGCTTTGACAACAACAGGGGGAGGAATATCATCCTCCTTGACTGATTTACCTGCCCTTGCCTCCTTAAGTAGCCTTTCAAGCTCCTGCAAAAGTGATAAAACCATATGATTTTATACACATATAATTAATAAAGGCATTTCATTAATTAAATAATAAGCAAACCCTACAAAAGAAGCATAAAGACCCTACAAAACTGAGAGCGGGTTTCTAGAATGATGAACTTTGCAAATCTTGAAATTTTTATGTCTGCTTTAAAAATACAAAAAGGCAGAGTTTTCACTGAAATGAAACATATGTTAAAAATAAAATAATGGAGCAAAAGAAATGCGTTGTCACCTTTAGGCCTCTTTCAAGCCTTCTAACTTTGGATGATGCCCCTTCTGCCTTTGCACTGGCAACTGCCTGTGTGTACAATTCTTTTCTTTCAATTATTACTTTTGATATTCCAGACTCCTCAGATTTGACTGGAGCCTAGAAAATATTCAATCCAATTTATCAAAATGAAATAAACACAAATCAATAGTACAAACATAATGAATTCCCGAAGCAGGCAACATGATACTTTATGTGTATAATAATCTCACAGACCAAACTGTAAACAATATTTCCTAAAGAATAAGAGGTTTTGAAATACATTTTCAAAAACAGATACAAAAAGTGTTTTGCACCCGATGCAATACAACAGTCCTTTTCATGAGCAAAATTACGTGTGTGTGGCAAAGCCCACATGTAAACAAATTTGCGTGTGCGATCGCACTAGTAAGAAAATTTGAAGTGATAACCTGATAAAATTGGTAAAAGGAACAAGAAAGGTAAAAGCCACTCAAATACATGAAAGAGCAAAACTCAATTCAATCAATACATAACAGATTTTGTTGCCCTTAGCAGCCATCTTACAAAAGTCGTTGTCACTCTCCAAAGTTACAAGAGCAAATAAAAATTGTTTCCAACAGCTACTTGCTCTCAGGGCACAATTAGGTTTTGACAGGAAATCAGTTATTACACTTAACATGCTAGTGGTGACTTAGCTGAAAGACGAGTCGCTAAGTTGAAAGGAGCATTCAGTCAAAAGCCAAACATCACTTCTTAAAATTGGAAAAATCATATTGTGGTCAAAAGTGCTAATCAAGTAACAAGGGAAAAGGATAAACAATCATGAGACCATCGGAAATTGATGATAACAGAAAACTGCAAAAACACCTGTTTCATCACACGCGCAATTTAACTTTCGCACACACTAAACGAAAAGGACTGAATACAACAAGCATTGGATATGAGATTTGCATGTGATTGCTTGTTCATTATTTGCTTTGCTCTCTTTGTCAAACAGCAGAACAATTATTCGTGAAACAGCACGACTACAGTTAACATTTTGTAACACTGCAACAAAAAACAGTAGCATTGTTTGAACTCATGATTTTACATGAGCAGTGTTCCAGTATATTTTAACAATTGAGCTTTCTTTTAACAATTTAGCTTTATAACTGCTGCGTGTCTTTAATTATCATTTCAATGTACCTTAGAGGGAGATTTTGGTTTCTCTGGTTCTGCCATTTCAACATCTTCATCTCCATCAGGAATCAAATCATGCAGCTCATCCTGTTAATTGAAAATTATTTACATTCACAATTTAGGTCAGTCTATTTCTTTAAGAACAAAAGGAAACAAGAATCCAAAAGTCATATTTTTAAAAAGTAAAATGACTACAAATTTTGAGATTTAAGTCACATAATTTAACACTTTATCAATATCAAGGCAAGGTAATTACATAAAAAAAGGTATTGGGTTGAGGCTTTACAGAGATATAGTTTCAAAGGAAAAGATGGTGGCTTACAAATACAGGTACAATATTACTCACACCTGTTGTGGCTTAGATACATAAACTTCCCATTGCCTCAATACAATCTTAATTGAAAAAACATGTTAGTAAAATTATTGTTAGAATATACTTTAAAATTTAGCTTACAACTGCTTTCTGGTGCCTGAATTAAGTGTGAAACTCAAAGTTGCAATATAAAAAACTGTATCAGATGTTTTATACAATTAGTTCTCACATAAACTCCATGCTTAAGGATTCACAATCAATATATAATACACATTTAAAGATACAATATATGTTTGCAGACTCACAAGAAGATCTTCATCATCAATGTCTTCATCTGAAAAACCATCATCACCTACATCTTTCAAACTTGCAGCTGCAAGTTGTTGAATTTGATCAAGAGACATTAACTTTTCTATGAAAAAAGGTGAAACACAAACTTTAGACTTTAAGTCTCACATGAAGACTGGTATATTTCATTTCCTAACAGGTTTACCAAGGCAAAGACAACATTTTGATGTCTTTATGATGTTTTTTCACATTTGGTTTCTCTCATGAAGTTTAAAAAGTAGGTTCCTTATATCAAAGTCAAAACATAGCCTGCATTAGAATGACTATAGCTTGTCCATGAGATCTTGCAAGGAATTACCACAATTTCTGGATAAGCCAATAGGTATGATGTGTAGGAAGGAAGAACTGCAAGATAGGCTGTCCGCCGGATTCTGTGAATCTTGCAATGAGTAATAATATGAAAGATATTCAGGAACAAAGCAATAAAATGATGAGAATCCAATGTAATGAGATAAAATTTTCAAAATAAATTAACTTTAAGGAATACTAATATTTCACCCCGGCATATAGGGCTTCATCAGAGTAAATGAGTTGATCATGTTTTATCCATGTAAAGCAAACAAACCCTTTCAAGCAACTGATTAAGCAAGCGTTGATTCTAAGCAAGTGTTTCTTTTATTCATGTACTAACTTACCATTTTTCTTTGGAGCTTTCTTCTTCTGGACTGGTCTCCCCTGTAAGGCTGCTAACTCAGCTTCCAAGCTCTCATCATCCTCATCGTCATCTTCTGGTGGCATCCCAAGACCAAACTTAAAAAAACCAAAAATAAAACACAGACTTCAGGAATAATCTTCCAGAGTTAACATTCATACCTAAATCATTGAATATTTTTTAGAACAAGATAAAGATGCAACAAAAAGCAGTGAACTTAATAGAATTTGCATTCAACTGGTTATTGCTTTGATGTCTCTGAGTTTCTATTCTATGTAATTGAGAACATCCAACTTATTTATCAATACATTAGAAAGATCAACTAAGAAAAGAGGCTGTTGACTTCGTTATCATCAAGAGCTCTATAGCAAGTTTACACCCTGCAATATTTTATTCATTCCTAAATCCTGCCAGGCCAAATTTATTTGAATAAAGATATATTCAATGTTTTGTTTTGCAATATTACATTACATTTTGATCTAGCAGTTAAAATTTCACGTTGCAGCCCAAGCTGATGTGGAAATACTTTAACTTAACTGATCAAAAGGCAGATAAACATAAAATTATAAAACTATAAAATGTGCTTACTGCATCAACAGTGTTTTATCATCAATTTATTTTGAATGCTCATATTATGAAAAGGGTTTACTTAAATAAGCAACAAAGCATATGTTAAGCACTCATAGTAAATTTTTGCAAGGCTCTACAAACTCTTGATATCGTTTTACTTTGTAGGTCAGGTCAGGTCAGACAGAATGGGTGGTGATGATGACAAAGCGGTTGTGCCTGATACAACTCTCAAATGGATGTTATTAAATATGTACTTTAAGCAATACATACCATTTTCATAACATCGTCATTGTTTCCTCTGTTCTCCCTCTTTTTAGTATCTTTTCCCTTTTTACTTCCAAACATTTTAATTTTGTTGTTATCTTGGAGTTCCTTACAACACCCCTTGGCCTTCTTGTCAAAACTTGCAATCTTGCAATTCAGGTCTAGCCTCGAAATGATTCTGTTAGCTCGAATGACGTAAGAAGAATGGGCACTAGCAGAAAGCGCGGGAAATTCAATGACGAATTCAAATTTGAAAGGACAAGAAAATTTTTCACGAAGGTTTATAGCTTCTTAAATCAGTTATATTCCACTTTGTTTCATTGAAGTTTATTTAAAAAGTTCTTATCTTATCAACAAGCTTTGTGTCAAGAAAAGGTTAAAATTAATTTGTCTCCGTTATTGGATGGCATTTTATTTCAGTTAATTTTCAACGGAACATAGGCTATAAAGATTCCAAAAATATACTAGATTGCGTGCGGTACAATATGATGCTATAATAACGATTAATGTAAGTAAATTGTACCAGGAAAAATTTTTTTAGGATAAATAACGATGTTTCGAGCTTAGCCTTGATAAGGGGCTATGCTCGAAACGTCGTTATTTATTTTAAAAACTTTTTCCCGGTACAAATTACTTACATTAATCGTTATTATTGAAACATAGGCTAGTCTAGAATAAGTTTTTCTATTGACTATGAACAGCTGTACAAAATTAGTGTTTTCATTCAAGTTGTGCTTTGAGTTGAGACTTGTTAACTGTGATTGAAAAAAGGTTTTGTTATTAGTTACTTGTGATAAGTTATTACTTAATCAAAATAAGATAACATCAATGATAATTCTTTATTTGCTTCTTTTCTTTCTTTAATCGACAAACATTCGAAAGACTTTGCAATTCTGCAATTAATAAGAATTATGTAACTGAAAATTGACTAATATCAAAACATTTTTTTCTAATAACAAGATAGGATTATTATCCTGAACAAGCAAACTTTTTTTTCTTGTTCCGTGAAAGCCATGCAGCCAAAATTTAGTTTAAAAATTTATAAATCATCTGAATTTTAGCTTAACGAGATCAAAAAAAGAGCTGATGATTATTCATCTACCCTCCTTTGCTGATCGCTGAATGTTGAACGCATAATCAAATATTACAAAAGTCACGTTAAACTTTGTACTTAATATACCCCATAGTAACATTGCTTCAAAAGTGCTTCAAGAAATCCTGGGAAGCAGAAAGAGCGTAGGGAAAACAGAAAGATTGGGGAGGGGGGGTATAATTGTTTGATAAAGTTTGGAGGGAAAAGAATCGTTCATAGAAGGCATAGCCTGTGTTCCAGACCCCTAACTTGAAAGTAGAGAGAGAGTTGTACAGACCTCTACTTTCAAGTTAGGGGTCTGGAACACAGGCTAAGAAGGCAAAGTATTTTCTTCATTTTTGGGGACTCGAGCCCCTCCAAGTAACAAAGTAACTACGAATCTGATTTCGATAGACAGTTTTACCGTTACCCATAGACAGTTAAAACCAAGTTGTGTTTTGCATAGTTTTCATTTTTTCGAAATAAGGAAGGTCGAAGTACACCATAGTTTAATGAAATTATTCAGACTCCTTAAAATGTCTTTCTTCTTTTCAGGTAGCATCAAAGTCAAAATAAATGGCTGCTGCTTTTCAAATGAGTGGAGATTTCTGGACGAAGTTAATGCAGTTAAGGAACAATCTTATTGCAATTGACGAATCAAATAGAATAATTGGCACAGAGGAAGAAGGAGCAAAAATTTTCCAAACAAACAAATCTATCAGCAAGTTCGTGAATTAATTCAACTATGTGTGTTTGTTTCTCAGGCCCAACAAGAGGGAGAAAGTGGGCAAGGGAGTAATTGCCATTGGGCCCATGTGCAATGAAGGGCCTACTGGAAATGAAACTTTCTTCATTAAGAATATGTTACTTGTGGTTCAAAAGTTATAGACCAAAGACTATTTTTGGCACTTTTTTGCCCTACTGGACCACCATCTGGCACACGTAGCTTGGTAAAGAGAGGTGGTACCCCCATCAAAATGTTGTGCCCCCGTTAGAACTAATGTTAGGACACATTTTGGGCCATTCTATTGATCTGTACCTGTTGTCACTTCAAAGTACCAAACGGTCAAAAAGTGCCCAAAAAAAGTGCCAGGATGCAACTGAAAGTGACGGAATATTTTTTGAAAAGTGAAAATAATATCAGTATTATGAATAGCAATGCTTACCTGCTTTTACCCCCGTTTAGAATAAACACGACATAATTCATCTTCAGACACTAAGATAACGCTCACATTTACCATTTTCTTTCAAACTACTTATTTGTAAGCTTCAATAATCGATTTTCATGAACAATTAAACTGTCTTTCATTCCCTTACGCACACACTGCAGGTAGCACCCAAAACGATAGCAACACTATTAAACATTATAATATATTAATATAAATATTCTGGCGAGTTCGTATTTTCTTCTTATTGTTTTAGAGATGAAATCTTGACGAAAATTGAATGTCTGGTCAAAAACATGCTTGAAGATCTTGCAAATGGAAAACCAATGAAGTTTGTTTTCAATAAACGAGGACATGATGCCAGCACAAGGTTCACCTGTTACAACCATTGTGACTTCCCTTACAACTAGTCACGGTTTAATTCTTTTATTCAATTGTGTAATATTTTACCTGCTAATTTAATTCATATGCATTCTCGAGCTTATGCAAAAATTACTCTCGGTGAATAAATGTTATAAACAATTCTATCGACAGTTGGGTCTTGAATGTTTTTTGATAATGATGAATGCAGATCTGCAAACGTGCTTTTAAGCTTGGGAAACTAAAGACGCTCCCAGACGTTTATAGACGAAAAATCAGCTTTAATTTTAGTCCGGTGCTGCTTTATCGCATTCTGTTTGAAATGGTCTGCTCCCTAAAACTTTTTGCTTTGATTGAAACTTGTAGAAGCAACCACCGGAGTCCTGACAATGGACACCTCTCACAACGGAAATCAAATCTGCTTCTAGAAAAATCAAACAAAAATCTAATTTAAAACTTTTTTCTATGCTTAACAAAACAATACTGTCCATTTTACCTTATTTTACAACCATTTGAAAAAAAATTAACTAAACTTTTTTCAAAACCTTTTTATAGAAAGAATATTAAAATAAATTAATTCTTTCCATGCTGCATTAAACATATAATAGTGATCTTTTTCACGATGCATGACTTGCCATCTGCTCAACTGAAATCTTTTTAAATGATCTCGCGTGCTTTGCAATGAATCAAATTTGTACAATTTTTATTACCTTTTTCTACTCTCTCTTTTTCTCTACCCAAATCAGTAGAAAGTGTGTTAAATGAACTTTGATAAAGAATTATTTACACTTAGTCAATAATTGTTTTTATTGTTTTTAGATTCAATCAACGTGTTGGACTTCAGATGGAAGAAGATGCTCAAATGACGGTTGTCTCTTTGGAAAAAGAATGCTCAATTAACAAGTTTTGTACGACTTTTCGTTTACTTAATTTCAAAACAATTACCAAAGATTCTTAAGTGTACAACATCTTGAATCTGTACAAGTCCTAGGGGTGATACCAACATATGCACCAAAATCGTATGTTCAAAACACGTGCGTAGAGAGCTGGGCCGTCGCTAGCTATTGTGCTCAAGGAGGGGCGATTTTTAGCTCCCATTTGTCGAAAAGGTGGGTGACCAAACCATGTACTTGATAACAAATCTAAAAATTTAGCGATTAAGGACCCCTACTTTGCAAAAAATCCTCATTTTTGCTACACCCCAACGCTAAAACGTTGGCCCTGGAATCGAGTCATGTCTTGCATTAACCTTAAATAGTCAACTGTCTGGTGTGCAGCGTCTTACTAAGAAATGAAGGAGAGTGTATAAATGAAAGAATAATTGCTTTGTATGTGTCAAAATGGGAGTGATGTATACAGCATTCTGTTGGTTTATTCTTTCAGCTGTTATGCTGAGAGCTTTATCGCTCTGCTATCAACTTCTGCAGACTGACAGCTATACTACAAAACGGTAAGATTTGGTCTTGTCTTACTTGTTGCGTGCTTCTTATTGCTTCAAAATTAACTCATAATCTTTGATTTGTTTTCCAGTTCACTAGTGTGTTGACATCGGGTTCGATCGTCTTGAATCTTGCTACTAGTTTTGCCACATTAGCTTCACAAAGGCAGGAAAATCACCCAGTGTCCAAAAAAGCATTCATTCTATCGATGACCTTCCAAAATCTTTCTCCAATCTACAATGATATGGCTTAAAACGTTTTGCTTCCAACAACCTTTTCACAGCTATGAGTTGTACGATCTTTGCCGTTCTTGCATTTTGGCGAAGATCAAACATGATTTTATGTAGATGACTTTATGTGCAAGCATACTCATGGTTGGTACATCTTCGTCTATGACGTTATAATGTTTTTCCTAGGGATTTATATTACACAGATAAAAACATTTTTGGGACTCAACAAGTGGTAGATGAGGCATTCAATGACATTGCTTGCATGTTGCAAATCCCGAGAAACTCTTTGCACGTGGTAGCTATACTCATGATAAATAAATAGCCTTTGAAGTGGTAGCTACTTTTGTGAAAAGAAAAATAATTGTTTTTTTTCAAAGTATTTTAGAACTTTTCATGGTTATAAATGATTATTTCAATAAAATGTATGTCATCAACTGCAATAAGTCATTTGTGGTGATTTCAAAAAAAAAACCTAAAGATGCTGAATAACATTTCAAGATCTCAAGCAATCCAAGGTCGAATCTTCGTTGTCTCAGTTTTCGCAAATAGGGAAGAAAAAAACATCAAAATATCACGTATTGATCTTTGACTTTGGTAACTTAAACTCAAAGACAAAAAATATTCTTAATACTAGTTTTTGTTGCTAGCTTAATTCAATGATGCATTGTCACACAAAGCCACATCCAAAGGGTAGATTGCTGACAAAAACATGGTGGATATAACATGATAACACCTTTTAAATCCATCTATAGGTGTGACAGTTTTCAAAATTGCTTTACAGATAATGTTTTTCTAAATAATAAAAACATTCTAATTGCTTTACAGATAATGTTTTTCTAAATAATAAAAACATTCTAATGTCTTTACAGATAATTTTTATAAAGTATCAATATCATAATTTCTTTCGATTTCTAGCTTGCATCGCCAAAAGGTCAGTGAAAGTTTATAGCAATAAATTTTTCAAAGTAATCGATCAGCTCATTCATTCATTCATTCATTCATTCATTCATTCATTCATTCATTCATTCATTCATTCATTCATTCATTCATTCATTCATTCATTCATTCATTCATTCATTCATTCATTCATTCATTCCTTCATTCATTCATTCATTCCTTCAATCATTCATTCATTCATTCATTCATTCATTCATTCATTCATTCATTCATTCATTCATTCATTCATTCATTCATTCATTCATTCATTCATTCATTCATTTAGTCATCGACAGGATTTGTCTATCATGTCCTAAAAATCAACCTTTGCTTTCTTCAAGGCATCGTCATCGGCAACCTCGTTTTCAGAGACAATGATGACAATTTCATCGATTGCAGTCAAAGTAGAATGGTAAATCCAAAATTCAATTGTACGAGACTCACTACAAAAATGAGCTGAAATGAATTTGAGTATCTGGATTTTGAATTATATCTCTTTAACCGCATTGGGTTTAGCCTGCAGGGAACAGTCAATATCTCAAAACGTCAAAATTCTCTTTCAATAGCACAGATTGAGCCCAGGCAGCAAACGAACTTACCGTGACGGAGTACCAACACCTAGTCCAACGTCACTCAAATATGTATAATTATACAGAAGTAATTTTTCTTGATTGATTCCTTGTCCTGAACAAACTAAGTGGGGGCCTTTAAATCATATTTCTAGCCAACATGGTCACTCTCAAATGAAATGCCTTCATTTTCTTTTCATCGATTTTTTTTCTGCAGGGTACAATGGTTCCATCTCGCGTTGATGAAATTCATGGTATCCTTTCATGATTACGTAAAAATGTATTGTAAACCGATCGTTTGAATAAACTAGACAAAGTCTGAAGAAATCTTAACATTCAGTTATTGTATTAAGATTGTAACAGACGCTGCAGAAACAATGGTGGCACAAGAAGGGGACGTACTTGTTTCTTGTAGAACCAGAACCTATAAGTTCTTTGATAAGATGAAAAGTTTTTGAAGCAATCCTGAGCACTCTGGTTTGGTTCAACATAATGAGGAAGTTTTCACGCAGCAGAGGGGTTGCTAGATACTTTTAGTGATAGAGGGAGGGGTCTTTTGCCAATGTGCCCTCCAATGAAACTACCCTGGGTACTACCGCATGCCATAACTGTATTCTGCATTCTTTGAGCTCTTTAGCCGTCTCAGAAGTTTTCTGCTAATAGATTTTTCCCAAGAAATAATTGCTTAACAATACCTAGACTTCTACTCAAAAGCGAGGTTCGTGCTGCTGGTGGAGAAAGAAGCCTCTTTTCAAAAGCTTAATGACAGCAATGTGATTTCAAAGCTTGGCCCATGCATTATGATAACGGTATGTAAAGGGAATAAGTACTACCGTAAATCCTCGAATTCTTGAACGTAGGCCTCTTTGAGAGGGGGGGGGCTTATACGAGGGGGGCTTATAAAATTATTGTAGACAATAAGAGGGCATTATTAAAAGACCTCGTTTATTTAAGCAGGAATTTCTTTATGAGCATTTAATTAATTTTTACTAAAAGTATGTATTTTTAAGATAACTCAATAAAACGCCAAAGACAACCTAAGATGGCAAAAATCATCCAATTTAAGGGAGCCAATTCGAGGATTTACAGTAGCAGTGGGGGCTTATTCGAGGGGGGGCTTATTGACAATTTGTAGTTTTAGAGTGGGGGCTTATTCGAGGGGGGGGGGGCAATTCGAAGATGCATTCGAAATGCTATTTGTCAGCTAGAATTTTCGGTTCATGTCTTCGTACCCGAGGTACCTTCGATCTGTAGCTTTGAATTACATCATGATACTTTGCAGAAGCTTGGTTTATGTCAAAACTTGCAATCTGATAAAGAAACAGCTTTTTTAACGATTTGAATGCTCTTGATAGGATAGGGATATTTGGTAATGAATGCTATCAAATTAAAGTGTCAGCTTAGATATTCATCCTTTAACCTTTAACCATGTTATCCTGGCTTGGTATTCACAGTTTGGAGTGCTCGGTTCATTTCCTCGTCCAAATTGTTCTACACAGAAGGTCCAAATCCAAAATCTAGGTCTTGCAAATTTGCTCAAACGAAACTTACTTCCTAAGCACTAACAGAAACACCAGGTTTGAAGAGGAACAACTTCCAAAACACGGAGCATTCTTTATTCACACAAATATTTTTGATAGCAAATTTATTCACAAATGCAAGATTTTTTATCATAAATCTAGCCTCCAAATTTTTTTTCATTTTTCAACTGCTGTTATTTGGCCTTTTTGTGTCGCATCCTTCTTCAAAGACTAAATCAGAGTTAACTAAACAGTGTCACTTCACAGTACACAAATATAAGAGAAAAACAACTTTGTGGCTTCTTACGTATACCAATTAAAATCGTTGCAGATTTTCCTTTAGCTAAACCATCTTAAAAAGCAGAACTAAAAATATTAGGGTGGAGTTTGCTAAACTAAGTATAGAATAACTCAATTAAGACATCCTTAAAAGCATTAACTTTATTTCTATTCATTTTATCGACAGGCAAAAGGTTTTCCAGACATCAATACCAGGATATTCCTTAGGAAGATTTGGGAGAATTTGAAAATCCCAATCTTAGCTCTGATGGATGCTGATCCACACGGTGAATTATACGTGATTATTGTCATTGATTCTCGAACCAAAGCTGTAGCTTCAATGGGGTGTGGGGAATATGATACAAGGCAGGCATCCATTTGACAAGCTGGCAAGGGCTTTCAAAGGCCACACCTTTAGCTTCAAAGTTTGGGGGAGGGGGTGCGTGGCACTCATTCAAAATATTTGCTTTTGATATTAATCTAAATGGAACTTGACTAGGGACTGTGAGGCATGTTACGAATTAGTGAAAGGCTAAACAAATTTCCCGTGCTAAACATGCAAAAGTCCTAAAGAAAAATAATGTTTCTCTTGCTTTCGATAAAATTTTGAATGTTTTTGGGAGAAAAGACCGCCTCTTAGCCCCCCTGGCCAGCAAGTCATTTCATTTGTTCATTTAACATTTAGTAATATGTCTCATTCTACCATTTATTTGTATCATACAATCACAGCCATGCCTATAACAAGGAACATAGTCTTTGCAGATTCAGAATGTTACACCCCTAGTTGTCGTTTAAATGCATGGTTGTTAAGGGTTGTAATGTTTTACCCCCTGTTGAAAATAGCAGATGTTTTTACGGGGGTAACGTTAGGCTGACCATGCGTATTCTATGACGAATGTTAGCAGTTTACATTGGGCACCCATTAAAATTGACGGGTTTTCAATTAATCAACTTTAACCTCCATTATATAGATACGTTCTCTTGACAAATATTTGAATACATCTAGACGAGAAATGTTTTCATAGATCATAATGGTTTTTTCTATGTTAGATACTTCTTTTCATTATCATACTTACCTCAAAGCCTCGAACTAACTCTGAAGGTTTTTTTAACTTTGCAACAACAGGTTACGCCGTGCTCGTCTGGACCTGTCGCGTCGTGTTTCGTAAACTCTCTAATATTTACGTGAGACATAGAAAATTGTGACAGGTTATATCTGTTTTTCAGGCATCGAAATCATGTGTGTTTACAGATTTGGATCAAAGGTAATCAAACGATTCTGCACATACCGTAAATCCTCGAATTGGTCCCCCTCGAAAATGCCCCCCCTTCAAATAGGCCCCCATGCTAGAACTACAAATTGTCAATAAGCCCCCCTCGAATAAGCCCCCACTGCTACCGTAAATTCTGGAATTGGGCCCCACCATTTGATGATTTTTGCCATCTGAGGTTGCCTATGGCGTTTTACTGAATAACCACAACAAATTCATGCTTTTGGTAGTAATTAATTAAATGCTCATTAATAGATTTCTACTTAAATGAATGAGGTTTTTTAATAATATCTTCTTAATGCCTACAATAATTTCATAAACCCTCCCCCTCGTATAAGCCCCCCTCTCGAATAAGCCCACGTCCAAAAATTTCAAAAATAAAAAAGCCCCCGGGGGGCTAATTCGAGGATTTACGGTATGTTTTCCAGGTTTACTCATCCAAATAATAAATCAGTTCTGCAGTCATTAATTTTACTGAACTTTCAACCCTAGCGTTGATTTGAAAGCGAAATTCTTTGTGAGAAAACTTCTGGGAAAATAGTGTTCAGGCAAATGCAGGATTTGACTTGACGCGTTGCTTTTTTATATTTTTCTAATTTTTTTCTGAATTCTTATCTAGAAAGTTTGCAGATGATGAGTGAAAATGCAGGAAAATGCTTTTAGCAAAACCTGTTAAGATAAGGTGTGGTTTCAGAAAAACTTGATCCCAGCCTATTTGTTGCGCAACCAGAAAACTTGGTCCCAGCCTAGTTGGTTTTAATTAGCTTGTCTGCATAGCTAGAGATTGTACCAACTTTAAATAAAGAAAGAAAAAAAAAGAATAATCTTATTCATGCATACGGAAGTGATTTTAGAACATTAATTACCAGGGCATTTTCCAGCTTATGAAGTTATTCCAAAATCTTCAACCTACTGTCGCTCATTTTATCAATCCTTTATACTTAATATGCAAACCTTCTTTTAGTAAGGACCAACAAATTTACTTGGGTGCTGCGGCAAAGTCAAATTTTGATAAATATTTACAAGCCTTTTCTATATTCGTTATTTTAAATATTTTTTTTTCTAAACACTTTCATGATATTCGATCAGATTACATTCCATAGAGCTTTTAATCTCCCTTTTTTCTAAGCCCATAAACTAGAAAATAATCCAAATAGCTTTAAAGAAATATCCCATTCCTTGCTAAAAACAACTCCCTCCCAGTGGCAAATTAACTAAACTTTTACTATTGTATCCAACAGTCACTGACCTTTGACTCTGAGAATCTCACATGTCCATCCATTCGTTGGCTGGGAGTTCTTCCTTCTGACATTGAAAGGTAGGGCCTAGATTCCAGGATAGAAACTTAACCTTCGTATTTGAATCAATGACGTAAATAAATCAGACATTGACATCGTTTTTTTCTGAATTTTGTTAAAAACTCTACAACATATCTTCGTTAACTCTCTTTACTTTGCGTCTTAACGGAATATATATTTTAAATTAAAAATGCTTATACAAAGTGCCCGATGTTCGGTTAAAGATAAAATTGTCAAAATGAATCCTTGGTCAAGTTCAGATTATGGGGAGAAATTTTTTTAACATATTCCATTATAAAGTTGTAATTACATTTTGTAGGATAATTTCATAAAAGAAAAGCTTTAAGCTACGACTAGAGCAAAAGGGTGCGGTTAACCCCGAGACCATGACACACATAGTTGAATAAAGAAATACTTCGTAAACCAGTCATCTCTGATGCCATGAGTCATAAAGTTTTGGTGGGTAATTTGTAATCATAATTTTTGTCACATAGAAACGAAAAGAAAAAATAGATGGAAAGGACATCGTGGCTGTGTGGCTATGTAGTGAAGTTTGAGAAGAAATATTCTAATCAAACTGACTGATCGCTTTTATATTTGTTGAACAGGACTCCTTTTTCAAGGTCCTTTTTCAAGTGTCCATAAAACGATGTCTATTAACACTTAAAGTTCAATAGATACAACAAGGATTGGAAGTCTCTTTAAATGCGATTCTGTGTTATTCGTAATCAGTAATCGTCTCATCTGCCATGATTAATTTCTTTCTACTCCTAATTCTTAAGAATGGGCATACCATCGGAAGTATTGATAAATACGACAGATAGCGATTTGAAAAAGATGTCAGACTTACTAAAGCGTCCATACATCCAAAGTAACAGAGAGATAAGCAATCAGGTAAAGATTAGCATCTTTAGATTAACACTTTGACAATGATTAACATTTTCTAATTTAATGTTTTGACAATTTGTCAGGGTTTTAACAAGTCACGATATGATTTGCAAAAGCGAGGATAATATGTTTAAGTGGGACGAAGCAGATGTAGGCAAAAAGAGAGCCTCCTTGAGCTGCAAATTACCCTTGTTGTTTCCGAAATTTAGAGGCACGTGCCCCCTGTGACACCGTACCCTGTGCTGCTTTGTTCCTACCAATTGCCTTCAAGTTATGAGCTTTGTTGGTTCTTTTAATCAATTGTAGGTTTCATAAAGCAAAAAGCCAACAGTGAGTGGCAAGTGACTTTGCCACTCGCCCAATATGCATTACGCAATTTCCTATGACATTTCTCCCTCTTGTTTCAAACAATTTTACTTAATACCTCTTATCGACACGAATCAGTTACTTTTATCTCCATCTGATAATTATTCAAATTGCTTTCCAAAGGGAGAACGAAATATGTTTTCTAAATGACCATGCGAAGCATAGCAGATTTTTTAGCACAAATCACTCAGTTTCACTCCAATATTGCATGTTCATGCAATTTTTTTTCATATACCCAATTATAAAGAGTTCACCGTTGTTGAAGGTGAAATATGGACAGTGAAATGTGGAAACCAACCCTCTGCTCTATAGTTTTCACCCCTCTTCTCTCTGCATCTGGTTATTTTCTCAATCTTTCTAAAGGTTACGCAATATCTGTTTCCCTAGGTATTCTTTAGGATAAATACAATTGGCCATTTCAAAAATCATGTCATTTTGCCAGACTTATCTTATTCTTTCTCTCGTTAGATCGAAAGGATGATGGATCAAAAACTCAAGGCTGAAATAGAATGTCTAGAGGCTGTTTCAACGACATTTGCAACTGACATATATTTGCCTTCTAAAATAAGAAGTGGAGATTGGCTGTAAACTTCACCAAAAAGCCCAAGAACAGACATTTTTTTCTCTTATAATAACCATCTTTTGATTGATTCTTTCCTTCTAAATTTTGCATATTTTTCCCATTATTTATTGAGTTGTTTCAAACCAAGCCTAGATTTAACTTGCTGATGATTACAAAAAGCTGAATCTTTCATTTGCTTACATAAGCAACTCAGTTTTTATATAGCTTTGCAAAAACCTATGTATTTTTATCTTGAGTTTCTGTGATTAAGTTTAAAATATATAGGTTTCGTGACATAGACCAAACCAATAAGAAACTAAATGAAAGATGAAAATCGACTGTGCGTTCAATGCAGGGATGACAGGGCAATGGTGGGCATGTTATATGCATGAAGATGATAGGTGAGGGAAGCAAGCTGAGAACCGGGACTTCTCTACCGGAAATCTTTTTGCAACCACACCCTGCAGTCTGGCTTAAAAGAGACAACATCAAATATATTCTGTTGCACTTAACTTAGGAAACTGCCGGAAATTTTATAGCATTATTCTCTGCTTTGACTCATTTTTTAACAAACTTTCTCACGCGATAAATGCGAAGGGAAAAAATAGACCTAATCCTCCAGTGTTGTTTACGTAAATGATGAAGTTTTGCTTCCCTCGTTAACACTTAAACCTTAAGTGTTGTTTCCATCTTAAACCATTCCCAGTTCCAGTAGAAAATTTAACGTCAAGCGATAATCCCATGGTACCTAAAACTTTGATACTAACTGTGCTTTGATATAATAACAAATGAACTCCTTGTTCCTGCATCGCTTGTAAAACAGATGTTGGAAAGCCAGGCAATTTTGAATATGTTTTTTAAACAAGGCAAGCAATGAAGAAAGTAAAACAGGGAATCTTTTAACATACAACTATTGGGGAATTTCCCCACCAGGCACTTAAATTTCCCCACTAGTTGGCCTATGATTCCCCACTAGCAAGTGCACTTTTGTTGAAAATTGTTTTAAAAACCAGTTTGACGTGTCTGCAATTCCTGCTTATTATGCCGTTTTCGTTTTGTGTATGTATCAAATATTATGTGTTACTTCTTTCGTCTTTTGTAAGTCCCTGGCTCTGTTTGATTTTTTCGCACTATAGCAAAGCGAGGAAATGAAAATCGCGGAAAAATTCTACGACGAATGCTTTGACAGTTTTGCTTGCATCATTTTCCTGCAAACATCCCAAGACCTGAACGCTCGTTGTTTTGTCTGGCTTGTATGTCACTTTCCGCTCCATGGGAGTAAGGATTGATGTGCAAGGACTGATGTATACTTGTCCCTTTACTTTTGTTTTTGCCATCAGTTGTGTCACGTTAACAAAAATGCCCTTTTGTGTCAGTTCACCACCAGTGAAAATTTCTTCAAAGTTCCCCTGAAGTAAAAAGGTCTAGTATGATAAAACGGCTTTGTAAAATAAGTGATATAAAGCTGTTAATACATAGGGTTTATTGATGAAACTTATAAATTTCTAGTTATTTCTAGCCTTGGGTTTGTCACTCAATAGTTCATGGAAGGAACGAAAGTCATCTTCCAAGTTGGTCCAAATGATAAATGCTGCGCAGAATCAGCGGCTGGCCTCTGCGTAGACATATCACTACCGCTGACCATGCGCATTACCTTTTCGGCCATTTTCAGAATTTCCTGAGGAGAGTTGTGGTGCTGCATGTTCAATTAAGAAAACAGACTTAATTGTCTTTCAAGGTATGCGTCTGTACTTGTTTCTTCCTTTCTAGCTTAGTTAGATGATGCAAACTTATTTATAAACCGTGGATAGACATAACTTTGTGACGGTTAAGTGGGACGGCCTTCACTACAATTCGATGCGATAGTTTAGGCCCCTTGCCTTTCTTTTTGCAGCTGGGTACCATCTCTTTCTTTTATGACCACAAACAACAGGAATTTTTTTAGTTTAATCAAATATCTCAATTTTCCCTTAAAAGATTTAAAGACCAAAGTTGTATCTTCAGTACAAGGTCACGTCCTACAAGGAACAGCTCTCCTCCATAACTTTAGGTACAAATTTGATCTAGGCCTAGGGTAGAGAGAGAACCCCATACTGCAATATAATGGGTTCCTGTCACGACACATAATGTGGACTAAAAATTCTCCTCATAAAAATTGAAATAGTCAAAAGGACAAAATGTTTTAGTGTTATCTTAAGAGTATGGTGTAGACCTGGGTCTAGACATCATCCTGGCTGCCTTTTTTATAGTTCCTCAAGGGTGTGCAAGAAAGCTCAGGTGCACTTCATAAAAACTGTGCACTTTGAGAATTATTTTATGTTCTAAGAAGCACAAAGGGCTAACCTGAACATTTTGTTGATCCAAATACTGTATTGCATGACACTCAACCTCAACTAACTTAGTGGAAAGAATTTAGATTCTTTCTCTATGTATAACTCGCCTTTTCAGCTAGTTTAGATCCCATAAAAAAACTTTATTTTGCATTTTATGATATTCAAGTGTGAAATAGTGAAAGGTAATCTTTAACATTTTTATCACATTTGCTCATTATATATCTTTGAATATATTTGAACAATGAACATGTTACATGGCTGAGGTGTGTGATATCACCACCACTTGAGAAGCATGTGGGTGACAAAATGCCCACTTTCTCTCCAAGACTTGTGCCAAAAAGCACGCATGCAATCACATGCCTCAAACTTAGAGGCCTGATATACAAACTTGAAGACATCTAAAGCCGAATGTCCATACATCTTGTTTACCCTATTTTGCCAAAACGCATCCTTATATAAGATGCACCCTTATTTCATGTTATAATTTAAGAAAATGGTTGTCACAATGTCTTACCTTGTAAAAGGAGCATTCCCCTTTTCTCAGTACTTTCAAAACATGTTTGTTTCAGTGAAAAATGAAATAGACTCAAGAATACTAAAAGAATTACTCTGTGGCAGAGATTTTGTTCAAACCCAACATGTGTACCTTTTCATATAGAATTATCAAATATAAATAACAGGTTTCAGAGTCCATAAAATTGTTCTTCATCACCAGTTTAACCAAAGATCCTTTCAGTCTTTTTCAGGTGAATAACTGTTTCTCACAATCCCCACATAATTCAGAAAGCATAGTAGATTTTGCACTATTAGCACATAGTAAATTTCCTCCCATTAATTTTACAGTACCTCCAGCGAATTTTTATAAAAGTGAATAAATGGCCCGAGTAAAAAGGCCAGTTCTACAAATAACCTTCAGTTCACTACAATTCAGTCATGACTGCAACTACTGTGGCGATACACTTTACTCTTTTTTTATAAGAACAATTTTATAAGAACACGAGGCTCAAAACTGGTCAAAAGTTAAGAACAAATTAAGAACAAGCTAAGGCTGAGCTTCTGCAAAATGCAACTTTGAACAACGTTTTTTCTCAAAATCGAAGATTTTTAGCGATGTGTGGGTGCTTTTTCATCGAATATTCAAACCTTTCGGCAAATGAAGGTTGTCTCACTCACTTTGTTGGCAAATGGGGCCTGAACACCTCCTTAGAGTAAAACGCTAGCAATAGCACTGCTTACAGCCTCTTAATTTAAGAACAAATTAAGAACAATCCAGCCTCATATTTTCGAAAAAATTAAGAACAGGCAGCCTGAACTTATATTTACTGGTTCTTACCAAAAAAAGAGTGTAATTGATCATCAATGAAATTGACTCTTACATGAATTTTGGTTCACACATTTTGATTGAATGATCATTTTGTCTATTTTTGGAAAACCAGAAACACTTAGAGATCTCCACTATAACTCAGACCGAAAACTAACAGTTTGGCACATATCTAACATAGTCCAAATATATAATCCATGTTCTAAGTTCTTGTTCAGTTTTTCAGTTTTTTCCTGGTTCTGAGAACCTTCTATTTATTGAGTCTGTCTTGTTTTATATATCATAGATGGCGCCAGTTCTAAGAAATTTGCTTCAAAGACAGTTGTACAAGGATCTTGGAGTTGGGCTAACTTTAGGCATGATTGCTGGTTTTGCCTGGAAATTTGGTTATGCTGACCCAAAAAGAGCACAATATGCAACATTTTACAAGGGTTATGATCCAGAAAAGGTAGCAAAAGAAATGGAAGCAGAACTAGCAGCTTTACAGAAAGAATGAATCTGTAAGTAAAGAACAACATAATGTATTTATTGCTGCACTTTTGATCCACTGATGCTTTTATTTTGGTAATTTTTTATGTATCTATAAGTACAAACATAAGACTTTTTTAATAGATCTGAAGTGTTTGCTTGTTCAAAGGAAGTCAGAGAAGAAAATGCACTGATTGTTGAAAGGAATGCAGTTATAGTGTTTTTTCTTCCCTGTTCAATCTACTTTAGTTTATTCAGGCTACGTTCACACTGCTATGTATTCGTTTCACTCCGTTTTCGTTGATGAAAAAGCTGTCCGTTCACACTAAGCCGTTTTCTAATGAATACAATTTGGATACGGTGTTCACACTGCTCCAACATAAACGCTGTTGGTGGTCTCATTTTTTAAAAGAGCTGTTCACGAATCCTCAACAAATTGGCTTCATTATGAATGGAATTGAATAAAAGCAAATCGTGAAAATCTTTGTTATAACAGCTACCAGTCCATTGTGAATTCTCAATTTCAAACTTTTTGAGATTTGGTGTGCTATAAAGCATGTATTATATTGCCGTTGTTAGCGAGTTTTGTTGTCGTGTTCACACTGAAAACGGAGCATACTCAATACCCACCATATTCAAAAGTATCTGTTTTCATTGGCATTTTGGAACAACTCCTGGAGCAGAGTAGTGTGAATGCAAGGCAAAAACGGATTACTTTGACTCCATTTTCATTTGAAAACAGAGTAGTGTGAACGGGCCCTCAGTCAGCTGTTTTTAGGTCATCATTTCAGTTTTCAAGCTGGATAAAAATTGCTTGCAAAGTGTCTCCATTACAGTGGAACCATGTTAATAGGGCCACCAATGGATCACCAAAAATTGGTGGCTGTATTAATGAGGAAGGGTCAAATTTTGGAGTTTAAGGGGTAGAAATTTATAACAACATCCAACAAATTTTTCTCTTAAATAGACATCTGGAAATGTGGATAAAGTTATAAAAACGTATGTTAAATAACTAGTCCACAAACAAAACAAAACGGAAGTCCTGGGTTCTTGGGCCTTAATCACCAAATCATGTTTATGATTTTGCGAAAAAATGGATGACTTTTGACTGGCTCCTTCTGCGTTCCAGCCAATCACTTTGAATGTGGGCAATCACACCTGAAAGGGTGTCTGCTGTGTCATTGTTTCCTTTTGACTCAAGGAAACATAATGCATCTTCAAGGCGAGATATTGCCTCACAATACAGATGGGCGTATTAACGGAATGGAATTATAAAGTATTAACAGGGTGTATATATATTCTTTTTATTTTTTATTAGTTAGTTTAGATATACACTACAGTTATAAATGACTGTCTATCATAAATTGCTTGATGTCATGAATGCAGAGCTGAAAAATTAATCTCCTTCTGCTTGAAGTCTGAATGTGTTTATTTTGGCATTTTTAAGAGTTTTAGAACTAATATTTGGCCATGTATAACAAAAACAAATTTTTCAAAACTTGATGCCATGTCTAACATGATTTTATTTTCATTGCAGGACTGCACCTTGCTAGATCTGTGGTAATTCTGTTCCCAATTTGAGAGGTGTGACAAGATGTTAAGAATGAATATTTTAGTAACATATTCTGTAGTCAGCTGATTGCAAGCTTTGATTCATTTCATTGTTATAAATACACCAACACAAATATGTACAATGAAAAAATTATGAAAATTTTGTGTGCTCATTTTGAAAGAATCTGCCTTCTTTAGTTTTGGGAAATTACAAACAACCCCATAAGACTTTCCGAAGGATTATTTTATGATGCCAGGTTCATTTATGAAACCAGAAAAAGGAAAAATAAGCTTCAAAAGGATTCACATTTTGCCTTTTCCAAGAAAATTTTTATATCCCAACAGAATAAAAATGGTATTGAAATTAGAGATACCAAAACTTCCCAATAAATTTTTTATTTCAGAAGATATACTATTACTGCTAATCAGAATAATGGTTTAAAACAGGGATTTTGCAATTCTATCCTATCACATTTCATTTGTCACCAGAATTGCCAAGAGGACACTGGCTGAACAAATTTTATTGTTTACATGGTGAAGCATTCAAAAATTTTGTTTGTTCAACTGAAATTATGAGTGTAACTGCAAATCTTAGTTAAACTGTGAATTTGAAGTCTGCCAAGCTCAAAGATTTTAACAATTATTCAATAGGCATAGGCACATACAGTGCCTTCGACACTCTTCTGAAAAATAGAATATAGCTTATTAAAGAACAAACTTTGGTAATCTAACTATAATATCTTTTATAAAGTATATTTTTCCTTGTCCGCTTTGGAGTAAGGAGCCATCTGCCATCACGTGTAGTGAGCGACCTTCCCGATTTCTGACGTTAGTTCAAAACGAAAGAAAGTCTTTCTTTAAAAGATCATGTTTATATTGTGAATTATTGAAAAGTTATTAGAAATAGATTGACATGTTGAGATTCTTAGCAATGGGAGCCAAATGGCGTTAGGCAAGGTTATGAAATTAATTTCATTTAAAAGTTTGCTTATTTCAGGTAGAATTTCCTTTTGTCAATAAAACTGAATGACTATACGGGTTCTCCGTGAACTATTTAAATAAGCTATTTGCTTTATATTACGAAATATCCAATGTTGGCATTGCAAAATTTATTTACAGAATTTGGAATCTTCAAGGCACGACACATTGCAATCATGTGTTTTCTAAGAGGCAAAAATCAGCTTAACAAGTCTACGGATTGGTTGCCGTGGGTTTTATAGTGCCAGCTTCTCTTTTCTACTGGGATACATTCAAGTGTAACAATCCTGGTGCGAATGTCTCCAGCGAGAAATTTCCCGATCGGGAAGTCCCCCTTTGAATAGTCAAATGACCGGGCCTTTTCTATTTTTTCACGTCCCCTGCTAGCTGAGATTTTTTTGTCCCCGGTCAATGTTAAGTCCCCTTTTTGGCGCGACATCGCATGCCCTGCGACAAGTTGAAAACAACTTTTGGTGCCCCTGCCACATTTGCTACCCTGAGTACCAGACCCGCAAAGATTTAACGGCAGCAAAAAATAATGAGAGCTGCAGAGGCAAAGGAGAGAAGAGGGAAGAAGAAAAGCACAAAAACTTTCTTCTTCCCTCTTCTCTCTCCTTCGCCTCCGCAGCTCTCGTGATTTTTTGCTGCCGTTAAAATTTTTGCGGCTCTGGTACCCAGGGTACACATTTGCCTGCTTACCGAAAAAAGCTCGCCTGGCTTTTTCCACAGGGGTGTTGGGTTGGTCAAGAGGCCAAAGGTAGGTCATAGAAGAAATAATCTCCCAAGAGGGCTATACGTTTTACTATATAGTTTTGGTGGTTGCTTTCCTCATCTCGAAGCATATTGATCTGGGTCTCAAACCCAAGTTCAACCACAAGAACAAGTTACGAACTAAGGATAAAACATTTTGTACCTTAGAGACATTTGATATGCAGAAGTACAGCGAATCCAAAAATAACTTAGGCCAAATTGATCAGAGCACGCGCACAAGAAAGGTATTGAAAACCGCTCACGTGAAACCACTGCACGCTGCTCTAGGATTCACCGATTTGCAGAAAGGCGGAAACTGTTCACGTGTTTTTATCTGTAAGCCATTTATACCTGTGTCAAATGCCTATAAGTAGAGGGACTAGCCTCTGCCCCATTCCCCTTCCGTCGTTCTTGAGTTCGGCACCTTGACTTCCAAATAGTCTGTTGGACTCGAATCAGATCTGGAAAAAGTTGTGTCTTGGGTCAGTCTGGTACCCAGGGTAGGTCTTGGACACAGGCTTGTAAATGCAGACGCGAATAGTTATGCGTAGGATGTTGCTAAAGGAAAGATCAACACTAAGACAAAGCCTTGCGAACAAAGTTCATTAAACTACTTATAATTTCCCAGCAAGTCGCATAGAAACAGTTATTCGATATGGTAAAAATGTTTGTTAAATCACCGCAAGGAACGGTATCATTTTCATCCGATCCGTTTAGAATGATCCTATTCGATAGAGGGACAACAATGTCATAGATATAAGATATTTGATAGTTTTCTCATAAATATTTAATTGATTTGTTACGCAGAGTGGACTCTGTTTTCCTTTCTCAACCCACCGGCCATGACGTGACGAATAAAAACATTACGGATCCTATACGAAGGCAAAATATTGTTTGGAGTACCACTGTGCTTTTGTGAATATTCGAATACTTGGTTTGCTTATGGTTTTTTAATAACAGATCAAACGCCAAACTCAGTTATGTTGTAAAGAAAGAGACTATCTGAATTTTTCATTCGAGCTGGTGTGTCTCCTGCGTGCATATTCATTTATTGTCTGGGGGCTAGCGATGAAGAATCTGCCGAGAGACAACTCGCACCCTGGTGTATACCAACAACAAATACTACACGCGTGTTAACATTGTTAATAACAAAGATATTAAGGAAACTGTCCTGAATTTATCAAGAACTAACATCCTTTCCTGAGCTTTATAAAATTATGTGCTTCGTGACGAATTATTGATTTTTTACAATTTTTATATTTAGGTATATGAAATTATAGAAAAAATATTGTCTTTTTTAATGAACAGTCATTTTTGCAGAAACCACTGACTTAGACCTTGAAATAATTATTATGAGATATTATGGATCGTGTATATTATGAAATATCAACTCATTTTGAAGCACGATATCATGAGCCACTACTTCTTGTTCAACCCTCACTTGATTTTCTTACCTCTGAAGGATTTCGAAAAGAGTAATGTCCTGTTTGTATATATTTCAATTAAGATTCTCTGTAACGATGAATTTCACTCCAGCTAAGTTCTCCACACAGTAACTTGCACTGAGGCAGGTTTCGTTAAAACATACACTCTTTTTTATAAGAACCAGTAAATTTAAGTTCAGGCTGCCTGTTCTTAATTTTTTCGAAAATCTGAGGCTAGATTGTTCTTAATTTGTTCTTAAATTAAGAGGGTGTAAGCAGTGCTATTGCTAGCGTTCCGCTCTACGGAGGTGTTCAGGCCTCATTTGCCAACAAAGTGAGTGAGACAGCCTTAATTTGCTGACAAATTTAAATATTCACCGAAAAAGCACCCACACATCGCTAAAAATCTTCGATTTTGAGAAAAACGTTGTTCAAAATTGCATTTTGCAGAAGCTCAGCCTTAGCTTGTTCTTAATTTGTTCTTAACTTTGACCAGTTTTGAGCCTCGTGTTCTTATAAAATTGTTCTTATAAAAAAAGAGTGTAGTGGTTGAAATCGAATTTACACCATTGTGATATGATTTCTGCTATTGATGGAATATTGACTTCCTTATTTGCTTCTACAGGCAATGGTGGAGATTGAATTACCACAATCGATGCTAACCCCCCCGATCATTTGGTTATCCAAAGAAAGCCCTGCATAGAAATAAGAATTGCTCAATTACCATATGAAAACAGTCTTTTTAAGACAAAGGATCTGCATAAGAGGAGAACGTGAAAAATGCTGGCTTAATCACAACATAGCATTAATCGGCCTCAATATAAGTTTGGATTTTGCCTTTAATATTATATGAATTTTCATAATATTTCTTGGTAATAGATCCATGGGGATCGAATTGTTCGCAACGCAGTCCACCCGGCGGCCAATTCGATATGTTTCCCTACAACAGGGCAACAAATCGCGGACTCAAGCGAAGTAGACGAAAAACGAAGATGGAAGAACAGAACTTAGTTAAGCCTGAAATGGAAGAAACTGTGGAAGTAGACGAAGACATTACCTGGGATTACACAGAATATAAGCTAACATATGTCTTAGATAACTTTAAATTGCCGCAAATCGTACGAGTCGTTGAGGGCTTTATGTTTACCGAGGATGATAGTCTTGCAAGCGGAACTGTCCTAACCATTCACGGGCAACAAAAAGTTGAACAAATCTGTGCAGTTGATCGAAATGGCCAGGGTGCTGAGATTTATATACCACTGAGCTGTCCATATAAAGTCAAGGTTACGGTTCCAGATAGAGCCAACATTTATAAATCGGTAAAGGATCTTTGTAACGCAACACCTCTTCCAAAATGCTGTATAGTGAACGAGAAAATCTCAGTTGCTGGTGTAAAGATCCCTTCTGGAAGGATGTTGATAATAAAATCTATAAGTAAAAATCGCAATGACCAGGCCGAAGGAATTTCAGTTGAGTTGTTGGACAACACGACGAGAAACCTCGTTCTGCCCCTGAAGATTATTGGCAATTTCGCACCCTGTCCGTTGCCTTCAGACCAAAATAGGACGTATTTTGTACGAGAGCTCAGTCAGCGCCCGTTTCCTTTATGGGTCAATTTCTTGTCTACATTTGAGAAAAACCCCTCATACGGGCCCCATATGGGCGTCGTCAAATTCATGAAGCTTCAAACGACAGACGTTGTATTTTCCACCAGTACCATCGACGGGGAAAAGTTTGCTATTTCGTTTTCTCGCGATTTGCCGGTCACCGTTGAGATGGCACGAGACGCGTTGCTCGCAACGTCGCCGTACTCAAACAAATGCAGAATTGCCGGAGAGCAGGTTGATATCGACGTACTCAGTCATCTAACAGACGCTAACCCTTATTCTGATAAATATCAAAGTGCAATCTATGCCGACATGTTTGCACTAAGAAAATCATTTGTACAGAGAAGGGTAAATGAAGATTCGATTGACTCGTTTGAGAGTTTGCAGTCAGACACATCATACAGCGAAGATAGATCGTCAACGAGATATGTTATGGATAAGTCATTCCACGTTAACGGATCAATTGGGTCGTCATTCGGCGCAGACAGTCATTCTGTTGGTTCCCAATCCAACCAATCAATTGGCAGTAGCAGTGACCTACGTCACCAAATAGATGAGTACGTTTCTCCTCAGTATGTATATGTTCTGAGTGAAGCAAACAAAAACAAATCTGATGATGAAGATTTACTAGAGGACGAAGAAGGCTACACAATAATTGCTGAGCGTATGGACAGCACATCTGCTCCAATAAAGCAATCGAGAACACGTGATAGTGGCAAAGTCCGACCCTACCTCGAAGTTGACATTATAAAGCCAAGTCCTACTCAAGTGCTTTCTGATACTTTAGAAAGGGTTAAACCCCCACCCATCCATCCCCAAACCCGAGCCCTCCCATCTCCACCCAAGTCCTACTCAAGTGCTTTCTGATACTTTAGAAAGGGTTAAACCCCCACCCATCCATCCCCAAACCCGAGCCCTCCCATCTCCACCCAATAAAGGCCGTCTGTCGAAATCAACGTCATCAGCACAGGAAGCAGAGCCATATTCGAGCAGAAAATCATTAGATAGGACATTTTCCGATGGATTTGCAGCTAACATGCCAGATCAGGAAACGTGGTATGATATGCCTAGGCGTCACCATCCCGAAACTTTATCGGTATGCAGCAATAACTCTGAAAAATCAGATTGTGAGTCAATAGCATCTGAATACTTGTCAGTTATGTCTGAGCCAGGGCTTACTTCAAAGGCCAAGGAAGACTTGGATCCAGTCCACTCACAAAAAAAGCCCTGCCCGCCGAAAAAGCCAGAACGACCAAAGGGACCCCCTAGGCCAATTCCGAGAACGTCATCAAAGAAAGTCCACATTCAAGTAAGTTATTAATTATGAATTTTCATTACAACTAATTGAAGAAATTTAGAGTTTATGGAGCAATTACTTTAAATGATTATTAATTGTAAGTTGTGCAAAGATTTAATTTAATAAGAGCTTAAATATTCTGTGATAAAAAGGATTCTTTGAGGGCTTGTTTGAATACGCATTTATGACCAGATGGCCTTGCAAACTGCTAACCAATTCTGGTTGAAACTTTAAACGCGATTGTCGAGAATTGGTATTAGCTATTTTTCAGAATTGTTTGGTTCTATAGCTGGCGGTTTAGTTATGTCGGCCCAAAATCTCGCTCTTTGTGACCAAGATTTTCATGCTTGACGAAGCTTTCGAAGTCATATTCATAGTAGGTTACCAATCAAGTAGCTTATTCGCAGCTAATTAAATCTAACTACTAAAACTAAAAACTAAAGATAAAAATGCATATAAAAAGTAAAATTAATGCATAAGACCTAATAAATACATAAATTACAGTAATACATATCAGCATTTTTAACAGTTATTTAAAACTTTTTCCTGAATTGTTTTTAATTTTGAATTCATTTTGAAAAATTATTTGAACTTTTGCGACATAATTCTTAAACAGCCTCCATTTACAATCTTCACTTTTCCATATTTTATACGCTTCTTGAAAATTGGAAGGCTAGTTGATTCTTTTATCTCATTTCAGTGGCGGCGCCAAGTAGTGGTATGGATTACCCCCCCCCCACTTTTGTCGAAACATGGTCTACATATTTCTTCTAAAAACGAATTAAAAAGGACTAGGTAGGGGTAGATCATATTTCCTTAGGAAAGTTGACCTGATACAAACACTGAAACGAGGCAAAAAAGGCGTGGTCACACGGGCAGCACTTTCCACTCGATTACCCTCCCACTCTGCAGTAGCTGGCGCCACCACTGTCTCTTTGGTAACTTATTGGTGTCACACAAGGGGACTTAATAGTACCCCATTTAAACTTCAATTTTTTTTCTTAAAGACTCATTGCTTACAATGGGCCTTTGCGAGCGTGGCAACGGTCCAAACAATGGCAGTAATTGATTTTAGACAGTCTAAAAATGCATTATGGGATGCTTACGTAGCGCAATGGCTCATTGTTAGCAATGAGTCTTTAAGAATTATGCCTTTGAAGATCACGCAGATAAAAATATTATGCGACCTCCTAACCGTTAGAAGAAGGCGTTTTGATGACCAAAAAGAGACTGGATTTTGGCAATTGTTAGTTCATGTGTTTCGTTTGTAATTTTAGGAGAATTTGAGCCAATCTCAAGATCAGAAGAAAGAGGGTGAAATGTCAATAACTTCTTCTGCCTTTTTGCCTTCTGGTAAAGACATAACGACCAAAAAGGATGCTGTGATAGACGATAAGGCTCCTTTACCGATAACGACTACTTTGGGCAGTTCTGAAGCTGCAGTATGCATTGAAATTCAAGATGGAGAGGAAGATACTTTTTTGGATGTAGCGAAGAGTAAAATTGTCTCTCGAGAAAATAAACGAACTTACAGTGGATATTATCTGACCAAAAAAGACATTGTTGAAGTACAAGAGAGCAAGACAGAAATTGAAGTGGATTCTGATAGACAGAAATCTGACCAAAACGTAGTAGATGATGATGATGCATCGACGAAGCAGGAAAGTAAAGAACAGATTTCACGGAAATTTTCAGTTGTTGAGGCTTGTGAAGATGATGTCGGTAATATGTTGGACGAAATACAGTTGTCAGATTTTAAAGAAGTATTTAAGGATGAGCAAATCAATGGTGCACTTTTAGAAGGACTTGACATTGAGACATTAAATGAACTTGGCCTAGATCGATTTCAAGCTGTAAAGCTTCTCGATTACGTCAAAGGATGGCGGCCGAACGAGGACTGTGGCGGTGACTCGGACAACCCTGATTCGTGGACAATAGAAGACGTTTTTAAGCGGCTACAGAAGATAAATCTGAAACTCTTGGCAGATTTTTGTGCACAGAACCAGGTTGATGGAAAACTATTGCAAAGTTTGATCGACAGTCATTCGTTAGAATGTTTGACAAACACATACAGTGTTGGACTGAACAAATTCAACACCAATAAACTCATTAGATACGTGAAGCAGGGATGGAGGCCCGACACAAGTAAATAAAATGGAAATGAAACAGGGACTGTAAAACTAAATACGTTCGAGGGGGGAGGGAGGAATGAGCTGTAAAATTTTCGGTGTGCCTAAACCAAATGTTGTAAGTGTTGTATGGTTCAGTGCATTGATTTTAATTCGTTTGGTAATTATTAGCAGGATGGAGCTTCTATCTCCCTTCCATACTCCCTTGAATGCAATTGAGTTGAATTGTGCGTAAGATCAAAACAAGAATCGATGCCTTTAGCTGCCCATTATTTCAAAGCTCGCACAGAAAATATATGTTTTGCAAGGCCGCCGAGAGGGGGGCAAGCGGGGAATTGCCCCATGGACTAAAGGTCCAGGGGGCTAAATGAAATAACGAGTTATGTTCTAAATGGAATTGATTAAAAGTAACAAAATTATGTCAGAAAATGAATAAACATTTTAAGCGAATGGATGACCTCTCGGCCGCCTTGGTGGCTGATATGAACTTGCAAAGAGATGTTTTGGTTGTTTACTTATTTATTTGTTTGATTTCGTGTGCCAAGACTTTTGTGTTTGAAATTAATGCCTCTATCATTGCACAATTTTCTAATTGCAACGACCAAGAAACCACAATTCTGAATTATAATTTACAATAACCGACGTGGCACTAGTGGTTGGGGGGATTCTAGAATTTTTCACTGTGACTCTTTGACGATTGAAGCTGATAAATAGGTTTTTATTAACATTGTCTACTCTGGTTATTGTGCCAAATAATATAGCAGAATACGTCCCCTTCTCACCGTTTTGATGTCCAACACGTTGTGGTACTCTTTGTCCTTTTTAAGTAAACTAGTGATTAGCATATTGTTAAATGTATTTTTTTGGCTAGCTCTAGACGTTCGTTGTTAAGTTCAAGGTATACACTAAACATATATTTGATTTTCATAAGTATTTTTATACGTTAGCCCTCGTGACAGTTAGTTAAAGGACAGTTAGTTAAATAGCTTTTCAGTAAAACTGGAGAGTTTGCATGCACTAAAAAGATAATGTATTTCGTGTCTGAATACTTCATTTTTTAATCATATAAATTCATTAATTGTTAAGGTATTTGTCAAACACGTTAGAGTAGTAAAAATAACCTTTAAGCTTTTGTAACAAGCTTATATTTGCGAGAGACCTCCAAACTTGTGTTGTGATGTTTAAAAGAATCAGGTCAGGTATCGGAGATCTATTTCTGCGAGCAAAACCTGTGATTCTGTCATTTGACAAAATTTATTACAAAACCAAGAAGTATAATGTCGACATGTTGGAAAATTGTCAGTGCCCATTCGTCGTTTTATCTAGCAGTATTAAGAATTCATCGACAAAGAAATGAAAAAAATCACTACTGTGTAGACAAAAAGAGTTAACCCTTAGAATCTAATGATAATATTTTCTTTAGGCCCTTGAAAGTGATTCGATCTATGTTCTGATGATTTATTGTACAATTTTAAACACGTTTGAGAGACATTTAGGGGCCAAGCTTTCTCCACCCCCGTCTTCTTGGTCTCCAGGTAGATGTGAGGCCTTTTAAAGCATTCGTTTTGTATTTTAAACTGCAACATTTGCATGTGTCAGCACAAAAGAAATCCCATTCAGTTCAATGGTTTCAGCGGAAGCATTTAAAGCAGAACAAAATGGCGGGAGAACTTGCAGCTGACAAAGTGGCAGGCCAGAGGGGGTGTGTAATTGTTTTTACTCTTTATGGGCAGGTAAGTTGAACACGGACTATAAACTATGAAAGCTAGGGATATGTAAGAAGTTTGCCTCTTGATCAGGAGAAATCTTCTAACGTTGCTGTACCACTAAAAATACCTTTGTTATGTGTAGTATGGCGATGGAGCGCCGGGCCGTCGGCGAATGCAAGGACGACTTCAGTGTAATTGTGCTCGCCAAAATCTGAAATCTACATCAAATTTGCAACATTTTGTGCAAAAATTAATTGTTCCTAAGTAGGGTCTAAAAGACGTAATAATAAACATGTGGTTAGGTGGGACACCAGGTACTTTCCTGGTGGGCCCCTTTCAAGTGATTTTCTTAAACCCAGGATAATATTTGATATGAATAAAATCCTTGGTGAGAAAACGCCTCACTTGCATATAGACTTAACTTCACAGTTCAGAATTAGGGGACATCATACAAACAGGCCCCTGTGAAAGAGATGAATTGAATATGAACGGGGCTGCCAAGAGGCGGACAATGGGGTGCAAACTGCCCCAGAGCCTCGAGAACATGAAGTATGCCTAAAAATTGTAAAGTGTGGTAAACAACTGTGAAAAACATTCTGAAATGTGTTTCAAGCCACATTAAAGGGTGTGACCACACAAATTTTCTTCTCGCTTCATTGGCAGTGCATGTAAGTGTTTTGTTTAGTTTGTGTTTGTATCAACTGTGCACTACAGCATTGGAATTGTTTCTCAATTTTGCAGTCTTAAGGTTATGATGAATGTTTTTTAAAATTATATTTGGTTTTCTCTCCCTGAAAACCAAACTATTAAAAGAATCAGATTAAACTATACATCATTTGATGCACAAGAATGTGGTGATTCCAACCATATCAAAATAATTGGCAAATATTGTAAATGATACTTTTCAGGCAAATTTATTGCTTACATGAGTGCACCACATTTAAAAGCTATTTTGTACCTTTGCGTTTGAGGCATCTTAAACTGACTTGTATTAGCAGAAGGCGCAGATCCTAAGCCACCAAAATGTGTCTCAGATTTTTCAAATTCCTCCTCTCCTTGAAACTGTAACCTGTCAAAAATTGGCAAGCAATTTTTCCTTTCCCCTCATAGCTGTATTTGGCTGTAAAAGACGGACCAGAGCAAATACAAAAATTTTGAGACACACTTTGCTTACCCGACATCTGTCCTGGCCGTGTGCAAATTTTTGAGCTGCCATTGGATTCTTTCCTTGGGTACAAAATAGCTTTTTCGTACCTGCATGTAGAGGAATCAGAAGTCCAGAGAAAACAGAATTTTACTGATTGCACTTGCAAGTTACACTTATAAACCACACTGTAATCTGGGTCAAGTCATTTAAAGATTTAAGATCAATAAGCCTGTTTAAATAAACAGGTGTTGCGATATTGTAAAGGAGACAATCAACCACAACCGCAAAGCAACGATAATTGGCTTAACAGGTCAAACGATTTTCAGACCTCAATTAAAAGTTTTGGTAAAGAAATTATGGAAACATTTGTTGCCATGAGATTTTCTCCATTTTTAAGATTTCTGTAAGTTTCAATTCTAATAGCATTGTGTGCCTTGAAAGTTTGGCTACTTCCATATGAAATAATTAAAAAATGGATGTTTTGTCAAGAAAACGTTTACCCTAACCTTAAGACACTATTGTTAGAGAAAAGGAAATACACCCCAACAACTATAGCAGATGAACCTTTAAAAATTGATAAAAAACTGGCATCTTTGTAATTTTGATGCATGGTTTCAAGGAAGGTACCAATTTTGGCGACCTGTGGATCGCGATTGGAGATGTCAAACAAAGAGCCGGCCCTCTTATAATCATTTTTCCTGGCCCTTTTCTAGGAGCCACAACCGCCCTGATTTTTTATACAATGTCAAAAATAAATTTCAGATGATAACATAAACCACAAGTTGTTATTATACAAACAAAGTTAAACATTATCTCAAATTTTAGCTTGTTTGTACATTTATCCCACTTGCTGTCAATCCTTGTTTATAAGTCAAACACAGAAGAAAATCAAGTAGAAAGCTTTTATGCAAAAAATTAAATTCCGTTATATACAATTTGATTAATATTAACCAATTGTATTTATCTTCTCTTAAATTGTATTTTTCAAAAGATAAAAAAATTAATAATCCAATGTCAGCGCTTTAAGAAAAGAGTAATTGGTTAAGAGTAGCATTCTTTTCTTAAATTTCGATAAATTTTTTAACACCTTTATCATGTTGCCATGACAATGAACCTCTTTTTCTGTTAATGATCACCCATGGTTTTTTAAGAAGTCCACACCTTCCATTTCTAATTTTAACATAACCTTTCTCTCCCCAGTTTCTTCCCCATGAGTTCCTTACAATCCAATATAGATTGCCATTTTCCCTGCCATAACCAACAATCAGGACAGAATGGTCTGTAGCACCATCTAGAAAATGATTTGCACATCTTAGTGATTTGTTTTTTAAAAGAAACATATATTAATTGTGTGTAAATAACCAAGCAGTTAAAGTATTCTTTGGCACCATGAAGCAAATTTCAAGCTATATGAATTAAAATTAGTAGCCAGTTGTAATAACTTTCAAGTTCATTACCAGAAAAAAAATTGTTGTTTGAAATTTGAAAGATCTGACTGTAGTTTCAACATCATTCTTCAGCACAAGCTGTTTTTTTGCTGCCACTCTTTTCAATTCGTTTTCATTTTGTGTTAGTATTATCTACTTATAATAAGTTATTATTACTTACTTAATAAGTTAGTATCATCTGCTTTCTAAGTTAGTATTACCTACTTACTAAGTGAGTATTACCTACTTAATAAGTTAGTATTATCTGCTTTCTAAGTTATTATTACCTACTCACTACATTGTCTAGCAGTTTACTTTTCAAAATTAGTTAAGATTAGAATTATAGGCAAGGGCTACATATCGAGATAAGTTTTTATCGTTCATGTTTCTTTATTAGCTTGAAATAATTTACTTATTTTTATTCACATGCTTCACAGTAGACTTGATATAAATAAAACTAATTGAAGTCATACTCACTGCATATTTTATCATCGTAGACTCCACTCTTGTAGAACTTCAGTGTTTTTGCCTCTGTGTTGATTGATGCAGTGGCAGGTCCATAATGGGCAATTGCTTTCATCAAAGCAGAAGCACTGTTTGCTTGTACCTTCATGAAGCTATCAATTTTTGCACCAACTGTGTAGTTTTTAGTTTTGCATGAACTTTCCTGAAACAAACGTAGAAAAGGGTTTTGCTTGGTATAGATAAACATAAGTTAGATTGCAAACTTCCGATAACCATGGAGGCCATGATCAAGAAGCAAAGAAGCAAGAAGTCTACTCCCAGTTATTGATATACATATCTTATCATAGCAAGAAAAGTGAGACCTAAGGTAGCAAGAAAAAAAACTATCCACCCTTCCAAGTTATATTATTGGGGAATTTATAAGAGCTTCCCTTAAAATCAATCCATTTTTCAAATTATTGCCAATGCTAAATTGTTTTTGCTTTGAGTTTCTGTGAATAAATAAGCAAAGGTTCTCACCATGCCAAGATAATTTCCATATGACTTTGATGTAGCTAAACCAAAATCTTTAATGTAAGCAAACGATTTCCATGTCCAACCACCCATACAGCCATGGTTTCCTTCCTTAGAATGGGGCACATACCAGGTGCAATCCAACAATTGTTGCTCTGATAACTTTATCAGCTCTCCCGTCTGTAATATTAAGAATGTGAAAGGGTATTTGCCACATTACAGAAGGGTCCATGAAAGACATTTAAAATAAGAATCATCATCATCAGGTACCATCTTCTATCAGAAGGTTGGCTACCATGTCCCTCCAACTATCCCAAAATCTGAGTTTTGGTTTGTTGTCATTGTCATAGATAAAACGAAAGGGCTAATAGTAGAGATGGGCCCCCAGAACCACCTCTACAGTGTTTTTGAAGGGACACCATCCCTCTTTCCAGGAGTTCTTCCGCCTGAAGCCGTTGACCCCTGGAGTCGTAGCTCACCCGCCCTCCTTGCCGGTCTCCCGCCGAGTCAGCCGTTGGCCATCGCTCGTAATAAAAATAGTGTCTTCTTTTTCAATATGCTAGCAGCTGAATGTGAAAAAATAATTCTTTATATGGTTGTATGTGGCATTTGAAGACGTTTCTGACCCTTTAACAGTCTGTTAATGCGGTACGAAATCCCAGATACCTTCTAAGCAACAATTCCTGGATCCATATTTATGATAACACCGCCACAGTCTGCTTACTCCACTCTGGCAATTGCTGTTTATCATTACTAGTAACTTGGAGTTCATAGTGTACAATCGAAACTGAACTGTTGCTTCAGCTAATTATGATTCAAATTATACATGTTGATTATAGAGTCAAACTGAGATAATTCGTTCTTTCTAAACTAAACTGGATTTCCTTTCAAGTATTAACCAAGATGTTGTTTCACATCTTGCCCTGTTAAATAAATGGGGCAGAAGTCTTGACCACAATGATGTTTCAAATCGAAACAATCTGGGGAATGTTTGATGAACAGTTATACTGCGCAATGCATGTTTCCTGTTTTTCGTGTTATTTTGAAATTTCAAATGCTATCATTCAATCATTTCATACTTGTCCTTTCCTTAGCATCTGCCATGCAGAAATTCCAACACAGAGTGAATCTGAAACCTTTCACCTATTACCACATCGGTAAGCATGCTTCTTGTTAATTTCTTGCATTTCGTCACTACTCCATTTGTATCATGTTTTAAGTCAATGGTGTTTTTCAGAGATGCTTGTAAAACTCAGAATGGCTATAAAGTAGCTACTAGGAGTTTGTGTATTTTTAGCTGTTACTTTAGATTACATTTGTGTTCAAAGATTTGTTCAAAGCAACCTTACCTTAATGAAATGGGAGCTCTCTACCGCTGCTGCAGTGGAAAATGTCCAGCATGATCCACAGATTCCTTGGGACTGTACCGGTGGAACGGCCCCTGCAAAGATAGATAAGTCAACAGTTTTCCTGATCTGATGCTTTGGGTTGATTTTTATTGTTTTAATGTCATGTTCGGAGTAACGATTGCCTAGCTTCACACTACGCTATATATCTAAGTTTTGCGACCTAGTTTATCGGATTTGCAACATATCAGGACAGAATACTTGATAGGTTGATTGGAAAGGGTTATAGGGTTAGGGTAAGGGTTAGGGTTAGGGTTAGGGCTGGGTTAAGGTTATTCTTTCCTGATTGGAACTAACAGATCATATCTATTGTCATTGTCCGACCAAGCCGTTCAAAAAGGGACCATGCTTAATGAAGTCAAGTTTAAGGCAACGACGTGGAGCAAAAGCTGTAGGTGTAGAAAATTGTATTTTTTTGCCTTTTGCCCTTATAATGACACCGAGATCTAGAATATGTAAATACTTGTCAAAGCATATATTTTTATCTACAATCCCGGTAAAAAATGCTCGATATTTTTGAACAATTATTTCAATTTTTCAAGTCAAAAAACTTCCACAGCCCCTATTTTAATGCTATTTGAATTGCTCTTGGATGACGTGGCTACATTGATTCAAGGGACCAGGAAGAAGGGAGAGGGAGGGGGAGGGGGAGTGTGAGGGGGCAGTGGGAGGTGGGTAAGGCTATTTCTGTTACAATATTTTCTTGCATTTCCAAAAGTTTACGTTTGTCTCAAGAATTTTGTCCACGATTGTCGTTTAATCATCAACATCTAGACATCCTTCCAATAATACCTATTTCTTATTTTCGTGATGTATTTAGCAGATAATTAAATTTTTACCATATTTACTCCAGTCGAGCTCTTCTGGAATACGTGTTTTCTTCTTCTTCTTCTTCTTCTTCTTTTTACTTTTAACTTTGTGACCTCTATTTAGTTTTTCACCTCCAATTCCTGCATAATATTCCTTTGGAAACCTCGAATGATCCTCCATCACAAAGTCTGTTTCGGTTACATCCATTTCTCCTGTTTCTGGGTCCATTTCTTCCACACCCAATGCAAAAAACGGTGTCATTCTACTCATAGCTGGTGTTTCCCAATTTTTCATGAAATTATAATAACCATTGCTGCTTACTTTGCCCTTCTTTGTTAGTTCCTCATTCCTGTCAGTTGCAAATGGATCTAAACTGGATAATACCTCAGTTTGTATCTTTCGCCTTTTTATTTCAGGTTCATATATTTCATTTGATTTATAGCTTCTCCGTAACTTATCCTCTGTTGCTTCATCGTCAAGAATTCTAACCATTTCATCCCATTTGATTTCATGTAACTTACTTCTGCCATGGGGTTGTTGAGCCTTTGAAACCTTTTTCAATTTACGATTCCATTTTCTTGCATAATGTTTAATTTCTTTTGACTTAGTTTTTTTAGCTACGCCATTTTTAATTGCCATCTCCTTTACATAATCGCTAACGTTGGTTTTATTTTTAAATATCCTTTTTCTTTTTCTTTCTGAATCAGTTCCTTTCAAAACCTCTTTTCTTTCGTTCTTATCTTTTATCTTTTGTAACTTATCATGGCGGCCCTTATCATTTCTTTCTAACACGATAGTATTGTTTTTTCTTGCCGTTTTGTCAAGTCTAACCACACGATCAATATACTTAACTTGTAACTCCTTTTGTATCAAAGAAGGATTTTGTATAAAAGTCTGGAATTGCCTCCTAGATTTCTCAGGGTCTATTCTTATCTCATCAGAAATATCATCTAACTGCTTAATGAAAAATTTAAGATCCCGCAAATCTTTCTCAATATCCTGATTATTATTCGCGCTTCTGTCTTCTAAGACACGACTACCCTGGATAGTGTCATCAACTGAAGTCTTTTTGCTTGTTTTTCCATTTATACCATCCTGGAAATCTTTCTTTTGCATTCCCCTAACGAAATTTCCTATTTTTGTCATTCCACTGCCATAAATATTACTTCTTTTTCCAAGTATCTGCGTCCGACTTTGGCCCGGTCCTGCTTTACGTCTAGCTAAGCCAGCCACTTCCAGCGGGTCAAAATCTTCTCCTAGAATGGGGATATCCTTCTCATATTTTTCAGTCTCTTTCTGTGTATCATAAGACGTCCCCCTATGGTTATTGTATTCTTCATCAGTCATGTCTACAAAGTGATTGACATCCAAGTCGTAACCGAGTCGCCTCCTGTTCATCGAATGTATGTACCTAAAAACAACATCGAAATTCCTTTTTCTTGCTTTTTCTGAAATACTTGCTTTTTTGATAGCTCTAGGTGACAAGCACTTGTTTATTTCTTGTGTTTGGCACCCATTTCAAGCATTGAAATCAAATCAGCTCACAAATTATCAACATTTCCTCAATACTTATATATCCAGTCCAGTAAAACATTAGTAGATTTGACAGTATCATTTTGAGCACAATTTTTGCGTGTAGAACAAAATCTTGAATAAGAAATACTAATCACCATAACTTGTGGAGGGCGTGGCACCAGCCCCACCCAAAACTGAGCCCTCACAAATTTTTATCTCTATCCGCCCTTGGACTTGACAATATCATTCTCGAGCACGATTTTGACGTGTAGAAGTTGCAACTCTTCATTTTCGTCATACATTAAGCTCAAAACGATGGCATAAATCTCAGTTAAATAGACTAGTAAACAAGAATCATTTGTTTTGACTACGGAGAATCTTAAGTATCTATTTATTAGTCTTAAATACGAACCTCATGTTGTGCCTTGCTATATGCATTCTCTTTCTGTGCTCCTCTTCGTGTTTATAAACTTTTCCAAAGTTGCTTTTAAAATGTTTGAATTTCGTCTCGAACTTGCCGTACTCCTCGTCGTCTAGGAATTCTCCAATGGGATTAATGCTACGATAGCCGGCTTCCCCTACGTTTTTTGGCACTTTTTGGCACCAACGATCTCTTTTTGCCACTAAAAACAAAACATAGCACGTAACCATAAATAACTGTTGAACTTCAAATCTTATTTATCAGATATAAAAAAACACGTCTTGTTATGCAAATTATTTACCCTGATATAAGTACAGAGTCGATAAACGTCAATTCCGGTAATGTGTGAGAAGGAAGATAAATTTTATGGGATAAATTTTCCAAGATAAATTGAATTAAACGAATACTAATATTTCGCCCTGGCATACAGGGCTTCATCAGAGTAAAAGAATTCCGGTAATCTCTTTTCAACGAATGCCAAATTGTAAAACCAGCATTAGGTCTTAATCATCAGAGCTGTTTCTATTTTCAAATATCATGGTTAAAAGAAAACAAAAAATTCTTGAGCACTTCACATCCGGTCTTATATTATGTCTGGGAAAACTTGAATGGATTGTGTGATTGGTTCATTGTGTTTGACCAATCAGCAACCTTGCTATATGTTCTCGTGTATTGTGTGTTGATAAAATGTCTCAAGGGAATAGAGTTAATTGGCCCCGCTCGTTTAATGGCTTTTGCACCATTGGTATAAAAGGTCTTACTCATGCATATTATCCAGATAGTTAATTGTTGCATGTTATGCAGTGAAAGGATCGAGAGAAAGCAAAGGACGAAACATTGAAACAGTTAGCTCTTTGCACCCCTGTTCTTCCTAGCATTGTTCCTGTAGAAATTATTTCATCGTTGAAACCATTTTTGTATTTGCCAGATAAGTGCAATGCCGATTTATTAGCAGTTCAATAAGCGACGAGTTGAAACAAGAGCTGAAGACATGCCCTTGTTAAGCCTTCTTTAGCTTTGCTGCCAAATCTCTTCGTCTTTGCATACCTTGGCAACGCCGTTGTTTGACTCCCCGGCTACAATCTTGTTTCCTTCTTGATTCTTACAATAAAGGAAAGCGACGATGAAAGAGCTGCTAAAGTCCTTATACATAATCGTCTTTTCCCTTTGTGATATCGCTAACTCCAACGCCTGATCCACTAAGCATGGCGACGCTAAAACGCTGATTCTCTAAAGATTTTTTCACTTACATCACAGGAGTTGTATACAACTACTCTTTTCTTGGGAACGTTTTCTGTAAAGCTATCTGTTCTATATTAAATCGTCTTGGTTTTGACATTTCACTCAAATTGTTCTTCTTGCTTAATATTTGTTTTTTTTATTTCTACTGCATTCACTGTAACCTTCCATTCGTGGTGAATACTCCTACAAATTTTCCCTACTTGAAATTTTTTTCCCCATATTTGGAAACCCTACACTTTAAGTAATAAATCTTATGACGTCATCAGTAAGTCATTTATTTAACTATTGTTGATTCAAAATTACGTTACTGGGTCAACTGCATGAACAAAGTAAATGTTTTAAGGGATTTATCGCAGGGAAGGGGGGACCCTTCATTTATTTTGGTTGTCATTTGAATACATAGATAGAAGATCTTTAGATTAGATTTTTCAACCAATACTTGTGACAAATCTAGATATTCAATATAAAGTGAATTATGTCTACCTTGAGGTATCATGAACATCTCAGCATCGTAAGTCCAGCTTTCGAATACCTTATAGTCCACAATGTAGTGATCGTAGTATGACGTCAGCATTACGTCATACCCATTCATCTCAAACCTCATTGGCTTCGGGTTGTCTTCATCGGTTGCATGGAAGATGTAGGTATCAGTGCGGTTGAATGCTTCCAATACTGCGATCCATTTAGAGCACCAAATGCCATTCAGTTTCACAAACCCTTGGAACTGGGGACAAAACAAATTTATTAATATCATAAGACAATCAATTTTTTCCTTAAATATTACAGTGATCCAAAATAACCTTTTCTTTGCTAAAGCAATTTTACAAATGCAGAATTTTCGACTCATTGAGGTATCTAGAACCTTTTTATGGTCAAAGCTGTCTGAAAAAAGGACTGATCCAAAAATTATTCTTTCAGAGATATTTGGACAAAATTACAAGGAGATACTACGTAATAACAATTATTTAATTAGCATATTATCCAAAGTGCTTTTTTATAACGATACTAATTCTATAAAAACAATTTCCAATTTAGTAAAAAAACACTTTAATATTTTTGTTGTTATAATTACTATTTACTGAAAGAAAATGCTCGCCAGTGAGTATAAAATGTCGCTCGCTCACTTTTCTCGCAGTATATTTCCACAAATCATGTTCCACTATGACTAATTCTTATTATTAATCATCCCTCTGCGATGCCATGTATACCCTACTCCATACATATTAGACGAGCCTTGCAGAAAATAAAAGAAAATAAAAGTGAGAATTTTGACGCAAACCTATTGTCCGCTATGTACTACTGTAAGCGCTGAGGAGAAGGCATTAATGTTATTGCCCCAGCTTCTTTCATCTCCTGCTTTAACTACTTTAGCTAAAGCTAACATTGCTTCAATTTAGGAAATGCCATTACCCAAGTGGCCCTGTGAATGGTCCTTCTAACTAACTTAAGTTGTAAAGCACTAGCTTTCCGGTATCTTTAGGAACTGAAGCTCAAAATACCTCATATTGCGTTAGATTCATCCTGAAGGGCCAGTAGACGGTTTTTGGCAACACGCTTTGAGGCTCAATTCGCTTCTTTTCTTTCCCGTTCTTTTTCCAGCAACCTTGGTAGTGGCTTTTATGTCTGTAGTCATATTTTGGGATGACTTCGTACAGTGTCCCATATTTGCCTACATCCCCACGCTGGAATGTCTTCACGGTTCCTTTTGAAGCGAAAATATACATCTTGTGACATGTAAGATTATAGGTTTAATGGCACAATCTTATGTCTTGTGCCATTTGATGCTTTCATATCAATAGCAAAGCAAATTAATGCAAAATTGAAGAAATATTGGCAAAGGCTAAAGATCCTCATTGCAGTTTACATTTGCACATGGTCGCAAGCCCAGTTAACTAGAAGGAGAAATTGCGTTGACCTTTTGTAACAGACATTTCTGATTGGTGGGTGTACCATTAAACACTAACATCAAGCACAATGTATCATCATGATCTTAATCGATTGACAAGCTTGGTATTGTACACGCTCGTATCCTTTTGGAAGCGAATCTTAAAAAGTTCGGATTCTTGCTGTCCACAAAAGGAAGATATTAATAAGCCTTTCATTCGACTTAGCAATGTTTAAAAAATTTCTTTTCCCCATTTTAAGATTCATTAGTATATTCTGCTCAAAAATATATATTTATGCTATATTACTTTCTTGTAATATCTTTCCGGAAAAGCGGAAAGCATTTCCGAACCGCTTTGTATTTTTGATTTAAAAACAGCATAACAAATGGATTTAAATGAAAGCCGCGTTTTTTAACACATCTTTGTATAAATTTTTGTCTCCAAGTTTTTGTCTTCAAGGACTAGGATTTTAGTCTACATGCCAGTTCTCTTGGGTAAGCGCGCGTGATATTGATTTCAAAACTGTGGGCGAAAAATTTCACAGCACCGAAAGAATTTCTTTCGTTAGTTTCCTTTTTAAGACATTGGTTTTTGGTTGGTTTTAGACGAAGATATAAATATTCAAAAAGTTCAGAAATAGTCAAGGGAAGATTTCCTTCTCTATCTATTTTTATAGCTCCATATACCAAAATGCTTCTATTTTTATAGCTCCATATGCCAAAATGCTTCCATTCCATTATCCTCATTTTTAGATTCAAAGCTGATCTTACCTTCATAGTAGTCGATTCGACTTTTGTTGAACTTGCCCGCGTACCATGCTTCAAATGGTTCCACTATGCCTGCTGATGGGATCCTTATATTCCCAGATGCATGGTAAGTGGATGGAAAGTGCAGACTAGAAATCGAGCGTTTCTGCAGTTGAAAGTCTTCTTCGCTCTCTTCTTCATTTGTGCTCTTGTTCATTGAACTTGACTCTCGATACTTTTCCATGCTTTCCACTGCTACAGAGTAAAGCACTGCGAGGACGATTCCGAAGTTTATTATTGTGCTCGACATTCAGCTTGATTTACTTTAAGTTTAGAATACCTGTCAACTTTTTTGAAGAAATACTAGGCACTTTTTGCTGCATAAACTCCATCACTTTGTTTCGCAGTAAGCAAAGTCCGTGTTATATTGGACTAAACAAAGCATGATTGAGCGACCCAACATCATTGCTCAATGCTTTGGTATCCGAAGTCCTTCGTGATAAGCACTGAAATGAATTCCCTCTCTGTTAGGCCCTACTATGCGCAGTTCGTTGAATTATGTCGATAGTTCACTGTTCCCGATCTCCACTAACTGCTTGCATATTTAGTTTCTTTTACTTTAGCGAGGCGTTTATTCTTTCTTATTACACATACTATTATATATTTCCATTCAAGACTCGATCAGTTCCTTGAAATTGTATGTAGAAACAGTTTTCGATGCTTGCAAATAAACAGGTCAAGAGATCAACGAATTTCCGACCAGGGTCACCCTACCTGCCGGCTTTGATTTCTCGTTACAAACTTTGTATGCTTATTAATTCGCTAAATTACCCATCTGGACGATTTATCGCTTGAATAGGCTAAAAGTATTATCAGTATCGATTTTCCCTCTATTAAAGTCACCAGTCACAAACTCTTTTATATATTATAAAGTTCAAAGCTTGCAAAATTGAAGCGTGCACCTCAGATTAGGAAAAAAAGCACGCACGAGTCTCTTTAAGCAAACTCACCAAGAACCGCACCGCGAAGCAGTGCTGAGGTTTTGGGACGGACTGTATGCCAGAGTTGCTAAAAAAGTCTCTAAGATTAGCAACTTTCAATCACATAAGAAAGTTCGACACAACAAAGTGCAAACATCTCTCCCTGTACTGCATCGAGCGCGGAATCTCTTTATATTCCAAAATACCGAATAACACTGTATTATTCTGCAACAAGCTTGATTTATGATAAGCAACAGTAGTATTTATCGTTTAATCCACTTTATTGTTTAGATCCGTTATTAACCTAAACAGCAACAGACACATCATACGACTTGCAAGAACTTTTTTGTTTGTTTTTTCTTGCATAGTCAGTTTTATAAATCTATTCGCTAATAAAATAGGTGAAATTCGACTCTGCATAGACTGTTTTTTACCAGTATTATCACAAGGCTAACCTGTTAGTTTGCGAAGCGTTAAAATCTAAGGTTAACTTATGGTTTAAGATATGCACTAGTTTCTTTTTCAATCTATACTAAATTATCCAACAGTTTCAAAACTTAGAATTGCACGATTTTTTCCTGTTTGTTTTTGATACGATGAAGAAAAATAATAAAGACTCTCGAAAGTCGTCACAGTAAATGATTATTTATACGTCCAAAATCTCGGCTTAGGGTGATTTTTTATTTTATACAAAAATTAGCGTTTATGTTCGAAAATCTTTGAAAGAATTTCCTATTCTAATATTAGTCTTTGTTTTGTTAGAGATCTGAAAATCTATACAATATTGGAATATTTACACTCCTGTCATACTTTTATTTTAACTACAACGGCCTTTTTTGTCACCCCGCAATTGTCATTTTTGGTCCATACTTTCAGAAAGCCACTGTTACCCCATGACGCTGACCAAGAATTCTTTATCAGCCAGTATTCTCGTCCGTGCTCTTTTCCAAACCCAACTGCTACAGCTGCATGGTCGACTTTGTCGTCTGAAAAACACGTGCACATTAATTTTTTTTGATAATAACATATTTAGAATAGTTTTGCTTAGTATTCCTGTCGCCCTGGAAAAATAGTCTTACCCATGGCTCTATCGTTCAATATATTGACTTGAGTACTGCCTTATTCTTGGTAACTAAATTGCTGAAATTTTTAACTATAGTTCGGTTATCCAAACTTTCTGAGAGTGATGCCCAAGGCCCAAGGACTCTAAAAGGAAAGACAGTTTTTCAACTTGGTGGAATCCAAACCAGTTTTTGCTCCCAAACCAGTCAGCTAGTAGGTTTGTTTTGCTTTTCTATGATTGGCTAATATTTGTTAAATCAACCAATCAACTTTGAATCACGTCAATCAAAACAATGCGGGTTCAAAATAAGAAGTAAGATTACACACTCACCACAAGTTTCGTCATAATAAATACCCGAGCTGTAAAACTTGAATGTTTTCGGTCGAGTGTTTATAAGCACCGTAACTGGTCCGTACATTGCCAAGGCAAGCTTAAGCTCTGTTTTGTTCCCTGAAGTTATGTTCATGTAGCTCTCCACTCCGGCACCAATAGACACGTTTTTAAAATGACAGTAGCCTTCCTAGAATCAACCAAATAAAAATTTAGTCAATTTGCCTAAGCTGGCTTTATCAATTTACTCAGATCTAAATTGGGATAAAAATGGAACGAAAACTAAAGTGCCTGTTAAGGGCATAGCATTTCTTAGATGCCCAGGTCCGATCGGAATACACTAATCTTGCATAAGAGAATTTTTTAATTCGCAAAGAAAGTTGGTGTATAATTAATGTCCTGAGATATGTAGACGCGATTTGTTCCTGCAGCTTGCGAGGCTGCAGCACCACACTTGGCAACTTGTATTACATAGGTTTCGGTAAAAGAATTGCAAGGTAGCCAAGGTACACAACATTTTCATAGAAATAGCCAAGTAATCTTGCAAAAATCTACAGTAAAAGCATGCGCACAATGTTGAAAACTACAAATGGTTGGCAGAGAACAGGTCATAGATGTCTCTTTGTTTTACAAAATGTTATGCGCAAAGTGTTGTGATGTTTATAACAGTGTTTCAATCGGAGTTTATTGCACTGTTCGACTGTTTTCATGATTTATATAGTTGAGTGGCTACTTTTTTCTGTCATGTAACTTTGCATCCTCCATTCATATTAATTTGCTAAACCATCTTTCCTATTTACCAAAACTATTCTTACTTGTGCCAGGTACTTTCCATAGCTTTCTTCCGTTGCCAATCCGCCATGTTTCATGATCCACTGCAACGCCCTGTAGGGATAGCCTCCTTTGCAGCCACGGTTGCCATAGCCCCATGTGCAGTCAACGATTTGTTGTTGTGAGAGACTTACCAAGTTTCCCGTCTGTAACAACAGTTATTTCTTAAATAACTTTTATTTTATGTTACATTTTCCTTTATATTTTTTTTACCTATCTTTTTAAATGATTTAAAACATTGAATTTGAAAACATTTTCAAGTTTTGTACTACCAGAAGAATGTTTAAATCGAATTTTCTTGCATACAAATGCACAATCAAGGACAGACGGTCTAGGGTTTAATCTCTGCTTTTTTGTCGATTATTGGTAAAAAAATATTTTGAAAATGCAATTTTTAATGCCACTATTGTAATGTCTATATAATAAATGGCCAATACTATTCTACAATATGGTATTTACCTTGAGGTAGTATGCGCTTTCCATGGCACTTGTCACGGCATACGCATAGCAAGATCCACAAATTCCTTGGCTTCGGATCTTTCCAACCGCACCTATGAGGAAAAAATCATTTAAGAATCAATGGTCGGTGATTAAAGGTGTGAAAGGCTATCGATTGGAACTTCTAGATCCAATCATTGGCTAATCACTGAAACTAACCATCTGAATGAATCAGTTCACCTTAATCAAAATTGAAAGTTACCACTTAAGACAGGTGATCATCCAATCACGATCATTAATATCATTGTTAGGCTAATAAACAATGCTTTAAAAGAGAAGTAATCATTGAATCATTGAATCAGAATCATTGAATCAAATATGCTCCTTACCATATTCACGCCAGTCAAGACTTTCAGGTATGGGCGTATGAGCAAAGTCAATATCCGGGATCTTGAATCTTTTGCCTCCATTGTATGTTCCCTCTGGTTCATCTAGAAGTCCAGTATATAGCGAAACTTCCTTTTCCGTCATATCGGCGAACTTGTTCATCTTCAAGCTATATCCTAAGTGCTTTCGATTATGTGAGTTTATGAATCTGCAAAAAGGGGCAAGGTTTGAAGTAATTCCTTGAAGTCACTAGCTGCTTGAGTTTTGTTTGGGATTATTCGTTTTCGCTCCCGAATAATAGTATCACCTCCGCTCCCCCTTTCTTGATGGATAACATAGATTATTCATGCTAATCATACGAAAACTACTGTTTCTGAAACTCATTCGTTATTTTCTGGACAATATTTCAAGGAGAAGTAGAGAATATAATAACGTAATCAATGCAAGTAAATTGTACCAGGAAAAAAATTTTAAAATAAATAACGACATTTCGAGCATAACCCGTTATCAAGTGGCTATGCTCGAAACGTCGTTATTTATTTTAAAAAAATTTTCCTGGTACAATTTACTTCCATTGATTACGTTATTATAGCATCATATTGTACCGAACGCAATCTAGTATATTTATTAGAAGTAGGGGATGGCTAAAAGCGCTATTTGAAATTAACCTTTCTGTTAAAAACCTTTACCAGTTATCTGTGGACGCCAGTTGCCATTTTCTATATTTTGGTTAGTTGTTGCGAGTGTTTCACACTGCAAAGCCACAGCCGCGCTATGAAAACGAGTTTTGTGTGATCTTGCAATTTCAGCCTGTTTTTAGCATAAAGTGGCCTAGAAAACCTTATTGCCATTTATTTCGGTATCATTTCTGTGAAGATTTCACGCCCATAACTTATAGTCACTGTAGAATCCACAAGTTCGTGGTTCCACAAGGTAAAACTGCATTTTTTCAAATAGTATTTTGTTTTTATTAAGTGTACGTACCTCATGTTATGACGAAATATGTTCTTTCGCTTCTCATGTTCATGCGAAGATTTGTAGTTTTTTTGAAATGAATCTTTGAATGATGCAAACAATGTCTCTACAATATCCTCGTAACGGACAAGATTGTCTTGGTCTTTGCTGTCATCTTCGTTTTGTTTATTCAGATTGCTGTCCTCGTTATCAACAGGTTGTTCCGCAAGGTCACTTTCTTGGTCCGTTGCTACTGATGCGTCGCTGGACTGATGAGGAATGAATTCCGTCATCGGAGAAAATGAAGCTACGAATTCAGGAGCTGATTCGACGTGTGGAAAGTCGAAGCATTTAAGCTCTGTAAAAGAACAGGTAAGACAAATTTTATTGACTAAAAAGACTCTCAACGCTTAATTCTGATGTCTGCTTGTCAAAGCTTATATGAATACCTTAACTTAGATCATCGGGTGAGAATAAAGGTTCTATTGCCAAGCAGAGTCCAGGAGGAGGATCGTTAGAAGCAAACACAGTTCGGTTGGCACCTTCTGACGTTTTTTTTTAATTTTTTTCCTGAACCTGATAATCGGGGTTGAATCAAAGACAAAGGCAGCCTGAATTTGAAGCTAGGCATGTTTGAGATATGAAAGAATGTAGCATACGCTTTTTATCAAGAAATAAGCTGTCCAATGAAAGAATCGCCTGGTTGGTTATTATTCTAGGTCTGCTAGGCCGAGGAAACTGGTGTCTTTGGGGAAGACTATTGTGTCTTATTTTGGAAGGAACATATTGTTTTATATATTGAACATATTGAAAAAGGCTTTTAACAAGCTTGATGGTACTGTCCGAAGGAACGGCGTGCAATTCGCTCAACTCTCTAATATATTCATGGTACCCAAAACTGCCTTAGTTTTATAGTGCTCAACTTTGTTGCGCCTTTCACGGAGCTACAGTCCTCTCTTCTTAGATGTACACCATTTCCAACCTAGATTCATAAGAGTGCAAATAACTTTAACAATTGAAGCTTACTTCATGAGATAAAGTGTCGTTTCTTACCTGAGGGAATCTCGAACTTGTTGAAATCGTATTTCCACGGCTCGAATAGTGAGTAGTCCAGAATATAGTGGTCGTAGTAAGAGGTTAGCAGCGTGTCGTATCCCATCATTTCATACTTAAGCGGCAATCGTGGCCGTGTTCGTGTCGTGTATAACGTGTACTTGTTGCGTTTGTTCATTATGCTGAAAGAATGATACCAGACCTCACACTCTGTTCCATTCAGCGTGCTGTTTCCAATAAACTGAAAAATGATTCATAATAAACTTTTCAATCTTTTTTGATAGCTATCGCAGCTTTGATAGTGTAAAACCTTTAATTCAACTGAATTATATAGAATCTTCTTTTGGTGCCAGATAGGCATGTCAGCTAACTCAACTGAATCAATAAATTCAATCCCGACTTTAATGGTAATTTGTTCCTTGTTGCTGTGTGTAGTTGAGAAAAAACCTGGTTGCAGTTAACTTTCAAAACTGCCTCAAATGTTAGCTGTGGCGGCGCCAAGGGGTGGTATTGGGGGGGGGGTTGGGGGTAATTACCCCCACTTTTCTGAAAATATGGTCTACATATTTCTTCTAAAAATGGATTTAAAAACTCTGGGTAGGGGTAGATAAAATTTCCTAAGGAAAGTTAACTTGGTACAAATCATTGAAACGAGGCAAAATGGGCATGGTCCCACTGGCCGCGCCCATTACCCTCCCACTCTGTAATAGCTGGCGCCGCCACTGAGTGTTAGGTTCACATAAGAGAACCTAAGTAGTTTCAGCATATTACTAAATAATTCTTCATTTTGGTTAGGTTTTAATAAAATTCACATGGCAAATTATAGGGATGGTCTTGTCTTAACGATGACATGTTGGCATTAACTTACAAAAGATAAAATCGAACATATTCGGAGGAGACCGACCTTAAAGAACTTCAGGTTTGGTACTATGCTCTGTACTCGAATCGGGTACTGCTTTGTTCCAACTTTGTGCAGGCAACCTCGAAACGTCTTCTTGTCAACTTCGGAGTATTCAGGGACTATTTTAGCCGCAAAGCCGTATTCGCCAATATCACCACGATGGTAAATCACATCCATTCCTTTGAATGTATCATCAACGTAAAATATTTTATCCAAATAGAGTACAGATTAAAAAACAAACAATAATTGAAAATAACTTCGATCCTACTTAACACCAGTTTTAAGACATTATTATTTGACTCTGTATACCAGCCTTTTTTTAATTTTCTTTGCGATCTCGAATTAGCTCAGTTAATTGTAACAATATCATCTTTCCGTGTAATTTTTCACTTGACAACACTTTAGATAAATTTAATTCAAACTGTCAATTTCGAGCTCAGGTAGCTGGAACTGAATGATAAATGCTTAACAATGCTCAAAATATGAGCAAACGCCACTATTACATGTTATATGTAGCTACCTTACGTAATTATCACGAAACTGACTGTGAGAATAAAGAGAATAACTGACCTCCGTAGTAATCGATCCGACTCATTCTGTTTTTGCCCGAATACCATACTTCAAACGGCTCTGCGATATTACCATACGGCAGCTGTAATACCCCCATTGCATGATAACTGTCAGGAAATGTGAACTCGCCATCGTTCTTTTCCTTGTGTTTTACGTCGCGCCGAAATCTCAAAGAACCAGTGTGATATTTTCTGCCCACGCCCATTACCGTTAGCAAAAGGAGAGACACTATAAGCAAAATAACAGCCTTAGATTTTTTTGAATAGCAAGATGACTCCTGGTGCTCGCAATTCTCTTGACGATTCATAAGTTGAAATTCTTCAATCAACCGTGTAAAATCAGCTCATAGCAAGAGATATTTCAAAAGACTAGATGCTTGATTTCATGTCCCATGCGAATTTTTGCTGGAGCTTAACAATGTTGGTAATTCCCATGTTGGTGAACTATAAATGTCATCAAGCGAACAGATACAATATAACTTTGTCTTCATGTATCCATTTACTTAGAGATGTTCTATTATGCACTGTTTTAAACCATTCGTTCACCTGTTTTCATCTTCCGATTAAAGTTTTGAGCCTAGGCTAAACAAATTATCCAAATGGTTTGTTATCTGTGCTAATTCTGCGATAATTCCTCGTTGCAATCAGCACGTGCAGAAGCGTTTATCTACTTCATGTTAATTTTGCTGATCAAAGGTCTTCGAGTCACGAAAAATGTCATGAAATGATTGTTGATTGCGACCTTAAAGGGCGCTGTAGATGAGACCTTAGTAAACATGTTTCTGACAAACAATTTATTCCAGAGGCAGTGGCCATCCATGCGTGTGCACGTGGGGATCAACAATTTGCGTGTTTCATCTTAATTCAAATGTCTGGGTTTCGAAAATAAACAGACGTCTTAAGCAGATCGTCATACCAGAATTTATCTCCTACCTTTTATTTTTGATAGATTTGGAAAATAGAATTCATTAACATGCATGTATTCCTGTAACAATGAAAAGACCCATTTAGACTTCATCGATGTAATCGCCAGTCTAGCCTTCGTATCATAGTATTTTTCGCTTTTTGCTTATGAATCAAATTGGTGATGTCTAAGAACTAAATTGTTTTTTGTATTATAGGCTCGATAACATTCTTAGGCCACTTCAGTCTCCAGTATCTTGAAGATTAATAGTGTTTGCGACATAACAAATTACTGATGTTGATTATTCAGCCCTGATTAACGACAGCTGGTTTTTGCCTTCTTGCAGAATCGTGAAATTTGGTATCGATTTTTTTTAAAAGCATATCCAGCAGTTTGAGATTTGTCAAAGATTTTGAATAATATTTTTCAACAGCATATATAACATTGCATTAAAAACTTTGAATTTAGGTGCTATTTTGGGGTCTTTAGATCCTTCTAAGCCTGAATTTCAAAAAAAACAGTAAGTCTTATCAAAATTTCATGCTATTAGGTATCAGAGCATCCACATCACAGTTCATTTCATGCTTTTTCGTATCTGTTTGAAGTCTGTCCTATCTTGATAATCTAAAAAACGTATCTGGACTGCTTTAGATTCAATGTATCAAATCATTGTAATAAGAATCCTAATCTAGTAATAAGCTATTCAGAATAATCTACAGCCAAGGATTACACAGCAATCTGACCAGGCAAATCCTGTATAATATTTCTACTGCAGGCTTTAAATCCAGTAAAACTTGTCGTCCCCTCAGTCCAAAGGCCATCTTCTAATTTTTTTCTACGTTTAATCTGTTTCTCGTGCGATAGTAAAGCGCAGTAATAAAAACATATAAACACACAGAAAATTTCACCTGTTAGAAATGTAACAGCAAAGATCAACCTTTGATTTCGTCTCCATCTCCTGCTGCTTCTTTGAACATCATCATAATCAAATTCATTTGAGGCTTTCTTCTTTCCAAACATTAAAAATCACAGATTTACCCCTTTTCTTTATCCCTATTCATTATCCCTCCCTTTCTTATTTTCTTGTGTTACTTTACATACTTCTCCGTTTGTTTACAGTCAAACTCCTAGTTGCGTCCCTACGCATTACTTTGAATGAGAACCAGCATCCGGTTCTGATTGGCTTCTTCCGTTTTATTTGCAACCACGTGATCTTTCCACCGATCAACCCGTCAATCGGAACACCAGTTATTCTGTTAGTAAAAAGCGTGGTTATGTGTATGAATTGGCCTTTGTTAGGCCTGTCAGCTTCTTGGCATCAAACTGGCAGCTAAAATCAATTTTCTTACGACCCTCTTTAATTTGAAGTTGTTTATAAATCAGTATTTACTATAAGTTTCTTTAAAAGTAAATGTATTAAACAACAGTAATACTGAATATTAAATCAATTCCAAAATGCAGTTCTTGTCACTAATGAACTATCTTCACATACACAGTCAAGCTCTCATACTTATAATCTGTAGTTTGCTCGAGGTGTAATGTATTAAACAAAAGTAATACTGAATATTAAGCCATTTAACTAATGCAGCTACCTATTATTATTATTATCTATTTATTAAAAGTGGGCATATAAAAATAGCTACAAAATAAAAGCCAATTCAAGCCTACTATAAAGTAAAATTGTTTAAAAACCGGCATCTTATCTTGTCACTAACACTTAGATATCTTCACATACACAGTCAAGCTTTCATACTTCTAATCTATAGTTTGCTCGAGGTGTAATGTATTGAACAACAGTAATACTGAATATTAAGCCATTTAACTAATGCAGCTGCCTATTTTGTCACTAACACTTAAATATCTTCACATACATAATCAAGCTCTCGTTCTTATATTCTGCAAGGTGTTATGGAACCAAGCCACTACCAAACTCTTTTCGGTTCTTGCTCAGATTAGCCCCTAGATGTCAGGAAGCTTTGTTTACAGTGATTAAAAGCGAATGGTATCTAGCCATACAATGTATAAAATTTAATGCTGCTAATTTATTTTCTTGTGATAATTTGCGATCCACCAATTAAGTTATCCCAAACATGACCTCCTGGTAGACCAGTTTTTATATTTGCCCTGTTTTGTTCTGAATTTAAATACTTTTGCTTATTTAAATACTATTTTTTGTTACTTAAGGAGTATCATGATAATATGAAATACGAATTATGAAAAAAATAAAAAAGGCGTGTTATTATTCATGCTTGAATATTTCAAATTGCATCAAAAGGCGGAGTCAAACCTCGTGCTTAGAGCTTCGTTAAACGACAAAAAAACATCAATACTTTATTGCAAAAATAAGCCAACTGTTGACAATCAACGTTTCAAAAAGTTAATTTTAAAAACGACAAAGCATTAATGAATAATTCATCAATTTAAAAACTCTTCATAGTCAGAAGGTCTCTGCTAAAGTGTTGAAGATGAATTTAGATTTTTGCAGAGATGATAAACTGGAGCGAAAATTTAAGACCGCATTAGCAAGCAGTAGTTTCCTGAGGTGCTGGAGAAATACGAAACACCTGTTATGGTGTGCAGTCATCCGTAACCATGATTCCGCAAACCAAGCCGAATGATCTTCGCTCCAAAAACAAAAGTAGTCTCTGAGACATTGCTGCAAAGGACTTTTTAAACAGACTGTGCTATTTAGTTGCTTTATGGAGATGTTTGCTGTATAATCCGCAGAGAAAGGACACAAAGACGGTGCAATGGCCAGGGCACTTGGCAATAAAGATCATCTGGCTAAAAGTATCACCTCAAAGTCTTATGTAAATATTTTGCTTTGCTAAACAGAAGAAATAACACGGCGATAATTCGCAGTTCATTCTGAGCGTCTAAATGAACAGAACTGTATTTTCCGAGTCTCTGCAGGATAATTCCAACTAGCTTTCGAAAGCACGAATCTATTCTGGCAGTATCAACTTCTAGATCTTGGCTCCTGGTGAAAAATATAAAGTTATTCTCATACAAATATAAATTCATTTACCTTTGTTTACTTTTGGTGTCCTTTACGCACTTTAATGAACAGCTGGCGATATCTCAGTTAACGTGATCATGTTTTTGGTAAACCAAATTCTGTTATCAACAAACAGCTGCACGGCGTACAGAGTCAGCCAGATGACAAATCAATAACATGCAAATGGAGTATGATCGTCTCGAAGGAAAGTTTTAATATAATATCTGGGTCGATTCATTACGAGTGGATTTTGAATTAACGAAGAACAGGTTTTAAAATGATTTAGCTTCACTTGCGATTTGAATACTAAACAGTTTTTGTTTTGGCCTATTTTGCATCATGAATCCGAATCGGTTCTGTCTCTTTTTACTTATACTCACGCTCGTCTTTATCATTGTTGGCATTTTCTTTGTGGCGTCTTCGCTGCACTACAGCTCAACAACGGATGATTCAATCGAACTTTTATCCCGGAGAAGCCTCGATCGCAAACCGGCCCATTCGGAGCCCGTGCCAGTATTCCCTGAAGATTACCATGCCTCAGGATTACTAATTCTCCCCCACAGCTCAATTGCAGAGCCATTTGAAATATGGTTCTCAAACACGTTGGGCGCCAGTAGGATCGACTATTATTATGGTAAGTAAATTATGTTGTTTTCCTTGGTGCTTTTTAAATCCAAGTCCTTGAGGCTTGTTTTCATTTATCGTATGCTCTCTTGATTTCCCGCTGCGGTTTTATTGATAAAACCTCCTAATTTAATGCGGATTTTATAGCGAGGTGGGATTATCAGAGAGGCGGGGTTAATTTTTCAACATGTCTTCTGTGTTTTGGTGTGAAAACTGCGCATGTAAATGTGAAGAATTCTGACATAAGTTGGTTGGAAAAACGACGCTGAATTGCTAAAACATTATTCACCTTTGTTGTCATCAAATGAGAACATTGATTTATTTCTTTAATCAAACCCGCCCGTGGGTTTATCAGAGAGAGCGTGAATAGAAGAGAGAATACGGTATGTCAAATTTATTTTGCTCAAGTCGCCGGATTAAACTAATCTAAATGTTAGTTCAACAAAATAGATTATGAAAATGGGTTTTGCGTGCAGTCGAATAAGATTGTTAAAGGCATTTAGTCATAATAAAATAGATTGGGTATACCCTAAGTGCCAAAATCTGCCGAGTAATGATTTTCATGACTGCGATGCTATTGGTTAACGTGGACCTGGTCACATGAACTCACCTCGTATTGATTGACAAAACAATTTCCATCAATAGCAAGTTATCAACAGCGGATGCAAATATCACATGAAACAGCAGCGATCATGCCGAAACGAAACGAACCCCTATAGAGAAGGCATATTTACCATGACTCAATGCCTTTAAGCTTCTACACTGACATTAAGCTTCTTTAGAAGGCATTCAGTATGTTGGTACACATAAATAAAATATTATGTAGATGACATTTTTGTCGACAAGATCCTTTGCATAAATTCTGTGAATACCGTATCATTGTATTTTATCAAGGTACGGACAAAACATTCCAACGAGGTGACGAGGCCCCGTATGGGAAATATTACAAAGTTGTTCCCATGTATAATGACAAGCAGGGGAATTTCGAAGGCTGCTGGACGGTTACTGGAAGAAATAACTGGCCAATCAATGCGCAGACCATTATTCCAAATATGACTTGGTTTAAGGTGACTAATTAAAGTGGTTTTAAATCATCTGATTAAATTTCAAAATGGCTTTGAAATAGCATAAATTTTAGTATGTTGCAAAATGTTTGCTTTTTTCAAAACCATATCAAAATGTTAAATGTTTTCTGATTATATTCCTTCGCAATGATATAAATCGCATTTGTGCTGAGTACATTTTACACTCTGACTTCTCAATTCGCGTTTTATTGCATACGATGTTCAACCTTGTAATATTATGATTGGGTATATGCAGTAAAATTGCTCTATTTGTAAGACATTTTGCGCACATTATGCCGATTATGCTCGTCTAAACAAATTATTGCTTTATTGTAGTACGTTAAAACAGAGGTATATACGGGAACCCTGTCAACCAAATGGCATTATGAGTACTGGGCCTACGGAATGCTCAACTCACAGAACGTTTGGGTCACGAAATCGAAACCGTATCGCCCAATTCGCTATGAAATGAAAGGCTATGACTCCATGCTTGGCTCATATTATGATCATTATGTGCTTGAATATGTCTCTTTTGAGCAGTGGAGACCGCAGATCCAGCGATTCGAATTGCCTAGAGGTATTTTGTAGATTTGAACATAAGATGAATAGAGCTTTAGCCTGTCCTTAATTGTTTTGGACAATCCATCTCTTTGCGAACCATCTTTCTCAACTGCCTTGTTGTTTTAAAAGAACTCCCTGTAAGAGTAGTATCAACTTTTAGACTGATATAACTTTTGTACTCACACAACAAATTTAAAGGTAGAATAGGGTTTATTTATGAAGCTGTGAAAAATGCTTATCTTTGGTTAATGCTGAAATATTTTGGCACTTAGATATATATTATAAGGAATTTGAAATGAAAAAGAACAAAATCTAGGTATATTTACCTTGAATTGTTTTAAATAATAAATGGCTTTGAAAACTATTCGTTCGTTGTACTGAAGATGGCGCTGATAACATTCCTAGTTCTTCAAAAATGGTATCAGTCATTTTTTAGCATAAATATTTGCATGTTTTTACATTTATGCTTGGGTATAAATGTATTGAAATACTTGCACATTAAACTTGTTTTGTTCCTGCATTGTTATATGGCAAGATGTTAGAAGATTTTCATAAACTGATTATTTTTCTTGCAAAGAAAATTGTCTTGAATGTATCTGATTCCGTTTTGCATCAATTCCTTTGCGATTTCCACACTTACTTTGTCAAGGTGACTTGATATCTAGGTGACTTGAAAATTATACTGACATTCTCAAAGATTTGAATCATTTGTTTATTATCTTAATTTTGCTACTAGTTTTTCTTTCAAGAATCTTCTCTTTCCTAGACGTGCCTTGTTTCAACTGGTCGTTAACGTTGGAGTCAAGCCTGATCTCGAACCCAATGCAGGAGTTTGCCTCGTTCACAGCTGAGCACCTGGTAAACACAGGCGAGCTGTTTACGGATTTTAAGAAGAATCACAAAAAGAATTATGATGATAAGAAAGAACACAGGAAGAGAAAACATATTTATAAACATAACTCGAGGTATTGCTTCTAAAGCTTTCCACATATGTATTTTAAGCATATGGTCCTGAGGGAGAGATGATCTTTTCTCATCATCTTATCATTTAACTTTTTCAATTTTTCATACGTACTCATATTAAGCTGTTTAGAATAATTGTAATAAAGGATCACCATTACTCACTTTTTATTGGCAGATTTCATTAAAAGTGCTTACAATTTGTTGCTGGTGCTTGTTACAGTTGTATTTCGATGACTTTTTTGTGTTTGTTTGATATCAACAACATTTCCAGCTTGGAAATAATTTTCTGGCAATATTCAATATTACATCCATTATAGAGTTTTGAAAAGAAGCTATACAAAAATATTGATACAAGCAAGGAGACTTCTGAGAAATTTCGAAACAGAAAAGTTGTTCAACTTGAATAGAAAATTCATTTGTTTTTGCAGATGCTTGTTTTGTTTTGTGCATGGAACATTTTCATAAGAAAAATCTGAGTTTTCAAGTAAATTATTGCGCTTCATACTTTTTTCAAGGTATATCCATTCGATGAATCGGAAAAGCAAGCACTTTCAGCTGAAGAGCAACCATTTTACAGATATGTCTGATCAAGAGTTCGAAACGCACGTGGGATCTATAACCAAATTTGATCCTCGTAACCACACTGGCATGAAACCTCTGCATAAGCACGATCCAGTGTATTTAAACGAGGCTCCTAAACCTATTGATATCCCAGAAGAACTTGACTGGAGAGATTACGGTAAGAAAACAAATCCCCTTTTAATGGCCAACTTAATTATGATCGTGTTTAGTTCCTTTTACAAGCCCTAGTTCTAACAAATTTTTTTATCATGCAACGCTTCTTTTATAAGGCGCTGTTTCTCCAGTGAAAGGCCAAGGTATCTGCGGTTCTTGCTACACATTTTCTGCTGCTGGTGCTGCTGAGGGGGCGCATTTTCTAAAGGTATTTGAGAAAACGCCGTTTGTTTATATAAATTGTTTGTGTTTACCAGCATTGCAAAAATATTCGATTTTTATTCTGAAATTTTGACGTTTTTTGTCACCTGGATAATTCAATAATCATTGTCTTGCATTCGTATTGTTTATCAATCACATATATGTAGTTTCTTTTTGCTCAGTCGCAATTCATATATTCGCTTCCTTAATAATATAACTAATCTTCACTTGAATTTTTCACTTCAATTCACCACAATTTGTAGCCTGAAATATTCATATACTTTAAAAGGTAAAAGAAAGTGAAATGTTCGAAAAATAAAAGAGAGGTTCTATCATCATCTCAGAAGATTTTTTGCCCAAAATTAAAAAAAGGTTTATTGACATATATATGAATTTGCCATTTTGGCGATTGGAATCTGGCTTCACGGGCAAAAAGACGAAGCAGCTAAGGACTACGCGCATCTGTCTGGCAGCATCAACTACGTCAATGGGCCTACATTTTGCATTGCAATTGATGTGATCACGGTTCTCGTTTAGTTTCTTGCGTGCTGTGGTACAAAAACTGAAAATATGTGCATGCTCGGGTGTTACTCTGGTTTATTGTGAGGTTTCCTGTTAGTTTAGCTTAATCAAGTTCTTAGGTTTTCCCAACTCTTAATTTGTTTTTTCGACTTTGAAGACAGGGTCATTGGTAGAGCTTTCATCCCAGCAAATCCTGGACTGTTCATGGGGCTCTGGTAACCATGGTTGCAAGGGTGGCCATTATGCTGCTGCGCTGAGTTTCTTGTATCTCCACGGGGCTGCCACGCTGGACAGTTATGGAAAATATCTTGCTCAGGTAACGACGAATTGAATTGCATTGGTGATCAGTATGCATTGATACGAGGCTGCAAATATATACTGTAGAAATGTAGATGTCCAATGTACTCATGTCGAGCAAGTTGCCTCGAATGATTGCCTCAACTAGTTTTGCTCTCAGCCGCCAGATTTTACGATTTTTAATTTACATTGCAATGTAAGCAATGTGCTTTATGCATGTAAGAGCTGAGATCGTAGTAGTAAGCGCGAAAGTTTTCGTTCTTGTGCTAGAATAAAGTATTTTCAAAAAACATTTAGGCCGGTTTTTCACAAAAGTCACTGTTTTTGCTGACATTGTAAAAGCGAGCCCACGTTTCAGCAAATCGTTGAATCAATGAAAGTGAATGAAACGGAAACAATTCGCGTAGTATTTTCACTCAGTCTTACACATGCGCAGACGATCGTTTGATTGCTGGCACAACCCTGGCAATTCAAGTTGAATTCAACTTTGTGCATCCTTTTTTTATCATTGTATCGTAGTAGCTATATTAGAATATAACAATTGGAAAATGTATTGATTTTAGGAGGGTGTGTGCCATTTTAACGATACAGCCCTTGGCGCTAAAATTGATGCATTTGCCTATGTACCAAGCTACAACAACACGGCCCTTAAACATGCAATCGCCAAGTTTGGACCAGCTGCTGTATCGATCAACGTCAGCCCTTTGTCGTTCAAATTCTACAGTAATGGAGTTTATCACGACGAAGATTGCTGTAAGTTCCATTTTTGCTTTATTCGCCGTATGACTGCCTAAAAGACCTGCTAATATTTTTCCACCTTACACCATAATTGCAGTAATTGATGATCTCGCTCTAGGCCAGCTCTAGGCATAATTGCAGTTATCACGAAGGTCCCTGACAAAACCTCTGCGATTTTCAGTCTTGTCATTATTGTAAAATTTTCGTGTTTATTATGGCAATCCTGTTTTTCCTTAGCGATTTTAATTTTTTCCTCGTCGACTTTCTTATTTGAAAATTCTTTCGTAATTTAGTAACACTGTTTCTCACTCCTTCCCTTAACTTACTTGCTGCTTCCATTTTAATATCTCTTATTCTTTCTTGTTTGCGATATTTGAAGCATACCTCAGTTTGCTTGAAATATCCTTGAAATATCTAGTTTTCCTTTGCTCACCTTTTGAAGTGAATCTTACAACTTCTTTCCATACTTTTTTGAAGAAGGTCGTTTCCTTTTTCAGCCCCACGGTTTCTGGTTGTAGTCTCAAGCTCCAGTACTGTAAAAGCTATTAGGCCATTTGGCAATGAAAGCATCAAGCATAGAACTCGTAGTTAACTGTCACTAGCAATTTTATAATTGATGTGCTGTAAAATTGTGTAATTCCTCGTTTTCTTCCAGGGTCTAATCGCACGAGGCATTCTGCCCTTGTCATAGGGTACGGCAAGATAAAGAATGGTAGAGAGTACTGGCTGGTTAAAAACTCCTGGTCAGATTCATGGGGAGAACGAGGCTATATACGGGTTGCCATGGACGAGAATATGTGTGGTGTAACCGAGGCACCCGTAGTCGCTCTTGTTAACCACATAACATTTCAGTTCCCTGTTAAAGAAAAGATATTGTCAGTAGACTTTGAAGACGAGGCAACTTTAGGCCGTAAGGTGAAAGCAAAGAGAAAGGAAAAAGCGAAAGCAAAGCCAGGAAAGAAAAGTGAATTGAAAATTAAAACAAAGGATAGCAAGGATGTTGCTCGTGCTGGGGTTAGCGTTACGAAAGATAAGGGGAAAGAAAGTGTAATTGAGCAGAAAAAAGGTGAAAAGAAGGATATTGGTGTAGGAATAGAAATGGAAGAAGGAAAGGACAATTTTGCTAAAGAGAAGACTGGGGATAAATCGAAAGACGATAAGGAAGGTGAGGGCGGTTCTAAAAGTCAAAAAATTGATAGTGAAGTTGAGCGGGGAAACGGTGAAAAAAAGGATGTTAGTGAAGGAATAGAAATGAAAGACGGGAAGGACAATTTTGCTAAACAGACTAAGACTGAAGATAAATCCGAAGACAAGAAGGAAAGTGAAAATGGCTCTAAAGACCGTAAAATCGATGGAGTTACAGAGGTTGTGAAAGGAAAGGAGGCGGCTCCAAAAGAAGTTGACGATAGAGAGGTTCCAAAAATTGAGCCTCATGATCAAAAACACGACATTGGTGCATTAGGAGAGTTGGTTGCAAGTGATAATCATGATACTACGAAGGAGGATACAAGTAAAGGAACTCCTGAAAGAAAGGAAGAAGAAATTTTGCCGAACGAAAAGCATATAAAGATTGAAGAAAAGAAGCCGGAAGGCTTATCATTTCAGGTTACTGCGAAGGAGAAGACAGACGACTTTAAGCTTCCAGTGTTTCATGGGAATGTCGATCAGTCTAAGTTGCCAAATGCAGCAAAAGAATCTAGCAGTCATGCTGGAAAGGGCAATGCCAAAAGCGTGCCGAAGGCATCTTTAGATGAAAGTGATACAAAGAGTTCTAATAAGGATAAGCACGTTGATGCAGAGAGTCAGATCAAACAATCGTTTGGTGGTAAAAAAAACTTAGACGAAGGTGAAACAGTGGCATTGGGGGGAGTTAAAGATAATCCTGTATATCATATGTCTAATAAGGATGTTGATGTGACAGTTAAGGGCTTGAAAGAAGCAAGTAACGTTGAAGTCTCGGTTGCTAAAATTGTGCAAAAAGACAAATCAAAACTTAAAAAGAAGAAAAAAGTGAAAAGTAAGAAAACTTCTCGCAGTTCTGCGAAGACATTTTTAGCAGGAAAAAAGCGAAATCGTGGAGAGAAAGCTAATGGTGGGGTAAAAATGCATAACGTTTTGCAGGATGCATTGAACCGCCTGTATTCGAAAATAGATAAAGGTTTATTTGATAACGGAAAGTAAGGGAAGAATTCACTCTCTGATAATTAATTCTGTTAGAATTAACTTTGATTAGAATTCATTTGTTTTGTTATGGGTCGAATAACAATGGACAGATGAAAAAGATCGGTGAATTTTTTATCTATGTCATTGCTAATACGTTCACAAATCAAGTTGATATTTGTTTGTTTCGTGCATTGGGGGATGGGGTTAAGATGTGCTTTGTAAAACGTCCTTTTGGTTAGTTTTTCAATGTTACCTAAATGAAAATATGCAATTCGCATCCGATCTCATAACTGAGAATAACGATTAGACAAATTAGGTTTCAATTTGAATTGTTTTTGTCAATTTGATGTTTAATCACGCTCAATATGGGTCATTATCAGACTTGGTAACAATACCTAACGCTTGTTATGCCTAATAATGGCCCGGTGATAGGCTCCTCCCGTTCCTTTGCCTTTTCCTTTCTCAATAAGATTGATTGAGTTTCTTTATTTTGTTCAAACTATTGGCGTTTCACTATGTTACGACTTTTTTACTATGTTACGAAGAGCTACGGTGTTGCGATGTTACTATGATGCTTTTAAAAAGTGAAGTTGTCAATCATTAATGTTTTTAAAGTTAAATCTGATAATCTTAAAATAGATAACGTGAGATAATCTTACTAACAAAGTTACTAAAGTACTTTCCGTCCGAAACTTGTCAGGGTCTAATAATTTACGTTTAATGTCCAAAGAAAACAGAAAACTCACCTTTAGAAGCTGATCGAAAGTAACGTGAGAAAAAGAAAAGCGCGTTTGGTTGGTTCTTTGTTAGTGCAGAGATAATGTTTTCCGCAATCTCATGCTATTTTCAAATAATAATTGTCTTCTGGAACGTTTTAGTGTGTGCAAAATGAGATCAAAGATTAAATTTCGACCGCCTCATCGTTTAAGGATAAAAGTCGAACTAGTATGCAAGCCATGGTCACAATGACCAAAATAATTTCCTTCTTTATTTTAAAACCTTCATATATGCTGTAAAAGACCAATCCAGGGCGCTTATTCCAAATGTCAAACTTGAACCCGGGGCGCTTACTCCGTAGGAACGCATATTATGAAGGGGCCCCTGTTAAAATTTGGTCATCATTGTAAGTGAATATTAAAAATTGTTAATTATTGATTTTATCATTGCTGATATGGTAAGGATACCTTTTATAATGTAGCTTAAATGCAATGATCAAAGATATTAATGTTTAGAAGCAAACAAAAATTATTTTTTAATGTTTTTTAGGCCGGCTTAACATCTGTTTGAATATAAAGCCCTCTTTTGTTTAGGGGGGAGGTGCTTATTTGGGAGGGGCGTTAATTAAACAAATTTACTTTAACTCTAGGTTGTTTTTTCTGCATGTTCTCTTCTTTGGCTGCTTAAATTTTGCAGACTGCAATTATTCTGCATTTTTCGTTTATAACTCATTTCTAACGATTATCTATGTCATTTTCTTATCGGTCTTCGGTGTAGAAATCTCACAGAAATGACACAGCCCTTTTAGCTCTCTTATTATTTCAAATAATTTGTAACCGGCAATTAACCACACAAGCCATAACATGACCCGAAAAATTGTTTTTTTAATATTGTATAATAATTCAGTGATGAAAGAAACCATGAATAAATAGAATTAATTTATAAGTGTTCGGTTAATTTATCTCGAGTCTAGGCAGCATCACATCCGTAAAATTCAGCTCGCAGACATGTATCATGTCCAAAGTATGTCTTGGGATGAATTCGGATGTATCTTGCGCGGATAGGTGAAGGCAGCTTGTTTTTCACAATACTATGCCTGTCTCGGTTGCCTGTGAACACCTGAGAAGGAGGCAAGTTATGTTAATACAATGGGTGAATAACTTGTCAGGTGCTCGCGCTTTTGATTGGCCTATTTCGATCCACAATGGGTTGTATATATATTTCCTAGCGTAAACTTTTCGGTCTATGATCTGAAGTTTTCAACTCTGAAGAGTGTCAGACGAAAAGCTTTGGTTTACAAAAATGTTTGCTTTTTTCAAAGCCATTTTCAAGTTTTGTACCACCAAAAGATTGATTAACTTTGATTTTAACAAGAAAAATGCAATGATTGTATAACATCCAATGGAAACTACAAATTAGCATGGTGAAAACAAAATTTCTTACGGCTCTGGTCCATGTCCCGGCTGCCTGGAGTATATCATAATAAAGGTTGCCGTTCTCACTGTATGTGACTTCATAGCTTGTAACCCAGTTGTCCCATGTTGGATGTCCTTGTGTTGCCACTGCGAATACTTGCATTATTTTCCCCAAGTCAACCTTGATTAAGAAAGGAGTTACCTTCTCAGGCCTAACTCTAGTGAGAATACTAAAGGAATCACAATCCTCTTAGAACGTTGAAAATTTTATGCCATGAAGTCTAATGAATTTAATTATATTTTTCATCTAAGTCAAACCTTAGGTTATTCTACACTTACGTTCAAAAAGTATTTACATATATTAATATAAAACTTTTTACACACCAGAAAAGCTGCACTCAATGAGCAGCCGACAATTGATGCAATATCGCGAAATCCATTTGCTTTATTTTAGTAGAAAGCAATTTGTAAGCGCTTCTCTTAACTCAGTTCTTGAGTTTTCAGAGCTTCCATGTTTTCGTCTCGAGACCTATAGAAATTTTATAGCCGATATTTTTTTTTATTTTTTGGCGTACATAAAAGGCTAAAATAGCTGCCGTACTTTTTTAATGAGAAAGATTTTAAAAAGTCTTTTTAAATTTGTTGCATAAAATGTCTTCGAAGTTTCGAAATGTGTCCCAATACTTTTTGAACGTAAGTGTAAATATTGAGTTGATATTTTCTATGTTCCAAAAAAGCTGTTTCAAGGCTTCTTCCATATTCCATAGAAGCTTCTATGTCCAAAAACGGCTTCAATTCAAGGTAAAGAATAGTTCAAGCTAATAGACATTGCTTTTAGAGTGATTGGTACACAGTTTCATGCGATTTTGGAAACGCTTTTTGTTTCCAACTTGTCGTCTTACTATTCATTGCCGTCAAGTTGCTAGAAAGACTTATGATAACATATTTCATGTTTTACCTGCACATATTGCATGGCATTGTTGTTGTAAGTGCACCATACTTTGTAATTATTCAGCCTAGCTTCGTAACCTTTGTGATTCAAGTCATAAATCGAGGATGCAGTTATCTGCGAGTTCAGTATCCGTCCAGAGGCCATGCCAAGAGGCCTGACATTGTCGATACAACCTACAAAAGAGTTGCAAAGATGGGTTCTAAAACATTATCAAGCAACTTGTCCTTTATAGGGAAAGCTATCTTAAACTTATTTTTCAATAAGATTGAATAAGGCCTGTTGTAGGTTACTATCACAATTGAATTGCTAGAATTGCTAAAAAAGGAGTGCATGATGAGGAAGTCATAGTTTTAACGTTCATCAACTTTCGCTTTTTTATGAATAACTTAGTTCAAGGCATAGTTCCTTAAGTTCCTGATACTTAAATGTTTTATCACATTAATGTACCTGAGATTATTTGCACATTTAGTGCCCTGAAAGTGGCAAAAAGGCAAAAAGGCCAAAACAAAAAGAAAGAAGTTTGAAATATGTAAAAGATAAAGGTCATTGATAGCAAATCGGCTTCCATATTGTAAAATGTTTGCAGTGATAGAATATTCAAAATTTAGAAAATACTTAAGGTTTTTGTCTTGAGCAAGTTCGTTATAAAGTGGTTTCTTACAAAGAAGGTTTTGACCTTTACTTTCACGGTGAAAAAGCACGTTGATTTGTTGCTCCTTGTTTGTTAAATTCGAATTATTCCTTTCTTCGTTTTATATAAGAATTTTGTGCAGCCTCAATAATTTTAAGATATTTTCCTTTCGATCCTGAATATATTCTTACAGTATTCTCACTTTTTTAAAATCTGGTATAGTTTCATTTAAACATTGCCAGTCCTCGAATAATAACCATGCTTTTTGAAAGATGAGATATGCCAGTCATGCAATTTTCGGTTTTGAGCAAAGCAAAGCGGGCAATTACGGGAAAAGTGCGACAGAAATCTGTGAGTTGAAGCTTAGAAATGTTCTCATAGCATTTTTATGAATATTCTTAACAAAAAGAGTGGACATTCAAGTGTCAATATGTACCTGTTGGGATTGCTGGCTGTGTTGAATCCTCTGATAAAAAAATACAGATGTTAGAAGACAATAATAGAAGGAAGCCTTATAATAAAACAATATGGATTTGCTTTTGATAGTCTGAGAACAAACGTTCAAAGCAGTTCGTTTTTTATTAAATATGTTCTCTTCGTACACCACAAGCAAATGTGTGTTTGATTAAAATGTGTCGGTTTGTATTGCTGAAGATATTAAAAATATCCAATCAAATGTTTACATTTCAAAGGAGAACAGCCTACAGTATTCCCAGGCAGATTAAACATAGATAGTAATTATCCGAACATTTCCGAAAAATAACTGAGTTTTGTACATTTTCATAAGACAAAGAGGCTTTGTCTGTCTTGTCATGTGACAAACTCCAGTAAATTGAGGTAGCGAATGATTTATGTAGATAAGCCGATAACTTTTGCAGATAAATGTCTTTGTACTATATATAAAAAGAAATGGTTAAGTTTTAATCAGTGTTTAACTGCCATTTGCTAAAACCTATTTATCCTTTTCTTTTTATTATTTCTCTACTGTAGTCACGTTCTCTTTTCGTATCTCAGACTCTACTTTCACGGTACCTATGTTTCCATGAACCGATTTAACATGAACGTAGACTTTGGAAAAGTCTGGTTCCATTATGGACTGTAAATTGAACACAAGTAAGGATAAAATTGAATTCTAATAGGCCAGATTTGTTTTGATTTTGATGTATTTTTACCATGGTACATATGTCAGTCATTCAAGTCTCGATCTCTAAAACGTTCGATGATATTTAAGCAAACATTAAAATTAGATAAACATTAGCAAATAAAAACAAAGACCAAAATCTCGTCAACTTAAAGGCCTTGCGCAACCGGCATGCTTAGCGGCAGCTGTCTTGTATTTTCATGCAGTACGATATTAGGCCGGTTTTCAAATTATAATCGCAAAGCATGCCGGTTGCGTATGAGCCTTTCAAGGCAATGGACTGATGCTGAAGTGGCTTAAACCATCTGTTAATTGAATATTGGCCAACCAAGAAGCGCCTGGGTGGTATCATGCTTACTGATTGGTTAATGTTGAGTGACAGATGACCTAAGCCTTTCGGATTGACAGATTGATTGACAGATGACTTCAGTATTTGTCAGCGGCTTGATTGAAGAAATTAGGGTCTAAGATGATATACTTTGAGATATTGAATGCAAGGAAATGAAATTTGAATTCAGTTGAATATTGGGCCTAAAGCACTAAGACATACCATATCCGTAGAGCTCAATTCGCAAACAAATGTCGTTGCCATGAAATGTTTGTGGATTCACAATAATACCAAATGCTTTTAGGCTTGTAGTAAATTTGTGTTTTACTGGAGTGTTTCTTGATGTTGGGCCGGTGAATATCTTAAAAAAAGAATTGAATATGCATCATATTCCGTAAATGGTATTGTTTGTTTATAACATAACGTGCAGTTTGCTGCAGGCAAATCTGTAGCAAGCTGCCTGTCCCCTGAATAATTTTATCTTGCATATTAAGGGGTTAAGGTATTAATTTTCAAAAATGTATATAGAATCAATACTAATTATTGACTTTGGTTTATAACTTTAGTTGGTTTTGAGTTTTGGTCTTGTATCGGACCTTTATTCTGAAGTTTTATGAGTGTCTGACGAGAAAGCTTTTAGTTAATATGTCGTGAAATGTTTGCTTTTTTCAAAGCCATTTTCAAGTTATGTACCGCCAAAAAACTGTTCACATTTTGGTCTTGTGTAGAAAGTTGATGATAAGGCCGTAATGTTTGCAGCACAGTGCTTCCTACGAACAGCAATGTTAGCAATGAGTGAGAAGAGCGCAAATTAACTTTCTAACTTGGGACACAAGTTATAATACAAATGATGGGGTAAATTTGCTACCTTAAAAAGACATGCTATAGCCATCAGAAAATCAGTGGTGAGATTACATTTCCACATTACCGAGAGTGAGTTGGACTGTTGGTGCATCGAGGAATTTTTGATGCAAAGACCATCACGATAAGCCGACAAATAACTCTGGTTAAATTTAGTTTGATCATTGTACAACAAATAACACATAAGACCTAAAACGAAAATAGAAATTAAAGGAATTATATTTTTTCCGATGTTTTGGCCTCTTCAGGGTCAACACTCTTTCTCAAATAAACAGTCCCAACAGATTTCGATAGCGATGGGAATGCAATGAACAAAATCGGCCTAATTGGAGTCTAAACATTCGTATAAATTGACAAAAGCACACACAAAATCGACCAGGCCGTTAAAGGCAATCTGTCACGACAATGATTGATTATAAGAACAAAGGGATTTTTTATTGTTTCCAGTCCCCCTTTAATTTATCGCATTGTAAAAAATATGGCGCAGCGCTGGAATCGTGTTTAGGCTATTGATCCAGCTATTGTTCTCGTTAACCAATCCACAAAGAGACAGATTGCCTTTAAGTCCGTATTTTGAACAGTACCAACCTTATCGATTCCATTTTCTTGCAATGTCTTCCACAAGTATCCATCTTCTGTGTATTTTATCTTGTAACTTGTCACCCAATTGTCCCATGTCGCTTGGCCTTGAACAGAAACTCCAGAAATGACTTGCCTCTTGTCAAAATCAACCTAAGAATGGAATTGTTACAATTAATCCAAACTCTACAAAACAAAGTTATTTCAAATGATTTATAAAAGAAATAATCGAACAGATGATCTGTAATAACACTCGAAGTTTCTCTCTGTTTACGATCATTTAAGTTGTTGTTTATTATTTTATGTATTGTTAGTTAAGCAAAAGGTTTTTAGCTTTGCCTAAGCGAAATTGAATTTGATTTCTGTTTTCGAGAAAGGCGATTATCCAGACCCTTATAAACTGATCTGTTCCATGTTTATTCCAACTTGCACACCATTGCAATGACCCTGGTTGGTTCAGTCTAGCATAGAATGGAAGGTGGTTCAAATCCCAGTCACTCGACGATGAAAGCTGATAATTCTTGATGCTTTTGTCTTCCATCCCCAATGGGTTATCTTCTGGCTTACCTGCAACGTCAAATGTATTCTAAGTTTATTCTAGGAAAAATTTACAACACCCACAAAGTCAAGTACGGTAAGTTTTTGGTAAGTGTTATAAGTTACTGAAAAAATGACGGTAATACAAGAACAACTGATATAAAGAATATAAGTCTTTCGTTTGACTTCATTGTTGGAATTGGAGACAGAAAAAAATTAACCAGGCGATTTTGCCTGATGAGGATGCAAACGAAAGATAAACAGCAAAGATCAAAAGCTAATATGTTGACTTTTTACTAATATGATAAGTTAAGGGCTGACTGACTATTTACTATAATTCATTTTTAATGTTTAGCTTTTGTTTTGGTTTGCTGCATGAATTTGACTTTTTTGTTTCTCCTAACGATTTCTACATGCTCCAAAAATTATTCAAGATGGTTTTTTACAGTACCACAAAATTGAAAACACAACACTACAAATCAGATTTGCATGTTCACAAAACGGCAACGAAACCTCGTTAGAATAAAAGTCTGACTCAAAGTTGATTTTGTATGGCAGAATGTCAGACTTATTAGATTGAAACTGTTTTCTTGTTGAAAGTATATGAGGTATGAAGTGATTGCCACCATGGGCAGAATAGGGCCCGGAGAAAAGGGCCTTAGTTTTTATTTTCAGGATATGCAATTGGGGGCACTTATCACCCTTAGGAACAAAGAATTGTTTCTTGAAAAGAGGGGAGGGAGCACATGTGGTATTTACTACTTAGGATATTCCTAGTAGACTGCCTCTAGAGGAAACGGAACCTATTCTCTGATCCGGGCAAAAATGCACAATTTTTTCTTCACATTTGGCAAAAATGGATCATAGAATTGGAATTTTCATGTTGAAATTAGTCTGTGCTGAAAATTTTCTAGTTGTTTGGCCCGTCAGACAGCGAAGTAACCCATTTTCAAGATTTAGCTTTTCCTAAACATTCAATGGTATTTGTTGCTGTAGTGAAATTTTTTCACTGCAGCAGCAAATTCCGGTCAAATCTAAAGAAATATCTAAATATTCAAAACAAAGTAACTCGCGACCGAATGGTTCAAACAACATGATTTGTTCAGTATAAACTAATTTAAAGACGAAGATTTCTTTTTTGAAGTCCATTTGTGAGAAAGATCCATAGATAACGAGATAAAAAATCAATGACGTCAACCCGGAACGGAAATTTCGTAGGTTCAAAAACACACTATGGTAGGGTTGCATAGCATTTTAGTAGGAGAATCGTAGGAAAAGTCTTTTTAGCAAATACTCCATACATGTTCTCTAGACTAATTTTTAGATTTCATAAGATTACTTAGGCTCTTGTTTGCATTGTTTTTATTTCATCCGCATAAAAATATTCTCCAAAAGTTCTCGATGTCCATTTGTTGGCACTGATAGTTTCATTTGCAACTTTGCTTTGGAATAGTGAGATCAGAAAACAGAAACCGAGTTTGATATCTCTACAAAATGTAAAGGCAACTCTGTAACTTTGCTGATGTATAAGGAACTTTGTTTGAATACGTCACAGAGTAAATGGCTATACACTGAGTAAATGGCTTTGACAGCAATACAATCCATTAATACTGTTTCGTCATCCTTTAATTAGATCACGACTGCTTGAATAGATGTATCTAACACGTAAATTTGTGTATCGTCAGCAAAGTTCCATATCTTCGATTCCCTATACATATATAGTATGTTGTTTATGCGATGTCGAGAAGTAAAGGACTGAGAATAGACCTTGTGGTACACATATTGAGATGATTTATAATTGGTTGGTCAGGTAACTATACACTAGTTTTGAAGACTTTTGTAACATGAAAATTGAATATCGCAAACAGTAGATCTATAGGGATGCGATTATATGCGCTCGATAGAACTACAAGGGTGTTATTCGCGATCTCTGACATATCGAGACAATTTCTCAAAGTCTCGACAACACGGAAAAAATGAAGGCATTGCTTTTGCTACACGTATTGAGCGCAGGAAGACTTGAGCATGTAAGCATGGTAAATAATATCCACATCCCATTCGCTCTTTGTCATATTTTACAGAATTTTTACAGTGCTAGATTAAAGCAAAAATTAGGAATTTCACTCACAAGAACCATCTTTGAAAAAAATGTCGTCGATGGCAATATCACTCTCATATCCATAGCCCCTCTCCGCTACGAATTGTATCTAAAATCACAAACAACAAATATAGGCCAAATATAAGGATTTTTAGTGTTCTGTATGTATTACAAAATCATACTGTTTAAATATTGGAGAGTTATGATGATAATATGTGCATGATCTTTGCATGATGATGTGTACAGTACAATGTGACTCAAGTTTCTCGATGGTCCCTTTATATTTGTCGCGACTGCCCGTGCATTTCCGGAACTTGTACTTTTCAAAGGGTTGAGAATGGATTTCAGATTACAGTGAACTCCCACTTATTCGAAGTTCCAATGGGAGAGGAGATGTGTAAAGGGGTTCCATTAAATGAAGGAGTATTTTCATAGGGCTTTTCTCAAAGGAAATAAAAAAAAGATGCGAATAACAAGAAACTTTGAATAAATGTCCCAGTCCGAATAAAATGGAGCCCACTGTATTTTAGCATTCGGTTTTAAGTTCCATAGGGAGTCTTCGTTTTTGATTATTTTCGAACTTTCAGTTGAAACAAAGATTGATAACATTGTGAAGACGACGCCTAAAAAACACCACTCCTATTTCCAGAAATCTGTGTTTAATCTTGCTCGTAAGAAAACATATTTGTTTATGGTTCACCTTAAAATGATTTGGTGTGCTAAAAACGATTTCTTCGTTTTTCCATTGGTTGCCTTGATCTCCCGAGATCGTTTTGAGTAGAGTTGTCCCAGTGACTGTATCCACAGAATTGACTTTCAATGATCCCATTGCTGCACCCAACATATGATACCAGAAAGAAAGACACTTCTTTCCAGAGGAAGACCCGCCCATCAACTTGCTTGTTAAAATTGCTTTCTGACCCGAATAAGCTGGACTTGATGCCTCCATGTAGACGTATGACCCTAAAGATTGAAGCAAGAAGTTTTATAAATGAACCATTCATTGTTTTGTTTCTACTTGCAAAAAAATTGCTGTTTTTGTCTAAAAGTGCTCGTTACTGTATGGGCAGAGCTGTACCGGTGTCCTGAGTGTTCTGCAGGACAATGCGCGGGATAAGCAGGCTAGGCGGACCCGCAGTTGGTATTATTTATGCAGTAGCCTCAATTAAAACCAACATACAATGGCTACTTAATGATTCTTACCTTGTCCTGAAGTGTGATCACCGGTTGGTCCAGTTCCAGCGCTGGGTGTTCCTCCAGCCAGCCTTTGCCAATCCAATTGATCCCCTGTTGTCTCATTCACCCATCCACACATGCCATTTTCAAATTCACAGTCATCTGGCCCCAAATTACAGCTTTTTATTTTGCAGATACTTGACATTGTCGATTGGCCAACGCAGTCGCTCCCTCCATTTTTGGGTGCTGGGTCATTGCAAACACGGGTTCTGGTAATTACCCCCGCATCACATGTTTTACTGCAAGGGCTCCAAGACGACCAGCGTCCCCAGTTCCCGGCGATTGGCGCTTAAAGAGACAGTCAAGAAAAGCTTTGTTAATCACGGAAGCAAGAAAGATGCAAACGTTGAATTATCTTGGAAAATCTCAATTTACAGACTGAACCTTCCCTTTTTCTCATTATAAAGGAGACGTTTTCTGTTTTAAGAATCATAATTGATCATAATCATCATAATCCACAGAATTTATTTCTATTGTGAATAGGTAGGGTTGTTACCGTTACATTCACTTTGTGCGCATTGCACTCTTTCCGATTCAACACCATACGCATCAACAGCTGGGCATTTTGACAAGTCAACATGGCTGCAAAACCGTTGCCTCTCTTTGTAGCAGAGTGAGTCACAGGGCTTCCAGTTGCCCCATGTGCTGTAGTAATCTATTGATTTACCTGTGCAAAAGATTATGAATCATAGTCAATTGTCAGACATAATAATGATAATGAGTCACGATAGAGCATCCTCGCCAACTATCTTCCCCATTCAATAATCATCATAAACTATTTTCAATTTAACGAAAAATACAATAACTACAATAACTACACTATTAAAAAGTTGAATTTATGAGTCTCGCATATGAGTCTCGGTTATATCTAGAGCGTTGCACATTTCGATGAAAGAAGAGCAGGAAAGACCAGAGATACCAAGGAAACTGATAGAAAGATTAACAAATATGATAGAAGAATAGGCCCAGGTTAGGATGTGAACGAGATGCGAGTATATTTCTCTCTCTTACGGTTAGCGTTAACATCCAAATTAGTTTCGTAGCCTACTGCAAGCACGAGTTTGAATCGGCGATTGCAGAAGAGACTAGAAGAAGCCTAGGACGTAAAGAGTTATTCTGTCTTGATAAAGAGTGAGAGAAAGCCTGAAATGTTTACGTAAAGAGAGCAATGGCTAAGCTTTGAATAACTTGGATAAAAAGTTTAATACAGAGTAATGGGGCAAAGTGTAGGGACCTACTTCGAGGTATATTTCGCCGCTGGCAACAATGTGAAGTAAGTCTTTTTTTATAATAATGTTTAAGATATTATATCAAAAGCAATCATGTTCATCATCATCATCATGCTCTTTTTCATTGTCATTGTCAAATCAAAACACTCGATTCATGGCACTAATGATATATAACTCACTTTGACAGTCATAAAGAACATTGAGCTCTGTTATGTCTTTGGGACTCAGTCCGTTCCTTTGACCAATGACGGCACTTGGGTTAGCAATTGGCACTATGGTCTTCTTCCCGTTTGCAGAAAATGCGTACGAACCATAATGCATCACACTGTCGTAGTCATAGTTGACAAGCATCTCGTGCTTTGTGTTTTTTTGAAAATTTGATTCCACGCCTGTAATTGGAGGAAATTTAGATTTAGGTACTGCATGGGGATTCTTTCATATGCCGGGACATAATGCTGTTTAGTATTATCAAGGGGGAAAGCTTATTTACCAGTTCTCAGTGACAAAAGTTGGAGCTGTGTTTGTCTCTGAGACGCGTAGCGTAGGCGAAAGCCATCAGTGGCTCGTAGAGAAAAGTTATTAAGTACAAAATTCAATCTAATTGATGCTAATTATTGCCTATTGATGTTTGCTATGGTCTGTTTTCTTCGTTAATTCTTGGGGGAGATGAATAGGTGAAGGCTTTTTAAGGAGTGGCGCATCCCTCTAATTTCAATCAACGAGCATGCGCAAAAGAGATTGACTTTTATACGCAATTGACTGTAAAGACTGGGGGTGGCAAATTCGACAAAAGAATTCAAATTTTTCTCTCCCCATAACATCTTTACACTGCAATATGTTCATGTCATCTCGTACCTGACCGAATGTTATCCCAAAATATTTCGATGAATTTATCCCTGTCTCCTCGTGATTGTTCGTGCCAGAAACCGAGAGCGTGAAGTACTTCATGTATGATAATTCCCTTCTGATTGCAGCCGTTTCCTATAGATATTTCATTTATGCCACCGAAGTACCTTCCAACGTAAGACCAGCACCTATATTCGCAGGAAACATTGTCATAATCTCAAACGAGGATGATTGTGTACTTTAAGTTGAACGAAATTCTACACGGCTTTCTAGATTAATGAATCAACAAAGTAGAAATAAAAAATTGATGATGATGGCGAGAAAAATACAGCATGAAGAAAACTGGCAATTATGCTGGTGGTAGATGAAAATGTCAGATTCATTTATGGTAACATCGTCTGCAGAAATTAAAAGAAGCAACATTCTGGCTACGCCCGTTATGGTGAAATCGAGGCAATTGAATAATGAAAGATAAAACCAGTCTCACCCGCTGCCCAAGAAGAACTTCAGATACTGTTGCTCGGCGTCTCGCTGCTTGAAAACAATGCAGCTGTTGTTTTGGATGTCACCAATAGCTTGGCCAATCAGGTCTTTAACGTGGTCTGGGATAGAGATTTGGTTTTTGTCAAAAAATTATTTCATTTGGTACTAAAAGTGTCGCTCTCCTTGTAATGGGCTAGCCAGCTAATGAGTGATTAATAGCTGAATCCCGTTAAGTCGAAACCTAAAGTCGGGCCTATGAACAGACCTGAGTCGGACCTGCAATAGAGTAAGGAAATAGTCGGACTTAGCGAGTGTCCGGCTTACCGTATTTCCTCTGAAGAACGCCGCGGCGTTTATAACAAACTCCAAATCTTGGTTTATTAAAAGGGGGGCGTTCAATACAAAATAAAAAGTTTGTCAAATGAAAAATGACAAGAAGAGTGCGACGAGAAAAGATAAAAAAAAGACTTTAAACATTGTTTTTTTCCTAAAACACATAATGAAGATTTTCTGAAAATTTTTTTAAAGTTCACAAAAGATGTGTTGGAATCTTAATATCCCTGTTTCCGCCAGAGCCCTCGTCACTATGACATGAAAACTTTCATAAATTTCGAATAGTAAGCGCTTGAGCCATTCGTTACTTCTTGTTTGGTGTGTTTTCTGATGAACGCCGTTTTTCAAGATGCGGCGCTCAATAGAATGCGGCGTTTATCAGAAAGCAGCATTTATCAGAAAGCGGCGTTTATCAGAGGGCGGCGTTCATTAGAGGAAATACGGTATCTGGGATACGTCTTGACAGGATACTCTGTAGTAGCAAGGCAAATGAAGTTCTCTTCATTTGAATCCTGTTCTTGGAAGAAAAATTCAAAATACTTTTTTTCTGCTGAGCGTAAGGCCATTCGACCTTATCTAAGATCCTTTTAAAGTCATTTTCCTAGTTCTATTCAGAATTGTCATTAACAGAAATAAAGAATAGATTTTACTACATTAAACTATATAGATGTCATTATAGGGTCAGAGATCTAATGTTTTAAAACTTCTGCGTCATAAACACGGTGGAGGGTTGCCTTTCTCGAATTATTGACATATTTTATATTACAGAATCTTTGTAATGCAAATATAAAGTTATCTTTGATGCCTCATGCTGTTGTTGATGCTGACTGCCACAGGCCCTTATTCTCTTTACGTGAAATGGCGCCCAACTAGGTAAAACGTCTTTCTTACTCACCCAATTCCGGTTGAATCACGTAAGGTACTACTTTTCCAACCCATAGATTACGTTTGTCGTCGACTGTATTTCTTTTCTCATTTATTGCGTCTTGCAACATCTCTTGGCCACCAGGTATGTCAGATACTTTTGTCTTTTTTGGAATTACCGCGATGTCTCCTTCGTATAAGGCTGTTAAGTCTTTTTCTATTGACAGAAAAACGCGATTTTTAAAAGCAAAACTGTGTCCCAAAAATTACACTTGAGCAAGATGAGACTTGGCTCATAGACCAAAAGGAGGAAGAACATAAGAACCTAAACGGGATATGGCCCAGGCCTAAAAGGGGTCCAGTTCAGATACCTGAGAATACGGAATTAAGACTTAGCGGAAAGCGGAATAGAATTCTAAACGGGATACAGAGTCCTCAAAGGGACGCGGGACACAGACCTAAATGGAACATGACAAAGGGCCTTAATTATTTGAAGGGTGGCTTGCAATAAAGATTTTCCTAACGTTCGCGGCGAATGCTCGTATGGTTTTTCTGCTTATACCCTGGTAATAAAAATAGATTTTCGTTGGATAGTCAGGTCAAATTATTTGATTTTACTTATTAGTAAATATTTCCAGTTAGTCAACCTTTTATTGAAAGTCGCCACTTTGAAGCTGAAATTAAATTTTTTCAGACATTGATGCGTTTATTAGATCAACCTCAAGGATTTTTCAAATGAAAGATTTGTTTAAAACACATGAAAAATTTGATTCGTTCACTGTCATGAAAATGTTTAAGTTCTGAGACGCCGACATTGAATGGGCAGCTAATTGAAATCAAGATCAAAAATGAAATTTTCAGTCGAATTCGAATTGATAATATCCACAGAGTTTTTTAAACAAAAGTAGATAGATATTAATCTTTCTACAAATTTGCATTTTGACTGGTATTTACAAGTAACTTTAAAGAATATTCCACGTACACACCCGCAGATAAACCGCAGATATGCCGCAGATATACCGCATCTCCTGAAACTACCCTTCCTGAACCTACCCAACCGCTAAGCGATTGTCTCTTTACTTTTCATGATATAGTTTGAGTAAAGATTCACGGTATAATTCGCAGCAGAAATCTCTTGCATTATAAAGAGACAGCAACCATGTTTGTTGCAAACATCAAGCATTTTTGCAAGATAAAAAAAACAAGCTCAGAACAAAAAATGGTATGCCCAGGCTGCTATGGAATTTAACGCGTATATTCCGAAAAGGCACGAGAAAACAAGAATGATCAGATCTGAAAACAGGATCTTTTTCAAAAAATATCTAAGAAATATTCATTCAAACAATCTTTTGGTGATAGAAAACTTGAAAATGGCGTTGAAAAAAGCAAAAAACATTTGAGTTAACTAAAGCTTTTCGTCTGACACTTCAGAGTTTAAAATGCCAGAACATAGATCGAAAACTCTACGCTAGGAAATATATATACCCAGTTGTGGATCGAAATAGGCCAATCAGAAACGCGAGGGCATGACTGTTGAGGTTGACCGATCAGTGCCGCCTGCCTATAGAAAATTCGCTCATAAATATTCGTTCCTTTCCAGCAGAGAGGGTGAAGCTTTAAGAAGGTCAAACCGATTTTTGCAGACTTATATATTGACTTGTCCGGATTTGAGGGGGAGGTTGGGGGGGGAGGTTAAATAGGCTGTAGCTAGGGGGCCCCAAAGTTGAGTTAAAGGAAATTTCTGTATCGTAAATCTAATCACAAGAAGGGGTGATAAATCTGGGGCTCAAAACTAAAAGAGTATATGTGTCAAATAATTCTGTATTTTACAATGCTAACTAACGGGGTCGCTTTGCGTTAATTTCTCAGACCAGAATATCCCCTCGTTAAATGTAGATACGAGAAGCCCACTGAATTCTTCTGCCATGCGTTGTATAAAAGCAGGCCTTAGTTATTGAGATGTGAATTGGCTTTCAGTTTTTCATTACGTTTGTAACAAGAATTTCTTCATTTGGTATAAACATTCTTCTCGATCATCGATCGTTATTTCATTTTATTATCTTTCTACACAATTAACCCTCTCTTGCTTTCGAGCAAATTAGATATATTACAACTTATCAAAATATACAAATCTTAAAAATTAAAGCATATGACCTCATAAGCATATGATTTTCGAGGGAGTTGTTTTTTGAGGGTCTAACTCCTCAAATGCGTCTTTAAGTTTCTTTTAAAGCAATTTTTGACAGGTCACAGATTGAGCATGTTCCTTCACCCTGTAGAGTTAAAGCGCCCCAAAGAGGGAACAGCCTCCTCGGTCTTGCAAATTTGAAACAACAATTAACCCACACGATCCTGCCGTTGGTCAGCATTTACTAGTTAACCAAGACCACCTTAACCCGTTTTGGAGAAATTCGCAGAGCTCTCGAGTTACGCTCATATGATGATTGGAATATGCATTCGTTAAACATTTTACTGGAACATGGTTTCTGATAATCTTCGTTCTGTTTTTAAATGTTTTAGATTTTAATATGCCATTCTAACTGCAATAACTCAGTGCTATTAACACATCGAGCACATGACATGAAAACATATTTTCAGTTATAATTTCTAAAATTATGAATGAAATCATGCTACTGTCATATTAACTCCTTGATACGTATGAATATTTGAACGTTTTATACTAACCAGTATTGAGTCTCTGAATCATATCAAACGGATTTTTATCATTTTCGATTCCATCGCTTCTTTTCTCCTCTATTTCAATCTCGTCTTCCTTCAAATCTGCCTTTGAAAGATCTAAGATAAAAGAAAAAAATTCAAGTTGCAAGACGCTAACTTCCAAATGCCAATAAAATTTTTCCGAATATAATTTCTCGACAAAATTTCTCGGCTGCGTTTGTTTTCTTCGTGGTTTGGCTAAGAGGTTCCAGAAAGTTTTCTAGGATATTTCGAATCACATAATGATATATTGCGAAAGGGGCATATAAACTTGACATAAAAGTGGAGAATTTGTTGTATTTGAATGTAAAACGCCATGTCCACTGTGTCTAAAGCAACCAACTTAGAAGAGACCCACGGAATCATCAAATGCGAAAATCTCTAGGCTCGCTAGCAAATCTCGACTGCAAATGAGGGAGATCGAAAAAAAGAAGGGACAGCAGGAAGGGAAAAAAGAATTAAAGAAGAAACAATAAAGAAATTTGTTTATGCTAGTCTTTGATCGGTCGTGATTCTTTGATCATTCAGCTGCGAATTTTATTTTTTCGATAATGCTCCAAAGAGCTCTTTAATTCTAGAAATCGTAAGGTTCATGTTTACCAAGGGACCTCTTTCACTTTGCATTTCTTTCCTACTTTTATTTTTATCCCCTTTGAGATTTATGCAAGCTTTCCCTTTGGAGTTACTGCTAGCCTTTTTAGCAAGTCCATGTTGCACTTACCTCGCGTAGGTATGGCGATGCCTTGGGATGCGAGCAACACAACGCACAACCAGATTACAGCTGCTCGCCAGCTTGATTCCATATTGCTCAGCCAAACTCTCCTACGACTCAAATGAAAATATTCGCAATTCGTCATAGGCTCTGGTTTTATACAAACTATGTTTTTATTCTCATTCAATAATAAAGTGATTGTTTACTTTGATTCCATACCAAAAGTCCGAGATTTGAATATAACAATATGCAGCTAGTTGCTAAGTACTTTTATCTCTTTACAAAGATGTGGAAACTTCATGCTTTTTCGTGCCGGCCTTTTCCAGGGTCATTTAGCTATCCCACAAGGGTCGTGTTTGTCTATTTGCTTATTAAATTTGATTTGTTGTTTAGCTAGTATGTTCTTACCCAGGCTTCATCAGTGTCGCAGTTTGACAATTGTGTGCTAAAGCCGCAAATCAAATCCGACAACAATTATTATCTTATTACTGATATTACTAGATTTATTAAATTCCGTTAAAGATAATATTGATGTCCAGACGCTGTACGCAAAGAATATTTTACAATGGTGGGTAATCTTTTACAGGCTAGGCTGGGTAGAATTGACATCCAGGCCGTGCCCGAGTGTTTCCCACACTTCAAAATCCAAGTATCGAACAGTGGACACACAATTTGGCCGAACCTTTGTCTTATGTTTACCTGATAGCCGAGCTCTGATATCATCAAAGAGCATAGATAAAAGTGGATGCAGATATTTTCGAATCGTATTTGTGCTAGAAATTCTGGCGTCGGGCATCTTTTTCTTGGATATTTGATATCAATACTTCTTAACCTTCTAGGGTGTTAATTTTTTTGGGCCTAAGATTATAGGGAATTTTTATTATTATAAAAGTTTTCAAAGTTTAACTAACATTGTCCAGAATTTTGTGAAAAATGTTTGGCTATAAAAAACCACCCTTTTGTTAAACGAACCACAGCTAGGATTTCCATTTCAACGCAGGTCCACAGTGTTATTGTTGTCATTTCTACTATACAAAGTGAAAGTTAACAACATATATACGAGGTTAAAGTAATACATAAAGATATGTCCCATGAATCTTTTAACTGCAATAACGTATATTTAATTTTTTCAGCATTTTACAGAATATCTGACTTTTTCATTCAATAAATAATACGTTATTCTTATACAACCTGCAGTTACCATCTCACAGTTGTAAGCAGTATAAATATGAATTGCATAATCCACAAGGAAACACATTATTATGCGTTCAAATGGAATCAAGTCTAAAATCTGCAAACCAACAATTACCTGATGCCCAGATGCAAGATATTTTCTGCAAACTCCGATAACTAGAAAGAGAGAGGTTCTTGTGTTTGTCTAAAAATACACCATACTTGCTGAGAAGTTGAATGAACGCCACAGTTGAGAAGTTCTTGATCCTGATTCGGCTATTACTGAACCGCATGCAATGACTTGGTAACGGATAATTGAGCGCCAATAATAGTCTAAGCAAGAATAAGGCCTCATGAAGATTGATCAAAGATGACACTGTTGGGAGTCTATTGATCTCTTAAAAGTTGAAAACAATGGCATAAAAAGTCTAAATATGGTTTTTACTGAATGCTTCCCAAACATTAATGTGTCTTGAAATTTGGCAGGTAACACTTTAAAATATAGCGGTAACAGAAGATTTTTTTTGTATGCAAGATGGCCCGTGTTAATCTTAAATCTATGTTTCCTTTTTGATAGTATGCAGTTTCAGCATAGTTATTTATTTATATTGTTTGCTATTCATTATTAGATATATGTACAACGTGCAAGTTTACAGTGCATGAAACAACATCTTATCCAGGTAACATATGTTATAGTACACCGCTTAAAGTATGCAGCCTCGTTTTAGAAACTAGTCAAAATTTGTTTCTGTTGCTAGTATAGTTATTTGTTTCCGGCTTTGGATTTAAAGCTAAAAATCCATCCTAGTTATAAATTGCCACATTTCAGGTTTCCGAGACGTTAATTATATGGGAGAAATACAGGTTCGGTACTCTATAAAGGATATGACCCTGGAAGTAACTAGGGGTATGAAATCACACTCTGAGTGATAAAGGTTTTCCCTTATATAATTTTGCAAACTTCCATTCGTGGCAAGCCCCAGGATGTTTTGGCAAAGTGGGGGAAGGTGAAGACATGTGTCCAAGTCAGGCCAGAGTTGCTTACTGACTCAAATAAATTCTTGAGTCTACCTGAAAACCATTTTTGGTATCTTGGGCCTACGACAATTTAGGCCATTTTGTCTGGGCCAACGTGAAATTATTTTTTCGTCTACGTATTTTGTCTCTGACTTGGACAATCCGTAACAACTTGATGCTTTGCAAGTTCTATCGAAATTCTTGCATTTAAATTCAATCGCTAGTCTTTTAGTGTATGTAGTGTACAGATCGTTCTTAACGTAGGATGCGTCTCTTCCATCGCATGCGTTACATATTGTCTTATTCAGCGTTATTTTATACTATTTGTTTTATTTTTCATTCAATCCGTTGGTTATTAAGGCTTTTTCTTTATTTTTAATATAAAGATACGAAAATATTATGTTTCATCTCATTCTAGAGTCGCTGGAAAAGCTTTAAAGAATTTAAAAGCTTATAATGGTATAAATATTTGTAAGTTTATAGATTTTTCATAAGAATGCTCTTGAAGTCATAAAACAAATGCTCATTGGGACTATAGTTGGTTAAATATGTTTATCAAAATCTTCTCGTATCGATAATTGCTTCCGATCGTGTTTTCCAATGCTTCCAAATTTCAATAAAATTCAAGCGCTGTTTCACTGCAACTTTTGCTAGATTGGACAAGGTAAAAAATTCAGTCATAATCGTAATTGTTTTCTTTGCTTCTCGAATATTAATGTCTGACCCAATGAATAATAGTAATTTTTTGAACTTCGTAACTAGTAACTTGGTGCACGATAAGTGGCGTCATTTTGTCGCGAAAATGACATTTGTTAAAACATTGACAGCAAATAAAAGATTTATTATAAAGAAAATTATCTGTTGTTTGGCTTTTTTTCGTGCGGGTGTCACTGGTACAAATTAAATGTTTAAAATGTGAATTTTTTTGGTTTTTTGGTCGCTGTGTGCCGTAGTTCAGCTCAAACATCAGTGCAAAATACTTTAATTGAATTTGCTTTGTGTCAATTGTTAGGATGAAGTGTATCTACAAAAATGATTAAAGTTATCAAGTGTTTGTAATAAAACTTTTTTTAAAACTGTTTAAACATTGGTGTATGAAACGAGATCTACATAGAATGTACACATCGAAAGGTAGTACAGTTTGGCTTAACGGCGCAAAAACTATGAGATACACGGGTAGCAGTCATTTCCATTAGTGATGATTGATATAACATTCATAAAATGTTCAATTTTCTCAATAAATCTAAGCCATCTGAATCAAAACGATCGATTAGGCCATAAATAATTAGGCCACAATGTATTTTCATCAATGCCATACCTGTGAGTACTTAATGAACTACAAGAGCTATAATTTCTCCTCAAACCCTTAAATACTAAATAAGAAAAATTCGACTTTCCTTTCTCCAAACTGAGAGAATTCTCTGCGTAAACATGAACTAAACGAGTTACAGATTCAAAGTTATCATGGTTGCATTATCTGACAAACCTAAGACGTAGCTGAATGCCCTCTTCGTCACGATCAAAGACTGACATTAAAATGACTTTCTATGACTTATATTGACTCGGTTCATTTTCACTCCATTTTCTGGGTATTTCTTTGCTAATTCTGCATCCTCCTCGAAACCTGGATTGGCTTTAAATTCCACGGCCACAATGCCATCCACACTTTTGTCACCATTTGTAAACATTATACTTGCATCTTCCTGCTTACCACTCTGGAGGAGACGTTTTGTTTTTGGACCAAACAAGCCAGCAAGGGACACAAGCCCGATAACGTTGCTAAAATTAGCTATCACGAATGTTGTGCCAAATGGATTTTTGCTGTCTATCCTTACAATAAGAAGTGCGGGGATAAAGATGGCCCATAAAACACAGCTGACATACATCGTGACACCGATATTGAAAGCTTCGTTGTAATTCTTTGGAAACTTGCGCGATTTGAAGGCGTATACAGTGCTCACTGCCAACATACAAAAACATGGAACGAGGTTGATAGCAATCGTGAATATATCTGCGCCACACAAATCAGCCACCATTTTGTACTCTGAGACTAGCACGTGATTGACTACAGGGGGATCACCTACAACCCACATTACTGACAAGAGCAGTTGAATTGCCAACAACCCAAAGCATATCCAGATCTGTGATGCTGCACTGACCAAATAAGGCATGGAACCCATGTTCCGCGCAGCTTTGAATATTCTGTAAATTCGGTTGGTTTTCAGCATGAGAGGCGTGTAGCATGCCGTCAGACTTAGGCCAAAAATAAATCGTCGAAGTCCACAACGAACCAATGTTGGCTGCAGCAGGAAAGTACATGGCGATATGAAACAGAGGTAGAGTCCAGCAAGCATGAAAAATGACAGTTCTCTACTTGACGATTTGACCACTTTTGACTCTCTGTATTTAATAAATAGAAACAAAACGAAAGTGTTTAAAATGATTCCAACGGTAGATTCTGCGACTACAATTATGCTCAGATGATTAGAGAGTTTCACTCGCAGCTTGGCAAGTTTGGTGCAGGTTGTTACGTTTTGGTTAGGGAGCTGGAATTTCGCACATTTGATGCATGTGTTGTTGACAAGAATCTCATCGCCGTTGCAAGCATGACATGTAAAACAGCATTCTTTGGTCTTACTTTGTACTTTCCTGTACCCTGCTTTGCATGGCCTTGAGCAAATGGACTCTGGAGGATCTCTGCCACCATCGTACCATATGATTTTTCTGTCATCAATATTCAGTTCGCTGCCTTGATTTTTCCAATAGCCGACAGTGTGATAGTCTTTCCCATCAAAATTTATGAGTTGAATATCTCGATTATAGCTTCCATATTTATCAAAAGATACCGAGTTGTTGAAGATATATTTGCACCTTGGATCACCTTGCAACACAGCCAGTGTTTTCCCCCTGAAATACAACCAATGCCTTTCCACACAAGTAGCAGCTGTTACATTGTACCGGAGGCAGTATTCTCTCAAGGCGCATTCGAGGGCTGCTCCGTATGTTTTCACAGCGTCGATCACCGCCCCCGCAGCTGCATATTTTCCAAAGAAGACGCTTGCTGTTAGATCTTCATTTCCTGTGCAATTTTGCGTTTGGCAATCGAAAGTCTTATTCCAAAACTCTTCGAACCACCTATACTTCGTATTGTTTTGGTTAAGACTCTTAAAATAATTGAAAAAATCCTCATTATTGATTTCTGCATAGTTCAGAATGATTGCACCTTTTGCAGCCTCTCTTGCATTTCTGATAGTCTCCATATCAGCCGTCCAGGCAGAGCTAGATAGCCACGTAAACCTGCTTTGTGTTCCTGTTGCTTTCAACAGCCCGTTGGTATCTTCCGCGGTTGTAAATAGAACAATGGTTCTGGCATTAATGTCTTTGTTCAAATTCTTGATCACAGATAAATAGTTTTCTCGTTTTGCTTTTGCAGGCAAGCTGTTTCTTGAGGAAACGCAGATTCCCGCAGACTCGAACATGCTGATTAACATATCCATCCCGCGTTGACCATAATTCCCATCAGAATTCACAGTTGAAACATATGTCCAATTGTAGTGCTTCAAAATGCCCAATAAAGCATGCGTTTGGGCATAATCGGACGGGACTGTACGAAAAAAGTTATGATACTTCTCCCTGTCAGCCAGTTCAATTGAGGTCGCCGAGTAGCTGAGTACCGCCATGGAAAAGACTCCTACTGAGATCGAGGCTAGTATAGCTTCATCGGAAGTGGCTGGTCCTACAATTGCCGGTATGTTTTTTGTGGTTAGCATAGTAACTATATCGTTCCGTAGTTTTTTTATCGAGCTGCAGGTGTCTACAATACGGTATCCAAGTTTGCCCGCCAGTATTGGATAATCCTTCTTGTTCTCATTTAACTTGGAAATTGCGTATTTCATCGCCTCTACCAGATAAACCCCAGATTCGTCATCAATGATGCCACATTCACTCGTCGTGCCGCGAAGATGCACCCCAAAGTACCCTCCGAGTTCGACTGTGTTTTTTTCATGTAACATCCCACCTGAAATTCAAAAATCACAAACTGGTTACAAATATGAAGACTGTCTTCACGAATTATCATTATCATATTGATTGCTTGTTCATACTACCGTGACAAAGAAAGCTTATGCAATTGGTACAGATTTTTGATCAGAGATAAAGCTAGGACAGTCATCTAATTTCGTACATTCGACGTGATTGGACGGCTCGAATAAAAACAGTTATTTTAGGTACGGGGGCGTAGCAACTAGAAGAAGCCCATTGTGACAAAATACCCCATGATAACCAAGGAAACCTCAAGTGTACAATTCACTTGCATATGAAACTGTCTATTTAAAAATAGAGCATTAGTGTAAGGCAATTAGGTTGGTAAGACCAACTTAAATAAATCTTAAACAGGAGATGAAAACGAGCTTCACAAGTAATTCATTAATGACTCATTGTCTTGTAACAAAAAACCCAATTCAACTACAACTACCACTGTATCTACTTGTAGCTACCATGGTTGAAAGTATTTTAAAGCAAAAACTTTTACTGGTTCAAATACCTTGCTACAAAACAAAGTCACTCAGGAGAGTATATATTGAACTTGAATGATGCAGTTTCATGAAAGACGATTAAATATATCTTGAAGAATACGAAGAAATGGAAATTCTCATTCCCGGTGGCTATGGCAAATGAGACACGTAATATAAATACTTAATTTTCTGAAAAAATATGCTTGGAATAAATAAGATTTCGCTTTAATATACGAGTTCTGCTCTATTAGCAAAATACTTTACAATGTTCATTCTATTTGTCAAATGTGGAAAGAAATCAACTGACTTCCAGTGTAACATCTGGCACCTTGGAGCGTTTAAAAATCGAAGCAGCGTGTAGAAATGCTGCTGAACCAAGCTTTTTGAAACATTAAATTAGAATATTTAGTGGTAAAAGTGTTTTATTTCAAGATCCTATAGGCAGATGTGGTTTAAAAAGTAACAAAACTAAAATGGCTGGTTGTTCGTTACCACTTCTATACGTAACTGAAGTGAGCGTTACCATCGAAACAACCGTTTACAAACATGCTTACAAGGCAAATCCTCGTTTTCACCGCTAAATAGAATTATTCGAATCAAATTGAAACTGAAAATTTGAATCGGGTCTACAACTGTCTCATCTCGCCCCACATCAACCAAAAGAGCACACGGGAAATTATGAAAACTTACTTACCTTTATCAATCAAGCTTTCGTAGTTTTGTATGAGTATCGAAAGTAGAACCAAATATCTGAGTTCAAGCATTTTCCTTCAAATCTATAACAGAAAATTTATTAGATAGGTTAAATTCACATCAAGATTGCCAATATCGTATTTCGTTTTTTAAATTTTGTTCCAGATTCAAAATTTCGTAGTAGCCCCTCTAAGGAATGAAAGTGGTTTAAAAATAACTTGCCATCAGTTAGATTTTATATTTAATTTCGTTTATACTTTATTTTCCGAATTTCATTCTGACGAAGCAATAAGTTTAGTCTCACTATAACAGCAAAAATGATTGCATGCTTGAATTTAAAGAGCTCCTCTAGCCATTGAACGTTCAGTTTTATTGACTGAAAACACTTTATTGCCTATGAAACATGGAAAACCTCTAATGCAAAATTCAGATTATTTCTCAAGTCATATAGCGGTTCATTGTTCTCCATTTTTTGCAATAAATCAGTCAAAAAAACCTTGGCTTTGTTTGGTTTGGTTCTTGGATCTTTCTCAATCCCGTTTTCTGGGGAATTTCTACAGACAGCGATGGCAATGAGAAATCGTGTGTATTTACTTAAATAATACAATATTTTTATTCCTAATTCAATACTTCATAGCGGTCCAATCAACAACTTTTTTCATTACCTAAATAACGCAATATTTTTTATTCCTAATTCAATACTTTGACAGACCAATAAACAGCAATTTTCATTGCCTAAATAACGAAATATTTTTTATTCCTAATTCAATACTTTATGACAGACCAATAAACAGCAATTTTCATTACCTAAATTACGCAATATTTTTTATTCCTAATTCAATATTTTATGACAGTCTAGTAAACGGCAATTTTTATTACCTAAATAACGCAATATTTTTTATTCCTAATTCAATATTTTATGACAGTCTAGTAAACGGCAATTTTATTACCTAAATAACGCAAATATTTTTATTCCTAATTCAATACTTTATGACAGTCTAGTAAACGGCAATTTTTATTACCTAAATAACGCAATATTTTTTATTCCTAATTCAATATTTTATGACAGTCTAGTAAATGGCAATTTTTATTACCTAAATAACGCAATATTTTTTATTCCTAATTCAATATTTTATGACAGTCTAGTAAACGGCAATTTTTATTACCTAAATAACGCAATATTTTTTACTCCTAATTCAATATTTTATGACAGTCTAGTAAACGGCAATTTTTATTACCTAAATAACGCAATATTTTTTATTCCTAATTCAATACTTTATGACAGTCTAGTAAACGGCAATTTTTATTACCTAAATAAAGCAATATTTTTATTCCTAATTCAATATTTTATGACAGTCTAGTAAACGGCAATTTTTATTACCTAAATAACGCAATATTCTTTATTCCTAATTCAATATTTTATGACAGTCTAGTAAACGGCAATTTTTCATTACCTAAATAACGCAATATTTTTTATTCCTAATTCAATATTTTATGACAGACCGGTAAACAGCAATTTTCATTGTCTAAATAACGCAATACTTTTTATTCCTAATGCGATACTTTATAGCAAATCAGTAACCAGCAATTTCCATTGCCTAAGTAACACAATATTTTTATTCCTAATTCAATACTTAAGGACAAACCAATAAACAGCAATTTTCATTACCTAAATTACGCAATATTTTTTATTCCTAATTCAATATTTTATGACAGACCGGTAAACAGCAATTTTCATTGTCTAAATAACGCAATACTTTTTATTCCTAATTCAATACTTAAGGACAAACCAATAAACAGCAATTTTCATTACCTAAATAACGCAATATTTTTATTCCTAATTCAATATTTTATAGCAAACCAGTGACCAGCAATTTCCATTGCCTAAGTAACACAAGATTTTATTCTCTATTCAATACTTTATGACAGACCAGTACATAGCAATTTTCATTCTCTAAGTAACGCAATATTTTTATTCCTAATTCAATACTTTATGAAAGACCAGTACATAGCAAATTTCATTGTCTTAATAACGCACTATTTTTATTCCTAATTCAATACTTTATGACAGACCAGTAAACAGCAATTTTCATTACCTAAATAACGCAATATTTTTTATTCCTAATTTAATACTTTATGACAGACCAATAAACAGCAATTTTCATTACCTAAATAACGCAATATTTTTATTCTTTATGCAATACTTTATGACAGACCAGTAAACAGCAATTTCCATTGCCTAGATAACGCAATATTTTTTTCTCAATTCAATATTTAATGACAATCCAAGAAAAACAGCAATTTCCATTGTCTGAATTACGCCATAATTTTTTTCCTAACTAGATAATTATTTCTTCAACATTAAACATTAAGTCAAAGGCTTAGCACCTGTAGTTTTTTGCAAATATTTAGTTTTGGGTCTGGAGCTCAGGCTAGGCAGCTGTCTTTGCATCTACCATAGAATGAAAAATGCAAACATGTTTTGGATGATAAAATATTAATCGTTACTATTTCCTTTGTCATTTATACCCATTCACGGAAGAAAAATGACAAATTGCCTTTATAGCAAGAAATTGCTTGAGCAATAAATTAATTGATTTTCTTCATTTTGTCCTGTGATTTTTCATTCTATTTGTTTTTCCAGTTTTGCTGTTTGTTTTCGGGAAAGCTTTCGCTCTTTTTGCTTCCTTTTTCCATTACTAATCAAATAAATTTTGCATGGAAGTTGTACTGGAATTGGTACATATTGATGCGAGATGCAGAACAGATTGTCAATATTGTTAGGTGTACAGAGGTACGGAATTACCTGAGGGGCATAGAGGGTGCAACATTACTCCGCATAATTGTGTATCCTGCGGTTAATTTTGTTTTGATTCGATAAAAAGCATTTTTGGTGGTCAGAAGAAACAAATAATGCATGCAAAATTTACTTTATTCGCCTTTTTACCTTCTTTATCTTAAAGTGAGAAGCTTAACCTTTGAAATGGGCGTTTCCAGGATATTCTAGTCAACTGAAGGGCGTGGCACCAAAATCCAACCATTATCCAACTCCCCAACCAATCCTTGTCGCTTAATTCCGCGCCTGGGTGTCACTTTTTAATATGAAAAAACTATATGATTTAATTTGAGGCTTGGAGTCAGTGAAATTTAAGAAATATTTAACAAAATAGCCAGACTCTAAATTCCTCGACATCTCGACTCTTTGTCAACTTGAGTTTTTTGAGGAAACAAGATGACATTCTTGCAAAAGGTAAGAGTGTGTTGTGCTCTTGTGTTTCATAAACTAAAACGTTTTCGTAGTTTGCAGCAAAATACAGCAACAAAGGATGATTTATTCTTTCTTGTTAAGAGTAATTTGAGAACGATTCATAAGCACATATTTTTAAGAAAATTGATGCGCAGCAAAATATAGCTTTTCTTATTTGAAATGAAAAAGGTTTCATGTACTTTTAACATTTGCTTCAATCATCATCAGGTACCATCTTCCATCAGAAGGTTGGCTACCATGACCCTCCAACTATCCCAAAATCTGAGTTTTGGTTTGTTGTCATGGTCATAGATAAAACTGAGGGGCTAATAGTAGAGATGGGCCCCCAGAACCACCTCTACAGTGTTTTTAGAGGGACATCATCCCTCTTTCCAGGAGTTCTTCCGCCTGCAATGGGGGTGCCTAAAGTAAATGCCTGCTGAACCCCCACTTCCGCCTTCCTTTTGTTTATCACAAACAGCCATATTTTTCTAATAAATTTGCGTTAAGAAACGAGCATTCAACAAATTTTAAAAATTCAGTTTGTACTTGAAGCATAAAATTTTGGCATTTGAGGCAAATTTATACGTAAAGCTAAAGAAGCAATTTCAGATATTTCAAAAAACCTATCGGTCTGTTATTCAGCTTTGAGTAAAAACAAAAAAAAATTCAAACCGTTGCTCAACGTCGAATCTTCACTGTATTTTATGAAAGTACCACGCAGCTACTGCAATCAATTAGGCCATGCAGCTCTCGCAATTCAAAGTTGCCTTGACGCGATCTGTCTTTCTTCAATATTACTCATATTTCCGTGTTCTTTCTCTTCAACTTGAATCACGCAATTCAGTCCCACGTGATCATGTCCTGTCAATCATTTTGTCATCACATCAACGCCGCCAAGAACAGCGAGGTAGGCGGATGGCCTCGTTGGCCATGAACACAGCCCGGGGGTTACTTCTTTTATGGCCTAACAGGGGGTCCAGTCAGAGTCAATGCGGGCTAAAGCTAAAATGTTATAAAATTACCCTCAAATGGTAGTGTTTTTTGACAATAATCCTCAAATGGTAGCATAAGGACGGAAATTATGTTATATTGATAGAATCCATTTCTTTGTACGCGCCTGATCATTTTTTGACAAATTTCTTCGCCATTGACCGTCGTTGATTCGGGAAAGATGAAACCTTTTATCATTGTCTATAATAAATCGCAAGCTTAATCAATTCGTTGTGTAATTATAGGAACTGGACCATTTGGTAGCCATTTGGTAAGACCCTCAAATCGACTGGACCCCCCTGTCAGTCCTTAATGGAAGTACCTGAGAGTACCCCCTGGGGAACACAGATTCTGTGCCATGAACAAATGAAAAACAATTCAGGCTATTTTTAGCCCACTTTCAGAAGAGGGGGCTGAGGGGGCTTTAGTTTGGTTTTCAAAATGTACCTAAAACCATACAAATAATCGCCGTGCTCTTGATTTCTAGCTTTTTTACCCCCTTCAATCTGCAATATGTTGACAGTCCTTGTCAAGAATGACTGCAGTGATCACAAAATTTGTTACATATTATTTCCAGATACTAAAATTATGCATTCTAAAGCAAAACCTTTCTTATTTCGAGTTGAGCCTTTAATTTCTCTACCCGCCTTTCTGACTGGCGCAAGCCAGTGGATACTCCAAAATATTCTGTCTATCTACAGGCCCCTTGGTCCATTGTGTATGAAACTGATTAACAGACTTCCCCCTCTTTCGGAAGAGCAAGCTCAAAACTTGGGCTGGGAAGAGGTAGTACACAATCTTATTGAAAGGTCCTTTTTGAGTCTTTACATCATTGATTGTACCACTAAAAATGAACTAATTTGTTTTTCAACCAAAGCTAACGATAAAGCCAAGCAGTAGTTGACCGAAGACAAAGGACAACAACGCTTGCGTGATGTGCTTCATCCGGAAGGGTATCGAAAATTATCTGCTCCTCTATATAAAATCTATTTATTGAAATGCCAACCAAAAACTTATAAATTGGGTTATCTTGATTTTATGATCCCTGGCTTAAGGAAAATTTAGTCTGTTTACATTTTATCAATTTCATTTTGAAACGTGCAAACGGATGTTGTAGGTTCTAGCAAAATTTTAGAGTTGTAGGAAAACATACATTTCTTAAGAGCCTAACTGAAAATTTCTTCCAATCAGTAGTTCAGCCCCGCCTACGCCAAAATTTATCCGTCATTTTGGCGTCAATAGGGAAGAACGAAAAAGGCAATACAAATTTGGTGTCAAGAATACAAACGAAGATGTCATAAAACAGGGACACTGTCATCGCATGTAACAAAGTCCTTGGACACTGTCAAGAAATGAGTTTATTGCTTGAACCTGACTTTGACACAACAACGGTTGAAAAACTGAAGGAAGAAGCATTAGTCGTGCAATTTGCCGGGGATTTAGGACCAAGACCGTATTATCGATTCATTCAAACAAACGAATAAAAAGTCAAGTGATAACTTCGATATCTGGTGAGTGTATCTAGCTTAAACAGCTAACAATGTTTTCCTACTTCCGTGTGTAGAGTTTGCATCTTCCGTGTGACCTAGTCTTTTTAGTAAATCTTGCTAATTAGTTAATTACATGTATCAATTGACCTCTTTTAAATCAAAGACCAAAAGACTTTTTTGTTAACTTACCTAAGAAGCTTACCATGACGATACACTCTTTTTTTATAAGACCCAGTAAATTTGAGTTCAGGCTGATTGTTCTTAATTTTTCCGAAAATCTGAGGCTGGATTGTTCTTAATTTGTTCTTAAATTTATAGGGTATAAGCAGTGCGATTTCTAGCTTTCCGTTCTGGGGAGGTGTTCAGGCCTCTTTTGCCAACAAAGTGCGTAGAGACAAACTTAATTTGCCGCCATGTTTTAATATTCACCGAAAAAGCACCCACACATGGCTGAAAATCCTCGTTTTTGAAATAAAACGTTGTTCGAAATTTCATTTTACAGTAGCTCAGCCTCAGCTTGTTCTTAATTTGTTCTTAAATTTTGACCCATTTTGAGGCTCGTGTTCGAACAAAATTGTTCTTATAAAAAAAGAGTGTATTGAAAAACTCGCTTAAAATCCAAAATAATCTAGAAATCCTCACGAAAGCTTATAAAGATCTAAAAATCCCTGGAAATCTCTCAAATAAGATAAAGCTGAAGGTTCCACTAGCTATTATATTTTGCAAAATCTTTGCAGGACCCGCGCCACAGGGGGGCCGTGGGACCATGCCCCCAACTTTTCTTGCTAACTACAGGTATTTAACCCCTCCCTCTCACTTTGGAATCGGTGGCGCAGGCCCTGCTTTGTAATTGTTCTGATGAAGGTGTATTTAAAAATAAGTTTAATAGTTTCCGTGTCCCATTTGCCTCAAAAATGGAAGACCCATCCTTTATCTGCCGACAAGAACGAAAATTTTTCCGACAGTGGGTATACATGCTCCGCAGTAGCAATGGTCTTACTAGCACCAGCTAGCTAGAACATCAAAATTTGGCACAGATAATGTAAGATTTATTGACCAGATAAGTTTTGCAGAGGATTTCTGATTATTTGAAGGAGTCTTAAGACCAAGATAAAACAGTTGTAACTTGATTGCAGATGTAAATCATGCAAAACTGCCATTTCAAACGAAGGTTATCTTAAGAAAATATTTAACGTATTAACTTGTACCGTATGTTATTTCGTTTTTAAATAAGTTGATGTAAATTAGATACGTAGCTGCGATTTTATAAGCCAACTACCTGTAAATAGATAATTCATTACCATTTTTGTTGAAAACAAGTTGTCATTGTGAATTCATTTCAAATCGATAAAAAAACAATATATACATATATATACAATGTTAACTAATCAAAATCGAACATAGCCACCATTTAGTACATTAAAGTAATTACATATACCTAGTTAAAGATTAACTTGAATTTACTGGCAGGCACTACATTTGCAATTCGGTCCGTCCGATTGTTTTATTAGAATCTTAAAACTTTTCAAATTTTCTGCGGATTTCAGATCGTTGGGTAGGCCATTCCAAATCTGTGGCCCAATTGACATAAAACTTTTAGATTCAAATTTTTTTTAATTAGGTCTAACATAGGCTAAGTTATTCGGATTTCTTAATGAATAATTTAACGAACGTAATTTATAAATATTCTGCATAAAAGGTGGGTTCAACTGTTTTACTGTTTTACTAATTTGAATAATTCAATGCACATAATTCTTTGACAAGCGCAACGAGCATCGTGTATTTGTCTGACTTCACAAGCAGATCGTTATACCAACTTGTATGATAATTATAGAGAAATCTTAAGGCGCGTTCTTGTAGCTGTTTAATTTTCTGCAATGACCTAGAAGATGAAAAATTCCAGACCAAGGGACATAACTGAAATTGGAATATACAAAGGAGTAACTTACTCCTAAAAGCTCCACTGTCTCCTCAGATTTAATTTTTTTACCATTAATGATTTTTTGTTCTCCACTAGTATATGTCTTGTTTTTCCTAAGCATTATAGCATGAAATTTTTTATTGCGTGGCTTCAAAAAGGTCATTGATATAGGGTGACTGCATTGTCTAGTCCGTTTTTGTGCTCCCTAGAATCACCACACCCTGTTTTTGTGATTTTCTTACTTTGCTGGAAAATTCGGTAGTTTGTCATGTAATAAAAGTTTTTAATGTTGTTTCGCTATACTCAACGTTACTTCAAATTAGCAAAACTGCAGTTTAATATGCGAGATTATTCAAATTTCGAATGTTATTGACAATTTATCAAGTCAATTTGACTGAGATATTTATATTTTTTTAGAAAAAACTTACGAGAATGAAGACTTTGGTAATTCTTCTCATCGCATGCATAGTAACTCAAACAAGAGCTCTTCAAGAAATCGGTAAGTTGACCAACCTTTATTATCAAATGTTAAATATGGTTGTTAGTGCTACCTTTTGTCAACCACCTGCCTGCCGAACTTGCATCAAAGAACGTCGTGAAATATTCAGGCTTCTATCGGCGACCGCAGACTTGCTTCATCTCTGCAGGCCTTTATTTAGATAACTACGTTTCCCACAAAAGTTACTTTGTGCTTCGTTGATATTTTGAATCTTCATCAACATATATCCAAAAGCAGACATCGTGTTTCTAGATAAATTTCTCAACTGTAGAAAATACCTTAATGTCTTCTTAATCGCTATTCCGTGAATCCTCGAATTGGCCCCCCCCCCCGCCTCGAAAAAGCCCCCCCCTCGAATAAGCCCCCACCCTAGAACTACAAATTGTCAATAAGCCCCCCCCTCGAATAAGCCCCCATCGCTACCGTAATTCTCAAATTGGACCCCTCAAGTTGACGATTTTTGCCATCTGAGGTCGCCTATGGTGTTTTATTGAATTACCACAACAAATTCATACTTTTGATAGTAATTAATTAAATGCTCATAAAGAAATTCCTACTAAAATAAACAAGGTCTTTTAATAATGTCTCCTTAATGCCTACAATGATTCTATAAGCCCCCCCTTCGTATAAGCCCCCCTTCTAATAAGTCCCCATCCAAACATATCAAATATAAATAGGCCCCCAGGGGGCTAATTCGGGGATTTACAGTATCTATTATCAGTCTAAAATCCTTGAAAAAAGTCCTTGGAACACCCTGCGACCAATGAAAAATTTTGAAGAAATAAAGGTTTCCGGCTGTAAGATACAGAAATGTCCCCCCTCCCCCCAAAACAATGTTGGTTGTTAAGCCTATCACTTACCTTAGCTGACAAGTAGCATTGGAAGAATTTCAAGCTTTGAAAATGTTGCTATTCAACATTATTTTGAGGTGGAGAGGGGGGTGCTACTGGGGTTATGCGCTATTTTAGCTTAGTGTACCAAGACTTTTGGCAAGGATTGTAGATAAAACTTTAATTACAGTAAAAATACGCGTTTAAGAAAATAGGGATTAAAGAACCTTTTGGCATTTGCTTTTTTGTCACTCCAAAATATAAGAACCTGTTTAGCCAAACAATTTCCTTTATGTGGGGTTTAGTGGGGTTTAACCAGCAGTTCCTTTATGTGGGGTTTAACAATTTAATTTGTATACTTTTTTACCAAAAACCGAAAAAGTGACAGAAAAGGGAACTGTTGAAATAAAATTGAAAATGCACAACTTATGTTAAATTTGAACTGTTTTAATGAAACAATTATTGCTGCCATTTTGCATTCTGTAATGTATCATTGATCAATTGTTGGTGGTCTTTTGGCAACATTGGTACACTAACTAATATTTAGAATGAAGAAAAGATCAGATTTAATGCTCTTTTTTGATAATCAATTACCAATATCTACTCTGTAGGAATCAAAAACCCAAATAAGAATCTCTTAGCCTCAATTTTCAATAAGTACCCTATAATATAAGAACCTGTTTTGCCAAACTCTGAAAAAGTATGTTCTTACACGCGGGTTTTTACTGTATTTAAAATCTCTAAAGAATATTAGACGATCGCAGCAAAACAGCCTTACTAATTGTATTTTACGTTAAAGCAACTTTGAACCAGAATTCGAATTCATGTTTTTATGAAAGCAAGTAAGTTGAGACCCTTGCTTTCTTGCCTTCGTTTTTTAACCTTGGAATCCCCTGCTTTCTAGGCAAGTGAAGTACTTCGTTTGTCAAATAAGGGCTGTTGAATTCATTCATTCTTGTTCCCAACCTGCTTCCTTTGGAGTCTCTGCAATTTTCCAAGCACGTCCGTTTCAACACGTGATTTTTCTCACCCTCACGCATGTTTCCATTCTTCATCCCAACTAATCACTACAAATAATTCTTTCCATGCCCTTACTCCTTCTCATTAACATGCATTTATCGCAGCCTTTACTTTCGTATGCATATCTGCAGGCACGAAGCCAGCACCGAAAAGGCGGGCGGGCAACAAGGGAGAAGCCATTTAGCAGGGGTACAGTGTTGCTATTTGCCGATAAAAAAGGCGTGCTTCACTTTTGTTGGGTGCTTCTTGAAAAAGGCGTTCCGTCATAGGATAAGTCACTTTATCTGCTTCTTTTATGTGTTTATATTTTTATAATTTGGATATTCATAATTTCAAAATTGAGTTTGAAGCAGTTCTAGTGAAAAACTTTGAAAGTTGAGCTGCTACAGAAATGTTAACACGTCACACTTGTTATATAAAGATTATAACTATTCTACAAAATGAGAAAAAAATGATGTGCCGACGAACAAAGCGCCCTCTTTTAAGCCGACGAACAAAGTGATGGCCCTGGCAGGCAATGCCGAGTTAAGGTCGGCTTGTCAACTGTGCGAAGCGAAATATCTCGCAATTTATACAGAGTTTGGTATCAATATATCAATGCCAAGATTTATTTTACACGAGATACCTTTCAGCAAAAAAAGAACTATTTACAATTTGTTTAACAATCATAAGAGAAAAAGAAAGAACAAATAAAAATAAAAATAACTAAAATAAAATAAGGCGAATTGCTGCTCTACCAAAGGGCCGTGTTTGGGTCCTGTGGCAGGTTCAAAAGATACTCTCTAAAACCTGTTTTTAAAACGAGCGATGGATTCTTTTTCTCGAATGTTGTTAGGGATATCATTCCAGTTTTTGACACCAGAGAAATAGAAACCCCGCTTTGCATACTCTAACCTAAATATGGGAATTTGCAGGTCTCCACGGTTTCTGTTTCTATTCTCTGAAATCATGGATCTTTCAGTGAATTTATGGCGAAGATTTTCGAGACAGAGGTCATGCAAGATTCTATATGTCATGACTCCTTGGTCAAAGGAGATCAAGGACTTTACAGTGAGCCATTTGCAAGTCCATCCGTCCTTGTACTTGGCATTCGCTATTAGCCTCTTTGCCCTTGTCTGTAAACGTTGCCGTTGGGATAGTTTGGTGTTGAAGAGAGCACTCCAAACAATTTTGCAGTGTCATTGCTAGCTTTCTCGCTCTAGTAGGTGTTCAGGCCTCATTTGCCAACAAAGTGAGTGAGGTAGCCTTTATTTGCCGAGAAGCTCGAATACTCGTCGAACAAAACGTTGTTTAAAATTGCATTTCAGAGTAGCTCAGCATCAGCTTGTTCTTAATTTGTACTTAACTTTTGAAAAATCTTGAAGCTCGTGTTCTTATAAAATTTTTCTTTCAAAAAGAGTGTAGCATTGTCTCTACTGGTGTACACACAATCAGTCCTTACGAACAGTCAATCTGAACTAAAATTACTGGTTCTTATGAAAAAAGAGTGCATTCGATATTGGTTTTCACCATGAATGCACAGACTTTTTTGAGACGGCTTTTTGGCGACGCCGTTTTCTAGGTTCGAACATTTTTTGATTCGAAAAATTTTTGGACGGGCACAGGGGGGCAAAAAATTCTAGTTGGGCGGGCAATGCCCCCTTGTCCACCCTTGGCTTCGTGCCTGCATATCTGTAGTTACTTTTTCCTTGTTCCGGCTTTTATTTCACTGAGAAAAAACCCAATAATGGACTTGGAAACGACATAAAAGCAGTGTTTACTAGCGACTTTCACGTAGCCTTTTCGAAGCCAAATTAGTTTCGAAGGCAATTCAAGGAAGAGGACATTAGCCTATTTTTAAAACAATAGAAGGTCAGGCTGGAGGGGCAGTGGCTGAGTACTGGAGCATGGCTCTGTACTGTTTACTATGTCATCAACGTAAAAATACTCTTCGTGTCTCTCAACGGCTGAAAGTTCTTAAGCTGTATTGTCTCATGAATGAGATAGTGAGGCAAGCTATGTAAAACCCCCGCAAAAACTGTTGTTCAGTCTTATGATTCAAGCAGATTCATCCGAATATCTCTTGAGATTACGTTCCAAGATTATATTATATTTTGCGAAGAGAGCGTGCGATTTCGCACATAAAATGTTTCTTTTTATCAAATTCAGTCCAAGATCGTTTTTCTCGTTGGCCAGATTTTTTCGAAGATTATATTTTATTCAGATTTCCCATCTTAAACTTTTAGGGCCTGTTTTTTATTATAAACACATCTTTTAGAAAGAAGTTTTCTCAAGCTTTTGGCTTTCTTAAAGTCTTTTTTGTTTGCATAATTGCACATGCAATCTCTCCGTTCTTCTAGATGGCAAGCTGTACTCTCTCTATGTTTTGGATAGATTTAATTCTATAAAATTCTTTATTCATATTCCCTTCCTCTACTGATACATAACATCTAATGTAGTTAAACATTATGCACTTGTAAAATAAGATAGCGCAATGCAATGAAGTGTGCTGTTATGTACTGTAGTGTATGTACTGCAACGTAACATAACGTAACACAACATAACTTACTATACCGTACCGTAACATAACAAAACATAACATAACATAGCATAATATAACAGAACATAACACAACATGACATAACATAACATAACATAACATAACATAACATACATAACATAACATAACATAACATAACATAACATAACATAACATAACATAACATAACATAACATAACATAACATAACATAACATAACATAACATAACATAACATAACATAACATAACATAACATAACATAACATAACATAACATAACATAACATAACATAACATAACATAACATAACATAACATAACCATTTAGTGGGCGTTCATTGGATATAAGTTGAACCAGCCTTGTCTGGTTCCTTTTGTAATTTCAATATCTTCGTTTTATATCTTCAGTCTTCAGTAAATAGATGAATTAACTTGTCTTTATCATTATTAGATGAATTTTCGCTGCATGAGATTCCATAGCTTTCGTCTCTCTTGATATAGGTACGAATGTAGTCTCGATGATGGTCTGTCTTAAAAAAGAATATGTTTTCTAACCAATAACCAGGATTCTCCCAGTGTACGAAATCCCTGTGATGTAGATCTTATCATTTCATCTGAGGCTTAAATTCCTTTCTGACCCAAGTTTGATCTGCGATTTCGTATTTTTGCTGTCATCTCCTGCTGCTTTCTCTTTCAGCACCTCTTTGAAAATCTATTCTACTTCCTCTTTTTCTAATCTGTTGAACATTTTTTCACTTCTGCATTATCTGGTGTTAGCTTTTCCTCATTATCTTTCTCTGAATAATCGCCCAAGCTTTTTGTGATAAGGTCTTTTTCATACATAATTTTCCACTTTTATCTCTGAATCATAGCTGATTTTTCTTAAGTGTGAGGTCGACTATCTCTCTTTACAGGTTTTCGCTTGTGCAATTTATCTAATTCTTCTAAATATTACTATTTAATTTAATTTCTGTCTTTCTTTGCTTTCTCATGATCTCTCCTGTTCTTCTGCTGTTATCTTAATGCACTTCTGCATTTTTCTACGGCTCATTTGTTTTTTTGTTATGTCCTTCTTGCTTAGTTTTAGCAAACAGAAAAACTTTTATCTTCTTCAAGAATCGAAGTTTTGTTTTGGTTTTATATGTACTTTATTATGGTCTGATCCACAAAAGACCTTTCCCTTAATTACGTCATGCGCGCAATGCATTCTGGTACCTGTATTTAAACCAACGAACATTTGTTTATGTTCTCTACGGCGATCGGACAAAGTTCTGTTATTATCCAACGCTCTTTGTTCAAATTATCAAACAAATCATGGAAAATATGGAAGAATTTTTAACTTTCATTTATTTTCTTCAAAATTTTAACTTCATTGCTGCTATTCTGCTTGATCTAGCTTTAGAATATATGAATACTCATGCATGTATAAAAGTTTTGAACAAAAATGGAAAAGAATAGACAAGAAGAAAGGTTCCAAAAAACAAAGAAATGTGTGAAACTTCTGTGTGGAGTCAAGCGGGAAAATTATTAGAATTTTGATCATTTAGCCTCAAGGATAATCGAGAATTCTGGAATACAGTAAAGTCTTTCTTTTCTGGAAATATTTTATCCCCTACAAGAGTGACTTTGCTCAAAACTAAAAGATAATTTCTGAAGACCAGGCTAATACAGCGATTTTTAACAGCTAAAGTTCTTTTCCAAATGAATTGAAAGCTTGGGATGTCTCCTCACTTTTTTGAAAAAGATGAAGCTTCCTGCAGAAAATTTTCAGGCCAACAACTGTTTTCGTCAGTCTCCACGATTTTTGAGTGACTCATGTATAAACAAGCAATGCCTTTTGCTGAATGCTTTTTGCCTCCCCTGCTTTGCGCTTTTTGAAAAGGTTGAATTACACGAAATAAGCTACCGAAATTTTTTGAAACTTCGGCCAGCGATGGATAATGGAGGCTTTGATAGTGCTCTCCAGAGGCTTCGATTGCTTGAGTCATGAGATAAAATGTTAAAAAACTGCATGCTTGTGATTTTAGCAGAAGTATCCTTGCCCTAATTCTTAGCTATTTAACGAAGAGAAGACAAGGGGTCATAATTTTTTTTGAAATTTTTACAGGAGTCAGTTAGGTGTTTTTTTCCTGTTTCACAATTGCCAATTATATTGCTGAATCTTTTGCTATGAAATCTAGCTTTGAGCCCCCAGTTCATGTTACTATTATTATCACTCTTTCTGTATTCCTTAACTGTGCGTGTTAGTAGGTCCCAAAATTCGTTGACTCATTCTCTTTTAAGCATCTTCTGTGGAAGCCATGATTTTTATCATATAAAAATCAATGCTTTTTTCTTGAATTTTTATCAGCTTGATTCTATCATTTACAATAAAGAAGTGTAAAATAGACTTCATAGGTATTTCGTTTACTATACCTGCCATTTTAAATATAGTTTCAATTTCGTTCAACAATATCACTTTTTTCCAGACAACACAATTGCTGAGAATTCCGGCAAGCAGAAGTTCGTCATTGGTGGATATTTTGGCGTTCACAGGAGAGGAGAAACGACTCCATGCGGAGAGTTTGACGAAGAATCAGGCATTTATCTCGTTGAGGCCATGAGGTATGCGCTCAAACGAGTCAACGCAGATCCGTCGAAGCTTTATAATGTTACCATTGGATACCGGATCGTCGACACTTGCAGTAACATGAAATTATTGAGAAATGATATAAGTAGCATGATTTTAGCTGCAAGACTGGTGGGTGTGGTCGGCCCTGCATCGTCCGATGAGGCAGTCTTGGCATCATCAGCTTTCGGTATCTTTGGTAAGCGCCTGATAAGCTACTCAGCAACCGCCATAGATCTCATTGATCGCGAAAAGTACTTTAACTTTTACCGCACGGTGCCATCTGATGATATGCAAGTGTTGGCCATAAAGGATATTCTCCTTCACTTCCAATGGCGGTATATATCCACAGTCAATTCATATGGGGACTATGGCCAGCAAGGCATTAACTATCTTGTGCGACTGCTAGCACCTTCCGGAGTCTGCATTGCAACCAGGAATGGTTTACCAAAAACCCCGAACAGTTCGGATTATGATATCGTCATCAAAAGCCTGAAGAAAGACAAAAATGCCAAAGTGGTTGTGTTGTTCACAACTGCAGAAGATACAAATGGGATATTCCAAGCTGCGAAAAGACGGAACGTCTCTTTTGTTTGGCTTTCAAGTTCGGCATGGTCGGCCGACTATGAGACGATAAAGGGTGTCGAAAACATCGCAAAGGGGTCAGTTTTACTGAATTATGCAGGCATTAACAACAAGGAATTTCTGAGGTACTTCAAGGCTTTGAAACTAAAGGATAACGATTATAAATGGTTTGCAGATTTCTGGGAAGATAACTTCAATTGCACAAGGAATACTACTGCGAAACCAACCAGGAAGCAATGCAGTGGCAATGAGAGTATTGTGGAAAGCAAATTTTACGGGCAGTATGCAGCTGCACAGGCCGTTATTGATGCGGTCAACGTTTACGCGTATGCGTTGCGGTGCACGTTCAGATATTTCTGCTCTGCAATAGGTATTAACAAAACGCAATGTGCCTTGAGTATCAGCAACCGCAATCTTGGTAACGGTATGCAGTTTTACATAAGGAACTGGTCCCGTTACTGCAAGGATGTGTTCGGAAGAGTCCCCTTCGATTCAAATGGATCATACTACCGTGATATTGAGATTCTTAACTTTGATGGTAAGAGCTACAGCTCTGTTGGCCTATGGAAATTGAACGTAACCAACCAAGAATCCAGTCTTGAGATTTCCAATCATCTGGTCAAATGGAACGATGGTGGCAGAGATCCTCCAGATTCCGTTTGCTCAAAGCCATGCAAAGCTGGGTACAGGAAGGTACAAAGTAAGACCAAAGAATGCTGTTTTACATGTCATGCTTGCAACGGCGATGAGATTCTTGTCAACAACACATGCATCAAGTGTGCAAAATTCCAGCTCCCTAACCAAAACGTAACAACCTGCACCAAACTTGCCAAGCTGCGAGTGAAACTCTCTAATCACCTGAGTATAATTGTAGTCGTAGAATCTACCGTTGGAATCATTTTAAACACTTTAGTATTATTTCTTTTTATAAAACACAGAGAGTCAAAGGTGGTCAAATCGTCAAGTAGAGAACTGTCATTTTTCATGCTGGCTGGACTCTACCTCTGTTTCATATCGCCATGTACTTTCCTGCTGCAGCCAACATTGGTTCGTTGTGGACTTCGGCGATTTATTTTTGGCCTAAGTCTGACGGCATGCTACACGCCTCTCATGCTGAAAACCAACCGAATTTACAGAATATTCAAAGCTGCGCGGAACATGGGTTCCATGCCTTATTTGGTCAGTGCAGCATCGCAGATCTGGATATGCTTTGGGTTGTTGGCAATTCAACTGCTCTTGTCAGTAATGTGGGTTGTAGGTGATCCCCCTGTAGTCAATCACGTGCTAGTCTCAGAGTACAAAATGGTGGCTGATTTGTGTGGCGCAGATATATTCACGATTGCTATCAACCTCGTTCCATGTTTTTGTATGTTGGCAGTGAGCACTGTATACGCCTTCAAATCTCGCAAGTTTCCAAAGAATTACAACGAAGCTTTCAATATTGGCGCCACCATGTATGTAAGCTGTGTTTTATGGGCCATTTTTATCCCGCTTCTATTACTTCTGAAGGTCGAAAACACTAATCCTTTTTCTGATATTTTCTTGATCGCTAATTTCACGAACGTAATAGGCCTGGTTTCTCTTGCCGGCTTGTTTGGTCCAAAAGTTTATCGTCTGTTTACCAAAAAGGCGAACAAGGCCTGCGAAGAGAGATATTCTTCTACCTACAATAAAACCAACAGTGTGAACAACAGTCTTGAAAACAGCATCGACATGATCGTAATGACAAAAACAGAGGAGGACAAGAAAGTACTGCAGCCTCCAAAGAAGACCCTTATACCTTCAACAGAGAGGTATGCACTCAATGACAAGCTAAAGGCTATGCGAAGAAGGTGTTTTTCAGTTTAGGAAACCTTATCTGCATCCAATGTTGCAGTATGCTTTGAAGTGACCTTGTTAGGGTTCGCGTCATACCATTGGTATTTGTGTAGACTTATGTAGAGTGCCCTTACAGTCACAAAGATTCTAGGCTGTTTTCTTTCTACTAATGTAAAAGACACTTTAGTGATTTGAGGAGACACAAGGCTCCTTGCTGTGTTCTTTGCTTGTTTTTTATTCTAGTTTCAGAATTTATCAAAAAATTTTCTCTAACTAAAAACATTTTGATTTAATATAGTATTGATGAAAAACTGTGAATGGTATTGATGAAACATTAGAAGAACTATAGAACAACTTGTCTGCCAATCAACAATTAACTATACAGCTTATTATTATTGTTAGCTATGGTGTTTTTTCCAAATTTAATATCATTTTGCTACTTACTCCTAACTCTCTCTTTCACTGAAAGGTGTATTCAAGAGCAGTACTACTTGGCACTGGTTTATTTAAGTTGTTGCACAGAGTCTAAAATGTACATTGAAACGATAATCCTGATTCCAGAATCACCCCCCCCCCCCCTCCCCCTCAGTATAAGTGCGTAGGCTTCAAGGCTGACTAAGCCCTCTTTAACTAAACAAATTACCTGGCTATTTTATGCGTATTGTTGAGCTGAAGCTTAATCTTTAGGCCTTATATACTTTTATCCAGGAACCATTCCTCTTCCTGAAGGTCGTCGTACGCAGCTAAACATGGCTCCCGCTATAGAGTTTTCCACTAAGCTTACCCAACATTACAGCAGACTTAAGACCATTTGCAGAAACTGTATTAGATTTATAAGTGTATGGCTTGTATTGAAAAACCAGGCAGCAGAAACTACGCGGCAGGTAAGCCAATGGGACCGGATAGCATTCAGGCAAGAGGCCCGTGGACAGCCTTCAGCCTTCGCATCAATACTTAAAAGTGTGCTCTTCCTTATTACGATTAAATTCCTTTAATGTATTCAACAGTTTCATGTTTGAAAACTCACTAATGTAGCACACGAATGAAACACACGAATTTATTCCTACTGTGATAAGATTATTTTTGTAATATACGGCATATGTTTGATGCCGTTGGTAATAGACGAAAATGAAGGATAACGCTAGCTAGAGCGGGCCTTACACTGTAGCCGTTGTTGTATTTTTTCATGATCATAAAATCGTAGCACTGCTCGGAAACCACGTGGATTGTTGCATTCATCAAGGCTACATTATCTGAATATTTAACTTTTTGACAGCAATTTAATGAAGCTTCCTGCGCCAAGTTTCACTTTCAAAGCTGTGAAGATTGGTAATTTTTGTCAAACTTTTTCTTTCCTATGGTTAGATTTCTGTCTTATTTAACAACGATTCAATCAATGGACCTTTTAGCTGTCAACGCACGTCCGTCCGCCAGTATGATATCTTCTTGATTCGTTGACAATTATGAAATTCTTTCTTTCATTTTTCAATCCATGGGAATTTTCTTTTGCACCATCTGCAACATTCGCATGTTTTCTCACGTCAAGAATCTCTGTGACGCCCACCTGTGACGAGCACATCAGAAAAAGCTTGTTTTGTTGTCGATGAGATCCCCTTCTTGGGAATCCCCCAGGCACTCAAGCAATCACAGTGTTAGAATCGAGCTTAAAGGCCAATGTTGGGAAATTTAGCCATCGATCACTTGAAAATCCCTGTGTAAAATCTGTCAAACATTCTGTTGATCTGATCTTAAGATTTTGTATCTAAGAAGCTATCGTGCACATTTGCTGGATCTTTCCTTGCTGAAAACTTAGGGAGCTTTAGATTTACAAAGTTTCATTTCCAAGTTTTCTAGGGTTGTCCTCTTTCTTTAAGGGATGTGGTTCGAATCTTTCCTAACACACAGAAAGCAATTTTGCCCTCTAAATGGTATGCATTCAAAAGTTAGGAAGGAAACCTGTTGCAAATTTATATCATATTTCATATTTGATTTGTTTAGGGAGGGTTGCCCTTCAACGGAAGTTATTTTTCAAGGGGCCCTCCAATAAAAACTAATTACAATATTTGATTAAAATACTAGAAAATAAAAATCATATTATTGAAAACCTATTTAAAATTACATGGTATTAAACTGTATAAAACGAATTAGTCAACCCTGTATTGATTTTTTAAACCACCCAGGGAGGATGCCGTCTTGGACTAAACAGGAAGACTATTCCATAGTTTTGCTCCCCGGAAAGAAAAGCATTTTTGTCCATTTGCTGACTTCTTCTTTGGCAACTTTAAATCAGTCTCAGTGTTCCGGAGGCTGCGGGAGGAGCATGCTGAGTTTTTGGTGAAGAGGTTAGACAAGTATTGAGGAGCCAAATCATAGAGCAACTTGAAGACCATCGTTTTAGTCTCATTGCCAATGAGCTCTTCAATTGTCTTCCAGCCAAACCTCGCAATAAGTGGTCTTCTTGTAGTATCAAAGCTGCTATTTGTTATGATCCTAGCAGCCCGATTTTGAAGTTATTGTAACTTCCGGTCGATGTCTGTAGACCCAGCACAACCCCAGACAGAATAACAGTATCGAAAGTGGGGCTCCACAATACCAGTGAAAAGAGTTTTCAAACTTGCCATAGGCAGAAGGATCTAGCGTGTCTCAAAAAGCCGATCGCCCTGAAGATCTTGGTGGAAACTGCCTTAATTTGCTCTTTCTAATCTAATGAGCAATCGATTTGCACTCCAAGGAACTTTGTTTTTTAAACTACTTCGAGTTAATTGTCGCGTATCTTCAGTTCCAAGGCTTCATTTCGACTTCTAAGAGAGCTGCCTTTCTGCCTTGTGGATATGAGCATTAAATGAGTTTTTGTCACATTCAATGAAAGCTTATTGCCTCGCAACCAAGTCTCTTATTTCTTGAGATCGCTACTTGTATGGCATACCACAAGGGTATTGCTTAGGCCCTCTTCTTTTCATCATTAATCTGAATGATCTTGAAGACTGCTTGCAATCCCCATGATACTAGTTTGACAATTGTTTCTAGTAATCCAGTGAAATTGGTTGAAGATGCACATCAAGAACTATTCAATATCTCTGAATAAATGAGAGTAAATAAACTAGTCATAAGTCCTGATCACGAAAAGACTGAATTCATGGCATTAGCACACCCACAAATGACGCGGAACCTTAAGCCCCGGCCAAACGACTCAATTTTTCACTCGATTTTCTACTCGACACTAAATCGAGTGAAAAATCGAGTCGTTTGGACACCTTGTCGAGCAAGTCAAATGGCGTCGAGTGATGTCGAGTGAAGTTTGATCTGTATCAAAAAAGTCGAGTGAAAAAGGTGTTGTCAAATGAAAATCGAATCGTTTGGCCACCTTGTCGAGTGAGTCGAGTGAGCGCGTGCGCAGTTATCGTTTCTTATGCTGGGCAGGGAAGCATACTACCCTGGGGCCTGGAGGTCCAGATGACCTTTTTAAGTGATTAATTCCATTTTAAGAATGAAATTAATCAAAAGAAACAAAGTTTTGCCTGAAAGTAGTAATTTGCTTAAACCAAATAAGTATTTAATGGCGGTTCCTGCATAAAACTAACGAACAGGGTCTTATGTCGCTCTAGTTCGTCAAGAGATTATAAAAGGATATTTGCACGCAAGATCAACACGGCAGCCGATTTGCGTTTCTTCACCTTCAATTTGTTGGCGTGAGTGAAAAGTCGAGTGAAAAATCGAGCAAAAGATTGAATCGTTTGGCCACCCATGCTCGACTTCGCTCGATTTTGAGATCAAATTTCGAGAGAAAGATCGAGCCAAAAATCAAATCGTTTGGCCAAGGCTTTAACCTTCCTGAGGTTTGTATGCTAGATGGTTCGGATATAAAAGAGGTTGATCAAGTGAATTCCCTAGGCGTCATTATTGACGAGAAAATAACCTGGGATAGGCACTTCAAGCGTGTAAAAGGCAGAATGAGTGCGGCTTTGTTGAAATTTTTATTTTATTTCTAAAGCCAAGAACATTATCGAAGCTTTAGGAAACACGATGATTTTACAGTGGATATTGTACTAACGTTTGCTTTGTGGCGATAGCTCTTTACACGGTTTGGGAAAAAGGGGATTCTCAAAAGGGGATCTCGCTAAGAGCCAATGAAAATGATATGCAGATATGTTTAGTACGACGGGGTGACTTTTCCTGTTGGTCTCGCTTAGAAATGGGAAATTCACAGAAGATATAACATACATAAGGTAAATTGACATGTGGCTTCGACTATATGATAAAATATAATGTAATTGAATTGGTAAAGATAACCAATTAAGTTTGTTGACATTAATCAATTCATCAATTGTACTCTTTTTTAGGAAATGTGCGTGATCTTTGGAACATTCAATGCTTTTTTGGTCTTTCTCACTAGTCTTAACACGTGAACAGTCATTTCAACAATATCTTCTGCGTGCAAACTTTCTTTTTATTGTCCATATGGTGTGCAAAAAGAAGGTTTTCGTAATAAAGTTATAGTAAATACGGCCTCTGCTTCCCTCCTAACAATTCCTGCTTCGGTAACAAAAAAGTCTGCAGGTTTTGCAATGCCGTAGTAGTGTTGTATGCCAAAATTTGAAATTGCCTACAAAGTTTACTGTGACGATTTTATGAAAAACTCATTTTTGCATGCCATTTGAATATTAAACGGAAGCTTGCACGCAGAAAATGTTGTTGAAATGATTGTACACGCGTGAAATCTTGTCGGGAACTGCCATACTCTGCAGTCTGGGTTACAAATCATGACACAGCTTTCGCAGCCTCCCCCGTGTTTGCATCACGTAAAAGAAATCGAAGCGAACTTCCACTGTATAAATATTCGACAGCAAAGAGTGAAAGATAAGGCTTTTTTAAGCTCTGGCTTTCCAGTGACAGCTGTTTTAAGGTAGGTTGCGTAAACTTTAAGTTTTTTATGAAAGAGCTGAAATCAAAATGAAGGTTAACGACAAAGTTTGAAAGATAGGTGAAAGTGATACAGAAGGCTTTGCTTTGCATCGAACAATGCATTGAAATTGGTTACAATCAGTTAATGTCATTTATGTAGACGACTTTATAAGAATCAATTTGAAGTATGCACATTTTAAATGGGAAATGAAGGAGCAAAGCCTTTTCTAATGGTTTGATTCTAATGGTGTGCTGACCGATTCTAATAATTCTCAGAAGTTAACAATAGGTGTCCGTTGGTAAATATTTAAATGTTAATTTGCTGCTCAAGAGTAAACCTTTGTTTTATGTTTACTTAGATACGCATTCCTGTCGAACAACATTTAGCTAAAGTTAAAAACGAACATTTGACTTCAATGAAACGATTTTTGAATTGTATTGACTAAAAGTTCTAAAGTGGAATCTTTTGAGAACTTCAAAAGAAAACTTTTGCACACATGCATTCATAATCCGATTAAAATGCGTTCAAACGTTTTTCATGTCTGTTTAACTAATAGCTGTGCTTATTAGAGCGGCAGACATTGACTTTAGAACTACTGCCATAGAAAGAGAGCGACCCATAAATCTTTTAGAAACGAAATTCTTTTTCTCGACACGGAGTTACGTATGAACAGTTTTACGTCGACATTCGATGCATTGCGCAAAAGGCGTTTAAAAAACATAATTTGGGTACTTAGTGCTACAAAAGCTAGAAATTACAGAAACTATCCCGAAATAAAGATCATAAGAATCGCAAGCTGCCTTTATATTATGCATCTTTCATTGATAAACCTTTAACAGCTTGGAAATTTATAAGGCTATTTTATAACAGGTGTCTTCATGAACTTTTGCCTGTTGAGCAAAGGGTCGTTTGTAACTGTAGTCTGCATATTTGAAAGCAAACCAACTAAACCTCTGCATTGTTTATTTTCAAGCGATTTGGCGTTTCAGAGAAAAATGAAGTTATTTATAAAGGTAGAAGTTAGGGAAAAGGTGAAAAGATGGTAAAAGGTGCCGTGGTAGCCGAATGGTAAGGTGCTCTACTGTAATGCCATTGCTTCGGGATCGATCCAGGCTGAAGGACAGCCCTTAGTTCCCTCAGCTGAAAATGTGTACCTAGTTGGAACATACTAGGGAGGTAAAAAGCGGCGTTGAAGGGAACTGGTCGCCCCACCACACAATGCTGTAGCCCAGGACGATGCACCCCTAACAGCGCAATCCCCAACGTTTGATACCGAATAACCTTTACCCTTTTAATTGTCAGGAACAAATCAAAACGATTGTGAGAGTCAAATGTTTTGTAATTTGATTTTAAATGCTGACCAAACGGAATTTTATCTGAGCTAATTTCACGTGGGATGTTGTAGAATTTGATTTCGCTAGGAGTTCTATTTTAGCTTGTTTGTATTACTCGCATTTGGGTGTCAATTGTCATGCTTCAATTTGGCATTTAAGTCCTGATGCGCTCCTTTGATGCCATTGGGAATAGAGAAAAAGGAGTTCTGTAGTTGGGGCTTCTGCATGAAAGTGTGGGTCCCTTGAATCAGATGGGTGTATTTAATTGCTTTGAGTCGGATCTCTCGTGCTTGTTTGGTATGCTGATTTCGCGCTGTTCTCTTCTCACCACTGTGTTTAGCTCAGGCTTGCTGATGAAAAGGTGACTGACCAGGTTTGAGTATCTTTACCGGCTACCAGGTATGTTTACCAGGCTGTGTGTAGAAATGCTTTGAGGTCTGTATTTGACCCCCTGCTGTGAAATCCAGTACTCGCATGAATCGGAGCAGTCTCACTTCTTTCAACATACATTATTAACACCTCGTGCTTGTGCCTTCTCTGCCGAATTTTTCCAGTCGAAATAAAGTTGCAACAATTTTGTGTTGTAATTTCACAATTATTTGTCTGTTAAAAAGTTTACTTGAGCGGCAAGTTTTATCGTTGCTTGTTGACATTTATTCATGACATTTATTGTATCCTTCAGAAGCGGGATTTCTTTCAACTATTCTTTATTATAAACGACCAG